AAAAATTTCATGGGATCAGAGGGGGGCCAGGGTTGAAAAGTCGCGAAGCGGCTTTTCAACCCTGGTTATTTTGAAAACTTTTAGTCTAAAAAAAACGTTGCTGCAAATCTTCTATAAAAACTTTTCGGAATAAAAAATGAATTAAAAATGTATTTTGCATTTACAAATAGATTATTTAGTCGGAAATAAAAAGACAACTGAAAAATTAGAAAACTTAAAATTTTTAGGCTGGGAAATTTTTAAGTTACACACTTTTATTGTTTATCAAATTAATTTATAAATTTAAATCGCGTTAAAATTGACACTCCGAGATTTCAGGATACCTATTTTAAAGTTCCCAAAATTCGAATTTCGAAATTTTTTTAATTAAGCACCAAGTAAATTTGCGTCTGCAGGGGCCGGAATTTGTTGTTGACCGGAATTTCTGGCTACATTTGATAATTAATTTTAACGCAACGTTTTTATCGTTTTCAGGGCTTCCCAAAATTCCTAACCCCTCCCTACCCAAGTGCCACATTAGGCCATAGCCCTCTCACTCCCCAACCATATGGTGGCATTCCCGACCCCCCCACTTGTGATGACTACAAAAGGCGCCTCCTTACAGCAACCGGGGAGGCTGTTAGGGGATAAACAAAGGCAGCGCACCACAGGGGGGCCCATCCGTGTCAAGTAGCAGCCCATCGTTTGGGCCCCTCCTCACCTCACACCCAAGAAGGATTAGACAATACGGGTCAGCGGGGGATCTTGGCCACCATGTTGAGAAGCAATGCAAAGAGTGGCAAAGGGCCCGGGGGGACCTATCTACATATTTGTGCCCGTGTTTGCTGAAGGGACCGTATTGTCACATATTGAGGGGGAGTGGGGAGGGTGAAAGTAGCGAGTTGGAGCTGGCTAGATACCTTAAACGATAATTCGAGACCGTTTTCCTATAATTTATTAAAAAATCATCCATTGAAAAAATTTTGCAGTTCATGCCTCGCCTAAAAGTCGCCTAAAAATCATGCAGATAATGACAATTACGGCGTTTTGACGAAGCTACGAGGTATCTTTCTTAATGCCTAGGTATCCTGGCAACAAATGCCTTTCTAGAAAAGCAAAAATTCGTTAATTGATTTATTTTACTTTAGGGTTTCTTCGAAAACTCAACATCAAAATTCGAAAATGTCGAATTTCAAAAAAGCCATTTTTTTTTTCAGGAAACCTGTCACAGTCGCTTTGGCCAGATTCAGGATACCCTAGGCCTCGACGGCCAACATACCGATAGCTAAAATCCCGATATCTATGGTTGCTTCCAAAATATCGAGACCAAAAAATCGACACGAGACAAATCCGATAGACTAAAATATACCGACGGCCAGGACGCTAGTCCAGACAACGGTAAACGAAAATACCGGCAGCGCATGGTAAGTTCCATAGACCGAAATACCGACAGTTAAACAGAATTTGATGAGTCTTCGCATGTCGGTATTTTGAACGCGCGATTTTCAGTGTCGGCATTTTGATAGCGTTATGTTGAATGTCGGTATTTTTACACTTCCCGTTGCTCCTCGGCCCACAGTCAATCGGTGTCGTGAAGCAACACCTAGTAGACTTCAGCATCCCTTTAGAAAGTCATACAACTGTATTTTGGGTGTTTTGTATGTCTCTGGTCTGCTCACCGATCTCCAGAACCCATACAGTTGCTCGCTCCATCACTGCGCAAGATCGTAAAACGGGTGCGCATCGGAGGGAAGATGTCAAGTTGAGCTAGAGAGGAAGTGAGGGAGAGCGAGCGGGAGGGAGAGAGAGATAGAGAGAGAGCGAGAGAGAGAGGGAGAGAGAGCGGGAGGGAGCGAGCGCAAGAGAGCTACCTCTAAAAAATAGGCATAAATCATCGTAAGGTAGGTGACATCTAGCGTATGGTGTGGACATGTCTGCCCCCGGGGGTCTGTCCGCGGTGTCTTTGATGCCCTGAGGGCACGTCAAATCGAGGGCTGTGATACCCCTCCCGTCAATTGACATTTGTCACCCGCGCAGAATGGGGAGCACCTGTGGCCCTTCTTTATGAGGGTAGAGGAGCGAAAGGTTAGTGAATGGATAGTAGGGATCGGCAGAAATAGGAATTAAGGTCATGAGACAAATTTTGGGCTTGGAAGTCCGAATATTGACGCATTGATAGTACTTCTTGGACCGGAAGTGACTTATCGAGCGCTTCTATCAAGCTTAGACTGACGGGCTCAGATGAGAAAACTTGAGGATTTTGAGGCTCTATCCGACCTACTTCTAATTAACGTAAAACCGCGGTTTCGGCAAGGTTTTTCACCTCGACTCAGGCCTGGTTTAGGGAGCTAGGTTCAAAATCAAAGCCGAATGGGTTCCAAAGTTTCTTTCGCCCTTTCCATAGGCTCAAAGCTGCCTAAGCCAGATCCAGCTAAGCCTAAGCCAAGCCTATGCTCAGGCCGAAGCTCAAGCTTAAGTTCAAGCCTAAGCCAAGTTTAAGCCCAAAGCGAAGGCACGAAATGCCTAAGCCAGGCTTAGGCAAATTCTAAGCTATGCCGAAGCTGGGGGTTGCCAAGCCTAATCTAAGCCGAACGAAGCGTAAGCCCAATTCCTAATTCCTAGGCTTCTTTCCATCGCTCTAGCTATTGCTCCAGCTTCGCGTGCCTCACCACCACTGTCCCTCCGACCACCAGCTGGGCCCCATTGTGCCGCACAAAAAATGGCCTTCTGAAATGGCAGCAACGAGTCGGACGGCGGCGCGGGGTGTCGGCTTGGCTTTGAGTCGAGGGTGAGAGTGAGATTGAGATGAATGGATGGCGACATTTGAGTGTCGGGTCGGAGGGCGTGATACTAAAAAGTTTCAAGACCACGAGAAGGGGGTTGAGAGTAAAAGACTTTCTTTTTTAATTTGCATGTGACTTTAAAATTAAGCAACCCTGGAAACTAGCGCACAAAAATTTAAGAAGAAACAGGGCTAAAAAGTGGCTTAACAATTAGCACTGTTTAATTATCGTTTTTAACAAATTTTGTATGTTTGAACATTTTTAAGAATACAGTAAAATATTAGGCATCATTTCTGTATGAAAAATGAACTTTTTAGACCTTGATTTGGCCGGGAAACTTAAAATTTATTAACTGCTGTAATTTTCAAAACCGCATTTTTTAGGTTTTTCAAAGTCGTCAAAGTAATGCAAACAATATTTCCCATTTTATGCCATCTCTATAAAACCATATTTTCCTCTGTTTGCTCGAAAAATACGAAAAGAGCATGTTTTCCACCTCCCCGACCTCGTTGAGCACGACCATCATCACTCAAGATCGGGGGCCCGCGATAACCATTGGCCGGCCGAGCCGCGGAGCGATTCGGAAATATTTGCCAACCCATCAATCTCATTACGAGGGTAGATATCTGATCGGGCGCAACCCTTTTTGTAGATGCTCGGCCTAGAAAAAAAGGGCCATTTCTCAGCGGGGGCCTAGGAGCGGAGTAGCTAGTTGGGGAGAGAATACACGATCAACACCTCGGGAATGGGAGATGTGTATCGGCACAACAGCTGGATTTCTCTCTCTGTCTCTCTCTCTCCCTCTCTACCTCTCTCTCACTCTCTCGCTCTCTCTCTCTAGCTCTAGCTCTTCAAAATGTCACCTCCGGTTTGCCCTCCTGAAAAGATTCTAGGTGACAAACTTCGCCCCTCGGCCGCCATTGAGTTTCGGGATTTCCGGAGTCAGGGGCCGATAGGAAAAGCAGACTTTGGAAAGGGTTTACCTGCTTGGGCATGACGCTCTTGCCGCCTTCTCAAATCAATACCATCCCTTTAAAGAACGACTGAACTGCTTGAACTTGATGTGAATCCCAAGATTTTTAGAAAGCCCGTAGTTTTTCTCGTCTTGAACGACTACGCAGAAGCTTTTGAACTGCTAGAATGTCTCGGCTTAATCGCAAGATACGGATCACAGGTTTCTTTTTGGGTTTTTCGAGCTTGAGCCAAAATCTTCTGAGCAGTTTTAGCAAGGAAGTTCAGCACTACTTCAAAAATTCGCTGAACTTCTTGAAGTTTCTGAAAAGTCATGTTTTAGAAAGTAAAAAGGCATGGCAGCGAATCGTCTTTGTCAAATGTCATCTTAATGCCATCATTTCTTTTTCGTTAGTCGTTAGTACGTAGTCGTCAACATGCTTTTTAGCTACATCTGAGATCACCACCAGCAAGAGCACCATCTTTTATCTCCAAAATTCCGTTTCGGGTCTATTTTTCACATAGTTTAGCACGAGAGCCTCGCCCGAATTAGCGTGACCCGGGCTGTCCACTCGGGCGGCCATCATATGCAGGCGGATCTGATATGAGGAGACGACTCGCCCTCCCCCTCAAGAATAGGGGTCGCCCAGCGGTGTGAAGATGATGTCCGTTGACAGGCCGCCTTTTGGAGACATCGCATCTATATCTGGAGCTCAGTCTCACCCTCTCTCTCACACTCTCTCCGTCGCTCGCTCTCCCTCTATCTCTCGCCGCTTCCGAAATGTGTCACCGGGCATTAGCGCCGACGGCATCCGGGGTCCACTTCTTCAACCCCGGTGCCCCCGAAGCGAGATGAGTCGTCTTCTGGCACCTGTCACTCCAACTATGACCCCGTTTTTAGATGAGACTCCTGAAGGGGAGGGTGAGGAGGCCAGGCCGAAACCGGGGACGAAACTTTAAAGGGGCTAGAAAGCTGGAAAATCGGTCACTCAACGATGTCGCTCTTGCTCCAACGTCTCCGCTGTAGATGTCTGTATCTAGTGTCCAGCAGGGGTCGATTTCTGGGCTTCCCAGCCCTTTGAAAAGCATTTCCATACAAGTTTTTGCTTGCAAATTGTTCCATTAATGCGCTATGGCTTTCCTGAAGCTTACCTCGACGTCGTTATTTTTTAGTTTAGAGGATCCAGAGCTCGCTCCAGCTCCACGTTTTGGCCAAACCCCAACCTCGCAACTCTACAGATCCAACTAGCTTCAATGTTCTCCCCCGGGGCATCGTTGTCGAGAAAAATGAGGGTAATTACCGAGTGGATGGGGATGCAAGAAATGCAACCGAATGGGATGACATCGATCACCGGATCGGTCGACTCGGCCAAATACCCTGCGGCTCTGATGGCCATCAGCGCCCCGGGGCACAAAACCGAGCCGCGGCTGATAGATAGCCTGGATGGCCCTGATTTGTGGATGTTGAATCTGGTGTATGGGGATCCTGAGTTGTGCAAAATAGCTAGGGGATTTGTAAAAATGAAAATATCGCCTGGTTGTGCTCAAAGTTATCCTGAAATGGCTCAGTCCAAAAGGTTTGGAGGAGAACGAAAAATAGGTAGGAGAGCGAGAGAGATCGGGCACAAGAACGAGAGTGAGATCGATACCTAAAGTTTGATTGCAAAAATAACCTTAGAAAGAGCGTGAGACCGAGTGAAAGGGAATAGAAATGTTGGCATCAGAGCTTCCTAAGACTTTAGCATCGTGATCATGATCTTTCAGAATTTTACGCATTTGGAGCACCATCCCTTAAAATCCGAGCAGTCTCTGTAGGTATCTCTCGCACGCTCGCTCTCTCGCTCTCTCGCTCTCTCCTCTCTCTCTCTCGCTCTCTCTCCTCTTTCTCTTTCTCTCTCTCTCGCTCTTCTCTCTCTCTTTCGCTCTCTCTGTCTCGTTCAAACAATGTCCACCCCAGGTACATTACGCAATGTCGAAAGTGATGTGCTTGAGTGTCTGTTCAGAGCTAACACTCCCCAACCTCCGCGGGGATACAGTACGTTACGCAACTCCCCCCGGTACTCCACCCTCCTCATTACGCAATTAGGGTTGATGGGCGTCTTTTATAACAAGCCGCGCGAGGGTCGGACGCGATTAGGCGGGGAGGTCTGGCGATTAGGTCACAAGCCCCGGGCAATCAACGCAACCAGGGGATTAGGGTTTGCGATTAGGGTCCTTCCACCTGCCAACAGAATTGACCCCCATACACGCTTCCGTGCCCCCGGGGTGCTAATGAGGCGCGCTGCTGAGGGGCTTGTCAATATGGAAAGGTAATTTAAAGACATTTACATGCCTGGTGGTTGTACCGCTCGGAAATTGATTGTGAGGATGTAAATTGTTGTTGTTATTAGGGCGTTCGGGTATGTATAACTATACGTTACGAAGGGATACCTAAGGATGCGGTACTGTACTGTGACGTACGGCATAGGAAATAGTCCGTTAAAGTATGCAATTGTACCATAGGACCATAAATAGATCCATAGAACACGATGCAGTACGATACTGTATGATACAATACGGCAGTACACCATGATACGTTACGCTATGAGTAAGCTACAGTACAGTAAGATACGATGCGTTAAGCGGAAAAAAGCTTGAACGTTCGAGCGAATTTCTATTAGGTTTATAATGTCATTGGGCTTCCAGATCTTCATCGTTGAACTGCTCGAAGTCGTGGTAACAAACGAAACGTTCAGTCAGGCTAAATCCAGACTGCAAAGCTTTCGAAGTGGAAAGGGCAGGTCAAAATGTCAATCTGGTAGCCTTTTCGAGAGCTTCTGTAGACATTGCTGATTTCTCAGCACCTTTAGTTCATTTCTATGGATTCAGCTGACTTCCCAGCCCCGTTAGTCCCTCTACCATCTATCGTCCAACTGCAGTTGCGCAACGAGGTCGGACAATGAACGGCTCAGCGGTACCCGAAGCGTAACAAGATGCTATGCAATCGGAGCACCGCATCAAAGAGCCGATCAACCCCGGTGATGGGCGACCTTGTTTTGGGGTGAGAGAGGGATAGAGAGCGAAAAAGAGAGAGGGAAAGAGAGAGAGAGAAAGAAAGAGATGATTATGCAACAGATTTCCCAAGGGTACTCAATGCGGCTCTTGACGCAACAGCGAGGGCGGTGTCACCTTTTAACCCCCCGTTCGACCCACTCGACGCGAATGATACGGTCTTTATTACGGGGTGCACTATGGCGCAACACCCCCCCCGTTAATTGATACCCAGGACTTGTTTATGGTTGCAGCTAGGGATAGGTGTTATCAAAAAATCAGTGAAGGTTACGGTAAAAAGTCTTGTTGCCGCCTGGACACCTAACGTAGCGTAGCGTAGTGTGGCGTACTGTCGCGTATTCGCACGTAACATGACGAAGCGTGCTGTAGCGTACTATCGCGGGTTCGCACGTAGCATGGCGTAGCGTACTGCAGCGTACTGTCGCGTTTGGGCACGTAACGTGGCGTAGCGTACTGTAACGTACTGTCGCGCATCGGCGCGTAATACGGCGTAGAGTAATGTAGCGCACAGTAGCGTACTGTCGCGTACTATCCCGTAGAGCAGAATTTAAGGTTTTTGTCAGATTTTAGAGGCGAGGAAACCGAATTTTCGAGGAATTTGGTCTTGGTTTTTCACTACTGTAGCGTAGTACCTCCAAAACTTGGCTTTTAAACTCGGCTTTTGGCATCCGTCGCACCTCCACAAAGCTTGTTTTCCGCTACCACCCTCCGTACGTGGATGTGTATCGAGGGTCGGAGTCGATCCCGTAAATGGGTCATAAACCTGGAGACAGCAGTGAGAAGGCCCATCCCGGCGCGCACGATTTACAGCTCCCTTAGCCGCCGTGTGCTCCTTCTGGCAGATCGGCAGCCGTCCTCCTCCTCCAGTTAGGGCCTCGTAAAGACGCTATCTGCGGGCCCTCGGCTGCTCTTTCAACTCGACTCCGCGCTAAATCTCACCTTTATGGCCCTTTACTGTCTGTCGCCACCCTGGCCCGGGGCATCTAGGTTGGTTGGATAGGGGCCGGCAAAAATCATGACAAGAAAAATTATTTATCTTTTTGCTTCGGATGCCCGACCGGGAATTTTAAGCATTACCCAATCCAAATCGTCCTACCAAAAATTTTAAAATCGGCCTAGAAAAATTCCAGGCAATTTTTTTTCACTCCCAGCTAAACTTTGAGGCATCTAGACCAAGAATCGTGCTCTTTCCCGAAGAACAGAGCATACAAAATCACCCGAAAAATCTTTGTACCTTTTCTGCAAAATTAACCATGAGTAAAACGATTGTTGGGGACAAAAGACCAATCCAGCTGTGGGTAACCATCTGGAAGAGCAACAAAAATTGTTCAAAAAACTTTCGCTCGAGAAGGAAAACAGCAAAAAAAATAGCGACAGCGAAAATGCCGACGACCATAATCCCGACAACGAAAACCCCGGGATAAAAAACGATTTAAATGTCGACATTCTGGTCGGAATTTTGGCTGTCGGTTTTTTTTATGGTTGTCGGGTATAGGCTGTCGGTGTTTTGGCTAAAATTTAGGTGGAAAAGAGTGAAAGAGCCACATTTTCATGAATATTTCCATGCGCCTCTTTTATTCTTTTATTCGTAGTCCTCTTAAAAAATTTCAGCATAGAGAGATTCACAGCCGGCGACGGCTAATCGTTTTTTAAAGCCATTTTAGCGCTAAAATCTTCGGTTTGACGATGTTTTCTGGAAGACACCCGAACGTATCTATTCGATCTTTCTCTGAAAGTTTCTGGTCCGTTTAAAAACTGGTCCAAAAATTCTTTCTGGCTTTGCGGCGGAGCCCACTTTCACTCGCCCTTTAGCTGCCCAAAGTTCGTTTGAGCGGGCAAAGCCGATGAAGTCGATGGAGCTGACTTACTTACTCAGCTTCGTCTGTTTACACTTCACGGGCTTCACCTCGAGTTGCCACAACGTGAACAACCCTCTCTGTCTGCGCGCAGAGGCCGTTATTTTGAGTGACGAGGTTGGTGGCGGGGTGGTGGTTGGAGTGGAGCAATGGACTGACGTCCATTTCTCTTCCTCCACCGCCCGCGGTCAATTCCTCACTTTCAGAAGTTCCAGCCCCTTCAAAGCCCGCGCCGCGCCTCATCCTCCAGCTGTGATTCATCGCCCATCCAGGCCGACACCTCCCGGCAAAACCTACTAAATCTCCCCCCGAAACGACCACCCGGGATGGGGTTTTTCGATTGGGAAATGCGGAGCACGAGTTTTTGGGGTTGGGGGTTGGAAAAAAATAGAATTTGGAATTTTGGGAAGCACCGAAACCTTTCTGTCACCCTAATCTCTCTCTCGCTCTCTCGCTCTATCTCTCTCCCTCTCGCCCTCTTTCTTTCTTTAAGAAGACCTCCCATTAACAAATTAATGCATTTATTCCGATTCAATCCAGTTCGCATTCACTAGGTGGGATGCAGTTTCCGTATCTCACCTCACGAACGAAGCCCTCCTTGCAGTGGCAAGCGTTGGAGACGAACAACCGGTAACAGATCTGGAAGCATGGGATCCGATATGTTAAGCTTAGGCTTAGGCGTAGGCTTAAGCTTCGGCTTCGGCTTAGGCTTAGGCTTAGGCTTAGGCTTAAGCTTAAGCTTAGGCTTAGGCTTAGGCTTAGGCTTAAGCTTAGGCTTAGGCTTAGGATTGGGCTTGGCTTGGCTTAGGCTTAGGCGTAGGCTTAAGCTTCGGCTTCGGCTTAGGCTTAGGCTTAGGCTTAGGCTTAAGCTTAGGCTTAGGCTTAGGCTTAGGCTTAGGCTTAGGCTTAGGCTTAGGCTTAGGCTTAGGCTTAGGCTTAGGCTTAGGCTTAGGCTTAGGCTTAGGCTTGGGATAGGAACCAACCCGTGGCTCGTCAGCAATTAAATCAGCACACTCTCTATCACACTCCTCCATCTCGCCATTACGGCGTTCCTGATTCGTGCCCGGGCAAGGGACTGGAATTATTAGAAACATTGTCAAATAATTGAATTTGATCTTGTAGCTATGTTATCAATTTGATTGATTTACAAGCCTTTTAAATGCCTTACTGAAGCAAAGCAACTTACGAGACCTGTCCCGACCCGTGGTCATTCCAGAGACCACCAAGACCATGGCGAGCACCAGCAAGGCAATTCGCATCTTCTCTAATCAGTAGACTTTAGAGCAACTTTTACGTGTTTTCTAGACCAAAAACCGAAACAGAAACTAAGGAAAACTATGGAATTAGTCGAGATAAAGCAGTATGTATAGAAGGCCAAGCCTTGGCTTAAAAGCCTAAGCCTGGGCCTAAGCAAAAGCCTAAGCCTAAGCCTAAATCTAAGCAAAAGCCTAAGCCTAAGCCTAAATCTAAGCCTACGCCTAAAACCGAGCCGAAATGATTGTCAAAAAGTAAGCCTGGCGCGTGCTTCAGTAAGCTTCTGTAGTTATCGGCGGGGAAGGTAAACCCTTCCCGGCTGTACTAAAATTTTAGAGGGAACCGAAGTGCCGAATGGACTGAATAGAAAGGCGCTACCGTGCATGTCATGTATATGAAAGGTTTTACTGAATATTTATAGATTTATTCCACCGCTTCTGTACGAATTTTGAGTAGCAGGCGGTGTCTTCCCGGGAAGCTTCGCAAACTGATCCATGGACACTTGTCTCGAAACCCACCAAAAGACAAAACTTCATAAAATCATAAAACCAGAAACGCGATGTTACAGCTCTGGCAGTTAGCAAATCGGAATCAGCGTCTCTCTCCCACCCTCGCTTTCTCTCTCACTCTCGCTCGATCCGTTTCACTCTTTTTCCACAATAGCTCCCATTTAGAAATTCACGCATTTATTCCGGTTCAATCCCGTTTGCAGTCACTAGGTAGGATACAATTTCCGTGAGTCACCTCACGAACGAAGCCCTCTTTGCAGTGGCACCCGTTGTAGACGAACATCAAGGGACAGCCCTGAAAGCGTGGGATCCCGTATGGTTAATCTTAGGCTTCGCTCCGCCTTTGGCCTAGGTTTGGCTTGGGCTTGGGCTTAAGCTTAGTCTTTGGCTTAGGCTTGGGCTTCGGCTTGGGCTCAGTAGGCTTTGGCTTAGGCTTCCGAGGGAACCAACCCGATGCTTGTCAGTACTCAAACCGGCACACTTCTTATCACACCGTTCCATCCCGCCATGACGGCGTTCCTGATTCCTGCCCGGGCAGGGGACTGGAATTAAAAGAAAAATTACCCAATAATTGAACTAGATATGTCACTAATTTGATTGTTTTACAATCCTTTTAAATGCCTCAATGACGGAAAGCAACTTACGCGACCTGTCCGTGGCCATACCAGAGACCACGAAGGCCATGGCGAGAACCAGCAAGGCAACTTGCATCGTCTGCAATCAGTACAGTTTGCAGCAATTTTTACGTGGGTTTTTTAAGGTCCAGAATTGAAAACGAAACTCGGAACAAGTATCAAGTTAATCGGGATAAAGCAGTATGTCTAGAAGGCCAATCCTAGGCCTAAGCCTTAGCCTGCCTAAGCCTAAGCCTAAGCCTACGCCAAGGCCTAAAAAATGAAAGCTTTTGTAGCTAGCGGAGGAGTAAACCCATTTCAGATGTATTAAAATTTTCTGGGTGATCCAAAAGCCGGAAGGACTGAGTGCAAGGCGCTACCGTGCATGTGATTTATATGAAAGGTTTTGTTGAATATTCATAGGCGTATTCGACAGCTCCTGTACTAATCCATGGACCCTCGGCTCAAAACCGACCAAAAGTCAAAACTTTGAAAATCGTAAAAACCACAAACGCGATTTCTGAGTTATGCCAATTAGCACATCGAAATCAGCGTTCCAAGCTGGTTCGAATGATTCGAGGGCGAAATTCTGGTGAGCTTGACTGGCTGACGCGAATTTTCGAAGGATCGACGTGGTCCCCTTTGCTCCAAAACGAAAAAGTGATCACTTCGCAAAATCTTAGAAATTAAACAAGGATGTTCTTGCGATAAAACAAGAACGGAAAATCGGAGCGAAAAATTGGCGTCAGGTGCATCGAAAAGTTTTCTCGGACTGGTTTCGCGAAATTTTTTCTCGGAGCCCGAATTTTGGATGGTTGATGATAAGACCAAAGCCGAAAACTAAGTTAAAAAACGATTTGCATGCCTTCGGATACCCCCATCTCCTTACAACCCCCATTATCCCCAGATTTCGGGGCGGCTTTTCCAAATTTACGGGCCCTTAGCCCAGGTCCCACCACTCTCAGCGCTACATAATGGGAGACCGGAAGTGCTTTCATGGGCGCGGTGTTCTGGCACGAAAAGCCTTCGGACTGGCCGCGGCCGTGCTAGCCGGACTGGTCAGTCTGGGCTAGACGTACCTATTGCCTTCCACTACTGGTCACAATAGTTTATTGATCAGCTGACGGCGTCTACGAATGGGAGAACAACAGGTAATTTTTAAACCGGAGATTCGGACTTAAGCGTACTGTAACTTTGCTAAATTATGCTCAATTTTGTTGATTTTAAGATCTAGCAACATTTACTTTTTCACGGCTATCGAATGGCCTTGATTAAAATTTACTAAAAAGTCGGTATGTAAATTTAAGAGGCAGCCAGGTTTTTCAGAGTCGCACAAAAATAGTTTTTTTTTTGCTGAGGACTTGGTTTTCTACTAAACAACCTTCGAGCTTTGCCTGTTTTTCCTAGAAATTAAAAAGAACCTAGTACGAAATTACATGACAAAAATTGGCAAGAATGCGTGTTGCGTTTTTTGGGACTCTTGAAGATGCCGATTCAACCGGTTCAGCGCAAAATTGTTCACAAGATATGGTTTTGGTTCCATTTTGAAATCCCAGGTTCACCTCCTGTTTTTTGGAAGTTATTAGCTCCTAACTTCCAGCTCGAGCTGTACAAATCGCGCCTCATACGCCCAAATTCACTAAATTTATTGCTATACACCGGTCCCTTCCTCGAGGCCCCAAAAAATCGGGGCAAATTGATGGGCGAACAAGATGAGGGATGGGTCCCGGGGGAGATTTGGGGCACCAGATAGGGGGACAAATCTAGGCCCACAGGGCGGTTGCAGCGGGGAGCAGCTTCTCGTCTTTGGTGGGGGACAATGGAAGACCCGATTCCGGGAACGAACTTTTGACACGGAGGAGGACACCGAGAAGGAAGGGCCGATTGAGACGAGAGAGAGAGAGAGAGAGAGCGTGCAGTAAAAGCTGGAAAAGAGCAGAAGCCGCCAGAACCGCCACGACCCCCGACAAGAAGACGAATTCACACCCGGGGCGACACGCGACTTCTGCCTTGTGCCAAACAATTTCTAAACCTTGGGGCGACCAGACGAGCGTATTTTGGAGCTTCTTGTATTCTAGAAAACGAAAAACGGTTTTCGACGATTTCCGGCCTAGAAGACGTCAGAAATCTGTTGTCGACGATTTGAAGTGGACGTTCAGGAACCTATTTCGAGTTTCGAAAGCTTAAAAGACAAAAATCCATATTTTTTTTGCAAGAAGAGGTCTACGGTATTTCTGGAGCACATTTTAATACCGATTATCGCCACTTTCGGCCCTCGATATCAACATCTGTTACTCTGAATACTTTGTACTATTCTATGGAGCTGCGATAGACGATTCCGAAACTGTCCTCTGAACAAAAATTTACGGATTTTACCGAATTCAACGCTATTCCACTAAACCTGCAAGATGCTGAACTTCAAAGCATTCCTGGACCTTCACCTCGACGATAAGAAGCGCCAGCAGAGGAGGCGGAAGAGCTGCTTGGTATAGGATTTTTATCTTTGCTAATGGCGAGACGATTGTTGAAAGATAGGCTGATTTATAACGTCGAAATTCATAATGTCGAAACTCATAATGTCGAAATTCATAACATCGAAATGTCATAATGTCAAATTCATAATGTCGAAAATAATAACGTCGAAATTCAGAATGTCGATTTTTTTTTTGCTTAAGATTCGGGCTGTTTTTCGAAAAATCCGCTTATATAAATTTCGACATTATGGATTTCGACATTATGAATTTCGGCATTATGAAATTTTGACATTATGGCTTTGGACATTTTCAGTAACCCTGTGAATGCGCATACGCGTTCTTTCCTGGTCGAGCTCGTGCTCTCAATTTTAGCCGAGAGCAACAGCTTGGCTGCTTGCCAATATTAGAAAATCTCTGCTCTTCACCAGGTGTTTTTATCCCTTTAGAGGGAGAATCTTGGACGAATGTGTAATCTCGAAAATTCCCTGCTAAAGATTTTTCTGTGATTCCACGTTGTCAAACACCCCCTTCCCCCCGCCCCGGCTACTTATTATCACGTTTATGTGATGGGCGTCAAGCGATTGTTGGTGCTCCTCGTCTCTCGCCTTTCCGGGCCGCTCCCCCCGTAGAAGGGGCCAATGTTGTGGTGATTGTCCCCCTGGGGAGTCACAGCCAGGCTGAGGCTGAGATCCCTGACATTTGTCCCACAACGTCGCGCATCGGTTGAGCTGTTTCTCTCTCTCTCTCTCTGTCTCTCTCTATCCTTTCATCTCTCACTTTCATCTAGCATCACGTGAGGCTCATTTTTCTAGAGCGAGGCTCCTGTAGGGCGTCTTGAAGGCCTTGCCGGAAATTTTTTGATTTTTTTTTGCACTTTGGCTCCTTAGCTTAGGATTGGTTTAGCGTAGCTTAGGCTTAGCTTAAGCTTAGCTTAGGCTTAGCTTAGACTTCGTGTAGGATGTTCCGCGTCTTGCCTAAATTCGGAAACTATCGGAATCCCATGAATAACTGGATGGGGCCCCATGTCGGTCGTCATTGGCCCCCTGCTTGGGGCCCACGACAGAGATTTCGCTGGCAGATATGCGAATTGATGAAGTCCCCTGGCGGCCACTCTAAAAGGGCCCATTGACTCCACGAGGGAACCCCGGCGTAGTGGTGGCCTTTTACTCTACAACTGAAAAATAGCAAAATGTAGCTTTAGTTTGCTCGCTTTCATTCTCTCTCTCACTCTCTCCCTCTCTCTCTCTCTCTCTCTCTCTCTCTCTCTATTCTCATCTTTCTCTCTCTCTCTAGCTATTTCCTTGTCTTTGTTTCGCACTTGTCTTCGTAATAATTTGATTTTTTGGATTTCTTCATAAAAGCCGCGATGACGCAGCAGCAGCGGCTGCGGCGGCTGGCCCACCGATTGGGCAGAGCCCGGATATGGATGTGGCGTGATGCTGTAAGGAGCTTTGGGGGCTTGAGAAAGCGTGAGCGGGTGGTAGCTGCCGATACCTAGCCAAGAGAAGGAAAGACTTTCAGAACCTGGTTCCCGTGGCTTTTACTGGACACTGTCTTGATCCAGGAGACCGAGGGCTCGATTTTCTCACTTCCTAGCGTCTTAAAAAACCATTGAATTCTAGACCCCCCGAAAATAGCAGGATCATTGCGTTTTTAGGTTCTCCATGTAGGCGTCGTTGACTGGGGTCAATTAAGATGCCTCCTTATCGCGCTTAAAACCCACAACGCTTGTTTTTGGGTGACGCGTTTAGTAGCTGAACTTAGATCTTTTTACATAACTTTTGCAATGACTTTTTTGAGAAGCTGGAGCGCTTGATTCTTTATTCTTTAGATCTTTCGAATGGCGTGAAATCCTACCTGTTCGAGCGTTTTCCGGACCCCTAGCGCGGAGGTTTTTTGGGAAACACAGTAGACGGAGTTCTTTCACTTCCCAGCCCCTTTAAAAGCATCCCCCAAATCCCCATACCCCTTAAAACCTTCCGGTCAACCGGCTCGCATATACTAAAATGCATCCGGGTGGTGACCAACCGGGCTTCTCCCCCCAAACTCATATAATGCGCTGATTGAGTTGTGTGTTGGGTGGGAAAGGGGGCTTTTCTGCGTGTCAGCGCCCGATTCGACCCGATCTCCAGATTGACCTCATCCTCCCCCTCGCCCTCCTCCTCTTCCGAGGCCCAACATTTTTATGTGGCGTCTGGGGCGGATGATTCCGCGGCTGTACTATGGATTCGGGCCTTAGACTTTTGAAGATGCAGCCGTGATTATTTTAAATGGCCTAAGAATCGCTAAAATCTGCTGAAAAATGTTTTATTCTGCTGCCAGACTCCGGGAAACTCCCCCAGACATTTGCCGTTATGTCTATAGTAGGGTCCCGGTGCGGAGGGTGGGTTTTTGGGGAAATAATTGAGTTCAAGATAAGGGCATTTTCTCAATTTTATTTAGATCCAAAAATTGTAAAAACTAAATTAATTGTACCAAATTTATCTAATTTTTGGCATTTTCGGCAAAAAGAAAGTTTTTTATACCTTAAAATCAAAAAAATTTGTTGAAATGCAAATTAGAGGCTTTGGATTAGCTCTTAGCTAATTCAAAATTTGCACAAGTACTTGAATAAATTTTTAACTGAGCTAATCTTGGTGGTAAAGCTACCAAAAATGGCATCAAGAAAGCCATTAAAAACCCAGCAAATAGTTCATGCTCCTTATAACCAGCTCTTACGTCTCCTTTTCAGCCTCCAAGGAGGAGCACGAGCGCGGGGGCCGCTGAAAAACGCGCCTCCATGCACCCGAAGCCACAGGAGATCCCATTCGTTCCACAGGAGGATGAAGACTCGAAGGTAGGCTGGTCAACGCTCGAGCACACTTTTTACGGTTTTTGAGAATGAACCCAGTAAACAAAGGTCGCCGTCGTATTTAGAGCTCACTCCGGCATCGGCATGAAGGAGCACCGCTACGGACGTCATCAAGGAGGAGCGTGCGGAGCAATCAGATGGCAGCGGCGGAAGTTGCTTACAGGTAATAGCTCCATTCTATTGCTCTTTCTCTTGATCTTTATCTTTCTCGCCCTCTCACCTCTCTCGTTCTCTCTCTCTCTCTCTCTCTCTCTCTCTCTCTCTCTCTCTCTCTACTGAAACCCTTTCAGCACCCCGCCCCACATTGAAATTATCGAAGACGGTGATCGGTATAGGTGAGACCCACAACAGTACCCTATGAAAATCCACAGTCCAGTTTTGTCCAATAGCCACCACAACTTCACTAATAACATGCTGTATTCTTCGTCACAGTGTATAACCGCGGCACAAAGAACAATCTCGCGCTCATCTACTAATTTTTAGCATCATTTTCAGATACGACTCGGTGAAGTCTTTGCTCATCGACTTTTGCAACAGGACGAGCAGTCACGGGATTCCGTTCTTTGGGTGCGTAGAAGTTATACGTTCAGAGGAGCGTAGCGTAGTGAACTCAACTACCACGCACTACTTTGAACGTTTGAGCTAAGAGCCAAAAATGATAATGCTGAAGGCTTAAATTACCCTGCAATATTACGCTGGCCTTTTCCAGGTCGAGCAGCTTCTGGCCCCGCTTCTTCTGGTGCATCATCTTCGTCGCGTGTGCCTGTTTCTTCTTGGTGCAGACCTACTTTACTCTCGCAGAATTTTTCCTATATCGGACTATCATCGAGATGAGTCTGAAGTTTGAGCCGGGTAAGGGAGAATGAGAAGACAGAAAAGCGAGATAGAGACAGAGAGATAGGAAAAGAGGAAGATTTATTCACTTTCAGCACCATTCCCAGCCGCGACAGTTTGCAACCTCAACGCGTTTAAGTACAGCGAGCTGAAGACTTTTCCGGAAATTGCGAATACGGTAGAAAATTTAGCTCAACTGAAGAATCCAAATAAATTTAGATTGCATTATGGGAAAACGCACTAATAGAGAAAGGAGGGCTGACTTTAGTAAACGCGGTCGAAGCTGCGAAGGTTCGAAAAAAGCGCCAGGCGGAGTTTCAGCCGGTTTTTGTGAGGTAGGTATAGTTTTCGCGATTGTATTCTTGCTATCTTTCTGGCTCTCACTCACGCTCTCTGCCTCTCTCTCTCTCTCTCTCTCTCTCTCTCTCTCGTTCTCTCACGCTAGCTTGGAAAATTCAGGTGTACCTGCACAAACCCTAACGATCGCTGCGTGCCGAATCGGAATGAAGAGGTTGGTAGATTCCCCCCCCCCCCTCCCGCTCTCCCTCTCACTCTGCAGCGACAACTTTTTTCAGGCCAACACCCAAGTCTGCCTCTGTTTCGAAGACCTGTCCACTGGGTATATTTGGCCTTGCTACCCGACGACAGAATGGACTGTAAAGGTATAGAATTTCCTGGATTCCGCTGAGAAACTAATTCCAGACCTGTAATCAATGCTCTTTCTCAAATACGTGTGCGGATCCGGATAGGCCGAATGCTACGATGCCCTTTAACCACAACGTTTCATGTCTTTGCCAGGGAATCTCGCACAATTGTGTCATTCATCCGAAGGTGAATTTTCGTCTTTAGCTCTCTCTCTCTCTCTCTCTCTCTCTCTCTCTCTCTCTCTCTCTTTATCTCTTTCTCCCTACTCAGCTTCAGCATTATTTCAGAACGAAATCCGGTGGTGGAATCCACACAACTACACCATCTACCCCGCAGAACCGCCAACGATTGAAGCCGTTTTCAACGAGAATCTGGATCTTGAGGTAAGTGAAGGAGGTATAGATGAAGTTTTGGGGGGATTGAGCTTCATCTTCAAGGTGTCCAACCTGGTTTAGGGTGTTTACGACAAGGGTACGATGACGACGCGTACAAAAGAGACGCTCATCTTTATGGTGGCTGAACTTCCGCAGGAGATACGACAGAATATGTCATATACGCTAGATGTAAGTTTAGTGGTATTCGAGATTCGAGCAGGAAAGTAAGCTACAAAAGATCTTGGCGGAATCTGTCACAATAGGCAGTTCTGAAATTTAAGCAAAATTCAATGAGAAAACCAGCAAAGACTCTTTAGGAATTCGTCCTCCGCTGCACGTTCAACGGCAAGGATTGCAACCTCACGACGTAGGGCTCGGCTTTCCAATTTTCAAAAACCTTTCAGAGACTTCAAACTCCACCAGGACCCTGAGTATGGCAACTGCTATACGTTTAACTACAACGACTCGGTGCAGCTCAAGGTGGGAGATATTCGTTGTCATTTTGAAAGAGAGAGAGAGGAGAGAGAAGAGAGGAAGAGAGAGCGCGAGAGAGCGAGTGAAGAGACGTTTTCCATTCAGAATAGTCGAGCCGGACCGATGTACGGGCTCCGGTTGCTGCTCAACGTCAACCAGGAGGACTACTTGCCGACTACTGAAGCGGCTGGTGTTCGGATTGTTGTTCATGAACAGGTAAGAGGGAGAGAGCGAGAGAGTGAAATAGAGAGAGAGAAACGCTATTGGAACATTTTTCAGAAACAAGAACCCTTCCCCGACACCTTCGGCTACAGCGCCCCGACCGGCTTCGTCTCGTCGTTTGGGCTGAAGACGGTAAGGGTTGCCACAAGATTTTCTGTAATTTTGGACTTTAGAAGCTCTACACTCGGTTGTCATACCCTCATGGCCAATGCTCCGATCACTACAACCAAAAGGCGTACATCTACAAGGGTCAATACTCGCCGGAGGTCAGTCGAATAGGAGAACCACTTAGGCTTCGGCCCAGGCGTAGGTTTAGGCTTAGGCTTAATTTTCGACTGTGGTTTAGGCTTAGGTTCAAGCTTCTAACCGATCATTTTACAGGGTTGCTACCGCAGCTGCTTCCAAATGGACGTCATCACGGCTTGTGGATGCGGGGATCCAAGACTGCCACTACCTACGGATACGGATATCGCCTGTAGCCCACGAAATAAGACGCAACGTAAGTTGGAGGTTACCGGAAATGACGAAAATTCTTTCTTTAGTGCATTGCTTAAGAAATATGACGGAGAGCACGGGCGGATTTTTGAGGCTAGACGATTCGTGTATGTTCTCTCCAACTCTCTCTCACTCACTCTCTCTCTCTATCTCTCTCGCTCTCTGTCTCTCTCTGCCTCTCTTTCGATCTCTCTAACACAACCTTCTTAAGGCGAATGCAAGCAGCCCTGCAAGGAGCATCTTTTCGAAACTTCTTACTCGGCAGCCGCTTGGCCGTCGCTGAACTTCGTCATCGGAGAGGAATGTGCCGGAGCCTCGGAGATTTTCAATGATACCGCGGCTTGCACGGAGTATTACAGGTATGAAAAATTCACCCACCTCCTTGCAACTCACCCTAAAATCCTTAAAAAAATATCCGTTTTTAGAGTCAACACAGCCTTTTTGGTAAGTAATGTCGTAAGGTGTTTGGTTTCGGAATTGCTCTCTCGCTCCTTGATTCTCTCTGTCTATCTCTCTTTCTTTCTCTCGCTCTCGCTCGGCTTCCCTCTCTCTTTCCCATCGTCAGAAATTTTTGATCTTAGGAAATCTTCTACGAACAGCTAAACTACGAGACGATGAATGAGACGGCTGGGTATACGGTAGGCCATCTTTTTAGCCTGAAATCCCTCGCTTTTAGATTACTAACCTGTTCTCCGATTTTGGAGGTAATATCGGGCTGTGGATTGGATTTTCAGGTATGTTGATATTTTCAAAAAACTCATAAATCCTATTTTACAGTAATTACCGTATTCGAGTTCGCCGAATTGTTCTGTGAGCTGGTGTACTACGGACTATACGTAATGCCGCGCAGATATCACAAGACACGGAGGCAGAAGAAGCAGAGGCAAGTGAGCGAGAGATCGAGAGAGGAGAGAGAGAGAGAGAGAGAGAGAGAGAGAGAGAGAGAGAGAGGTAGAGAGAAAGAGAATCTATCGAGAATTTCAGGAAACACCATGGCCTCTCGATCCCTCAAATTCTCTACCGTAACATAGGCGGTCATTCTGGTAGTAAACATTCCGAAAAGTCGGACAAATCTATGCGAAAGTCGGCGTCGAAAAGCGATGAAGTGGCCGTTCTGAGGTAACTTTCGGAACATTGTTTCCAACATAAAATTAAAAATATCCTAATTCTTGTACTTTTTAAGAGCTTTTTGCTATTTATAGATCGACGATCAGCTATCAAACTTTTCGAGCCGATGCTCCGAAACCCTCGTACTGTAGAACCTTTTTCTTCGTTTGAATTTTGCATTAAAGTTTTGGCAATAGCCTAAATATAGTAAAGTGTTAAAAAGCAAAAGCAATTTTTTTAGTAACGACACCAGCTTGGCCACTCTACCACCCGACGGGAAGGAAATTGAAGAATGGCCACCGTGATTAGAATCTTGCCTAATTTTTGTTTTCACTTTTGTAGTTTATATTCGCCAGCTGCCGCTTTCCCCTAACACTACGGGTTTGCCTAGGATTTAATCACAATTTGTGCTTTTCTTACCATTTTTGATGCTGAATAAAAATTTTGGAATTTGCAGTCGAAAGAGGGAGAGAGAGAACGAGAGATAGAGAGAGAGCAAGAGAGTGAGTGTGAGAGAGGCAGGGAGAGTGAGAGAGAAAGAGCGAGAGAGCGAGAAAGAGCGAGAGCGAGAGCAAGAGCAGGAAGCGAGTGGACGGGGAGCTAGAACGAAAGAGCGAGAGAGAGGGGAGAGAGGGAGAGAGAGGGATAAAGCAAAAAATTGTTCTGCATAAAAAAATTTTCAGCAAATAAAGCTCCATTTCTTCTTTCTCGATCTTGCGCAATTCTTTCAAAATTTTCTTGAGCACCGTTCTTCTACCTACCCCTCCCTGCCCACCAGACGATTGGCAAACATCCGTGTCAAATACTGTGTTTTGACACGCCGACAAGGGGAGATTGGTTGAGCCTCCGTCAATATACACCCTATTCATTCCATTTTGTGCTGAGCCGGGCTCGGATCCGGACCCTAAACAGATTCTCCGGCATTTTGAGATTTTTTGAATAAGTCTATTCATTGTTTCTGCGAATTTTGAATCGACCTTTATGAATTTCGAAAAGGACCTCCCACCCCGTTGTGTGGCATTTTTTTACGACAGTTGGACGCGAAGTTAGATAAGCGACCAGACGCTGACTGTTCCGCTCGGCATTAGATCTCTGAGTTTCTGCGTGAAGCTCTGTAAAGGGCCACCTGTGATGAGGCGCAGCTCTGAGCTCTAGCAAGCGTTATTTTTTTGCTCTCTAAAATTCATAAAAAATGTCCTCAGAGCCAAATGGCCAAGCAAACTTGAGTAGGTAAAAGGTGTTTTTTGGGTAAATCTCCAGTTTCCGGAAATGTCTTTTAAGGGACGGTAGGCGTAATTTCCTTTTATTTTGGAACCCCGGTTTTCCAAGTTTTTTTTGATGAATTAGAATACGGTACAGGGGTATCTGCCCGATTGTGCTAATTTTGTGCCGAGACCGCGTTTTTTGGGTTACCGTATTCCTCTATGAGCTGCTGGCAAAAACATGGCAAGTTTTTTGCCCTATCGCAACCGGAAGCGCGCATTTTTCTGGGCGTCTTTGAAGCTCTAATGATTAACGAAAAATCTAGGTTTTTCTCGTTTCGCCAAAAATTTATTCGCATTTTTTAGGATCCAGTGGCGCGAGACTGGCAGATTTATAGGTTACTTCATGAAATTCAAGTTGAACTGGTCAAATTCAAGTTTTTGGTAAATTGTCATTCCCTCGTCTCTCTTTTCTTCGCGCCCTTTATTTGGATTCAGAAATGTCAGGCACCGCCACGCCTTGTTGATCCCTCAAAACTCCCAAAAATACCTTCACCACCCTTATCTCAACCTTCCCAAAAAACCGCAGAACCACACTTTAACTCTGGCAAAACGCGGAAAATTGACAAAGACAATGGACTGTAATCACCAGGAATGAGCAGAAACCAACACCCTTCTAAACCCGGCGGGGTCGAGCTGATAAGGCCCCCCGGCGTCTCCAGCCCCGGTTTATAACACATTTCGGCTATTCCAGGACCCCATAATTCCCAGCATATCTCAAAGGCATTGCCTTTTTGGCAATTTCCAACTTAATGGGCGCTAAATTTCGGGGCGGGACCTCATAGGGTTCTTTTTAAGTACGGGATGGTTTCTGAAATCGTTTTTTCGGCAGATTAACGGGGGCGGGACAGCTAGAAATTTTCTAGTTAGTATTCCTAACTATCTCCCACTATTTCACGCTTTCTATCTCTCGCTCCCTGTCTTTCTCTTTTTCACACACTCTCGCTTTTTCTCTCTCTATCGCTCTCTCTCCATCTCGCTCACTCTCTCTCTCTCTCTCTCTTTCTCTCTCTTTCTCTCTCCCTCTATACTTCCTATCTTTTTGAGCGTTGCAAGCAAGCGCAAAAATTGACGCCTACCACCACTCGACCAATGTTTGAAGATAAATCCGCCGCTTGCCACGCGTGTTTTGGAGAGCGCTGATCTCTAGTTTTACTCCCGAGTCCTGACCAGCAAAAAAAATGATAATTTTTGCGCTTCGCTTCCTAGCTCCCTTAAACTTGGAGACGGCTGAGAATTTTCATAAAACTCTTTTATCTGAAGCCGCTTTTAACTTCAAGTATGCCTTTTGGAGCATCATTTTCAGACCTTCTAAAATGACAGCTGACCACGAAGAGTCGCTGACCGTCGAAGGAACTGGCATCTTGGCCACTCACGTCAAGTGGGAGGAAGTGGAAGAAGCGCTTCGTCAGCACTTCAAAACCGAAGCTCGCTTCGGGCCGAACAAGTCGGCCGGGAATGTGGCTGATGGAGTGGTGAGTTTTTTAAAGCTAAGCTAAGCTAAGCCTAAGCTAAGCCTAAGCTAAGCCTAAGCTAAGCCTAAGCTAAGCCTAAGCTAAGCCTAAGCTAAGCCTAAGCTAAGCCTAAGCTAAGCCTAAGCCTAAGCCTAAGCCAAACCTCCGTGTAGGGCTTCACCTCCATCGTCGCCCTTGTCGAACCGGACTGGGTTGGAGCCGCTGAAAATGAGCATCTGCCCTCAAAAGTATGAAGTTTTGAAGCTCAAAATCATGCCGGCTTCAGACCGTGGTCAAGCTCCCGACGATGATCAACACCCTGAAGATCACAGCCGCCTTGAATGCTGCTCATGGTGGTGACGACTCTGTCAGCCTTGGCTCTGCTGTCTTTCGTTGGGCCCCCGTCGTCAGGAGGGTCAGTCTACCCTAAGCACCCCTGATGAGCTTAAGCCAAGCATACACCTAAGCCAACCCAAAGCCACCTCTTTAGCTCCACAACGCCGAGATAGCCTTCTACGACTTTGTGCGCGCCTCGAAGGTGTGCAACAAGAAGTTGCTGCTCCCGGCAGTGTACTGCTGGAAGCGCTTCAGCGACTCGAAGGACCCGAGCGGATTTCTGGTGATGGAGTACGTGCCGAGTGTGTGGACGGCGCCTATCTACTACAATTTGGGCAAGGAGCAGCTTGATGAGGTAGGTTTTCTAAACTAAGAAAACTATAATTAGCTGTCATTAGCTGTACTAGGCGTATCTTATGCGTATCGTACCTAACGTAGCGTATCGTACTATAAACTTTGGCTTTCACTTACCTTTAAGGGCTGGTTTAGATTAGCACCCCTTTAGAGCCTCCGCGCCTGGGCCCAGCTTCAAGCTCTCACCTACGATGATGGTTTCCTCAACCACGCAGATGTTGGAGGCGAGAACAATTTCGAGGCGATGTACGACGCCATGATGGGGCCAGAGGTACGGTGGTTTGGAATGAATTTATTCAAAAAATCATAACTTCAGGAGCGCCGAAAAATGCTGCAATTCTTGGCCAAAAACTTCCCAGAGCTCTCCGAGTTAGTGGGAAAGGTATCGGCGCAGGTGGACGATATTCAAGACTTTCCGCGATTGGGAACGGAGTGCGAGCGAATTGGTGGGTATAAGAATGTTACGTACGCGTAGACTTAGGATTGGGCTTGGCTTGGCTTAGGCTTAGGCTTAGGTTTAGGCTTAGGCTTAGGCTTAGGCTTAGGCTTAGGCTTAGGCTTAGGCTTAGGCTTAGGCTTAGGCTTAGGCTTAGGCTTAGGCTTAGGCTTAGGCTTAGGCTTAGGCTTAGGCTTAGGCTTAGGCATAGGCTTAGGCTTAGGCTTAGGCTTAGGCTTAGGCTTAGGCTTAGGCTTAGGCCTAGGCATAGGCTTAGGCTTAGGCTTAGGCTTAGGCTTAGGCTTAGGCTTAGGCTTAGGCCTAGGCTTAGGCTTAGGCTTAGGCTTAGCTTAGGCTTTCTCAAACGTTATTTTCTTCTTTAGGTATGAAGCCTGTCCTCTGCCATGGCGACCTCTGGTCCTCGAACCTCATGTGGGATGCGGAAAGCAAGGAGCTGAAGTGCATCATTGACTATCAGGTCTGAAAAGCGAGAAAGAGCGAGAGATCGAGAGAGCGAGAGAGAGAGAGGGAGAGATGAGAGAGTGAGAGAAAAAGAAAGCTAGAGAGAATCATGTCTGAAGTGGCATTAACCCTTTAAAATCCCGACTTCTAGGTAATCTATGTCGGCGGGCCCGGCTGTGATATCGCTCGCATGTTGCTGACTTCAATTTCTGGGGAGGAGCGACGAAAAAGGTTGGAATTTAACTTTAATAAAGATTTTTTTCTAGTTTGTCTCAATCGTTTTTTATTTCAGCCAAGACGACGTCCTCGAGACGTACTTCAAATATTTTAAGAGCTTCATGGGGGATAGGCAACTTCCCTACACTTTGGATCAGGTAAAGTGTATCGAAAAATTCAGTCCAGATCGAAATTCAGTTAAAAGCCAGCTACTATTCTGCCCTCCCGCTCGCCTGTATGCTAGCCGTCCCGATGTTTGGTCCAGTCACGCACTATGCCAAGCTTATGGTGAGTTTAATAAGTCCAGACTTAAAATTCGCAACGCATTTGTCTTTAATTAGGTGTTGTCATCCCTTTAATGCGTTTAACGATACCTTGACAGCCTCAAAATGCCGTTTTCAGGCCAAGGATGACGCCGAGAGGGAGAAGATTCACTCCTCTGTCCGGGAGAAGGCTGAAGCCATGCTTGAAGACATGCTTCATCAGCATGAATTGAACCAAAAGCATTAAAATTTGAAGAAATTGTACGTAATCAATTGATTTTGTCGCTTCTAGCGGCAAGTTGAACGGCAAATTCCTTGAACCTAACAAAAGCCTGGAACTCCCGTAATTTTCTGGCACTTTCTCTCTCCCCTCTCTCTCTCCCCTTGCTATATCTTTCTATCTCTTACTTTTCTCTATCGCCCTCCCGCCATCGCTCTCTCTCTCTCTCTCTCTCTCTCTCTCTCTCTCTCTCTTTCTGACGGGCCCCATAAATAAGTGTTCTCCGTAAAATATGGCCCCTTGCATCTGGTGGGGATCAGTGCACCATTTCCGGGCGATAGAGAGAGAGAGAGAGAGAGAGAGAGCTACCGAGGCGATATGTCGCCCCTAATGAGTATTGCGGTGATTGTGTGTGTATGTGAGGACTGTCTCTCCCCTGGATGACAGGCCGCCTTGACCCCCATATTTCCGCGTTCGAGCCCGCAGGTTATGTGTGGACTATCAGCCCGAGGAGAAATATGTGGACTGTAGCGTGGTAGACTATACGAAACGAGCGGAGTATGGGGAGGAGGAAGTTAGGGGGAGAACGAGGGTCAACCCATGGATAACCCAGGGAGCGGGAGCTATCAGCCTTTGCGGATAGGAGGTCGATCGGAAGGCACTGACTGCCTCGTACAGACGCTCACGCATGGTTAACCCGATAAAGATCACCATTCCGGTGTTCGATTTTGGTGTCTTTTAATGAGTAATTTCTCTATGTAATGTTTTATGAAGTTTTCGGGGGTGCCAAATGTGACTTTCTACCGTTTGACATCGTCAGAAAAAGCCCAATTTAAGGAGCTGAAGATGCAAATTGCTGCAGAAAAACTCAGTTTATCAATTTCCGGTCGATTTTTCCGGTTTGCCGGCATCATACCATTTTTCGCCGCCCGTTTTCAAAGCGACTCAGGAAGCGCGCCCATATTTTCATAGTGTAATTACATCCAATTCCCCTGATCGTTCCTGAATACACCCGGGTACCCGGGGAATGAGGGAGGAAAAACTGGGCCGAAATTTGGGTCAGCCCCCCGCGCATAATGGGGCTTGTTGATGAGCCGGGAATGGAGGGGGGAAGACGATTCTCCTTTGATCACCGCCTACGGTCCTTGGGGGGCTCGGATTCCGACAGATTCCGATCAGCTGCACAAATGGGGCCGGGCTTTTTATCGTAATTATTGGCCTTCGCCACCTTATGACTGGGAGCCAAAATTTTGGCCAAATTCGAATTTTTTACAGTCCAGAAAAATCATCATCGGGTGTCATTTTCTTCGATTTTCTTCTAAGACCACCTAAAAAATCTATTCTAATTCAAGCAATCCACCTTGAAGAAGCAGTCCATTCTTGAATTTCCCTGCCCCGAATTCCGCTTTACCACGAATTACGAATGCCAAATTTACGTAATTTGCCGTTTGACGCAAAAAAAAACAATTTCCCCCGTTGTTGTAAGGACACACTTGAATTTTGTTCGTGAAATTTTTGAATTTTTGTTCTTAATGCCTTTTAGTCAGATTTAAATCCAAAATTTTGTTTGCATGCTTCGAGTATATTTTCATCGGGTTGCGCTATGCATAAAAAAAACGGGGAAGAGAGCGGCTCAAGCGTGAAGGAAAAGAGCCGATTTCTGCGTGGTCTTCAATTTTATGCTAATCACTATGCACCATCCTTTTCGCGGATTCCCCGATTTTGACTCAAGCTTTAAGAAACAGGCATGAAGCTTGACTCCCCGGTTGATGCTCTCCACCCAGGGGGGTTGACTCGGATTTGTTGGGCAGCTAGTGAGCGACTGACTGAGTGAGAGAGAATGAGTGAGGGTGCTCTGGTTCGGTTCCAGGAGGGCGAATCCACCAAATATTTGCATACCCCCATGGGCCCGATCTGGGGCAAGAAGCACAACCCCTGCTGTGTCTTGGCCCTAGCTCCTTCTCTTGTCGGACTTTTCGATAGTGCCACCCGAGAACAGAGAGGGCACTTGCAGTCACCTGAGGGGCATCTAAGTACGTACTTCCGTTGATTGGTGTGCTTTGTACTGTTTTACAGCACTATTTTTACTGTATTGTATTTCCGGAAGTGGCCTTTGCTTCCTGGCGCAGGCAGCTCAAAATAAGACGATTTTTACAGCATTCCAAAGCCTAGGAAACGCTCTACTTTTATCAAAATATGCAACGATTGATTTCTAGCCCCGGCACAACTTTGCAAGTTTTTTTTGGAATTGTGCTATTTTCTGGGCTGGCCTGAACTTAATTTGAGGGTCTGGAGCAGTGAAATTTGCATAAAAATTGGCTTTAAACTATAGCGGCTTCTTCCGCTTGAATCTCCACAGAACCAGCATTAATGAGAGATTTCTGCACTGTTCTCAAATTTTCAAATTTTGCGTTCATGCGAAAGATTTTTCAGCCGAATTTTTAGCACGATTTTTTCTGTTTTTCGGCCTGGTCGAAGAGATTAGTTTTTCATAGCATTTATCCAATGGAAACATCTCGAACGTTCGTTAATTGCAAGAAAAAACCCCCTGAATTTCCGATCATTAATGCATCAGCGGGTTTTTCCCCTGTATTTGTAGCTTTTATAGAATTTTATGTTACTCCACCCCGGGTTACGCACCATACCTATGTACGCATGCGTACCAAGTCAACGCTATTTCTTAAGAAACAAAAAATTGTGTTTTTCCGTGCGGAACAACAAGGTAAAATTTGCCAAGGTTCCGAGGTTAAGTTTTATCAAAACGTGCCTACATACGTAATTACGTAGTCCCGTACTCATGAAATAAGATCGTATCTCTCAGATTAAGAAACGTAAAAGCAAGCCCTGATTTTTCTATCGATCAAAGCGTTGAATATTGTATCTCATTAAATTCCTTAAATTAGCTAAGGACGCAAAAAACTCTCCCCCATAGTAACTGTTTTCCCCATTTTTTCCGCTGATCAAAGCTTCTCATCAGGGGCCGCGACGTAGAGAGAGAGAGACGGCTGAGTCGAGAGACCTTGTTAGGCAGTTTGCTGCTAGCAGCCTTGTTTCTCTGGTCTCTCTTACTATCCCCATTCTCTGCTCACAGTCTCTATTTACCGCAATATGTGACCGTAAGAGGGGAGAGACCGGGCCCGGGGGGACCTCGCACAGCTTTTCCCCCTTCCTCCCTAGCCCCGGGGCTAATACCGAGCACCCGCCTGAGAAGCTGGGCCCCCCAGGTCTCCCTCTCCCAAACCGGGAATGCGACTTTTCGCCTACTCTATTAGCTTTCCGACACATTTTTTCGGGAGTTGAATTGTGTTGTACCGTTTTCACGATTTATCGAAGGTATCTACTCAACTTTGCTAGTCTTGTTAGTATAGAATTGAGCTTTTGAAAGTTTTTTCAAGATTCTCCGTATCTCTCTCCCTCTCTCTCTCTCTCTCTCTCTCTCTCTCTCTCTCTCTCTCTTTCTCTCTCTTTCTCTCTCTCCTTCTCTCTGGTTTACTACTCAAACGTACAAATTCATAGTAACCAAATTTCATTGGCGAAATTATTGTCGAAATTTCGGATTGCGTTTTTCGGGCTTTAAGTATGATATTTTGTGGAGTAGTTTAATTAAATTGAAGGGAACACCTTCAAAAACGCTCAAAAACAACATTTTTCAGTGGAAATTTCGGTCAAGAACGGGCCATTTGTCCTCGAAAAAACTATTCTTTTTTGGGTATTTTTGATTCAAATTTGTAGTATCCTCGTGTAGGAAAAATGGTTAAAAACCGTTTTCTTGTAAAAAACTGAAAATCGGTTGATTCCTCCTCCCCCCGATAATGCGAAAGTGCCGTAAATTTGGACATCATGAATTTCAAGAGTCTGGATTTCGGCATTTCGAAAGAAACTCTCTCTCCCTCTCTCTCTCTCTCTCTCTCTCTCTCTCTCTCTCTCTCTCTCTCTCTCTCTCTCTCTCCTCTCTCTCCCTCTCTCTCTATCTCTCTCTATCTCTTTCTAATTTCCAAATTTTTCCACAAATTCATGACCAATCGAACCCGCTCCTCTCCCATTTTGCATGAGGTCGGGCCCTCGAGCTGGAGAGGGCCAAGTTGACGCTTCAGGCTGGCCGGCCTGGGGCGCAAATTTGCATGCGACTTCTCCCTCCGGTCCAGGGCAGCAGCATTGCAAGGGAAAAGCCCCCGACCGTCAGGTGTATTGTCGCGGAATCGCGGGGCCCGAGATCCACCCGCGGCACGGCAATCCGATCCCTTTAAAGGGGGGAGAAGAAGCGGATCCGGAAGGATCCCACACACCACCCCCCGTTCCCCCACTCCCTCACTATCCCAATTGCCTTTTTGGAACAGGATCGCCGTGTCTGGCCTTTTTTTGGGCGCTGCGCGCAAGTACGCGCGTGTCCACTACACGTACGGGCGGACCGTGGGCATCTCCTGGTTTTGGACTTGGTCCTCGGCGATTTTCTAAAGGTTCTAATTTTTCCCTTGATTGCTTAGATCTCTTTAAATGTTATCAAGCCTTATTTTCTCCTTTCTTGACATTCCAGGTTAGTTTTTAGCTATTTTTTTAGTTGTTATGCTTTATTTTCTATTTCTAGTTCGAGTTTCGATGCTAGTTTTTCGAGTTTTCATACGGTGTTTTTATTGCAAACGTAGTTTTTCCGTTTTCCGAGATTTTTATGCGAAATTTAAAATTCAGAGCATTCCCACTAGCGTATTTTAGACAAAAATTATAGGATTGGTGGCTTATTATCGTTTATATTTCGAGTTATCGATTTTCGGATTTGGGAAGCCCTTTGTAAACGAAAATTCCATTTCTTAACTTTTCGTATTTTTCGATATTTGGCCTACGCGCCAGTACGCTTCACTAAAATACAAATTCCGGTACATTTCTAACCGATTTTTTAAATGTTTTCGTAGCTGAAAAACTTTTCATTCAATTTCCCTTTGCGCTGGTCGATTAGTCATTAGTGCCAATAAAAATATTATGCTATTGTTGACGGTTTTTGACCCGGAACACAGCGGTTTTTGCCTGCCTCAAGCCATTTTTTTGGGGATTCCCGGCTCGCGCACAAATCTATCCGTCGATCAGGGGCCGATTTCGTCAAAGAAGCCCACTTACCAGTTCCTTCCTCCCCCCCTAGAAAGGCAGATCCATCGACGAGATAGAAGACAGAGGCCCGGTTGTGTCTTCGCTTCCCCTTTACTGCTACAGGCTTTACCTTGCTCAGGTGGCAGTCGAGAAACAAGCTCTGACTCTTGACGATGCAGATTTTGATTCGTGGCTACGAATGGCGCCATGGCGAAGAGCGTTAGTTGTTGTCAAGTTGCTCAAATAATGATCTTGTTTTTTTTACCTATTTTTCCGCCGCCTCACACATCATTAAAAACTATGCCCAATTTCGGAGCCTCGTCTCGTTAACAAGTCTTTATGGCTATCGCAAATACATTTTTCTCTCTCTCTCTCTCTCTCTCTCTCTCCCTCCCTATCTCTAATTCTCTGACTTTCTTATAACTTAACTTTATTTCTTTTCCTGAAGATTAGTCTTTTTTGTCGGGAAACCGTGTTACAGCTCCATGACGTCACCGAAATTGCGTGAAACCCTCTTCAACGTTTTTTTTAGCTATTTTATGCCAGTTATCCCATTTTTGTTTGTCTGCTAGGAGTTTCCCTAACCGGCTATTTACTGGTTTTCAGGCCCTCATTTTTTTGCATAAATTCTGCTTAACACCACATTCAAATGTGCGACGCCTGGTTTCTACTTCCAATTCATGTCACCGCCCCTTTAATCGCGACAAATTCAGCAAAAAATTTCAGCCGGTCCCCCTTTTTCCCCCCGGCAGCGGCTCGCGTGTGTGTGGGGCGATGCTGGCCGGTTGGCTGCTTGCCGCCCTACTGCCGCTTTGGCATGGGGCCAAGGTAAATCCATTACGACGTTAAAAACTTGCTTTTTAGTGCGAGGATGACCCAGCAACACGGATATCCGATGTGCAACTCTCGTGCGCTGATGGCTGGGAGCGCAGCGGAGAGAAATGCTTGAAATTGATGCACACCACCAAGTCGTGGCCTCAGGCGATGGCTACTTGTGATAGGTGAGAGAGAGAGATAGTGAGAGAGAGAGAGAGAGAGAGAAAGAGAGGGGGAAGAGAGAGAAACATAAAGCTCAAGGAACAGCGAAGTAGCAAGTCAAGAAAAATTTGAAAAATCCGAAAAACCATTCCAGTTTTGCCCGAACTTGTAGAACATGATGCTCTGCTCCGAACCGGCTAAAAATACCCTAATTTTACAGCCAAGTAACTATTAATTTTTTTCAGGTACGGCGCCCAGCTCGCCCGGATCGAGACCCCCGGAGAAAACGACTTCGTTGCCCGGATTATCAAGCGGCCCGGTAGGGCGCAGCTTGCCGCAGGACAGTACTGGATTGGTGCGCATTTTTTTGGTTTTTTCGCCGTTTCAAAGGGAGCTGGACGTCAATAAACTCTCATTAATCATTTCAGGACTAAGTTGCGAGGAACAAGCTGGAGACGTTGTCTTCCGATGGGCTGACGGCGTACCTGTCTCGCGGTACACCGGCTTCTGGGCTAGAGATCAGCCGGATCCGGCTAGCGGCTCGTGCACAATTGCTGGTAGGTGATGCTCATTCTTTTTTTGAGTAGAGCAAGAGAGATTTAAGCTCAAGCCAATCGAAATTTCAGAAGTCCAAAAAGCCAGCCTGCAATGGAAGTTGGACCAGTGCAACCTGTTGCTGCCATTCATTTGTGAGCGGCCTGCCTGTGTTAAAGGTGAACCAGAGCAAGAGAGACCGGGAGAGAGAGGGAGGAAGAGCGAGTGGGAGTGAAATAGAGAAAGAGAGAGAGAGAGAGAGCGCGCGAGAGCATAAATCACAAACTTTTTCTAGGAGCTTTCTTTTGCCTAAATGGTGGTTGCGTCCCGGAAGGCCGCCACTGCAATGGCATCGACGACTGCGGCGACCTGAGCGACGAGTTGAACTGTCCAGGTAAAAGCTTTAAAATTGAGCTATAGAAAAACGTATTTCTAGCCTCCCGCTCCGACCTGGCCTGCCTCCAATACGAGAAGGGCGAGAGCGGCAAGTTCGCCACGCCCAACTATCCTTCGAGCTACAAAGTACGTTTTTAATTGCATGAATTTACACAACATTTTTAGGGAAATACGGCCTGCCGCTGGGTGATCGAAGGACCGATTAACACGAGGATTCATGTGGGTTTTCTTTCACTCTCTCTCTCTCTCCTTCACGCTCTATCGCTCTCTCTTTCTCTCGTTCTCTCACACTCTTTCTGTCTCTCGCTTCAAATTCAACCTCAGTTTTAGCTTGAATTCGAATACTTCGAGACTGAGGAAAACGAAGACGTGGTGACAGTACTTGATGGTGGCCCGTCAGAAAATGCCTCTGTTGTTTTGGCCTCCCTCTCAGGTGAATTCGTCCTTGTCAAGTTCAAGCTCAATTTTAGGCACCAAATCCCCGGAAGGCCTCGAATTTTTGTCCTCCTCCAACATTGTTATCGTGCGTTTCCGGTCCGACGCCCTCGGGCAAGCGCGAGGTTTTCAAGCCGTTTGGCGGGCAGGTAGGCACAATAAATTTCTCGGATTGTTCTTCATCAGGATCACTGAAAAGTGCGAAAAAATCATTTTTTGTAGAAATAGAAATTGCCATTTTTTTTGCCTTTAAAGGGATTTTCAAGAGAAAACGGGTGGAAAACGTCATCTTCTTGCTTTCCTAGCGTCTCTAGAACCTTCTCTAAATGTCTTGAACTTTTTTTTGAGGCGCTTCGTCAATACCAGTTTTTGAAGGTGTTTTACTAGTTCTAGGAACTGATGTTTTGCCTCTAAAAACAACGATCTGGGTTTTTTTCAACGGTTATTAGGATTTTCCCCCCAAATCCCGACGTTTTTAAGAAAGTCCGAAACCCACTCCGATTAAGGCTGTCTTTGCTCTTAGGATGTTAATCACCATTGTGTAGCCCTTGTGTTTCGAGTAGCGTCGCGTAGTCGGTAACCGTCTGTCTTCTGTCATCACCCCCTGGAGGTCGTGGTGTGGGCCTCTCAAGTCTCCGCCCGCCCCGCCTAATCGGTCAGGCCCTGATTTGCACACATTGCGCGTCTCTCTCTCTCTCTCTCTCGCTCTCTCTCTCGCTCTCTCTCTCTCTTGCTCTCCCTCGCTTCCCTGCCCGTATGAACAAACCGCCCCCGGGGATCTAAACTTCTAAACGGGGGCCCGACACTACACGTAACCCTCCGGGGGGGGGGACCTGGAGATAGTCAACTTCCGGAAAAAAAGTGAAATGAGCGGATTTTGGTCCCGAAGAACCTTTGCTAGCTAGCCCGTTAAAAAATAGGGTAAGAATTTCACCGGAAATCGGAATTAAACCGACTTTGACCTCGAACTACAAAATTAGAGAAATTACAGACGTCGCTAAATTACTTAGGTATCAGCAAATTATTCACAATTAGACAAAAATTCTATCAATAAATATCTTGTAATTGTTAAACTATAGTACCTTTCCAATGCGGAGGCGAGCTGACTGCACAGCCGTACGGCCAGAGCCTGACGAGCCCCGATTTCCCCAACGGCTACCCGAATGACGTGGAATGCGTCTGGAAAGTAGACGCTCTTGCTGGGAACCTGATTACGTTGACGGTAGGTTTACTGTAAAAAATACTCAGATTTTTAAATAGTTGTTGCTCAAAAGAGAGGACCAAATTTCGGAGCAACAGAATCATTAGCTCATCCAAAAGCGCAGAAAATTATGAATCTCTCGAATTTTCTAAAAAAATGAGAAGTTTACGGTAACTGCGAAAATTCCGATAAGCCAATAATAACAAAAACCCTCCATATTCCAGCTCGACGAGATCGCGCTCGGCGAGAACGATTTCGTGATCATCTACGATGGGGCGACGCCTGGAGCGCCGATTTTGGCACGACTATCTGGAGGCGAAAATCATACTGTGGAACATATTATCTCTACCACCAACCAACTGTACATCTACTTCTTCTCCGACACGACCAAGTCGAAGGCCCGAGGGTTTACCATCGGATATAAGCGAGGTAAGGTATCGCTCTCCATCTATCTCGTTCTCTCTTTCTCTCGCACGCGCGCTCTCTCTCAAGCTCAGTTTGTTAAATCTCGAGTTTATTCTCTTCACGCTGATCTAACTCCCTTGCTTAAACACTCCTGCTCACACTCCTTCCTTTGTCGCTCTCTCTAACGCCTTGCTCTCTCTTTCTCTATATCTCTCTCCCTCTCTCTCCCGCTCTCACTCTCTATCCTTCCCTCTCTCTTCTCTCTCTCTCTCTAATGCAGATTTTATAGGTTGCGACGTCACCGTCCGTCAAGCGGCGGGTCATTTGGTGTCTCCCGGAAATACCCGAGTAAGTGGCAAAACGTTATTCTGGCTTACTGTCTGTTTTAACGATTATATAGTAACTGCCAAATATGATATATTACTGTAACAGGGTCATTTTTTAGATACCCTACCCTGGCCCGATCACCTGCACCTACACCATCGAGGTCCCGGATGCGAGAGGAGACCAATCCCTCTCCTTCTCTGCCAATCGCTTTGATTTGGCTGTTGATGACTTTTTGAAGGTATTTCGGCGTTAATTAGATGTATTTTAACGTTAATTTGGATGGTTTTTGTTTCTGTCTCTATTAAAATTTGCCTAGATCTACGAGGGTTCCACAACTGGTCGTGCCCTTCATGAGGGAGACGGCTTTTCCGCTCAACAACGCCCGCCCAAGCACCTCTTTGCTCGCCAGGGTCGTGCTCAACTGGTCTTTGAGAGCAACGCCATCAGGAGTGCCAGCGGGTTCAATCTGACGTTTTCGACGAGTATGTTCTGCTAGTGGCTGTTGTTCAAGCTGGTGGTGCTCTAAAACTGGTTTATTCGTGCTCTCAAGACCGTAAGGAGCCTTTTAGTATATTTTCTAGCTGCGTAATCCCGAAACGCGGGGAGATGTAGCTTTTTAAAGGGAGCATGACAGCTGATCCTCTAAGTCCATTTTTCTTCGAAAAATCTTGTTTAGACTGCGTCCCCCTCCGCCCTCCAGCGCTCGTGACGCTCTCTACGAAGACGTCAACTTACGGAACTTCAGTTACTGTAGCTTGCCCACGAGGCTTTGAGTTTGTCAACGGGCATGGTCGACAATACACCATCAACTGCGAGCTGGGCGGAAAATGGTCAGATGCGACAATTCCGGATTGTCAACGTAAGTTTTTGATCTCGCTCTCTCTCTCTCTCTCTCTCTCGATCTCTCTCGCTCTCTCTCTTTCTAACCTTCGCTTTTTCAGCCCAATACTGCGCTCCGGTTCCCCAGATCGCCAACGGGTTCGCCGTCTCGGCCACCAACGTCTCCTACCAGGGTCGTGCTCGGTATTCATGCTACGACGGATTCCGCTTCGCTTCCGGACGGGATTCTGAAGGTATGGTAGCTAGGGAAAACTTAATCTACAGTACCAGAAGCTTTTTTCGTTCTATCTTATCTCTATTTTTCAGAAATCCTCTGCGGCGAAGACGGGCACTGGACCCCGCCTCCGCAGTGCAAAGGTATTGTTTCAAACTGGATTTTCTAAATATTATTTAAATTTTAGCATCCAGTTGCCCTGCGCTGACTCCATTCCAAAATGGCGACCGTATGCTGGAGTTTGGAGATGGTACCGGATATGGAACCGTCTTCAGATTTGAGTGCTCTCCTGGATTCCGGTAAGTCGGAGGAGTGTTAGCCTAAGCCTAAACCTAATAACCTAAGCCTGGGCTAAACTAGGCTCACGCCTAAGCCTAAGCCTAAGCCTAAGCCTACTCAACCATTTCAGTCGCATTGGTGCTTCAACCCTGCTCTGCCAAACCGATGGCACCTGGAGCTTCGCCCAGCCGACCTGTAGACGTAAGAATTTTCAGCCTAGTTTCGTTAAAGGGAGAGTGTCACCAGCTTTTCACGCATCTTGAAACACTCCAGCCTGCGTTTTTCTGGTTTCTTCACCCCTTGAAAACGATCTTTTTAGGCCTGACCTGCATGAACATCCCGAAAATCGCCCACGGCGGCATCGTCGCCGGGGACAAGTTCTCTTTTGGAGATACAGCTCGTGTGGAGTGTGATCTTGGATATCGAAGCGATGGACCGGAAGAAGTCAAATGCCTGGCCAACCAGACGTTCTCTACCGTGCCGAAATGCGTCGACATCGACGAGTGCACCGAGAAACAGGCGTTGTGCTCAGGTTCGAAAGAGAGAGAGAGAGCGAGAAAGAGAGAGACAGAGAGAGAGGACCTGAGAGATAGAGCGAGAGTGAGAGAGAGCCAGCAAGAGAGAGGGAGAGAGAGTGAGTGAGTGAGAGACAGAACGAGAGACTGGAAGAAATCGAGTGTTTCAGAAGCTTCTACCGTCTGCCGAAACTTGCCGGGAGGGTACTACTGCGAGTGCCGAGCCGGATTCACTAGTCAGAAGAGTAAGGGCATTCAGACAAACGAAATCTCGACGTCTTAGGCTGTTCCAACGCTTCCCCACTTCCGGTCGTACACGCAACGGCTACTTCCGAGAATTTCCTGTACCCAACGGCTACGTTGTCTCGAGGTGGCTGGTGCGAAGAGGAGAACGATCCGGTTAAGGTATGTAGAAAGAGAGTTCCATCTTAAAGCTAAAAATTCTGCTTAATCGCTTAGTTATCTGAAAATTCTGAACGTCTTCTTCAGGCCGTCACCATCGACCTCGGCACGCCAAAGACGTTGGAAAGACTCCACATCGAGAAAACTGCCGACGGCTACCCGACCCGCATCTCGATCCGATTCGCCAAAAACGCTTCGCAACCACTTGTACAGTACGCAATTGGCCAGGAAACGGTAAGTCCCTAAATCTAACGCTCATTCTCCATTGATTAGGTCTTCGCCCTGCGCGCAGTAGCGATGTCGGGTGGAGAGTTGTTCTCCCTACCCCAACCCGTCGAGGCCCAGATCGTCGAAGTGAGACTCGTCGAGACGAAGGGTGTGGCCTGTGCTCAGGTAGACTTCAGGCGGCTCGGGCCCATCATGAAATGGCTTAAGATCGCCGTCCTTGGATGCCAAAAGAGCACCTGCGTCGACATCAACGAGTGCGAGGAGGACAACGGGCACTGTGATCATCTTTGCGTGAACCATATGGTAATTTGTTGCGTTGAACAGAACCGCGAACGCGTCACGTGTTGCGTCATTGGAGCGTCGCGTGTCGCTAGTGTGTTGCGTGATGCGTCGCGTCGGGTCATAAAAATTTCATGGCGTAGTTTCAGAAAAACTCAAGCAAGTGCGTACGTGTTGCGTCGCGTTCTTAAGTGTCCCAAACCACAATTTCAGGGCGGCTACGAGTGCGCATGCAAAGACGGCTACGACCTTTTTACTGCCGATGGTCAGGGCGGGCGCGTCGTCAAGGAGGGCGAGACCGGCTATAGCAATTTGGACGTATACAGGTACAATTTATCTCGAAGACCAATACCCCTCAACCACGCCAGATTCAACAAGACGTGCGTCCCGAAAATCTGCCCCACCGTCACCTCCCCAATGAACGGCAAGCTGCTCGCCACCGGCAAGGCGTTCGCTTACCCGATGACCGTCAAGTTCCAGTGCAATTTTGGATATCAGGTATTATTTACGGTTCTATAGAAGTCTGTAATGCTTGAAGATGATGGGCGCCGAGTTCATTCAATGCCTGGCTGACGGAACTTGGAATGGCACAACACCCTTCTGTATTCGTAAGATATTCTTGGTCGTATCTTATTAGTTATTTCTTTAGCGGCCACTTGCCAAGGAGTTCACAACATTACGAATATCGGCCTTTACGTCTTCCCGGACAACGACACGATCGCGTACGGGCAGAACGTGTCGATCATGTGCACGCAGCAGAATCGACCAGGTGAGAGAGAAAGCAGAGAAAAGAGAGAAAGAGACGGAGAAAGAAAGAGAGAGAGAAAGAGCGACACAGAGAGAGATATAGAACGAGAGAGAAAGAGAGTGAGAGAGCTAGAGAAGCGAGCACAAGATTCTTTAGCTCGTCCTTCGCCCCTCTTCGGATTCCGCGAGTGCGTTTTTGATCCTCAGGTCGATGGCAGAGACTACTGGTTGAGTGGAGCAGGAGTGGACTGTCCGATGGTAGGTTTCGTACTTTAAGGGATAATTTGAAGTGATGCACGTCAACTTTTACGTAGCTTAGCGTACTTGTTACGTAGCACATCGTAACTTTCACGTAGCGTAGCGTACTTGTCTAGATAACGTGCTAGTCTAGGTGCTGTAATGTTTACGTTGCATCGTGTAATTCTTGCGTAGCATAACGTATCGTAGCGTAAACCGCTATAGCGTCACTTAAGTTTACAGTGATGCTCATTAATGCCTCAAAAACCTTTTTCTACTTCAGGTCGACTGCGGCCGCCCACCACAACTCGCTGGAGCTGTCTACGAAGGTGATTTCGGTGTCTACAAAGTCGGCTCGTCCCTGACGTTCTCGTGTCGTCCTCCGTACTCACTCGTTGGGCGCTCGACGTACGACGATAGACTCGTCCGGTGTCATCTCGACGGCTCCTGGGATCTTGGCAGTCTTCGATGCGAGGGTAAGCGAGTTGTAGTTTGTATTTTGGCGGAGCAGTACGGTTCAGATCGATCGGCATAAAACTGCTTGCCTTGAATCTGGCGAACTCCTTGGGTTTTAGATCACCACCAATCGCTCTAAATTTTCATTTCTTGCACTGCTTGAACTCGTCGTTTAAAAAAACACCCGTTTTTAGGTCCGGTTTGCGTCGACCCCGGCTACCCTCCGGATGGCGCTGTAGCTCTGACCTCTGTGGAAGAAGGAGCTGTGGCCAAGTTCAACTGCAACCGCCCGGGCTACAAGCCATTCCCGTCGGATTCTATTAACTGCACCCTGGTAGGGTAACTCAAACCTGGAGATGAACTTGCTTTAGGGAACTCCTTGCACTCTCTCTGAAGACCTCGGCATCAGCGACGGCTACATCCCGGATGGGGCTTTCGCCGACAATTCGGACACCGTTAACTATGGCTATGAGCCGCATAAGGTAATTTAGGATGTTCAGCCGATGCCTAAGCCTATGCCGAAGCCAAAGTCTAAGCCGAAGCTTAAGCCAACCCTAAGCTAAGCCTGATTTTAGGCTCGGATGAGCTCGACCGGATGGTGCGGCCAAAAAGACGCGTTCATCTTCCTCTCCATCGATCTACAAAGGGTGTACACCTTGACGACTTTGCGCCTCGCCGGTGTAGCTGGCCAAGGCCCACTCCGTGGCCATGTCACCAAAATGCAGCTCTTCCACAAGAAACAATACAGCCACAACTACGACACGTATCCCGTGGAGTTCGAGACGCCGGCCGGGAACCATAATGCCATGCATCACTTCGAGTTGAGCCCGAGTCTCCAGGCCAGATATCTGCTGCTCGGGGTCTCGGAGTATGAGGGTCACCCATGTATGCGATTCGACGTCCAGGGCTGCTTGGCTCCGGCCTCCATTCATGAACTGCCGATGCATCTTCAGGTCGGCTGGAACGCTTCCGTCCCTACCTGTATCGATGCGGAACCACCGGTTTTCAGGTAGCTGCTCTCTCTCTCTCTCACTCGCTCTCTCTCTCTTTCTCTCTCTCTATCTCTCTCACTCGCTGAAATTTTCGCTTTTTTGAAAAACGACAATGTTCAGCAACTGCCCAGCCAACCCGATCTACGTTTCGGCTGATGACAACGGCCAATTGGAGCCCGTGGCTTTCGAAATTCCGCGAGCATCTGACAACTCTGGACGTGTCGCCTGGGTCCGAGTGGAGCCTCAGGGCTTCGAACCTCCCCGCGTCGTCAGCGCTGATGTTGATGTGCTCTACACAGCCTTTGATGAGGCCGGAAATACTGCCGAGTGTTTGGTGCAGATCCGGATTCCGGGTAAGTATAGGATACGAGAGCCGCGTACGAATTTTTATTGATTTTTTTGGCTGTACTCCTCGAACTTGGTGATCTTTAGACACTCTCCCGCCCGTTATGAAGTGCCCCGACTCGTACGCCCTCTGGGCCCCAGAAGGATCCAACGTCACGGAAGTCATCTTCGACGAGATGAGCGTCCCCATGGTCATCCAAGACGTCTCGAACGTCACGTCCGTCTCGTTCAACCCGCCAAAAGCTAACATCAGGCTCGGCGAGCACTTGACTGTTGAGGTACAACAACTTCAAACAGCAAAACATCATTTTTTTTTCCAGGTCTCGGCAGTTGATGCTCTGGGCAACAGCAACAAGTGCCAATTCCAAGTGGCCTACATGCGTAAGTACATCTACAACTCGACGTAGAGTAGCAAAACTTTCTAGCCGAGGTCTGCGCATCCTGGTCCCTCGCCAGTTCGCCGAACATCATCAAGACGTGCGCCGAGCGAGATGGGGCTACAGTATGCACAATCTCTTGCCATAAAGGATATAGATTTGTCGATGAAGACAAGGTACGACAAGTTCAAGGCGTTCAGATAACTAGAATTCGTAAAATAGGCTAGAAAAGAATTGGAACAAGTTAAAGGAGTTCAATCCGAGATTCCAGATCGAGAAAGAGTTCGCGTGTTCCGACGGCTCTTGGTCACCATCTGGAGTCACGCCCGCGTGCGTGCCCGTAGCTGATGAACCTGCCCGATATGAGCTGAGCGTTGGAGTTGACTACCCGGTTGCGACGCCGCCAAGTGCGGAGTGTATCAAGGTGGGTGGTCCGGTTTTAAAGCGGCTGGTAAACACAAGTTTTCACGTTCTAACTAGTTTTTTGCAGGGCTACACCACCCTGATCACCACCTACTTTGACTCCCTCGACGCTGCCTTGTCTCAACGCTGCTCCTCCTCCGTCCAGGTCTACGTCCGCTTCCTCGACGTCAAATTCCACCAGCAGCCCGGAAACACGCAGGCCAACTACACTATTCAAGTGGGTTTTACAGTGCCGGTTTTTTTTCATTCGGGGGATTGATGCTATCACCGACAAAATGCGAACACATAACCCCGACAAAATTTTCCTATGCTAATGTTCGATTGTCGGCATTTTCAGTCGACGTCGACTATACGTTTGGTTTCCATAATCGATGTAATGCTAGTCCCTTAATATCGACATTGATAGCGCCGAAAAAAATCGCCAGTGTTGGCCGGCATTTTTCTGTAGGCATTTTTCTCGGCATTTAGTCCCGCAAAAAGGCGTATTTTCCAGATCCTGCCCTCCGTCCTGCAAGACGTCTTCTACGATCTCTGCGGACTTACCCTACGCACGATCTTCGACTTGAGGATACCAGGTATGCTTTTGTTACTAAGTTTCATATCAAGCCATTGTATTGGTCAATCCGGCGCATTCTCATAAGCTTGAAGTATCTGATTTAATGCTCACTTCCAGGAGCAACAGCCCCGATCAAACAACTGCTATCCCTTGACGCTGGAGCTACACAATCCGGACAGTGCCCGACTCTTGTAGCTGCTAATTCTATCGTATCTCAAGTAAGTTTACCTATAATTTTAGGACACTCAGTTGATGATCATCATTTTCAGCAAGTTGTCATTTCTTTCCATTCCAGGGCTTCGGCTGCGCCGACGGTGAGGTACTACGCGCGCCAAAGGACGGTAGTCTGCCAGAGTGCTGTGAGTAATTTTCATCGTTTTTAATCGGCCGTTTAATGTATATTTTGCCAGACCTTTGCATACTGTATTTTTATCGTATTTATCGCTGCACGGTCATTTTTAGTACCCTGCCCCGTCGGAAGTGTCAACGTCAACAACAGCTGTGTCAAGTGCCCGAGGGGCTCCTTCCAGGTGGGTAGATTAGGATATTTTAGACGTGCTTAGCATATCTTAAGGTATGTTGCACTTGAATACTTTTAAAAACTTTTTTAATAACAAAAAAAACGAAATTGTCGAATTTTCAGGATGAAAAAGGTCAAGTCGCTTGCAAGGCTTGCCCTGATGGTCATTACACACATTATTCTGGTTCTCACGCCCTGGAGCAGTGTCTAGGTAAGACGAAACTACGCAAATTGCGTAAGATATGCTGTCTACAAAACCACTATTCTATTTTAGCCGTCTGTGGAAATGGAATGTACTCCGCTAGTGGTCTGATCCCTTGCCAGCTGTGCCCGAGGCACACCTATTCCGGTCCAGCTCCAATTGATGGATACAAGGTTGGTTGTGGATTGCTTTTGAAGGAACTAGGAAGCAGTAAAATCGACTCTAACGTCGGCTAGGTTTCAACAGTTACTCTAGACCCGCAATTTTCAGGAATGCACCCCTTGCGACCCTGGAGCTTATACGGCTCGCCTTGGCTCAACAGGACCTTCGCAGTGCAAGCAGGCCTGCCAGGCTGGCACCTTCTCGCTGACCGGCTTGGAGCCGTGCTCAAAGTGCCCCCAGAACTACTACCAGCCGAGTCTGGGGCAGCAGAGGTTGGCTGTCGATTATGAATTTTTGATCAGTTACCCCCCCCCTCTCTCTCTCTCCCTGTCTCTTCAAAATTATTTTTTTCCAGATGCGTCGAGTGCGCAAACTCGACAGCCACATTCTCCGAGGGAGCAGCTTCTGAAGGCATGTGTGTGGCTATCGACTGTGGTGCCGTGGAATGTGAAAATCGAGTAATTTTTCTCATTTTTGAAACCTTTTGTAAACTTTCTAAGACACAGACGAGTCAGCTACGGTAAAAAAGCTGAAGCCCACTGCTTAAACGCAAGATTTCCATTTGCCTAGGGCCTCTGCGCGATCAAGAACCATCGTGCTGTATGCGAGTGCCGCCCTGGATACTCTGGATCGAGGTGCGAGGAGACAAGAGAGGTCGGTTCTCAGGATTTAGGAATCTTTATGCCATTTTCTAGGTCTGTGCCAGCAATCCGTGCTTCAACAACGGTGTCTGCGAGGCCGCTTCCGGGACATACCGATGTATTTGCCCGAAACGTAGGTGTTTTAAAGGGAGTGGAACACTTTGCTATATCGACTATGCCTAACCAGCCATTATTGTATAAAAATTAATAATACGTTCGTCTCTAGATTACTCCGGACCTCGCTGTCAGAAGGGCCCAGAAGACTGTGACGGTGTTAGCTGCCCGAACGGCGGCGTCTGTCACAATCTACCCGGCTATGGAACCAAGAAGTGTTTGTGCAGGTGAGCACGACTCTCCATCTCTCTCCCTCTTTCGTGCTTTCGTTCTCTCTCTCGCTCTCTAGCCATATAAATTTCCGTTTAGAACCGGTTTCGCGGGCACAGACTGCGAGGAGGTCACCGACATTTGTTCAACTGCTAACCCATGCCGCAATGGTGCTGACTGCCAGCCGCTTCAACTTGGTGAGTTCGACGCATATTGCTATCCATTTAAAACACCAGTATGAGTAGATATAACCGTATAAAGGAGCGTTGTGTGGTTGTAATTTTTACAACGTCTGCAAGAGAGAACGAAAGAGCGAGAGAGTGAGAGAGAGGGAGAAAGAGAGAAAGCGAAAGAAAGCGCGAGAGGGCACGAGAGATACAGCGCACGAGAGAGTGAGAGAGCCAGAGAGAGAGTGCCAGACCTGGCTAATTTCCGAATTCTAGGCCGTTTCAAATGCAAATGTCTCCCCGGCTGGGACGGCCCGACGTGCTCGCACAATATTGGTGAGTCTTCAGAATCTTTTTACGCATTTTCGACGCTTTATACACACCAAGAACAGTAGATGACCAGGAAAAGCGGGGAGATCATAAAACAACCCCAAAATCGTGATTCTGGAGCATGACTGGTAAATATGAGATCCAAGAAACAGGGAGCAAGCTTGGGAGGGGTGGGGGGTAAGGGTCTGGGACGAGAGGGATACCGCGTGGTGCCAAGAAACGAGAGAAACGAGAGATAAATAGGAAAAGACATAAAAACCTATGTAAACCGAAATATAGCGAAAGAGGCTTATGGCAGGCTCGGATAGGTGGCTCCCTTGCTGGCGTCCTGCTTGTGGTGGGGCGGCGGGTAGTCGGGGTTGCAGGCTGGGGCCGAGGCTTCTTGTGGGAGCTGAAAGTCATAATTTAGTTAGCGTAAGTTTAGGCGTAGGCTTAGCTCAGGCTCAAGCTCAGTCTTGGGCTACGGCATAGACTTAGGCTTCAGCGAAAAGACAACCCACCGGCCGGAAGCCGTTCAGGTGCTCGTAGTACTTCTTCGTCAGCATGAGTGCGAAACCGTTGTAGAGCGCGTAGACGCAGGAGAGCACTGAAGAAAGGTTACAAGATGTTTTGAAGCTTTGAGCTCATGGATTCTTGCCTTGTCAGCTCCTTTAAAAGCTCAAAAGGTACGATACACGCTATCCAAAATTCACGCATTAATGATGGCACAGCCTCAAGGAACTCACATCCAAAAACTCCTGCGTAGATCTTCAAATCCGATACCATTCTTCCCTTCTCGAAGTCGTCGAGCTCGCCGGGGTAGAAGTACTAGAATAGATAGGTTAATTATGGCCATTAGTAACCCACATCATGAAGTTGGAAGACCATCTTGTTCATCTTCTCCTCCCCACTCATGAAATAGTAGAGGACAAAGATGCAGCCGAGGGTTGAGAGGATGACCAGCACTAAAAAAATCGGATTAGGCTGATGCTCAGGTTTAGGCTTAGGCTTAGACTTGGGCTTAGGTTTAGGCTTAGACTTACTTCCACATAGCGCCAATCGGGGGAGCAGATAGTGGGCAAAGCTTCGTTTGTGGGCTTGCACCGTGCAGATTGAAGCCAGGATCTAAAAATAAAGCAGAAGCTTCAAAAGCTTGGCCTTTCTACCTGACATATCAAGATGGCGGTGAGCACGACAAAGGAAACGATCGTGATCCAGTGCCTAAATTGACGAATTATTGGGTTCTAGCAAGCATTCATCCGGAATGCGAAAATGAGGATCGCTAATAGAGAGCTTTGGGGAATGAGCAAAGTACCTCGGGAGAAGGAGGACAAGAGAAAGAGCAGTAGAAGAGAGCGAGGGAGAGAGAGAGAGAGTGAGTGAGGGAGAGATAGCTACAAAGATCCTTGAGAATCCTTGACAACTCTGGTCTTTCCGGATTCAGATTTTGGCCAGTGGACCCTTTCTGGGGGAATGGCTTTTGAGTAATAACAGGGCAGGAAAGGGCCTCCGGATGCCTTTGGGGACATGCCATTGGGACCCAGGCGCACCGCCGGGTCGCAAATGTCCCACACACAACAGCTAGTCAAACAATGGGCGTATTACACGGGCAAGTGAGCGGCAGCGTTGTGTATTTACGAATTCTAGGGGGAAGTAATTTCAGGGTCGACGTTAGAACGGAAGGTAAAGCCTAAGCCTAAGCCTAAGCCTAAGCCTAAGCCTAAGCAAATTTTGAAGCCAAGCCACTCTACCCCATTTCCCTCAATTCCCCTTCCCCAACCGAATCTCCCCCCAATGAATTATTCCCAGCTGGGGTGTATCCGTGCGGGCGCGAATTCGATTTGGTCGCCCCGCTTAGCCGCTTCTTCCCCTCACCCAAAAGCCTCTGCCCCGCAAAAGCACAATTGGCAGCAGGCCGACGACGAGGGGTTGCCCTCAACCCAGTAATCAGCAGCAGCCACCCCCGGGTTAGCTAGGGTAGAGAGGAGAAGCGGCGAAAAACGCCGAGAGCCGCTTCGTATTGTTTCCAAAAATGGACTCTGGCCAAGCGGAAGGTATAGCAATGGGCGAGAAGGGACTGCGAACTAGGAAAAGGTCAGAATCCTGATACTGGAGATCCCGACAGAAAAAAGCCCGACGAGAAAAATCCGGTGCGACGCTCATTATTTCGGCCTAGGTATTATGGTTGTCGGTATTGCAGCGGCCGAGATTCATGTCGCTGGAGTTTGTCTGGTCAAGGTTTCGGCGTTTGGGCTCATAGCTGTCGGGATTTTTGCCGTCGGTGTTTGCCTCGCCGCGTATTTACCCATCGTAGTTTATCCTGTCGGCATTGTTAACTGCTGTCGGGATTATGGCTTCGGGATTTTTCGGAGTTTGTCTCGTCGGATTCTGGCAATCGGTCTTTCGTTGTTCGTTCGTTCGAAATCGTTTATTAGTTTGTTATCGGGATTCTGGTTTTCGGGATTTTGACCGCTGATATTTTCGATGATTTTTTTGCAAAGCTTCCTGATCGTGATTCTGGCACATTCCATCATTTCTAAAGACTCGTCAGCTCCTTTAAAGGCACCAAAAACTCGTACCAATTCCCTTCTCTCGAGCCATAAATTCGCACCACCCTTTTCACTACCCAGACAAAACGACCTCCACGCACGCTATGCTCGTAATTGGCAGCGCCCCGTAGCGAGGCGTTCCATTTTCTTTGTTAGTTGGCCTGGTCAGCAGCAGCCAGTCGTTTGACGTCCTAGAGGGCAGAATGTAGCCGGAGGCCAGGGCCCAGGATTGAGGGACCCCCCCCAAATCCCCCTGACAACAGCTTTAACCTCAGAGGGGAGGGACGGCTGGCCGGAGATGGGAATGCTCCGGAATGGGGCATTAGGAGGAGCTGGCCATCAAAAAATGCTGCCCTCGAGGGTTAATCCCCGGGTTCGGGAGGGAGAGAGAGAGAGATAGAGAGAGAGAGAGAGAGAGAGAGAGAGAGAGAGAGAGAGAAAGAAAGGGAGAGAGAAGCGAAAATAGTTCTGTTTGACGGGAACATCCCAAAAATCAGGTTGCTGTGTTCCGTTAGAAAGGACCAAAAAAATCCCCTTCAAAAAACCCACGGATCGTCAATCGTCTGCGCCAACTCCTCGAAGGCGTTGAACGCGAAAAAGGCGATGATCACCGTGTCGAGCAGGGAAAGCACCTAAAAGTGGAAAAATAGAAAACTTCAATTTCTCTCGCTCTCTATAAACAGCTTGCTCTCTCACTCTCTCGCTCTCTCTCGCTCTCACTCGCCCTCTCCCTCTCTCTATCTCCCTCTCTCCCTCTCTCCCTCTCTCTCTCTCTCTCCCAATTTCTGAACGGCACGCCATCGAACCTTCGACCGATTCCTTGAGAGCCTGAGCTCTTATCCACTGCTCTATCAGAAAAATTTGGGAACACCGCGGAAAAACGGGGAAAATCGTCGTAAAAAGTAGAATTGTCCTGTCTGGTGTGGTGTAATCCGACCCACATACCGTAACACATTTGTGCAGCGGCCAGCAGCAACAGCAGAACATGGCGTAGAGACGTCCGCGCTTCTTGTGGTGCTTCTTATTGTGGTGGGAATGGTGTTGGGGGTGTGGGTGGGATCGATGTGGGGCGTGGCCCTGGGGCAGGAGGGATGGCTCTTCGGGCCCCCAGGGCCCATTTCTCATCTCCGTCCGCATATTAGGCTGGAAATGGTGGTTTTTGGATGAGGAGAAGGACATGGGCAAAATAGGAAACACGAATTTTAGCCTGATTTTTAGGCATAGAATTTTCGCGAAAAATAAAGCCCCGGAAAGACGGGCTTCTCAGAGAAGTAGCCTATGCAAAGTTGCAGCAATTTTTAGGAACCTAAAAAAGTAGGAAAAAAGATTTAGACTTCGAAAAAAACTCTGATAAATTGCTACGAAAAGTCAAAAAGCCGTTTTTTGGAATTGCTAGATGTATTTTGGAGCCTCTCGTAACTGCTCCCAATTTTTAACGAGGGTTTTAAGACTGCAAAGTGAAACGAGCTCGAATTTTTTTCAAAAATTTTCTCAAAAGCTTGAACTCCGACGAGTAAAATCAACCTTTTTGTACATCTTCGAAGCTTGAAATGATTGATTTTTACTTTGGAAAAATATGGTAATTCGAAAAAAATATGCATAATCACTTTGTAATTTATGCAAATTGTAAAACGCGACGAATTACGCAAATCTGATTGTCGAAAGTTTCTAAAGACACTAAAAACTTGCATATTTTTCTCGAATCCAGTCAAACCATGCTCAGAAAAAAATCTCGAGCTCAAAAACCTCAAAAATCAGGCTATTTTGACGAAAAACACTTGAATAAGCAATTTCGAGGCGGCGGACCTGGACAAGACTATAGATTTGTTGTGAAGTTCTTCTGCTTTGTCGCGTTGACCTCACACGTGTCTACCCAAAAGTACATCCCTGCTTTTTTGTCGAATTTCGGTGGCTATGCGCCTGGAGAGGGAGGGGGGGGGCGTAAACAACCACTTGTTTACGCGTGAACGAGAGTGGAATAGCGAGAGGGAGAGAGAGAGACAGAAAGAGACGGGATGTCTATCTAGCTAGAGCATTTGGCCGGCTGCCCCATTCCCCCACTTGTTACGGGTCAAATTTCAACTTGCCGTGTGCCAAGAGGGCGTCATTAGGATGGGAGTGGAACGCTAGGGAATTTGAAAGGCCAAGGAATTTGAATATTGCGAGGCTTAGGCTTAGGTTTGGCTTAAGCTTAGGTTTCGGCTTAGGCTTAGGCTTAGGTTTAGGCCTAGGCTTCGGCTTGGGCTTAGGCTTAAAATTAGGCTTAGGCTTAGGCTTGAGGTTCTCACGGAAGAACCTCTAAATTAATTTTCAGACGACTGTGCCGACCGCCCTTGCGCCTTGAACGCCACCTGCGTCGACCTGGTCAACGACTTCCAGTGCAAGTGCCCGAAGGGATTCACTGGAAAGCGCTGCAATCGAAAAGGTATTGTTTTACGGATTTTCACTTCAATGGCCCTTTAGTCGACCTCTGCGCTTCCGACCCCTGCGTGCATGGGCTCTGCGTGGATACTCTGTACGCTAGGCAGTGCATCTGCGAGCCGGGTTAGTCAAAAATTTTGGGATTTAAAGGACGGGGGCATAGATTTAGATACCTTAAAAACAATAGGAAAGTTCTGCTACCTCATAGATACTTTAACAACCTTTTTTAGGCTGGACCGGTGATGTGTGCCAGATTAACATCGATGAGTGCGCGGCAACACCTTGCGAGAATGGAGCAACTTGTCACGATTTGGTAAGAGAGAGCGAGAGAGTGAGAGAGAGAGCGAGACGGATACCTACTTACCAATATATACCTGCAGGTCGACGGCTACTCTTGTACCTGCCCAAGTGGCTACCATGGTTCTCGCTGCCAGCTCCTAGACGACCATTGCGCTCTTCAGCCATGTAGGAATAACGGTAAGTTCCGGAGTTTCCAATTGACGGCTTTGGAAGCCGAAATCCGAGCATGAGCTTGGTGTCAATTTCCGCTTTTTAGCAAGCTGCACCAACGAGGGGCCGGTTTACAGCTGTGCCTGCCCGCTCGGATTTGAAGGGGTTCATTGCGAGCGGAACATCGATGAGTGCGGAACGATAGGAAAGGTAGGAGAAATAGAGAGAGAGAGAGAGAGAGAGAGAGAGAGAGAGAAAACGCGATATTTCCGTTTTTTTTCAGTGCCACCCCAAGGGTACCGAAGCCTGCCTCGACGGCATTAACAGCTTCACGTGCCAATGTAGACCAGGATACACCGGCCAGCATTGCGAGACGCACATTGATCAGGTTTTTGGCTTTTCTGAAGGTACAGTCTATTAGTGCGCTTCCTCACCCTGCCTGAACAATGGTACTTGCACCGACTTCGGCGCCACCTACAAATGCGTCTGCGCCCGCGGATGGACCGGGGATCGGTGTGAGACCGAGTCGGGAGCCTGCGACCGGAAGCCGTGCAAGAACGATGGAAGATGCGTGAATCTGGTTTCGGATTATTTCTGCGTTTGTCCTGAAGGTAAGACATAGGTATTAGTGCTTCCACTCACGCCCGCGTTATTTCTTTCAACTTGCTTTTCTTCCATTTTCTACATTTTTAATTTTGAATGATTTTTGATCACTTACAATTTTTTAGGCGTCTCCGGCAAGGACTGCGAGGTGGCGCCAAATCGCTGTGTCGGAGAACCATGTCACAATGGAGGTGTTTGCGGAGATTTTGGCTCCAGGGTCGAGTGCTCTTGTCCCAAGCACTTTACTGGTAAGATAAGACGATAATCATAAATTTTTACCTTCTAGGCGCCGGATGTCAATTCGCCGCTGAACCCTGTGCCCCTGGTACTTGTATGAATGGTGGAAGCTGTTCAGTCACTTCAGGAGGATCGTTTAAGTGTGCCTGCAAAGCTGGTAAGTCGACAGGGTGAGAGCGAGAGAGAGAGAGAGAGAGAGAGTGAGAGAGAGAGAGCGAGAGAGAGCGAGAGACAGAGAGAAGGAACGAGAGAGATAGAGCGTGAGGAGAGAGGGAGAGAGCGAGAGAGTAACAGAGAGAGAGAGACGCACACAAACTCCTAAACTTCAGGCTTCACCGGCGGACGATGTGAGGCCGACATCGACGAGTGCGCTGCTAGCCCCTGTCCGTTATCAGCTACTTGCATCGACCAGATTGACGCCTATCACTGTAAATGTCCGTTCAACGTCACGGGATCTAGCTGCGATAAGGTGTGTATTTCTGACTCGTTCTCTCTCTCTCGCTCTCTCTCTCTCTCTCTCGTTCTCGCTCAATGCCGCCCTCCTCAGGCTGTCGACGTCGACTACGACCTCCACTTCTTCGACCCGATCCGAGGTTCTTCTGCAGCACAAGCCATCCCGCTCAAGGCCAATCTCAAGGCGTTCACCTTGTCCTTGTGGCTTCAATTCAGCCAGGCTGATTCTCGTGGAAACGTGCTGACAATCTCAAACAGCTCCCTACCCTCCGAGCCGATGAACCTCACCGAGATGGTGACGATCAGCTCGAATGGCGTGCGTGTGAAACTCCTCGCAGATGAGGTGCCCCTCCAGATGCCGTGGCCCGCGCTGCAGCAAATCAATGACGGGCGGTGGCATCATCTGGTGGGTTTGCGTGTTTCAGGAGTTTGTATAGCACCCATTTCTAGGCCCTCACCTGGTCGTCCGACTCCGGCTCCTTGGCCCTGTTCTGGAACGCCGTGCCCGTCTACACCGAGAAGGAATACGGCATCGGAAAAACGCTCTCAGCAAAGTAAGTGATCATCTCCAATCCTAAAACTGAATTCAGCATGTACGTCGTGCTCGGCGAGCCCACCGTACCCACCGAAAATACGCTCGACGCATTCTCAGGATCGATTACACGAGTGAACCTCTGGGACCGGGCTCTCGATCGGGAGATGGACATCGCCCCGATGATTTCTGAATGTCAAGGAACTGAGGTGGAGCTTTTGAGGCCGAAGCTCATTCTCACATTTCAGGATCTTTTCCCCGGCCTCATCCTCCGCTTCGCCGATTACTCAAAGCTGGTCGGCAAGGTCGAGAAACGAGCACGATCCACTTGTGGCCGTGAGACCAAGGGCGAGAAGAGCAAGGAGATCAGGGTCGAGGTAGATGGCCAGTTTCCTAGAAAGTAGATGTTTTTCTTCTAGAATTGCCCTCTTGACATCTATGCCGTGTCCGCCCAACGGGAGATCAACATCACCTGGGACGAGCCGGTGTTCACGTCGCCGGACGAGATCGTCAGGGTGGAAAAGAGTCTGAAGCCCGGAACGGTGAGTTTTGAAGGGCTGGAGATTGTAGATCCCGTTATTGGACGTCGTCACGCCGTCGGGGGTAAAAACTCGACTTCCAGACGTTCAGCATCGCTAGGAACATTTTAAATTGAGGAACTCGGACGAGATGTAAGCTAAATTTTTAGCTTCTACCACACGGTGACCATCACGTGCTCTACGTCGCTCATGATAGTGCTCAACGCGCTTCGGTCTGCAGCTTTTCGGCAAGTTGAAGATCTTTTACTAACGTGAGATCACCTACAGGTCCGCGTATCTCGTGAGCACTGCCCCGACGTATCCGACCCGGTCAACGGACTCCAAGTCTGCGAAGCATGGGGCCCGAATTTGCGCTTCAAGGTGAGCATAAACCACAAAAATGAGCAACAATAATTTTAATTTAGGCCTGCTCGATCGAGTGCCGAGAGGGCTACGCCTTCTCACGACAGCCGCCTGTCTTCTACTCGTGCGGCTCCGACGGCATGTGGCGGCCAAGACCCGATCGTGCGCTTCACTTCAAGTATCCGCAGTGCACAAAGTGAGTGGTTAGGCTTGGGATAGGGCTTAGGTTAGGCTTAGATTAAGCTTAGGCTTAAGCTTAGGCTTAGGCTTAGGCTTAGGCTTAGGTTTAGGCTCAGGCTTAGGCTTAAGCTTAGGCTTAGGCTTAGGCTTAGGCTTAGGCTTAGGCTTAGGCTTGGGCTTGGGCTTAGGCTTAGGCTTAGGCTTAGGCTTAGGCTTAGGCTTAGGCTCAGCGCACTGCTTATCAATCCCTTCCAGATCCACACCCGCCACTCGCTTCGTCCAGCTCAACGTCCAGTACCCAGCTGCTTCGCTCTGTAATGAGGCCCATCGCGACGCGCTTGCCGAGGAGCTGCGCAAGCGCATTGACCAAATCAACGGGAAATGGGATCTGTGCAGTGCCAAGTACGTTTTTACGGAATTTCTGTAACCCAAATTTCAGGACCGAAAATGGAGGTTGTGCCGGCGTACAACTGAATGTGGAATGTTTGACTGGGCGTGAGGCTGCTGCTCGTCTTCGGCGAGAGCTACCACCCAACGCTCACTTCTTCCACGTGCACCTGGAGTTGCCTGTCAAGAGGTGTGTAGCGTAGTCCTTCTCTCTCTCTCTCTCTCTCTCTCTCTCTCTCTCTCTCTCTCTCTCTAGCTTCCAATTTCAGAGACTTCGTGACAGCAGCTTCAAGCGGCGAGAAGACCCGCCCCTTCGAAGCCCTCCAACGCGAGATCCTGCTCCTCGGAGCTTTGGACGTCTCGGCCGCGGTCCCGCATGCCAAGCCAAACCTCGCCGGTCTCCGGCTCTCCGAGAAGTTCTCCTGCCCCAAGGGCAGCGTGACGGTTGATGATCTATGCGGTAAGTCGGGTTTGGAGCCTATGAGTGCCATGATTGCTCAAGCGAAACCTGAATTTTTAGTACCTTGCGCCCCCGGCTCGCGTTTCTCCGCCGAGCACTCGGAGTGCCAGCTATGCCCGGTTGGCTCGTACCAGCCACTGAGCGGCCAGCCCGAGTGTGTCCACTGTGGTGTCGGCAAGACGACGATGGTCGAGGGATCTACAAGTCAGGAGGAGTGCAAAGACGACTGCCCGCCTGGCCACCTCTTCCACCAAGCTCTTGCTCAATGCCGACCTTGTGGATTCGGTTTCTACCAGCCGACTGGAGGTAAGCCGGATTTCTAAGTGCTTTAAAGAAGTTTCAAATCGAAAAAAATCGGAAAAATCCAGGCTCGTTCGAGTGTCTCGCGTGTGGTGTTGGCAAGACGACGCTCACCGAGAGGAGTACGAGTGAAGAGGAGTGTCGAGATGAGTGTCCAGGTAAGACAGAGAGTGAGGGAGGCAGAGAGAGAGAGAGAGAGAGAGAGAGAGAGAGAGCGAGAGACTGAGAGTCATGAAACTTTTCAGATGGCGAACACCTGTCCGTCTCCGGAACCTGCCAACCCTGCCCCCTCGGCACCTACCGTACCCGCGGGGAGCACAAGGAGTGTGTGCCATGTCCAGCTGGTACCACTACGCAACATACGGCTGCCACACGACGCGAGCAATGTGATACGCCGCGCTGTGTCAAGGGCCAGTTCCTGGTGGCTGCTAGGTAGGGAGCACGAGCTTTAGTTTTGCTTGAACTTGTCGAACTTGTTGTTGTTCCCTACATTTACCTACGCTTTCGATTGGCGCTCGTCTAGTGCGCGGCCATCCATTTGCTCATGAATCTATTGACCTTGTTGAACTTGATGTCGTTTTCCTGGGCTTCTGAGAACCAGAATCACCTACTGTTTTTTAGCCGTCAATGCCAATTCTGCCCACGCGGCACCTTCCAAGACGAGGAGCAGCAGACGACGTGCAAGTTGTGCGACTCTGACCATACCACAGCTGCACAAGGGGTAGGATAAAAGAGTTGGGGGGTTTCAGGGTGCAAGAACTTAGGCTTCGGGTTAGGTCTGAGCTTGACAGTTCCATAAAAACGTTAAATTTTAGGCAACGGCTCGTTCTCAATGCTACTCAACCAACCAGTGTACGACCGGTGAGGACAACTGCTCCTGGCACGCGACTTGCATCGATCTGCCTGATGAGAACGACGTCCCCTCGTTTACCTGTCGATGCAAGCCCGGATTCCGTGGAAATGGGACACATTGTTATGGTAAGTCTTCTCTACCGTGCCCGAATTTCATCAAAAAAATCGTAGCTTAAAAACTACGCATTTCTGAAGCTTCACTAGTGCCAGAATTCGCCTAGCTTAATTCATACTACATAATGATTCTTTCAGACGCCTGTACCAACTTCTGCTTGAACGACGGTCACTGCAAGAAATCGCCGACTGGTCAAGTGGAGTGTCTCTGCAAGGACAACTTCCGGGGAGAGAGGTAAGGCTTATCTTAGGCCTCGGCTTAGGCATAGGCTTGGGCTTGTGCTTAGGCTCGCTTAGTCTTAGATGCTTAGTCCCCAAAACACTAGATAACAAAATAACCTTCAAAATTCAGATGCGAAGTCCGCTTCGTTGTCCGCTCCCAGCGCGTCATCCAGATCATCGTCGGAGTTTGCGTCGTTGGGGGTGTCTTGATCGCTGTTGTGTGCATCATCTATATGATATCGTGCAGGTCGAATAGGTATGTAAATTTTTTTTCTCTCTTTCTCTTTCTCGCTCTTCCTCCCTCTCATCCTTCTCTTTTCAGGGTGCAAGAACTCCCCGAGAAGCCAGCCCTCACCGACTCGGCGCATTCCAACTTCCTCTTCGCCAGACCTCAAGCGCTAGGTGGGTTCCGAGTTGTAATTTTTAGTTTGAGGTTTTGCCTACGTAACCTTGACTTAACTTTCTAGCTTCAGAAGCCCCCCGGCCGATCGGCTACTACTATGAGGACGACGATGACTACGAGTCGAGGAGTATCTTTGTCGGCGGTGCTGATCAGGGCCACGGTAAGTCAGTTAGGCTTAGTCTTCGGCTGTCAGGGTCCTTTTTTGATAAACTTTAATTTTTAATTTCCAGGCCTCGGCTCCGGTAACGGCGTCGTCGTCGAGCCGCTCGATCAGAACGACGAGCGCGTCCAGCACGCCATGGCCCATATGTACGTGCCGAGGACGTCGGACAACGCCCATGAGCATTTTTAAAGCTACAGAGTACACCTAAATACTGATAACTACACGCTACGAGCTACCAAGTGCAACAGATTCCGCTCTCTCTCTCCCTTTCTCTCGCCTCCCCCCACTGAACTTTGCCGTTGTCGCCTCCTCACCCGATACGAGTCGCATTCATTTTCTATCTTTCCCACCCAAATTAAAGTGATGTGTGCATTATAACCATTGTAATATCACGATTTCATAACGTAATTTAATATTTTTGCGTGATTTTAAGGACCTAGACATTGCCAAAACATTCCAGTTGCTGCTCAATCAATTTAATGATGCCCCCCTCCTGTCTCTTTTACTCCTTTATTCTGATTTTGATCCAGAACGAATGCTAATAATATTATATATTTTGCGTGATAAAGATTTTTATTGATTTCTGGAGTCTAACGACAAGGTAAACGTTTTAAAGGCGCAGGGACACTTCAAAATGGAATTTGCATGATTGGTAGATCAACCGCAACAGTCAGATTCTGAAATTCCACAATTCATCGCTCTCTGTCACTTTCTCCCACTAACTGTCTTCCTCTCTCTCACTACCTGTCTCTCTCTGTCTGTCTCTCTCCATCTCTCTCGCTCTCGCTCAAGCAGTTCAGCAAGATCTCGCCAACCAGCATTTCTGGTGGTAGCGATAAATTTTAAAGGTGCAGAGAAGCCGGTTTAGTTTAAAAAATAGATGCACAGTCCTGCTCAAAAAGGCTTAAAATGAGCTCGAGTTTTTGCGAGCAATTTTTCAGCCAATATTTCAAAGCTTTCCTAGCCACAACTCTTCCATTTAAACTAAAAAAATCAATTAAATTTTTAGATTTACTTGGACGAGGTACAGAGTTCGCTATACCTCACGGAGTACGTTCCAGTACGCCCAAACTCCGCTCAAGTGCCTTCCCCTCCCATTAGTGCTCAAATGTGACCTGAAAAAGGATGATGAAGCCTCAAAGCTCCCCGGCTGATCGTTTGTTCTCTCGTTTTTCGTTCACGCGACCCCCGAAAGAAGTGTCCGCTTCATGGGGGGTGGATATCGGTCCGTGATCGGGGCCCCTACGGCTACACAACGCTGCTGCGAACAAACAATGCGGTTCTCGCGTATCGCCCATCAATGGGCGCAGGCGATGGATTTCGAGGGGGATATCGGGCTGATTGGTTGCTGAAACTTTTGCATTCCTAGCTTTGAAGTACGACTTTACACCAGAAGGTTATGGATTTATTTTAATGAGTGATTAATTTTGTAATTTTTATGTTCGTACTGCAAGAAATTGTTAGTTCATTATTATTTAGTCAATTTGGATGAAATGTTAGGTTTTTGCTTTCAGAGCATACCAATCAATGACCAAAAAAGATTAAGCCGGAAGTTCTGATCCTACTATCAATCATTCTTCCTTTTCTGTACATGTTCATATTACAATTGTGAAAATAACGATTTTTAACGTTTTTAACACTTCTAAAACGATTAAAATTGTGCTTTGCAATTTTTCAAAAACCAGCGTTTGATTTTCTTTCTTCCGAAATTTCGAGCTTCAAAGTATCTCAATTTTTTCAGGTTTTTTACCAAGCCCTGCGACGTGCAATTACGCAACGCTCCTCTGCACCAGCTATCCTGGCTATTTTTACGATGCTCGACCTCCTTTTCCTTTCATTACTACATCTCTCAAGAGCTTCCCCAGAGCCCTGGATAGCCAATGTTTTGGGTGATCAACTCCAAAATTCACTACTAAATTCAGCACCACCATTTGCTGATTCGTTGAGGTACGTTATGATACCTGATTACGTTAGCGCAAATTTCAATGGCATAACGGCGCTAGAAAATCCTGCAAGCAGCTCTTCTAAGGCTGATCGAGCGTCGATAACCAAAAAATGCCGTTAGTAACAAGTTGCGATCGTCGAAAAAAGTCAATAAACAGGTTAAACAGCGTTGCGTAGTTGTCGAGACCCAGTTGCTCGAAGGGGTCGATTGCCAAATTTTACACTTTCTTTAAAAGCGACGACGTCGAGGTTTAACCGAGTTTTTAGAGAAAACTTGCCAAAAGATTGGAAAGTGCCAGACTCCGTGTTGGATGGAGTCATCGGTGTGACAGCGGATGCGCTGGCAGATTTTGCTGGGTAAGCTTTCTTTGCAATTTGTCGAGACTATCCCCCTTTCGATTCAGATGGAATCCGCCCTCGCCAAACGGATACTCAGAAGATCGAGGTGGTTGCCGATGGTTTGGTACGGCGCCGTTTTGTGTGGAAACCTGCCCCACGGATTATGATTTTATTCGGGAGGTGTGTAGAACTCGAATTTTTTCACTAGTTACAAAAAAGCCAAGTGTGCTAACGCGACACGCAACTCTTAGACTCTTAGAACTTTTAGGAATTCCAGCAAAAAGAAACCCTTTGCAAAAACTGCCTCTCAGCGCCAACTACGTCAGGCAACACGCAACGCTTGAAAATCTCCAAAAGCTGGCGTAACAACCTAAAAATCACCATTTTAGTCCAGCGGCCGGTGTCCAGATGACAGTGGCCGATGGTGTATTCCGGATGCCTCTTTTGGGCAGCCGTGTTCTGTATTTTTCGGACTGGGGATGACAAAGAAGTTTTGTTGCAAGTGAGTTTCTTTCTCTTACTCACTCTCTCTCTCACTGTCTCGCTCTTGCTCTCTATCTTGATTGCTCTCGATCTCTTTAACTTCAAAAGCGAAAAGCAAAAAAAAAAGAAGATAATTTTCAGAAGCGACCCGGTCGACTGTACGTGGAGCGGTCGCTGGATGGAGGCTGAAAATGGCTATAACATTTATTGTAGATACGATTCTTCTGTTGGCAGGTTGGTCGTAAAAAGAGGCGTAGGGAGAGAGAGACAGTGAGAGAGAGACCAAGTGAACGGAACAGAGAACACGAAAGAGTGAGAACCAGCCAGAAATAAAATTTAATTCCAGATGTGGCCAACTGCACTGCTCAATCAACCATCGGGATCGGAAAGCTGTGGGAAATTCGTTGATAGGTGAGAGAAAACGAGAGAGAGGGGAGAGAGAAAGAGAGGGAGGGAGAGAGAGAGAGAGAGAGAGAGAGAGAGAGAGATTGGGTCCAAATCTCTCGATTCAGAAGGCGAACGGTGCGACGAGCTGGAGATGTGGGACAGCGAGGGGAAGGCCACCTGCGGGCTGATCCAGTGGACGCGAAACGGCACGGTGCTGAACACGTGGTACAAAACCCAGTGACCTCATGGAATAAATTGTATCTCTTCGTGGATTCGATGGTAGACATGATGATAGAGATACAGAGAAAGTCAGAGAGAGAGAGAGAGAGAGAGAGAGAGAGTGAGCGCGAGAGCTAGAGAGAGCTGGAGAGAAAGAGTGAAAGCGAAGAAGCCATCGTCTAAAACAACAAGATCTTCATCAAAATTACATACATCGAACACCGAGCCAAATTCTGCAACGACATGCGCCTATTTGCGAACACGCCACGATTCGGGTTGAACACGCGCGATGCCCCAGCTGGATCAACAAGTTATCGCGTTCCTATATAACCCCGGTTTGCCATCGAATTATTACTCCTTCTGCTGCCACGAATTTCTTAGCAAAATTCATTTAATCCAAATCCTATGCGTTTCCTGATATTTCTATGTTTTATCGTCGCTCTTATCACTGAAATTCAAGCAGTGACGGATTGCAAGGACACCGCGACCAATTGCGCGTGCATAGTAAGTTGCAGGCTAAGGAGGACGGACGAGAGAGCGATAGAGAGAGGAAGAGAGAGAGAGCGAACGGAGATTTTTCAGAAAGCCCTCTGCACCAGTACCGTTTACACCACCTTGATGACCAACCGTTGCTCGTCTACTTGCGGATTGTAGGTTTTTTAATTGACGTTTGTCAGAACTACAGGACGCATTTTGCTACTTTTTAACGTGGCCATAATAATTCTTATTTAAATCACAGTATTAATGTTGTTTTTTTTTCAGTTGCTGAGTCGAATGGGCCGACGAGAAAAAATTGGATAAATATTTAACTCAATTTTTTTCGGTGTCCTAGATGCGTTCTAAATCATTTCTCAGCTGAGTACAGAAGGGGAGAGCACGGAGGTGAAGATGGCTCCCTAGAAAATTTGCATTTAAAGAGACAGGGGTAGCTTACGTTGGAGAGGATACCCGGCGAGAGGGCTGATGGAGAGAGGAAGAGGCCACCGACGTACGAAGGGGACAGGATGATGGGCGAGAGAACAAAGGGGCTGAAGGGTACTCGTTTCAAGGGCTTCTCAAACGGTATCTGTGCCTTCACGTTGCTTTTAAACACAAAAATCACTACGGATTGGTTATAGAATTTTCAGCTTTCACTGAGAATACCGAAATCCGACCCAAAACACTTACGATAGGATAAGTGGGGTCAGTGACATTGGTGTTCCAATGATAGGAGAGAGACAGATGGGCGAGAGGATTACTTTATCATCGTTAATCTTATGCAAAATAGCCCTTTAAGTAAAAATAAAAATTGAAACCGGGTAGTCTCTTCTCTATAATGATTAAAATTACAAAAACAATGATGTCAGACCTGTATCGAGCAACAATTTTTCTCGTCTTCAAGTTGTTGCGCTTTATGGTGTAAATCTTGGATTGCAAATTCTTCTTTTTTGGCTTGACGACAAAGCCAGTAGAGCTACTCGTCGTAGTGGTAGTAGCAGTAACAGAAGCTGTACTGCTTGAGGTCGTCGTTGTGGTTCCAAATAGTTCTTTTTCTGTGAGCACGATGGGAGGCAAAATGTTTCGAGCTGCAGCTTGAGGATCAGATTCCTTCAATTTCTGAAAAAATATAGGTATTCAGAGAGAGAGAGAGAGAGAGAGAGAGAGAGAGAGAGATCGTGCGTGAGAACGAGCTGCTTACCTTCTTCCTTTCTCTCTCCGCCCTCTTCTTCAAAATCTTCTGATGCCGATTGAGCAACGTTGCAACACATTTAGCATGAGCCTCCACGGAGCGTGCTTTTTTGCTGCACTGGTGGTGGAGCGAGCGCTCCTTTTTGCTTAGGTCATTTAGCCTAAAAGTTTAGATTTTTGTGATTTTCAAGATTCTCACTTTTGCTCAGCCAGCGTCGCAAACAGGGCCGAAAATCCTTGATCACTCCAGTATTGGAAGAGTTCGTGACCGGCTTTCTAAAAAAGTCTGAGAGCTGTGGCGCCGTCGGGACCTAGTGATTAGAAGGGGTAAACTTTTACGCTTTCGCAACCCTTTAATCAAAATCATTTTCTTACTTCGGTGATGTTCAATTTCTTGATGTTTTCTTCTCGCAACTTTTCGATTCTAATTGCACTGTTCGAAGACGTCGGCGAAGCTTTACTTGTTGAATTTGCTGCAATGAAGTTGTACAAATAGACAGGGGATTTTTGCATTCCTTGTAAAATTGTTTGTTGGCTTTTATTCATTTATTGTAAAATTGTGTAAATCTATTTTAAGCTTTTTAACTTAAAGAATTTTCAAAAATACCTTTTTTTACAAAGACAAACGAATAGCTAATTCAGAGTATATATAAACAAGTTTATAACAAAACCAGCGCTGACCCCCCGCTCCGCGGGGGTTCAGCGCTGGCCCTCCCGGGGGGAATCCCATACACCGAAATCCCGAAATCCCGAAACGCCCCGGCTCCCGGACCCGTCCGAACCGGTCCTGGGGTCCCGCAGCGATCCGGTCGGACGGGCGGGCGGGCGGGCGGGCGGACGGACGGGCGCACGGACATTAGAAATTTATATATAAGTGATTTCTAATGTCCGTGCGCCCGTCCGTCCGCCCGTCCGTCCGCCCGTCCGACCGGATCGCTGCGGGACCCCCAGGACCGGTTCGGACGGGTCCGGGAGCCGGGGCGTTGCGGGATTTCGGTGTATGGGATGTTGATTTATTACCCCCCGGGAGGGCCAGCGCTGAACCCCCGCGGAGCGGGGGGTCAGCGCTGGTAAGCTCTAAAAATACAACATTGACTTTTAAAGCTTTATTCAAAATCGCAATATTTAACGCTTCAAAAACGCCGTAAAATACAGACTTTTTCGTCATCAGTAATTTTTATAAAGCTTACCCTTAACCGATACACAACCATCCAATAGACATCCACAAAATAGCACGAGTACCCAATACAACGTTTTCATGTAGCAAATATGCCTCGAGCTCGAGCCATTGGGTGCTTATATACAAGCCGGGAATCCCGTTGGCAAGTTCCCGATTCGGTAGTGTCCATCGGATTGGACAGTACTCTCGAGGCGTTTTTAGCCGCTAATTGAATGAACCAGCCCAGGTAGCTGCACAAACTGTGGTCTGGTCAAGTTAAAGCCCGAGAGAAAGAGAGATGCGAGAGAGAGAGAGAGAGAGAGAGAGAGAGAGAGAGAGGGAGAGAGCGAGCGAGAGAGAGAAATGGTCAAGGTGAGCCGATGGGCTGGGTCAACGCCTGCCGTGTCTTGCTGATGGCGGCATTGAGAACTGGTTCCAGGAAGATTCTCGGAAAACAGTCAACATAATGTGGAAAGCGTTTTGGATCTCTGGTAGTTGTTTTTGAAGAGAGAGAGAGAGAGAGAGAGAGAGAGAGAGAGAGATATGGATAGTGAGAATGACAAGGAGCTACGCATAGCGAGAGACAGCGAGGGATATCGACAGAACGAAAAAAACGAGATAGCAAGAGATAGAGATATCCAGAAGAGAGAGACAGTGCGAAAGCGAAGGAGAGAGATTAAGAAAGAGAGCGTGAGATAGTGATAGAGCGTGAGGTCGTGAGAGATTGAGAGCGCGCTCAGTTGATGCTATTAATGCGCTTATTATGTCAAATAAAAATTATAATAATTTATTCAAGCGTAGGGAAAATATCATTAAAAAGTCGATTGGGCTCATCCATGAATCGTCGATGATAGGAGCTTCCCGGGGCAAGTTGCTTCGAAAAGCCTTCGACGAGGCCTGCAACTTATCAAATCATGAAGACAATGTCATATACCGTATCCTTCAGTCAGTTTTAACACTTTTCAGCCTCTTAATTTTATGCAAATTGTCAACTGACGTCATTAAAAAACAGCGTTAGAAACTTCACCGTCTCAAAAAATAGTGTATTTTGATGCGATGCAATTTCCGCTGATTTTTAACGTGTAGAACAAAAATCAGGCATACAGTCTTTTTGTAACACCAACGCTTTATTCAAAACAACTCACCAACGAAAAGCAATGCCAAAAATAGGGGAAAATAAAAGATTAGCGACATATTGTAGTGAAATGGGTGGTGATGGCGGGGGATTTAAACGGTAAACTTGGTGGAACTGAAATCGTATTTTTCGTCGAGGCGGTTCTGCGGAAGGTCGATATCATTTAGCAAAAACATGTTTATCCGAGTCGCTCTCTCTCCTTCTCACCTCGATCATCGACCTTCGTTCATTTGCTGGAAAAGGTATGATTGGAGAGGAATGAAATAGAAAGATAAAAGTAGTAAATAAAAGCTCTAGGAACTGTATCTAGCTATTTCGACAAGACAGACGAAACACGTGCTTAGGCTTAGGCTTAGGCTTAGGCTTAGGTTAGGCTTAGGCTTAGGCTTAGGCTTACAAGGGAAGTGCACGACCGGCCCACGAGAAATCGACTCCAGACATGGTGGATCTGATAAAATCGGACAGGGGGATTCCGAATCTATAATCAGAATTTGCTAAATAAAACGGAGAAAAAAGTTATGAAGCTTCAAAGTTGGCAAAATCGCCAAAAACCGTACCTTTAAGGGCCCGTAACAACCGGGGGAACGGAATTGAGGAGAAGATAATTGCTGCAGCTTGTTCAGCAGAAAAAGCGCTTTCAAATGAGCTGTAATACGTAGGATTTGCAAACAATTCACTGAAAAAGTTTTTTTTGGTATGACGGGCAAGGGTGTGGCCTGTCAAGTTCATAGAAGAGATTTTCGCGAAATCATCGTAAACTTGAAGTAAAATAGCTCATTCGAAAGCGCTTTTTCTGCTGAACAAGATGCACTAATGGGTTGTGGCAAATTTCCATTCCCTGGGCCTTTACAGGCCCATAAAAGTCCGATTTTGGGCGATTTTGCCAACTTTGAAGCTTCATAACTTTTTTCTCCGTTTTATTTAGCAAATTCTGATTACAGATTCGGAATCCCCGTGTCCGATTCTATCAGATCCACTATGTCTCGTGTCAATTTCTCGTGGGCCGGTCGTGCACTTCCCTTGTTAGGCTTAGGCTTAGGTTAGGCTTAGGTTTAGGCTTAGGCTTAGGCTTAGGCTTAGGCTTAGGCTTAGGCTTAGGCTTAGGCTTAGGCTCAGGCTTAGGCTTAGGCTTAGGCTTAGGCTTAGGCTTAGGCTTAGGCTTAGGCTTAGGCTTAGGCTTAGGCTTGGGCAGGCTTAGGCTTAGGCTTAGGCTTAGGCTTAGGCTTAGGCTTAGGCTTAGGCTTAGGCTTAGGCTTAGGCAGGCTTAGGCTTAGGCTTAGGCTTAGGCTTAGGCTTAGGCTTAGGCTTAGGCTTAGGCTTAGGCTTAGGCTTAGGCTTAGGGCTTAGGCTTAGGCTTAGGCTTAGGCTAGGCTTAGGCTTAGGCTTAGGCTTAGGCTTAGGCTTAGGCTTAGGCTTAGGCTTAGGCTTAGGCTTAGGCTTAGGCTTAGGCTTAGGCTTAGGCTTAGGCTTAGGCTTAGGCTTAGGCTTAGGCTTAGGCTTAGGCTTAGACTGAAGTTTAGGCTTAGGCTTAGAATGCAAGCCTAATTTCAAGGCTAATTAAAAGTAAAATTAGGAAAATAGTACGTCATCTGTCGCGTTTAGTCACTTAAGAAACTTTCCAAACTTTCCAAACTTCGAAATTCCAAAATTCAAAGAAAATGGGAAAATCTAATTTAGCTTTTCTTTCGAAAATCGCCTATTAACATGACTTGGATGGATTACAAAAAGCAATATAAAAAGTAAGTTTTTCGTACATTAATGGCATAAATAAGCCCCGGGATGTAGAAGAGCATCGTGAGCAGCGTGGCAATGCACATCTTCTTGCCGTCACCGGTCGCCAGGGCTACGGTCATAGGCTAAAATTGAGTCTCATTCCAAAAATTGTCTCTGTCTCTTTAATTTTTTATAAGTATCATAATTCTTGCGGGTTTTTTTTTGAAAAGATCAAATTCAGGCCTGCAACCGGAAGCTGATAATTTTATGAGAAGCTGAGACGTAAAAATAAACACAAACCGGTGAGAATATCAAACAGCAGCACTGCCAGAACTCGGCCATTTTGCTGTAGATGAACTTTTTTGGCAGTAGAAAAAGCTCAGAGCTTTTTGGCACGCCTTCCAGCAATGGAAACCAAAGGGTGCAGGCGGGGATGGTCGAGCCGGAAGAGCTTTTTCTCGCCTTATCTTTGCCCTCATCGTTCTTCGCAAACATTTTAACGTTTCTTCGACTTCATGTGGGGACATGAATCATGAATCATTCTTTCTTTTTAGCGGTGATGCACTCAAATGTGGCTTATCTTCCAATGTAAAGACGTCAAGGAGGTATAGCGCTTTGCAAATCTAACATTATGTAAGCCTAAGCCTAAGCCCATGCCCAAGCCTAAGCCTAAGCTTAAGCTTGCCCAGGCCTAAGCCTAACCGAATTTCTCGAGTAAGGTTTAACGAAGATTTGGTGCAGTTTAAATTTTTAAAACAACGATTTATTAAAGCAAGCCATAAGTAAAAAAAATGAAAAGCTACCCGCACTGTTAAACCAAGAGGGAATTCGCTTAGGCTTAAATCTTGCTTATCGATTGATGCCGCGCTGCGCGTCAAGCTGCCGATCGATGAGAAAGCCCTGCTTGGTGGCGTTCTCGATCTCCAACTCGAGCTTCCGGGCCTTCAGACGCTGTACGCGCAGCTTTTCCTCTAACACCATGCGCCGCAGGTCGTCGAGGGCCCCTTGCGCGGCATCTGAAGGGCAAATTAAACCGTTGAATTTTTTTACTATCTTTCGCGCTCGCTATCCCACCCTCTCTCTCTCTCTCTCTCTCTCTCTCTCTCTCTCTCTCTCTCTCTCTCTCTCTCTCTCTCTCTCTCTCTCTCTCTCTCTCTCTCTCTCTCTCTCTCTCTCTCTCTCTCTCTCTCTCTCTCTCTCTCTCTCTCTCTCTCTCTCTCTCTCTCTCTTTCTCTCTCTCTCTCTCTTTCTTACTTTCCCTCGCTCATGCGGAAAAGAGCTGGAAGAACTCACTGGTCTGATAGTTATCAATCGAGGACTCGTCGAAATCGTTGGCCTTGCGCTTCTTGCCATTGGTGCCGAAATGTTGCGGCTCCGCGGGACCTGGACTGTCGACATCTAATGTGATTCTTTTCCTTTTGTGCATGCGAGAGAGAGTGCGAGAGAAAGAGAGGGAGGGAGAGAAGAGAGGCATCGAGTGAGAGAGAAATAAAGTGAGAGAGAGTGAGCGAGAGAGAGAAAACAAGAAATATCCCTCACTTACATTCATTCATCAAGAAATCATTAATCGACGGCACATTTTTAACGTCCTCAAAGTAGTTCATAGAACCGGGAGATGGCGAGGGTACACTATCGGCGGCCACGTCGAGCTGGTTCTCATCTAGAGCGAAAAAAGTTAAAAGTACGATAAAAATCGCGGAGCTTTGCTTTTAGCGGGGTGGGATTAACTTGGCGCTCAATAATAATCAAATAAAAGCCAGTTCTACCTCGCTCCGGCGGCTTCAACTCCTCAATGTTCCTCGTGACGAAAAAGTCGTATAGCTTCTGGCGGTGGACGCGCGGACTGGTGTAGGGGGCGAACACGAGGCCTTGCGCGCGCCACTTTTGCTCCTTCATCAGCTGCTCGCGCACCATCCGCAGCTCGCCGTGGATCTTTTGCTTAATCTGGAGAAGCGGAAAGTTAGCTTCTGTATTAAATACGCACTACAAAGTGCGCATTCCCTCTCGAATTCCAATTAACGTTTTTTTGAGGCATTAAATGTGCAATATCTAAGACGATCTGGACCTTGATTGTTAGCGGGGGGGTGGAAAACTTTCCCTAGTAATTCCATACGGCCTTATAACAAAATATTCATCATTTTCATAGCATTCGACGTAGTTTTTCGATATAAATAGTTTATAAAGAATCATAGAAATTTTCGAAAATTTCCGACTTCTGGCCAAAAAGCTATGAAAAATCGCTACAAAAGATCAAAATTTTAGAATTTTCACAATTCAATGTAGTATTTAGATAAAAATAGTCTATAGACAATAATAAAAATTTACGAAATTTCTGCTGTTTGGTCAAAATGTATGAAAAATGGCCGGAAAAAGATCAAAATTTTCGCGTTCGGATTTTCAAAAAATTTAAAAATATTTTTTTTTATAACTTTTGAACAATCAAACACTACTAAATATAAACGCTATAAAGACACATAATATAAAAAGAACAAGCAAGTCTGGCAGAAAAACAAAAACTTGTTTCCCCCTCGCTCAAGAAATCCCTCGGCCCCTGCTAACAACTCAGTTCTTCAAAAAACACATTTATTTTTAATTCTCTCCTTAACTACTAGCAAAAGACACCTGATTACCTGCAACGGATCCCTCGGCACGCCAAAATCCGAGATCTGCTGCGCCCACTCGGCCCACATCCGCTTCTTGTAGCTGCGCTGACCGGGTGGCGGCACCTGGGGGTGTTAAAGTTTTGTTAAAAAGTTATAAAAATGTGCAAAAAAATAAGTACAAACTATAAAACCGTCGGATTAAACTTCTTTTATAAAGATAATATTAAAAAGCCTTACCTGCCGATAGACTTCCCAGTTCTCGATCAGCAAATCGATGAGCATCTCGACGGCCTGCGGCTTCAGCTCCTGGTGTTTGCAGCGGTGGCCGTCATGGTGTACATGTGCATTTTCCGTGTGCATTGTCTAAACTTAAACTATTTCTAACGGGGAAAACCAAGAGAGACTGGTACTGAACTGGTAGCGGGGGGGTGGTTAGCAGGGAAACACCTTCTGTTTTTCCATCAATGACTGCATGTTAAGAGAGAGAGAGAGAAAAAGAGAGAGAGAGAGAGAGAGAGAGAGAGAGAGAGAGAGAGAGAGAGAGAGAGAGAGAGAGAGAGAGAGAGAGAGAGAGAGAGAGAGAGAGAGAGAGAGAGAAAAGAGAGAGAGAGAAAAGAGAGAGAGAGAAAAGAGAGAGAGAGAAAAGAGAGAGAGAGAGAAAGATACGCTACTACTATTTACAATCGTTTTATGAGTTTAGGGTTGTATTATAAGAGTCCGATTTGAATAAAGAAAGTCAGCAAATTAATAAAAAAACAAGGGAAACCAATAAAAACGTGAGAAAAAGGCGCAAATGCGAGATCGGGGAGGTGGTTTGTTTTGGCGGGAGGAATGAGTGAGGTTAGTGTGGGAGGCAAAGGGGGGTGGAGGGGGGTTATTGATTGGGGGCAGACAGCCCCCTTCAACCCCCATCTGCCCCCGTGTAACTACGTATCTGTGCGTACATTTTTCGCATCTGCGTTCTCTTATTGATAAGAAAGAAAGATAAGGTGACGAAAAATTGGGGTTACTGCCACGGGTTGTGAAACGGAATATAAAAACGAGAAAAGTTAGAGAGGACGAGATAGGTGTAGAGTGAGAGAGAGAGAGAGAGAGAAGCCAAGAGAAATATAAACAAACTAACAGAGGAGGGTAATCTACAGATGCCCCTTCCCCCGCCTATTCTCACCTAGCGTAAAAAAGGATCAGGGGAAAACTTGATTCTTTCGCATTATCGGGGGAGGGGAAGACAATTTTTGTATTCTGGAAATGCCTTGTAACTTAATAGGAAGTATTTTAACAATTATTTAAACAAAATAAATTATATTACAGTCAGAAAACGGCCATTTCAAAACTTTTCAAAAAATCGAAATTTTGATCAAAAACGGCCATCTTTGGTCGAAAACCATATTTATTGCATTTTGTACTCAAGCTTGTACTACTTTTTTCCTTTAGTGTTTTTTGTATATCTCTCTGCTCTTACAGAAGATCAACCACCACCACCAACAAAAAAAAGCCGAAAATCGACAAAAAGCGGTGACCACTGAATCGGCCTCAAAAACCCAATATTCCATCGGGAATAGCTTAATCAAACGTGGGGCAACGTGGATGGCATGTCTGTTCCATGCACAACGCAGGAAAGCCCGGATTTAGCTTTCAAAAAGCAAGACAAATTCCGTCCTACCGTTTTTGCACCAAAAATCACAAATATTTGGTTAGCTACATCAGCATCATGGCCGTCAATTTGGAGCTGTTCTTCCGGGAGTTGGTACGTGTTCTACTCCAGATTACGCTTGAAAAGTTAGGCTCAGACTTGGCGCTAGGCTTTTGGGTGTAGGCTTAGGTTTAGGTTTGTTAGAATTACCCTTAAGCTTGGATCTGGGCGTGGAGGTTTTTAGGCTTAGGCTTAAGCTAAGGTTTAGGGTTAGGCATAGGCTTAGGCTTTGGCGTGTGCTAACTTTAACTACGCTTGTCGTAAGCGGTACTGTACTGTTAGCGGGGGCATCTTCGCGTGGTGAAGTAAAACTGTTTCTTTTGGCCTACTTGTTAATAAATAAAATACAAAAAAAAGTGTGTATTTTTTTCTAGCATTTTATAGAAGTGCCGATAAAAAGCCAGTACTGCAGCTTAAGCAGACAGCAGCCTAGGCTTTGGCATAATTAAATTTTTTGTGTTTTTTTTTCTGCCCCAGCTTTTCCTCCGACACCCGGAAGCGCCATAAAAATTCATAAAAACCGGCCTGGACTCGATTTCCGGCACGACGGGACGGAGCTCTTCCGAAAAGGCGGAGACGCAAAATCTGGTCCCCTCATCTCCGCCATCATCGTCGCCATTAGCATAGATCCTGGGGGAGATTGACCTGGGTGGAGGGAGGGGATACCCGCTCATCCTCACGCTCGCTCATGCTCACCTTTAGAAAATGCTGAAAGCGCTGCGCTATCCGATGCTCTACCGTAATCACCGGGCATTACTCTGGGCGCTGTTGATTGCGGTTGGGATCTTGGGGCTGGTGCTTTGGTGGCCGGCTGGCTATCGGAACCGGAATGGCACGGATGCGGCGATATTGTTTGAGGTTGGTGGCGTATTAATTTTTGTTATTTTATTTAAAATATTATTTAGGTTTTATATTATCATCTGTATCGCGTATATTAGGCAAATTTCGTGGCATATTTTCGTGATAAAATAAATCAAGTTACGGTACTGGACTGCTAGCGGGGGATGTTTCGGCCTATTTGCTACATCTTTGTAATACGTTAAAAACGTTATAAATATGTTTTTATTGTGTTTTTAGTGGCTTTCGATGGCTAGAAGGGCAAGAAAACTATCTAAATTTTGTACCAAGGATCATATTTTTTCAAAGATTTTGAATTTTTTTATGTAATTTTGATATCTGAAAACCGTCTTAAATCGTATAAAAAATGGTTTGATATTTTGTTGTTAGGTTTGATATGACTAAAAAAAAAATGAAAAAGCAAAATGCCCACGTGAAAAAAAAATCAGTTTTTAGAAAACCGTCCGGGAGCGTGTCGACATCAAGGCGAAACACGTGGAAACGTTTCAACTGGCGATTTCCCGGATCTCCGATGAAGACCTAAAACGGTATGACTTTTCCGACCTCCTCGGGCTCGAAAAACTTGTTCAGCGCCACGCAGATCGTCTACTGGATCTGCCCCTCGGCCGACGACTGTCTCCTCCAAGCCCCGTTCTTTGATATGGGCGCGAAATTTCGGGTAAGTTTGTAGTGAAATCAAGTGAAATAATTGAATCCCAGGTCTCCAAGCAGTACAAGCTAAACGCGTGCGCGATCTACAAAAACATGTCGACGGTGTTGACGGCTATTATGTGCTACCTCTTTGACTCGACGCTGATTAGGGACGCCAGCAACTTCCGGAATCAATGGAATAGCAATCGGTAGGAGAGCGAGGGAGAGAGAGAGAGAGAGAGAGAGAGAGAGAGAGAGAGAGAGAGTGAGAGAGAAAAAATTAAGCTGTTCATCTTCAGGTCGTGCATCGGGAAGAACGAGTTCTGGGTGCTGCGCGATGTCGAGAATCTCCTCGGCGACCGCTTCAGTAAGCTGAACAACTTCGCGCTGGTCAGGGAGCCGATGGAGCGTTTCCTGTCGGGGCTGATCAACCAGTGCACGTGAGTTCAGCAGCTGCAATCGTGTGTAAGAAGAGCTTCGTATGGTTCCATCAAATTCAAGGAGTTCAGACTTCTGACGAAATTTTCACTGTGGTACCACCTTTTTTGGTCGAAAACTAGCTTGTAAGATGCGTCCACTTCCAGGAGTTCGGATTTTGATACTGTTACCTATTATCAAATTTGTAGCGCCTCTCCAAAAAACTGCATTTTTCACGCATCAACTTCAGGGCGTTCACGATTTCAATCAAAGCTTTAAACCAATTTAAACCACCTTTTAGGGAACTAGAACGATGCGGGGAGTGCAAAGATGCAGCCTGCCTGCTGGGGATGCTGGATGAAAATGGACGAGAGACGGTGCGTACCGGCGACTTTCGGCTTGGGCATCGCGGGTACTCGGTAGAAGAACACGTCAATCTACACTTCTTGCCCCAATCGTGGTGAGTATTCGTTGGAAAAGATAGCTATCAAGCATCATCTTACCTATGATTGCTTTAGGCAATGCAAATTCGATCGATACCTCAACGACTACCAGCTGCTGAAATACACCAGCTCCGACACTGACGGTATCGCCGCCCAGATGTCTGCCCTCTTCAAGCAGGTCGGGGTCTCAGCGGAGGAAATCGATTTTGTGAGTTTTTCATCCTACTTACATGTATTTTAATCATGTAAGTTTCACTGCTTTGAAAACCTGAAAAAATTCTGGTGTTTCAATTTTTCAAATTCAATTTTCAATATCAGATTCCCTCGAGATTTCGTTAGAGGACCCAATTAAAACGACGCAGCTTGAAAGTGACAACTTGTTCTTTGTTCAGATTGAGGAGCAACTCAAGGGCGGGCGCTCGATCCACTCAACTCTTGGCAACGAGAAGCGGACACGAGCCGAGCGGGAGTTGACGTCAGTTTTTGGAGTTTGAGATAGAACCCTCTCGCTCTCACTCTCACTTTTTGGTCTATCTCGCCCTCTCTCTCTTTCTCTTTATCTTTATCTTTGTCTCCTTCTTTCTCATTCTCTCTCTCTCTCTCGCTCTCTCTATCTCTCTCTCTCTCTTTCTCTCTTTCGCTCCGCATTTACAATATTTTTTACAGTCACAGCCCAGCCCTGATGCGTCGCTTCATGGCCCTGTTCTTTTTCGACTACATCCTCCTCGGATTCCCACTCCCCCGCGTTGAAGCCATCCCATTTTAACAATTTGGGTTTTGATGTCTTTTAGATCCAATTCAGCTGCACGGGTATTTATGGATTCTGCACACAACGTTGCACAATAAATCGTCTAATTTTCGCAAATGTCTATTCTAAATTTGGACCCGGATTCCTGACGCAGCTGGATATTTTGGGCTGCGCAAAGCAGAACTGCTCATTCGGGGAGGCCGACAGGTGCAATTTGGGATTCCCAGGAGGAAGCTGCATGAAAAAGAGGAGTCACAAGGACCGGGTGTGTTCCGAATTTTCAATCCAATTCCGAATCCAATTGAGCAAATGTTGCAGAAAACTGGAGTTAGTTGAACTGCTAGGAGACCCTGATCAACACCATGATCTCGTGCTCATGCAGTGGAACAGCAATGAAATTAAGAGATTTCGCGTTTTCTTTGCCTTAACGACCTAAGGTTGTACTCCGCTTCAACTTGGTGAGAAACATCACGAGCTCGTGCTCATGTCAAGGATTAGATGCTCAAGATGGTGGCAATTTGGATGTCGTGTTACCCAGGCTTTCTCGTCTAGAAAGCTTATTTCCCACCGGCAGCTAGCTGCTCAATAATCTTAGCGCATGTTCATGCTCAAAATCTTGCACTGAAAATTAGGAAACGGCCCAGAAACGCCCGAAAATTCAGCAAAATCACAGAATCGGTGCTCCCACTTGAGGCACAACTTGAGAAAGATAAACATTCAGCCTCGTTTGAGCCCCCTAGCACCACGTCAACGGGAATCCGATTTTTTCTGAAGTCCACTCGTGTGGCCAGCGAGGGAGGGCCTCGGGTGGGGCCAAAATTTGTCGGCCGCCGGAATCCGGGCGAAAAAAATGGCTGCGGCTTTTCGAAGCGTGAAAGTCGAGGCTGGAATTTTGCTGATATATTTAATTTTACATCATCTTGTTTCAGCTTGATCATCAAAATCCCTTTTGGCTTTTTTAACAATTAGTTTTGATTTTTAGCTAGAATTTTCATCGCGTGTCGATAGCCGAAATACCGAAATCTATAATACCGACCTCACAGGGCCGCCAGCCGCCAGCCCGACATCGAAAATAATCACGAAAGCCAGAAAACCGACAACAAGAATCCCGAGGATTTGAGCGATCGGTATTTCAGTTGTCGACATTTTGCCGGTCGGGGTTTGCGGCTGTCGGCACTGCTGCTGTCGAGCTTTCGGCTGTCGGAATTTAGCTGCGGTATTATTGGGGTTTTAACTTTTGGAAGTTTTAATGTAAAGGTGGAACTGCTCGTTCAAGGCATTCCGTTCATTCAGTTCTTCTTCTCCCGATTTTGCATCGTAGCCCATTTTTTAGTACTGTACTACTAATTTTGCACTGCACTAAATTCCAATTTTATTCCTTGCAAATTTTCGTCTCGCATCAGTCACAAATCCTGAATTGCAAACCCAAATTCTGGATCGCTGGCAGCTGAAATCCACCCTTCTGCCTTCTGCAAAATCCAAGCTCCAGCGATTCCTGAAAAACAAATTATACCTCCCTAGCCTGAAATAGCCAAAAGCCGCTGCTGGCGCCCTTTACCTGCGTACTTGCTTACCTCCCCCCTCACCTCTAAGATTTCGGGGAAACCGCCCACATTCAGACGTCCTGCCCAAACACCTGCCAAAGTCCCGAAACGGCTATAAATTCCAGGGTATCTCGAGGATTTCGAGGAGTTCGGCTTCGGTTCTCAGCTTCGATTCTACACTTCCAACATGAGCTTCAGAAGAATTCAAGCCTGCTTCGTTCTACTGGTGCTACTTCCGGTATTTCTACTAGCTCAAGAGATGGAGCAGGAAGAGCTAAGGCCATTTGGTGAGTTCCTTACGATATATAAGCTTGGGCTTAGGCTTAGGCTTAGGCTTGGGCTTGGGCTTACTGAGACTTGGGTTTAAGTGTCTGTTGGTTAGCCTTAGGCTTACGAGACTTAAGCTCAAAATATCTCCCATTTCAGTAGCCATCATGCCCCCGTTCTTACGCATGGACAGGCGGGCCATCTCCAAATTCATCCAAACACGCCAGGAGCCGAAGCGATACGCGAATACGTTGGGTGGGTGAGGGTGGGGCACCGGGTTTCCGGTTCATTGGGCTCGGACTCGAAACATGGTCGCTGAACTTTAGCGGTGGAAGTTCGTTTTGGCTTGGGCATTCGAAAACAACTAGATGACGTTCCTATGTAATTGCCGATTTTTCAGACAAGTCAACATTGAAGCTATGGAGAAGCTCGGCAAGTATGATCTATCAATGTGAGTAGTTTATTGCTTTCTCTCTCTCTCGCTCTCTCTCTCTCTCGCTCTCTATCGCTTTCTCTCTCTCGCTATATCTCTCGCTCTCTATCGCTTTCTCTCTCTCTCAATTCCTCAAGGTCTAAAAGGTAACCCTTTGATTTTAGTGAAGAAGATGCAACAAGCCGGGATGATTTAAAACGCCAGCTCTTCGTGTAAATGGGGTGCAATGAATAAAGTCTTGATTTGTCTTGTTTTTACAAAAATAATTCGTAATATTTATTGACATTTACATATACCTTCAAAATTATGAACCGATCCGGGTACCGAGTCGACGAGCTCCATCAACGTGCAAAATGGCACCAGTCGTGAAGCTCGATTCAGTTGAGGCCAGGAAGACGACAGCGTGGGCAATCTGAATCGAAAGACTAGTTAAAGCTCCTTCTCTCTCTCGCTCTCTCTCTCTCTCTCTCTCTCTCTATCTATCTCTCTCGCTCTCGATCTCTCACTCGCTCTCCCTCATCCTCTCTGTCTCTTTCTGTTTCTCTCTCTCTCTCTCTCTCTCTCTCTCTCTCTCTCAATCCTACCTCTTCCGGAAGTCCAGCCCTGCCAATCGGATAGGCAGCGATGTAAGGAGCCATTCGCTAAAAAGAATTTTTTAAAGGCGACTTCCAAGTTTACCTCATCCCTGTTCTCCTTCGTACACATCCCGGCGTTGACCCCGAAAGCCGTGTCGATCAGACCGGGACTAAATTCTCAATAAAAATCTATCTTTTTGGTCATCTACTTGATGCTGTTGACCCTGACGCCCTTGGGTGCCAGCTCCAAAGCCAGGCATTTTGTGTACATGTCCAAAGCCGCCTTGGAGACGCAATAGAACCCTGCGGCTGGTTGCTGAAAATTCGCGATTTATTATTGTCGGCGTTGTCGAGTTCTACCGTCATTTCCGACGCAACGCTGCTGATGTTGACGATATTTCCGTGGGACTTCAGGAGATGGGGCAGGGCCAGCTGGGTCAGTTGGTGAAGGCTGTAAGTAGATCATTTAAGCCTATCTATGCTACTTTTTACTAAATTTAAGACACAATAAAGAAATTTTGAACCCCAAAACCTGGTCAAAACTTTCTGTTTCCGGTAATTTTTGTTATCTTGCAAACGCGAAACCCGATCTTCACGAGGAATACGTTGACTTGGGTTTTGACTTGGGAATTCATTATGCTTGAGCTTGAGCTTAGGCTGCCACTCAGACATCTCCTACTCACCTCCTAACATTCAAATTCATCTGGCGATCAAACTCCTCGACCGGCATCCCCGACAGCATTCCGGCGATGGCAAAACCGGCGTTGTTGACCAACACATCAATTCCACCCAGCTTGCCGACGGTCTCTTCCACAACCTTCTCGGCGGTGGCCTTTTCAGTGAGGTCTCCCTGGATCACGATGACCTAAATACGAAATGCTGTAGTGCAACGAGTACGCACCTTATCGGAAGGGCATCCCGCGTCAGTGCAGGCTTTCTTGGTCTTCTCCAGCTCATCCTGGGAGCGGGCAGTGATGGCAATGGCGTAGCCCTAAAATTTGGGTGTGGTGGCCGAATTTTGCCTTGCCAGTTCCTTCAAAATCAAGAAAAAAAAACTCACTTTCTTGGCGAGTTCAACAGCAGTAGCACGGCCGATGCCGGATGAAGCTCCTAAACAAAACTGTGGGGAAGGAAACAAAGGGAGCATGCATTCTGGAGAATCAGGGGATAGAAAGAGCGGGGAAGAGAGAGAGATGGCGAGACGGAGAGACAGAGAGAGCGAGAGAGAGACGGAGAGACAGAGGGGGAGAGAGAGCGCGAGAGAGCGAGGGAGGAATAGAGAGAAAGGGATAGAGAGGGAATGAGAGACGAACAGTATAGTTTTTTAAGGGGCAGTCCGCTTTCACAACAAACCTGTAACGATAGCGAACTTCATTTCTAGCGGAATATTATTCTTCGGAAGTTTTAGGTGTTTTGGTGTGTGTTGCAACTCCGGTCTGGCCTCCCTTTTATCTATTTTCTCAGTTTGCAGTCTCTGTCCTCCTTGGCCACTCCCCCCTGTGAATTTTGCCGCGGCCAGAGGATTAAAGGGGATTTGGGCACAAACCAGATAGTATTTGGACGGAAATCAAGGCAAAAGCACACATCGGGCCCGTTTCTGTCACCTGGAAGGTCAAGAGTAGACTCTAGGCAGGGTTTGTGGGGTTTTTTCTGGGTTTGTGATGCAAAACGCGTTGTGGTTTGTAGCGAACGGAAATTTAAATCAATTTTTTGCATATTACATTTTGTCCACTTTATTTTTTCGTTTGATAAATCAAGTTAAAACATTTTTCAAAAATCGAATCCCAACTCTTCGCATATTCTTGTTTTTCCTGGTTTAACCGCCTTATTCTGGCTTATCATTGATTTTTATTTTTGCTGTTCATTTTGGTCAATAATTGGTTACCGTTGATATTTGGTTTAAACGGGGTATCGGTTGCATTAAGATTCACGAAAAGAAGTCGATTCATATAGGCGCGTACACTTATCCATATTTCTCTAATACATAATTGACCGAAACCTTCAAAAATGTCTCTTGGTGAATTACTGGCAATTTTTTAGTAGGCGTACCTGTAAAAGATTGTTCGAATACAGTATATAGACGAGCTTTCTAACTCCATTTTTTTAATTTTTCAATTTCCTTTCCTCGCCCTTTAAGATCACCCGCGAGTTTAATTGGGTTCTTCATCCCGCCTTTCAACTTCGTTCGTTAGCTTCAGGGCCCTTGCAACCCTGCCTCCCCCAGGATTACTTGAAATTTCATCCTTCTATTACTTCTTACCAATCCTATCATGAGTTATTCACCTTTTCTTTAAACTTCTTTCTTTAGTAAATTTCAATAGTCTTTTTCTCTCCACCATATTCTACTGCAAAATTGCCCAGATGCATCTATCGGTTTCTCGCTTCCTCGTTCCTCGCGCTCTTCCGTTGCTCATCAACTCAACGCAGGTGTCGTTGGGAGGCCTGCGTATACGATGTGGTTATCAGTAAAAGTGCGTGATATTTATTGAAGTGTACACTTTACAAATTACTATTCAATCTTGGTGCCCAGTCTTCGGGCGCCGTCGACGTGGAGGATGGCACCGGTGGTGAAGCTCGATTCTGGGGAGGCCAAGAAGACGACGGCGTGGGCGATCTGGAATTGAAAATAACCAACGGTTATCTTTCTCTCTCTCGCTCTCTCTCTCTCTCTCTCTCTCTCTTTCTAGTTGAAAGTGTAAATGCTGACCTCTTCCGGCTGTCCGGACCTGCCGACCGGATAAGTGGCGATGTAGGGGGCAAGACGCTAAAACCAAAATTAACGAATGTTCTGTCCATTTTTTACCTCTTGACGATTCTCCGTTGTGCACATACCGGCGGTAATTTGGAAGGGCGTGTCGATGAGGCCAGGGCTAAACAAGATAATTTTAACGTTAAAAGTCGATACCTTCTTTTCAGGAGTAAATTGGACTTAAGTTAAGGTTTTAATGAAGACACCCACTTGATGCTATTAACGCGAACTCCTTTTGGTGCCAACTCCAGAGCCATGCACTTGGTGTACATGTCGAGGGCGGCCTTGGAGATGCAGTAGAACCCAGCGGCCGGGTGCTGAACAACGCAAAGATAATGACGCCAAATACGAGCTTACAGCCATCTCCGATGCAATGCTGCTGATGTTGACGATGTTTCCGTGCGACTTGAGCAGGTGGGGCAGAGCGAGCTGCGTGATTTGGTGGAGGCTGAAAATTGCGAGTTTAGGTTAGGGTTTTAGGGTAGGGTAGGGTACGTAGACTTGTATATTTCGCTTCCCTAGCTAAGCCTTAGGCTTAAGCTTAAGCTTGGGTTGGGCTTGGCTTAGGCTTGGGCGGATGCTTAGGATGAGGCAAAGGCAAAGGTTGAGGCTTAGGCTTAGGCTCAATTACTCACCTCCTAACATTCAAATTCATCTGGCGATCAAACTCCTCGACCGGCATCGTTGACAGCATTCCGGAAATGGCGAATCCGGCGTTGTTCACGAGCACATCAACACCGCCCAGCTTGCTGACGGTCTCTTCAACGATTTTCTCGGCAGTGGCCCTCTCGGTTAGGTCGCCCTGGATGATGATGACCTAAAACAAAGCGCTAATTCCAGCACGTTCAAGTAGTTCACACCTTATCCGCCGGGCATCCCGCGTCGGTGCTGGCTTTCTTGGTCTTTTCAAGCTCATCTTGGGAGCGACCGGTGATGGCGATGGCGTAGCCCTAAATTGTTGATGTATGCGATGCATCCCTTGGCTTTCTAGTTTCTTAAAATTAGAAATCAGCGCCAAGCGTACCTTTTTTGCTAAAGCGACGGCAGTAGCACGTCCAATTCCGGATGAGGCTCCTAGAAATGGCATATTTTAGAAAATAGCCGCAAAACTCGAAGATATGGCGGGTTCCCTTTAAAAACCGCAAATCGGGACCCGGAAAAAATGTAATATCTAGTGTTTGCATCAATATTGCCGAATACGGCGTTTACAAGCTACAAAAAGCAAAAAAAAAACCAAAAATAGTGAAAATAAAATCATGCCCTTATGAAATTTTGGGGTAAGCGCATGACAAGTTTTTGGCAAATGCAATAGAGCTTAGAAAGTGTATTTTTGCGTGATAAAAAGATTTGTGGGCATGAATGAAACCAAGGTGTTCTAGATAAATTTTATAAAAACCCACTCATAAAAACTCGCGGGACCCGTAAAACATTAAAGGAAGCCGAAAACTCATAGATAAATTATGGGTAATTTTTCAACTTTTAAATTGTCCGAAAAACCAACCTGTAACCACGGCGACTTTCATGTTCAGCTGAGAATTATTTGTGGGAAGTGTTCGGGTGTATTGAATTCCTCGGGTCAGCCCTCCTTTTATCTATTTTCCGAGCTTGCACGCTGTGCCCTCGCTGGCCACTCCCCCTGACCCCCGCGAGCACAAACCAAACACATGATGGGCGAGAGGAGTAATAGGGAGGTGGGGCACAAAGCAGACAGTTTCCGGGTGGAAAACGAGTAGAAAGCACGGCTAGGACCCAGCGGTTTATCGGTAAAGTTTAGCAGGGGGCTTCAGGCTTGAATCATGATGCAAAAAGGTGTGGTTTGGAGCGGAGAAAATTTGTAAAAAGTGATTTCCAGTTTGTGATTCTGGGTTAATGTTCCTAGCTGTTATATTTTTGTGCTTTTTTGTGCACTATTTTTGTGTTTATTTTGCAATTTTTGTGCTCCTTTGGTCTCGATTGGCGGCTTGAAGCTTGTAAAAAGAATTTGTCATTTTTTCCTCCCTTGGTAACTTTTTGGCTTTTAACTATTTGAAGCCCAAATTTAAATGTAACTTGGGCTGACGCAAAAAGGTGTGATTTGTAGCTTATAGTCGATTTCAGAATTTTTGCAATATTTCTTCGGGAACTTTCATTTTAATTCACTTTTGATTTTTGCGAGTTTGGTTTGTGCATTGAAAATCATATTTATTTTTCTTTTCTCGCAAACAGGGGTCTTCATCAAGGTTTTTTCCATTGCCCTTATTTTTGAAAATAGAGTGGCCGGTAATAGGGAATAAAAATCAGGAATAGCATTTATTCTCATTCTCAAAATCACGAATGCGATCCGATCACTAGACCTCCATCGACATTCATGATAGCCCCGGTCGTGAAGCTCGACTCAGGGCTGGCCAAGAAGAAGATGGTACGAGCGATCTGAATTTTAAGGTTTCTCTCTCGCTCTCTCCATCTTTTTTTTCTCTCTCGCTCGCTCGCTCGCTCTCTCTCTCTTTCTCTTATACCAACCTCTTCAGGTGTAGCTCCCCTTCCGAGTGGATGCGACTTGGCGAAGGCGTCCATCAACTAAAAAGCCTCATCAGATTTTTTCATTAAATTCCGATACCTCATCCTTCGACTCCTCCGTGCAGAAACCATTCCGGGTTTGGAATTCGGTGTGGACGAGGCCGGGACTAAATTTCGTAGATGTCTTTATGGAAGGAATTATATATGGGTATTAGGAAGGAAGAAGAATCTTTTGGTATTTTTACAGACTTTAATGAATTCGTTAAGATATTTACTTGATACTATTGACCCTAACGCCTTTTGGCGCCATCTCCAGCGCCAGACACTTTGTATACATGTCGAGGGCGGCCTTGGAGATGCAGTAGAAGGCCACGGTTGGGTACTAAAAAACAGGTTTTGCTTAGGTGTACGCTTAGGTTTGGCTTTGGATTAAACGTAGTCCTAGGCATTGGTTTCTTCTTAGGCTTAGGCTGAAACCTGACCGGAATTTGCGACATGGCGCTGCTCACATTCACAATACTGCCTTTGACATTCACGATGTGCGGAATGGCGAGCTGGGTAAGTTGATGGAGGCTAAAATGGCCTTTGCCCCGAGTTTTATCGAAACTTTCCATATTCGAAGCTTTTAGGTAATTTTTCTCCATTTCCTACGGTATTTTACGCATAAAGGTATTTGTCATACGCACCTCTTTAAATTGAGATCCAGCTGCTTGTCGAGAGATTCCACAGAGGAATCCGAGATCGCCCCAGCTACACCGAATCCGGCGTTGTTTACCTAACATAGGCAATTTGGTTCTTCGCTGGATCGAAGAGGGAGAGAAAAAGTCAGAGAGAGCGAGAAAGAGGGAGAGACATCGAGAGAGTAGGAATGATCATTATCATAAACTTACCAAGACATCAATTGCCCCCAACGCCTTCAAAGTGTTTTCAATAATTTCCTCGCACGTCTCCCGTTTTGTCAAATCTCCAACAGTGATTACGACCTAAAAACACCTTACTTTCAAGAACTACGCTACACTCCGCAACCTTCTCTTCTGGACAGCCGGCTTCTACACAGGCTTGTTTCGTTTTCTCCAGATTCTCCTTGGATCGGGCGGTGATGGAGACGGCATAGCCCTGAAAAGAGGCTTAGGCTTGGCTTAGGCTTAGGATTAGTCTTCTAGGTTTGGCTTCTGCTTAGCTTAGGCTCAGACTTAGGCTTAGGTTTAACCTGGGCTTAGGATTAGGCTCGCCTTAAGCAGAAGATGCGGCATAGCCAGCTTTGCCTAGGCTTCACTTACCTTTGAGGAAAAAAAGATCGCAACCCCTTTTCCGATTCCCGAAGAAGCTCCTGAAAAAAATCGCTTCAGATTCCGCTAAATTCAAGGCTTTTTAGCTAAATAAATCTTTCTCAAAAATTCATAGATTAACACTCACCAGTAACGATGACAGTTTTCATTTTTGATCCAACAATTTCGGACAGCCAGCAATTTTTCAGCGACTGGAAATAATGAGGGTCCCGGTGTGGGCCAGCGAGCGGGGCAGCCTATTTGAGGGGAGTGCGGCCCCGAAAAAACCACAGAGTTGAAAAGAGCATCGAGTGGGCCGACCTTGGGCTTGTGTTAACTGCCGGAGTACGCAAACTATTGACCGGAAAAGAAACGTGGGTGGGCAGAAAAAGGCACAAAATTGGAAAGGGTGAAACGGTCTTAAAAGGCCGACTTTTCATGAGTAAATATGATGAAAAATGGTCTTGAAATTTCAAAAATTAGGCTTGTAAACTCGAGATCAAAAATAGCAACCACTGTGACTGAACGGAGTCAAACCAGGGCCATAGGTACAACCTAGAAAAATCAGACCTCAAGAGGTAAGCGATGTTTTTAATGGGTTTTGAGGCTCATGCTCCGATGGTTAACTGCTCCATTTTCACGAGGACAAGTCAAGTTTGGTACACGCGCGGTGCAGATTTTTTGATTTTTGGCCAAAAACTGAGAATTCAATTCTATTGAGCGCATTTTCGGCAGTATTTTCGAGGGTTTTGTACTTGCAAGCGCCTGAAATATTGTTTTATAAGACTTCAAAGTGTGATTTGTGCTCTGTAATATCCATAATTTATTAGACTGCCTAAAAAAAATTCCTAAAGCTTTGACCGGGGCCCGGTCACCAGCCCTCCATCAACATTTACAATAGCTCCGGTGGTGAAGCTGGAGGCAGGGCTGGCGAGGAAGAAGATGGTACGGGCAATCTCAATTTACCTTTGCTATCTCTCTCCGTCTATACGTCTCTCTCTCTCTCTCTCTCGCTCTCACGCTCTTTCTGTCTCTCTATCCCTACCAACCTCCTCCGGTGCGGCTCCTCTCCCGAGCGGATGTGATTGCGCGAAGGCTCCGAGCGTCTGAAGTCTAAAATTCTTGACCGATCACTCTAACAAACCTCATCCCTCGTCTCCTCCGTACAAAACCCGTTCCGCATCAAGAATTCGGTATTCACGAAACCAGGGCTAAATCCAGATTACACTCAATGCGTTAGACGTAAGATCCTACTTGATACTATTGACCCTCACTCCTTGAGGCGCCATTTCCAGCGCCAAGCATTTTGTGTACATGTCGAGGGCCGCTTTGGAGATGCAGTAGAAGGCGACGGTGGGGTTCTGAAACGGCAGGTATAGGCTTAGGCTTAGGTTAAGCTTATGCTAGACTCAGGCTTGGCTTAGGCTTAGGCCTATTTCTAGGCTGAAGCTTAACCCTATGCTTCATTACCGACCGGGATCTGCGAGATAGCGCTGCTCACATTAACGATGGTCCCGCGCGCCTTGATGATATGCGGAATGGCGAGCTTTGTTAGTTGATGGAGGCTAAAATATGGGCTTTCTGAGGTTTGGAACCACCGTAATAGCTCTAGCCTAGGCTCCAGACATTCAATCCGCACCAATGGTAACTATAATATTCTAACCTCTTTAAATTCAGGTCCAGCTGCCGATCGAGAGATTCCATGGACGACTGAGAGATGAAGCCGGGCACCCCAAGACCGGCATTATTTATCTAGAAGTTTTACCTTTCCTATGAAAACAAACAAACGTCCTAAAACCATTGAAATGGCAAAAAAACGGTTTAATAAGGGTCAGCCGAAGTGCCGTGGCTAACTACCGTAACCTACCAAAACGTCAATAGATCCCAGCTTCTTGATAGTATTTTCTACAATCTGCTCACAAATTCCGGGTATCGTCAAGTCGCCGACAGTAATGGCGATCTCAAAAAAACGGAGCATCAAAGCCTACGTTACGCTACGTTACCTTACGCTCCGGACACCCGGCTGCAACGCAGGCTCTCTTCGTTTCTTCCAGGTTTTGTTTGGAGCGAGCGGTGATGGAGATGGCGTAGCCCTGAAAGCTAAATTCTTGCTTGCTTAGGCTTAGGCTTAGGTTTGGCTTGGTTTAGGCTTAGACTTCGGTTTAGGCTTAGGCTTAGGCTTGAGCTTAGGTTTCGGCTTATGCTTAGGCTGGGGCTTGGGATTGGGCTTGGGATTGGGCTTCGGCCTAGGCTTGGGCTTGGGCTTGGGCTTAAGCTCAGGCTCGGACTCAGGCTTAGGCTTAGGCTTCTGCTTGGGCTTGGGCTTGGGCTTAGGATTAGGCTTAGGTTTTTGCTTGCGCTTAGGCGTAGGCTCGGGCTTATGCTTAGGCGCGGCTTTGGCTAAGTTTAAGCTCAGGCATAAGCTTCTGCTTTGGTTTTCGGCTTGGGCTTGGCCTTAGGCTTAGGCTACAAACCTTGGTTGCAAAGTGTATGGCCACATGTTTTCCGATTCCCGAGGAGGCTCCTAAAAATCACAAAAAAAATTAGGGATAAGGTAAAAACTCACCGGTGATAATAACCGTTTTCATTGTTACAGTAATCAGTAGTCACACGCAGTCAAGCGTACCGTAGCGTACCGTAGCGTGCCGTAGCGTACTGTGGCGTATCCCACGGTTCTTGTTCTCGAGCCCTAAACCAACGACTGATTCAACCTGCCAACCCAGGTGGATATGAATTTCCTTGATGGGGTGGGGCGACACGACAAAAACTGGAATGACACCAGTGCCAAAGAAAAATGGCCGTCACGTCGGCAGAGGGGGTGTGAAAGCTTATCTTGCTATCTTTGCAGCCGGAACCACATCCCCCTTTCTCCTGATGATTTATGCGCACTAATAGCGCCGCTTTTTCGACAGATCGACGAAACGGAGGGCGGTCGTAGCTCACCGGAGGGAGAATTATGGCCTGGGTGGTCTGGGCTGTGGGAGGAGGTTTTAGCAGCGTTTTACCTGAACTCTGTAAGTAATGGAAATATTGAAAAAGGCCTAAACCCAAGCCTAAGCCTAAGCATAAGCCTAACCGAAACCGGGTCGAAACCAAAACCAAAATAAACAAAACCGGAATACCGACACTTCTAGCTTATGTCGGCATCCGCGTTTTCCGGCGTGGTATTTTTGACGCTGTAGATGCGCCAGGCTTTTAAGACTTTTCCTAGTCCTGATCCCGTGAATACCGACAATCGGTATTCCAACCTTTTGACGCGGCGTCAGGTATAATACGACGGCTTCGTGGCGTAACCTCAGAATGCCGACAACTTCTGGATTCAGATTTTCTGCCCTCGGCATTTTCCATGCTGAAGACATGCTATACTCAGTCGGCTTAAAATCCCGACAGACTTGGCATTTGTGATGGTTAGCTGTCGCGTGTAGTTTGTAGTGTTTTTCGGTGTCGGTATTCTACGCGTTGCAAACGTGCCATCAAGTTCCAAATCCTCTCAAGTTCCAAAACCTCTCTGATAAGTGTAACATCATCCAAGTTTCGCCCGTCATCCGCGCTGCCAGCCGCCTCCTCGCTTTTGCAAAGATCTGGAATGGGGTGGGGTATCGTATCCTCGTTTAGGGGACTGATAAGGTCGTCGTCATCTTGGATGATAAAGATTGTCTGGCACCCAGCCACCCCTATCCATCATCTTAGCGCCTCTTAAGAAAGCAGAGAAGCAGCAGCCGCGGGGCTGGCCTTGAGATCTGGTACTAATGGTATCTCTGCCAGCCCGATTTTTGAGCTAGGAACGACACAAAGCTGAGAATTGGAATCCGCAGCAGCGAAGCAGCATGATAAATCGGAAATCCATATCTTAAAAGGTGCAACGTGCCGAATCCAACTCTTGCAGGCAAACGACTTGTAATTTGCAGATTTCTGGAGCCTGAAGCTACCGTACTCTAGCAGCATCTCAAAAAAAGGCTGAAGGATACAGACGGGCTACCGTAATCGGCCTCTAACCCTAGAAAATCCACAGGCATGTAGATCCCTAGCTATACTAATCCCTTGCCGGGTTCTTTAAAACGCAGGTTTTCTGGATTTTCGAAAGCTGCGTAGATCAAATGAAAAACCAAAATAATTCTAGCTATCGAAATTTATAGATGTCAGCTATGGAAATCTTCAAACTTGTGACGTAATCGGGGTGGCTCGCGTTTGTCACATTTTTTTGCAAAATTTTTGTCTTCGAAAAAGCGGTTTTTGCTCTCAAATTTCCACCTTCCGCCCCCAATCTTGCCCAGTTTCCAAATTATAGGAATCGGGTCTAGAGGAATCCGGTGAAACAGAGACAGTGGTGGACCGAAATTGGCTATCGGGAGTTTTTGGGGAGGATGAGGGTGGGTGGAATCGGGGTGGAATCGTTGCGGTGAGTGAGGAGCCCCCAGGCGGGATCAAGCAAGTCCGCGCCCGGATCGAAAAGCCGCGGTACAAAAGGGAGCCCCGTGACGTTGGAGAGCTTTCCGAATGAGCTTCAGCTTTTGTTCCTTTCATTTCTAAACGGTCAGCATTTAAAACGTGAAAATGTCGATTCTGTAGTTTAAATTCTGAACTTGATCTCTTCAAAAAATTGTAGATACCTCAATTTTTTTACTCATGCTTTTTAGAAAAATTAAACTTTTCTTTTGTGAAAAACCGTATAACAAATAAAAATTTCTTTGTCAGTTAAATTCCGTTATTTTCCACATTACGAGTTGCGAAATTTATCATTTTCATTATACCATTAAATTATTTTCTTTACCGTGCAAATTCGATACTTTTCGGCTCTAATAACTTGAAATTTCCTTAAATTTCATGAGTTACCCATGCCTTTTCCAGGATGAAGGTGACCTCGGCCACATGGGTGGCCTCCTCGGTGTCGGCGCTCACGCTCGCCCTTTGCCTCTTGGCTATGAGCCAGATCTACTCTGAGGTCAACTCCATGCAAGAGCTCCTCGACTCCGAGTTAGCCAGCTTCAAGGCCAACACCAACGGCATGTGGAAGGACATCGTCGTGATGAGCTCGGCGAACAAGAGGACGAGGCGCCAGGCTTACCCCGACAGCAGCGAGGACAGAGGATACCCGGTAGGTTACTTGACCTTGTTGAAAAAGTGGTACCGGGGGCGAAATAGCTATAATTAAGGCGTGTAATAGCGATCCTGAACGCCTTAGACGTGACGTCCTAGAAACGTATAAGCTAAGCTAGCATTAATACGTAGTGAACCCTTATTATCGAATTCTAAACTCCTTGAACCTGCTTGAGAATGACGCCCAGAAGCGTATAGCCATCATCCCAAAATATTAGGTTGGAACATAAGTTCGCGCAAGCGAACTTTGGAAATTTCTTTCTGAAAATTTAGTGGCCAGATTCCAATATTCCCTCTTTGCATTTATTTATTGGGTTCATGAGTATGTGGGACCAAAATTACAGATTTTTAGCCCCAGTAGTTTTGAAGATTTTTGCGTTTCTCTCGAGTGCACTTCAAATTTTTGACCCGGACATCTTTCCGAACCGCCATAAAGTCACCATACGAACTGATCATCACTATAATAATAAATTATATCTATCAGCTGCAAGCCGAATTAGCCTAAAAAGGAAGCCAATTTTCTTTTGTAAAGGCGGGCCGAAGCTATTTTTCATTTTCGCTTAAATCTAGCTTTAAAAAATTCTAATAGGGAAGCAACGAGATTCCGTCCCACACATCGAATAGAGAATTTTATTGCATATCCGTTCATTCAAAAAACATTTTGGTTCTTGCCCGTTTTCCGGTCCGAAAATTACAAAGAAAGAAAAATATTGCGCGAACTTTAGTTCCAACCTAATAATAATCTTGAACTTCCTGACCATCCCGTTTCAGGAGACGAACTCGTCCCCCGGAATCCCGCCCAACCAGCCCCCGGCCGTGCCGCCCGTCTTCACCAAGGAGTCGACCCCCGACTCCCCCGGCGCCACTTGTAACTGCCAGGCTCATAACCGTTGCCCGGCTGGACCTCCTGGCCCCAAGGGCGCACCAGGAATCCCTGGGCCCAACGGACTGCCTGGACTTGACGGCAAGGTCGGAGCCAACGCCGATGATGTGCCTCCTCAGGACGATTCGCATTCTTGCTTCAACTGCCCCATCGGACCACCTGGACCTCCTGGTGAGTGTGAGAGCTAGTGAGAGAGATAGAGAGAGCGAGAGAAAGAGTGAAGATAGAGCCGTCCTGATCCCTTTAAGGTACCCATGAACCCAAAAAAGCCATAATTTTTCCCTATTTTCAGGCGCCCTCGGCCGCCCCGGTCCTCGCGGAATGAAGGGAATCGACGGTCACTCCGGAATGCCTGCCCGCGACGGAGAGCCCGGACTTCCCGGAGACCAAGGACCTCCCGGACCTACCGGACCTCCTGGAGACTCTGGGCCTCCCGGAGACAAGGGAGCCGATGGACAGCGACCGATCGGACGGCCCGGACCGAAGGGACCATCTGGACTCCCTGGACACCCCGGACCCCAGGGAACCAGCGGACTCCATGGACCTCGCGGATCGCCCGGACCCGCCGGACCCCAGGGACCCCAGGGACCACCTGGACCTGCTGTGAGTTTTGGTGTAAATGTAGCGTCGCGGGGCGGGGGATTTAAAGGGACCGGAAAGGTCGATAATCGAGATCTTGGCATCTCGCTCAACTAGCGAGGTCTGGCCCACAACGGGGGTTGATTCTCAGCCTTCCCAGTCCCTTTAAAGGCAGCGCAACAGCAACTATCTCAAAAAAGCTGATGCTCACCCTAAAGATAACTTTTCCAGGGCCCCGAAGGAGACGAGGGACCCGAGGGAGAGCTCGGACGCGTCGGCGAGGACGCCGAGTACTGCGCGTGCCCCAACCGTGTCGAGGACGCCCCCGTCCAGGCCGGAAAGTACCACCTTGGAGTCTAATTTACGACCCAGAAGTGCGGATAAATGCATTAACTTCAATTTCTGAGCACGAACAGCTTCCGAACAATATTTGTGACAATTTTTGAGATATTTTCTGGCTGTCACTTTCCCTTTAAAAGCGCATAGGGGAGCGTAGCTTTCCGCGTAGTGTGTATTGTAGCGCACTGTAGCCCTTAACGTGAATTTCAAAAGCTCACATGTATGTTAGAACCGAGTTTCAGCTTGAATAAAAGAGCTCGAAAGCTCACAATTACGCTGTTTTTCGTACTTTTTCGCGTTTTTCTAGCTGTCACTATCCCTTTAAAAGTCCGTATTAAAGCACAGCTGCCCGCGTAGCTTATATTGTAGCGTACTGTAGCGTTTACCATGCAATCCAAAACCCCGAATAAACGTTACTATTTTTTCAGATAGAAAAAGTTTGCTCCAAAAATATTTCTGTGCTTTTTCAGATTTTCCTAGCTGTCACGGTCCCTTTAAAGATGCGTATTGTAGCGTAGTTGCCTCTAAACCGTGTAAATAACGTGCTGTAGCTTTCAACACTTCAAAAATGCTTTATTAAACAATAATGTGGACTTTTTGTCCGGTTATGAGTGGCGAATCGGGTCGAGTGGACGGCGCAACGCTATATCTTCTTCTCCTTGTCGCTCGAGTTGCTGCCCTGCGTCGGCTGAATTAACAAGAACTCTTGCTCTCTCTCCCGATCTCTCTCTCTCTCTCGCCCGATCTCTCTCTCTCTCTCCCACCTGGGTCGCTCCAGTCTCGCTCTGAGCACCTTCAGTGCCCTGCTTCGAGTAGTGCTTCAGCATCGTATCCACCACGCCGGCCTCAAACTACAAAAATTTATGATTTTGGTCTTCTGAAGATGATCAACCTTGTCGCGCTCGGCGCCAAAGCGCTTGATCTCCGAATCGGTACGTTTTGGCAGGTCTTCGCCGCGGATCACCTCAAACTTGACGGCGTCTCGGGATCTCGAGTGCTTGGAGAGGGCCGTCTGGAAAGAGGTTGTTGGAGAGAGCGAGAGATAGAGAGAGAAAACGAGTAGGTCAAACTCACTTTTGCACTGGTGGCGCTCGTCGTGCCGGCCGTGGCGGTCATGGTAGAAGCGGCATTCTGAACGCAAAAAAATGTAGCTTCTGTCTCTCGCTCGCTCGCTCGCTCTCTCTCTCACCTGAGCGGTAGATGTTCCATCCGAGACGCCGGCCGCTGAAAAGCTGCTGCTCCCAGTCTGCGGCGAGGTGCACGACTTCGAGCCGCACGACTTGGTCTGCTTGTCGGCCGGGGTATCGGCTAAATTGAGTTCAGGCTCATGCTTAAGCTCAGGCTCAGATTTTACCATTATCTTCAACGAGATGGCACTTGCACTGGTCGACGATCATCTCCTTGAACGCCTCGCGCTGGGCCCGGTCCGGGTGGTACCACTAAAATCAGAGTAGAGTAAGAGAGAGAGAGAGAGAGAGAGAGAGAGAGAGAGAGAGAGAGAGAGAGAGAGAGAGAAAGAGAGAGAGAGAGAGCCAGAATACCTCATAAAAGAAGAACAGGCTCAGCAGCCCGGTGATAATCTCCATGCAGCCGACGAACAGTGACGCCGACGCAGGCGAGTGCAGATCGATGAGGACGGCCATCGCGGCGAACGTGATGCCGAGCTGGAAGATGGAGTAAAAATGGGAGAGCGAGAGAGCAGATGGTAGAGAGCACGAGCCAACCCACCTTGAGCTGCACCGGCTTCCCCAGGTTTTCCGGGAAGGGAATGCAAAAATGGGATATATTACAAGGCGAAATCCAAGCTTACGGAGGGGGCGGCAGGTTTTCCGGCGGGGTCTGATTCATGTTGCACATCCTGAAGGAGGTTGGATAGATGGAGAAAAATAGGGAGTGAGATTTGGCAAAGAGAGAGAGAGAGAGAGAGAGAGAGAGAGAGAGAAGCAAGAGCGAGAGAGATCGAAAACTCACTCGAAACCTTGGGTTCGAAGACCGAATAATATTTGTGACGAGTAGTAGAAAATGATGCATTTCGGGGAATTTCCCGTCTGATACTGGCTATGCAAATTTTACGGAAATCCTCGTATGCTAATTACACATGATATCAAGCACGTGCTCAACAATTTCGCTCTGCACTCGCGTTGCGGCCCCGTTGCGGCTCGCCCTAGTCGCGAATCAGCCCTAAAGTTTTATTTTCATTTCATTGTTGTTGCCAAAAGCTGCCCCATTTAACCTTGTTTTTTGGAGCATTTCGCAGTCAAAGTTCAACCTATTGGGCGTCAGCTAATTAGCGGCAGGTGATTCTGATGGTCTCCAAAAAGTCATTTGTCAGTTTTGAGATTTCTTCGAAGCACAGCTAACGCGTTTTGGATGATATCTTCAGAGTTATTGACCCAAACTGGTCCTGAATTTATATATTCTACTACCGTGTACTGCTTGGCGTCGGTGGCGCTATGTTTGGCGCTGGTGCTGATCAGATTCCGGCCGAGTCGGGCTAATCGGAGGGTGGTTCTGGATTTGTGCTTCTTTCATGTAAGTTGATGAAGAGAGAGAGAGCAAGAGAGAGCGAGAGCGAGAGAGAAAGTAAGAGCGAGAGAGACAGAGAGAGAGACAGAGAGAGAGAGAGAGACAGACGAGAGATCAAAAGTTATATTTTTAGTCAGTCTTCTTCTTCTACGAAACTTTCGTTTACTTCTCCTATCCAAAACTCGCCTTCCCACAACTCGGCTATGTACTTCTCGGCCCTGCTGTTTACGTCTTCCCGTCTCCGCGCTATTTCCTGGTAATAAAAACGCTAAACTAAGTGCTTTTCTTCACTCACGCTCATGCCCATGTATTTTTCTAGGCAATACTGAGCTTCCTAGCGCACACCATCGCATTTGCCGCCTTCTTAATTATTTTTCATCGTTATCTTTTAATGAAAGGTGCCTGGGATCGGTACGCTTGATTTGCAATATTTACTTGATATACTGTATTTCAAGCGCCTCGTTCCTCTCGGGACCCGGCAGATGCGTGCAATTACTTATTGCGTTTCACACCGTCATCAGCCTGTTTATGATGATTCTAATGTTGAATATGGAGCCGGAGAGTGCTAGCGACAGCTTGAGCGCACCTGAGGTGAGCTCGAGATTGTTTTGAAGTTTTGAAATTTGTGGATGCCCGAATTGACTATGACTTTGACTAGGTATCGTCAGTTACTAATCAGCACAAGTGACGAATTCAAGTGAGCGTACGTCCACTGTTTTGCATCGCTGCATGTTTCGTCGCTATCGATACCTAGTCTCCCAGAGGGGTAAATAGCAGTTTCTGGCTGTTTAAATTAGTGGGACGTTGCGCTACGTTGCGTAGCGTAGGGATTGCGTTACGGAGCGGTCACGACGCGTGGTGAAGCAAGCGGTAACTATGCTGAATGTTATTAGCGGCGCGTTGCTTTGTGCGGTGTAGCATCAAGTAACGACCACGTTGCTACTCGATGTTGCATCGCTGGTTCCAAACGTTGCGCAGCAGTCGCGTCTTGTTATTTTGCGTCCGTTTGCGACGTTCATCATCTACTCCTTCTATTTCAGCAATCCTTCTTTTCCGACCCGCGTGCAGTTTATTATGGGCGTTTCCTGGATAACCCCACCTTTTGGGTATACTTAACGGGATCAGCCGTCGTCACCAGTAAGTTTTCTCTAATATGCACTTTACAGTTGGTTAATAACGTTATCGTATCGTTTGAAATATAAAAAAATAGTTTGTGTGTGTGTGTGTGTGTGCATTTGCATGCAACTTCCGTCACCGTGTTCCAGTAGTATCTCAAGAAGGGAGTAAGTTTGGGGTATGTTTGATACGTCATTAGGTGCGTAATGGCCTGGAGATGACTGCACGCAAATGAGATTTATAAAAATCTTCTATTTTCGACATTAAAATTCAGTTTTTCATGAAAAACCCTACACCCCTCTTTGTTAGGATAAAATTAGCATGCTCCGGAAGTCGCGGTAGCCTAAATAAATGGGACAGAGGGAGCATTTTTCATTTTTCGTCGTCCAGATGTGGAAAACTATGCAAAGCCAAGAATATGGCGGGAGCAGACGGGGCCAGGGTTGAAAAGTCGCGAAGCGGCTTTTCAACCCTGGTAACCATTTAATGATCTAAGCAACTTTTTCCAGTGCTTTACATTGGTAGCTGTGCGATCATCACTCGGCGTATCTTCCTCTTCCTCGACGTCAGCCAGAATCACAGTCTTTTAACGCGCACTATTCATCGGAAGGCCGTCATCGCGTCGTTGCTCATTGTACGTATTTGCTTTAAAGGAACAGACAAGCCTCAAATTCGGGGGTATCGTCGGCTAGGTCTCGACGGCTAATTTTCAGCCAAAATAGACGTTATATGGCCTCATTTTTAACTTCTGATCAGCCCAGGTTGATTTGGGGTAGTTGTACTAGGACCTAGTCGACGTAGGGGTCGATTTTGGCCCCTTCTAGTCCCTTCGGAACATGATTTTCATAATTTCTTTCAGTTTCTCCCACCCTACTGTACCCTAATGGTCCCAGCAAGCGTTGGGATATTTGTCGGATTTGTGGCCGAGATTGGGACTTCAAGTAACTTTTCTAGCCGTATCATGACGTTGTTTCCTGAGTTTTCAACCGGGCTTTTTAGCTATCGACAACTGGACAACCCCTGCCCTGCTCGGTCACTCGGCAATATCGGTGATGATTAACGTGTGCGTGACGGAGGGTTATCGGGAAGCTCTTCTACATCCTTGTCGCGCAAAATCCAAGAAACTACCTCCAGTTCGGACCGGAAAACGACCGATGATGAGCACCGCCGGAGCGACACCGACAGGATTTAGCTTGCATTATTGAAAGTTGAATAAAAAAATTTTGTATGCAAACTAAGGCGAAAGGAAGTGGCTAAAAGAGAGCGAAAGCGAGAGAGAGAGAGAGAGAGAGAGAGAGAGAGAGAGAGAGAGTGAGAGAGAGGGAGAGGGAGAGAGAAAAAGAGAGAGCGAGCGAGAGAGAGAGCGCGCGAGCGAGAGCGAGAGATGGAGCGCCATGTCTTCTTTCCTCGGAGCCGGTTTTTGAACGCCATTTCGACAGAGAAAAGGTGTTCCCAGCCAGTCCAGGCTGTTCTTTGAGAACGAGCCTCTCTATCGCTCTCTCTCTCTCTCTCCTACAGAAATGATATGATGTCATGGGGGGATCCCCACCGGTCTCAGGGAGCAAACAATCACAGAACTTGCGCTACCATCATCTCTATTTTTGTGATCCTCGTCCCAAATGAGTACGGAACTTTCTAGATTACAGAGGAACTGAAGTTACGTAATCGGAAAAAAAACAAAATCGGATCGTCAGAGATCAGAATGAAGCGGAAACCGTAAGTCCTTGATCACTAGCACCAACTAGAAAGCGTAATTCGACACGTCCCAAAATATCATATTCCCCCTTCACTACATTTTCTAGAGCCTCCGTCCCCCTTTTTGGCATGTTTTCCAGTTTTCCAGGCACCCCCTGCATCCATTCTGGGCCCGGCGTTAGGCCCCTTACTCGGGGCCCAGGGTTGGCGTAAACAACTCGGCGCCGTGCAGCCGAGGGCCATTTCGGGGTGCCTTGTTTTTCACATCTACCCCTCCCCTAGCCTCCGGCGATGCATTCGGGGGTTCTGTGGTCGGTGGAGGAGGGGGGGGTTGCGCGGCGCGTCAACAGAAAGGGCACCCTGGAGGGCCCAAGGCCGATGGGTCCCGCAGCGAAAATACCCTGGAATAAACGGGGTTGGGCCCGGGTGAGCAAAAGAGCTAGGAGGGAACAGGCTACGTTACGTTCCTTTGCACGAGAAATGTACAGAAACGGAAACACGAGACAAGCTATAGAGAGGGATACAGAGAGAGAGAGAGAGAGAGAGAGAGAGAGAGAGAGCGAGAGGGAGAGGTAGAGAGATCACGCATCTCAAAATTCAAGCTCACGAAACTTTTAGCTGATCTTATGTTTATTTTTCGACCGTTCCAATACCGAATCATCTCCAAATGACGCATAATCGGCTCAGTAAATGTCTTCGAAAAGCACGCGACCGTTGTGGACCCCCGTTTTCGGCAACAACAGAAAGGACAGCTCGGGTGGGGGTTGGCATAAAACCTGACCCCCTCGCACCGGTATCGCAATCATTTTGGTGTTGTCGTGCTCGACGCTATCGGGAAATCCGCTAAATTTATCCGGTTTACCGGTTTTTTTGAAATTGCTATTTAAGGTGTGTTATCTTTCATAGGATACCATCTTAAGGAAGGCACAACGCCATTTCTGAATTTTCTTAAACAAAATTTTTTCGCTCTTTTGTTTCACGCGTTTTTCTTGTATCATCGCACTTTAAAAAAATCGTACTTCGATTATTATGATTCTACTTACTGCAATTCCTATTAAATATGATTTTCAGAAATATAAAATGTCCGGAGTGATCGAAAAAACGAAGGAGGCTGTATCCAATGCGACTGAAGCAGTAAGTTTTTTAATTTTTTTTAGGTCTTTGAGGTCCTTTGTCAAATATCATCTTTAATAGAACTAATCTAAGCTACTTTTGCGTGGGATTTTCTGTATCTTAATATACCGTATTACCTCTTCAAAAATGATAGGTAATTTTAGGTGAAGGACAAGCTGCAAGGCCTCACCGGGGAGAAGGAGCTGCACAAGGAAGCCGCCCGAGAAAACGCCAGCGATGCCTTTGATTTGGCTAAAGGAAATAAGGTATGTCGATTCCGCTAAAATATCCTCAAATAATCTCAGCTTTTTGATACCTTAAAATTCTCGGATTCCACCCCTATATTTAGTCAAGTTTCAGACGTGCGGAGCCCGGGAGACGACCTATCGCTCGGTGAGTTGATTTAAATGAGTTTTCTCTCTTTGTCTCGCTCTCTCTCGCTCTCTCTTTCTCCCTCTCGCTCTCTCTCTCTCCATATCTATCTCTTCCTAAGTTTAATAATTTTTGATTTTCAAGGAGACTCTCAACCAAGCTGCACCAAAAATTCTCTAAACTCTTATTGCAGCCAGAACAAGCCCCGCGCTACACGTTCGAAAACATCCACGAAGCCCGGCCACATCCATAAGCGTCACAAGCACGCGTTCGCTAACATTCGCTAAGGATTCTGCTGAATTTTCTGATATGTACATAACTTGCTCAACATCAAAACCTCGTGCTCACCATGACAATAAAGATCTGAATTTGTTCCTGTTCATAATTTACAAATACAATCGATTACACGATGAAGAATTGTGCCGGGCACCGATTTAGATTGGTGATATATGAACATACGATTAAAACACTACTTGAAAATCTGTCTGAAATTTTTACGGCTACTTTTACGGTAACGTTTACAGGAAATTACGGTGATTTATTTTATTCGATCCATTGACAACCGATTCCGGCATGAAATTTGTACTGTATGTACGTACAGCTTCGTATTTGTAAACCTTTATTTTAGAGCTTTTGTATGCTGGTAACAGGAAAAACGATGTTTTTCTGCATCTGGGGATCGTTTGGGTATCATTAATGCACTTTCAATATATGGAAACATCATCCTATTAATGCAGCATGAAGGTAAGATAAAATTCGGATATTTCTAGCTATTGAAACGGCTTTGGAAAGACCTCAAGCCATCCTTGAAGCTCCATCAAGCCGTAAAAACATTGTGGATCGATATTTGCAACCACACCAGGCCTCACTGCGCTCTTCCATTGCCTGCCCCCTGCCTCTCTGTCCCTTCCTTTCCCAGTCCCTTTAGGTTTCTACATCCTAAGTAAATTTGAAAAAAGGAGGAAAGGAATGTGGTTAGAAAACAGCTTCGCTTGTAGTATTTTGGCATTTGTTCATTTTTTAGAGTTCTGAAGCGCAAAGTTGGAGACAAAAAACAAAACAAATTATAGCTAATAAAATTTTTGGCTAACGTTTAGCCTGAGAAAATCGGTACCAAGCAAACGCCAAAAATCTTATTAATACAGCCACCTATCCATAAACCAAAAAAAAAGAAAAAAGCTAATTTCTTTAACATCTAAAACTAGTTAAAATTTATGAATTTTAAAGACTTTTTAAAATAGTTTGTTTTTGGTTGCAAACTGAAAGATTTTCAATGTTTAAAAAGAATTTTCTTGCTTAAAAATCAGATCTTGAATAAAAAATATCTTGAAAATTTGATTAGTACCTTAATAACTAGAAATAACTAGAAGGTAAACTAGAAAAAAAAAACAATTTCTAGATTTATGAATTTCGGAATATTATGGTTTTCGAAAAAAAACAATACCTAACAACAAACAAGCCTTAGATTATTTTATTAAGGCCTTACTAAAGACCCAAATAGGTGAGACGCTTCAGGCGGCAAGACGGAGAAGAACAACCAATTCAAACGCCCCCCCTGTGTAGCCTTGAAATCCCTCTCATTACATTTTTTGCCCATTGACCCCCAAAATCCTGGTCCACCTCCAGCGTCCACAACAGATTCAAATGTGGCCGAAAAACATTCTAGTCAGCGTTGCCACGTCTCCCGGAAAGTGCACGTAAACAACGCTAGACAGGCCAGGCGGCCGAAAGTGCATAACAAGTGTGGCGCAACCGGGGTGGAAATGGGGCGGGGCTTCCTTTCTCCTGCTTTGTGCTTCCGGAGAGAGAGAGAGGGAGAGAGAGAGACGGGCAGACTGAGAGACACAGACAAACAGAGACAAAAAACGGCCCCAGCCACAACAACAACCACCCCGCATAAATAGGAGGGTGATCGCTGGTCTGCACCACTTCCTCGGCTCGACTCTCATTCCATTTTCGCCTCCCTGGCCTCGTTTTTGGATCATTTACCTTGGTGTTACGGTAGTATCGAAAGTATCATAGGTACCTTACTGGGTCCATATTGTACAGAATTTTGCGCTGAATTTTAATATACTTCCGAAAATTGACATTAGGCTTGCTTTAAAAAGTTGTGTCTTTTTTTAAGGTATCGCGCTCTCGACTCTGAAACTTGAAGCTTTACTAAGATTACTATAATTTTTTTGAATATAGTTCGTAGATGATTTTCGAAAACAGACGCCGAGACGATTTCTCGATATTCTTTCTGAATCCTAAACCTTGACTTTTCTGAACTTTTCTAAATCCTACCGTATTCAAATAACCATATTTCCTTCCAGAAATCAACCTTCAACACTCACCCAACTCCCAAAACATGTCTGGAATCATCGACAAGACCAAGGACGCCGTCAGCAACGCCGCCGAGGCTGTAAGTTTTCGATACTTTATTGAGTAGCATTAAAAATCGGCATATCAAAATTAGTTGTCTTTTAGCTTAATAAGCATTATCAAAATTTCCTTTACAGGTGAAGGACAAGTTCCAAGAGATGACCGGAACGACGCCCGCCGACCGCGCCAAGGACAACGCCCAAGACGCCTGGGACCAGACCAAGGACAAGGCCCATGACAAGGTAGATTAAATCTTATGATTGGCTTTATATATTTAAATATACTAGAATTCGAAATGATTTTGACCTATTCGATAGTTTTTGGCAGGTTTTTATCTGTTTTTATGGAATTTCTGGGGTTTGAAGGGCCTTAAAAATGTTTCAAATAGCATCATTTTGACGAAACGATAATTTATATAGTTATGTAGGCTTATTTTATATCTTACTGTACTTACCGGGGGTCTTGAAAGCTATTATTTGTTATTTTTGGGGTTTTCGGACGCTTTTACCCACTTTTTAATTTTTTTCTAAGCTTCCGGATAGCATTTTTTTTCTAAGCGGAATAAAGTAGTGGTATCAGAATTATTAAGAAATATAATTAGCATCTATTAAACTCTAATAACCATCTATTTTTCCAGAAAGAGGACGCCAAGGACTGGGCCAGCGACAAGTTGCACGAGGCCGGCCGAAAGGTCGACAACTAGACACGACGCTACACTCCAATTTCCCCCTATCGCCCAATTTTGAGATTTGCATAGACCCCGATTCCATCAAAATTCCCATCCCCCAATTCCACCTGTACCCTATGCACATAAATATTATTAAGAATATTTATACCTTGACCTCATCGTCACTGGCTGACGGCCCCCCAAACCGCAAAAACGACACTTTCACTGACAACACCCAGCTTTTGGCCTACCTCCCTTGCAATGCATTGCTATATGAATGGATTTTTGTGTCCCAGAAATGGCAAATAAATGCTTGGCGCAAACTGGACTTCGACGCATTAATGAAAAAAAAACATTTTAAAGGGGCAGGGACACCAGATAGCTTCGATTTAAAGAGTGCATTAAGGATATCTAGCAAAATTTCGAGATGAATTATGATTTCTAAACACTATGAGAGTGAGCAACGTCATGGACTTCGACTTTCAAGGCAGCTTTCAAGGCAGATAGGCCGTGAGTTCTGGGCTGCTTTTAGAGGGCCGCCGACACGAAGTAGTTCAGCGCTCAATACCGCCGCATTAATGGTAGAAAGCCAGCGATGTTCCGAACGGTACGCAACACCAAGACGTGCAAGCTTGGCCTAGCGGTTCCAAACTCTAAAAATAATAATAAAAAATAAAAATCTCAGGCGTTGTAGCAAAGAAAAACCACCAATTATCGATAAAAAAAACGAAAAGATATGGCCTATTTAATAGATCATTTGTATTCCATCTAATAAACCTAAAAAAAACAATATTTTACAATTTACGCCACTGCTTTTCGGTGCGGTTTTTTATCATACTTGCTCGTTTTTCTTGATTTTTCGCTCTCTCTCTCCCCCTTTCACGCTCTCTCCCTCCCTCTCACGCTCTATCTCTCTCGCTCTCTCTTACTCTCTCTTTCTCTCTCGATTTTTTCTGGTTTTTTACTCTTCCACAAAAGCTCAGGAAGTCGAGCTCCTGCTCCCCGGGTTTCAATTTAGCTTTCAAGTTGCGCGACACGAAAATCGCTCGAAATCGCTTGCCGTTGATCACCAGCCTACGGTAGCCTTGGCCCCTCGGTTTGAGATGTTTTGGCAAGACTCTCGCCCGGCCATGTCACTTCCAATGCCCCTAATGCTCATCCCTGGGTAAACAAACTTTACGAAGGGCCCACCATCGAGTTGTCCTTTCCCCTGAAAAGGCCCCTAATAATAGCGTATTTTCGCCCGGGCATTCAGGCCAACGAAGAAGAGAAGCCAAAACAATTTACTCGAGAGAGTGGATCTCTGAAAAAAGGTCTGCGTGGTTAGGTTAGACTTGGCTTAGGCTTAGACTTAGGTTAGGCTTAGGCTTAGGCTTAGGCTTAGGCTTAGGCTCAGGCTTAGGCTTAGGCTTAGGCTTAGACTTAGGTTAGGCTTAGGCTTAGGCTTAGGCTTAGGCTTAGGCTTAGGCTTGCTTGAGGTTAGATCCGCCCCGACTTTTTAAGCTTCTACTTAGGCTTAGTGCAGGCTTTGCTACCGTAACCCCAACCGCAGCCCAGTCTAGCGGAAAGGGCAAGTTATTCAAGAAAATGGAGCGCCGCTAGGGCCCCGGGCCCCGGGCCCCCGGGGCCAAAAAGTGCACAACAACACCCGAATAATGGAGCCCCGAAATTTGGGTGGGATGCCCTTTAGGGACAGCCACATGACTCCCTAGTCCTCCTCAGACCGCAGTCCATTTTTTGGAGGGTCCTGTTTGTTTTTTGTCGTGGCGCGGGCCGTGGTTGTTGTTGGGTGGAGTCGGGGTATTCTTTGCTAGACCAAGAAAAAATTTCGGAAACAGCGAGAGAGTGCTAGAGTGGGAGAGGGAGCAGAGGAATTGGGAGGTAGGCACCGGCGAGAGGAGCCGGGAGAGAGGGAAAGAGAGAGAGAGAGGCGAGACGCTAGAGGCCCCGCCTCCCCCCTTCCCCCCAAAGTGCAACCGGCACAACAACAAGGGCACCCTGAGGAACGTGTATATATACAGAACCCGCCGGTCATCACGACCAGAATATTTTCTAGCTTTTCTTTAATTTTTCTTAAGATTTTCTGAGCTTCTGATTTTGAGCCTGAGTTTTCCAGCTTATTTTTGACCTTTTACAATCTTTTTAAGGATTTTCTGGATCGGAAAATTTATTTTAAAGGGACAAAAAGCCAAAATAGCTAATTTAAAAGGTTTTTAAAACGAAAAATTACCGAAACAATGAAAGAAAAATGAAAAATGAAAAACATAGAAAGCTTCTCAGTTATTTGGCGCTTTTCTAGCCTCTAAAATACCAAAGCGTACTTATTGGACTATTTTTCTCTTATATTTTTCTCTTTATAAATTCTAGGCTCCAAATTTACCCTGTTTTTTTTCAGAAAGTTACTTTCTACGCTCACCCAACCGCAATCATGCCCGGAATCATCGACAAAACAAAGGACGCCGTCTCCAACGCCGCTGAAGCTGTAAGTTTTTTTGGTTTTTAACTTTTCTGCTTTTTCGAAGACCGCCGCCATAACGAAACTACTTAAAGCTGTTCTAACACTTTTAAAATTACTATATTTCAGGTGAAGGACAAATTCCAAGAGGTCACCGGCACCACCCCCGCCGACCGCGCCGAGGACAACGCCAAGAGCGCGTGGAACGAGACCAAGGATCGCTGCTGCGATAAGGTACGGTAGTTTTAGCTTTGGATTTAGGCTTAGCCTTAGGCTTAGCTTAGGCTTAAGCTTAGCTTAGGCTTCAGATTACTTCAAAACTTAAAACCTCAAAACTAATCACCCCCATTTCCAGAAGGAGGAAGCCAAGGACTGGGCCTCGGAGAAGCTGCACAAAGCCGGCCGCAAGATCGACGAGCACTGAAGGTCTGACCGGCCGGGCCCCAAGGGCCTTCCCTCAGGGCCCGAGCTCGTCTCCTACGTGATCCAACACTCCCCCGCTCCCCGAATCCCACCTCCCGCCCCCAAAATTCCCTACCTTCCCCCTCCTCCCCAGCTTGTGCTCCTCAATCAGGTCACCAAGGTGCTGAGGCTAGCTCCGAAATAGACTACGCTACGCTACGCCTCCCCCTCTCTCTCTCTCTCTCTCCTGCTCCCCAAAATGTTCTCAGATCTCTTGAGATACGGTACTCTTTTCTGTGTTTCACCCATCCCCTTTGAAATATACGAACGACACCTCAGCACCATTTTCTCTAGTCACTCACCCCCCATGGACAAATTGAACATATGCCAGAATAAACACTTTAGCCACCGATACTTTGTATACATGAGTACGAAATACACCAAATTACACATGATTAAACAGTGCAGGAAAACCTACAGTAGTACTACCTCATCTTTTAGCTCATGGACATAGTCTCAAGTTTCTATTAAGCCTAGAAACGTACGAAATACGGCAAATTACGACGAATAGAAAACTGATTGTGAGTAGTAAAATTCGTGTTGTAATATGTTGATAAGGTTTATTCAGCCTACGATGGGATATAGGTATGATATAGGTATGTCAGCCGTTTTTTGCACAAAATATTCAACCACTTTTAAGAATAGCTGTACGTCTCGAGCTCGATCTTGAAGCTGCTGTCAGCCTGCTTGCGCCAGTACTAAAATTTTACTTGTTTTCGCCTTGATCTCCTCGTTTTTAGAGCTACCTGAACGCAATAAAGCTTCATCATCTCCTTGCCGTCCTTGTGGAGCGTGCAGAGGAAACTGTACTTGATCAGTTCGTCGCCGCCGATGAATTCTTCTTCGCTGTACTGAAATGTTTATTGTTTATGACGATCGCGAGAGCGATAGAGGTAGAGAAAGCCTGAGAGAGAGAGAGAGGGAGCGAGAGAGAGAGAGAGAGAGAGAGAGAGAGAGCAACGCCTTACACTAGGCTTCCAATCACTGTTCTTCGAGCATTCGGTGAAGACTTCGTGAAGCTCTAAATCGTGTTTTGACAAAAATGTGGTTGAAACCACCTTTATGTCCCTGTTGGACGGTTTTCCCGACGATATTGATCATCAAGGCATCTTGCGTGTAGAAGGACAGAGAGCTGAAAATCTTACAATGCCATACTAGACGATTACGTATAGGCTTAGTCTTCGGCTTGGGCTTAGGCTTAAGCTTAGGCTTAGGTTTAGGCTTAGCCTTCTAGACCTACCGTTCAATATCGAAATCCTTGGCCGTGTCGCGGAATGTAGCGAGATGAGGAGCCAGGATCGATTGCAACGACATTTTGGGTTCTAGGCGAGACTAGAATAGCAGGCGGAAGACTCGGCGAGGCAATTTGGACAAGACAAAACACAATATATAGCGGTGCTTATCAAGAAACCCCCACGTGAAGCTGCTGTTTCCCGCAAAGAACAAGAAAGCGGGGTGCCTGGCCGGTGACCACTCGGCCTCACAGGTCCGAACCTGTGCGCAGGCCTGCGGGAAGGGGAGAGACCCTTGCAAACAGAGTAGGTGACCGGAAATAGCCCAAAAACGTCAAGCTAATCTCTTCGGGTCAAAAAAGTCATGTGAAGCTGTAAAAACTAACTAGACTAGATAAAAAACCATTCATAAGACAATTGTCTAATCCGATAAACTCAAAAATTACAAAAAAAAATGTAGAGGAAACAGTTCGGCTTAAAAACCAGATACGAAAAACATTCAACCGAGAAAATACAATTTTCTGACCATAGTTAAATTCGGTAAACTGAAAAAGCCATATGAATATATTTCTATACCAAAACCACGGCTTTCCTGTCATTTTAGGGGGTTGTATCAAAAAAAAAATTTTTTTTCTGGTCCCAAATCGGCAATTTAACTCAATCTAAAATTAAATAAAAGCAATTTAAATATTGCGGCTTCTCTTAATAAATCCGGCCATAAGCCTGAAAAATTTGCATAGCTTGTAACTCCTAAAAATCCACATACGCCCTAATTTGCATATAGAGACCCCACCGGAAGTTCCAAAATTTCCCTACCACCTCGACTATATTTGGGGCAGAACTCTTGCTCCCCATTTACTGATTACACTACATAGCCCCCGACTGCCTGAACAAATGGCTCGATTTGGTAGCAGCGCACGCCCGGCAGGAACCGAGGTTTGGATATGTAAATTTTTGTACCTATGCTAATCCAGGCGGCCTCACGGCTCTCCAGCATCTTCGACATCTCGGCGGCCACCGTCAACCCGTACGGGCGGCTGAACAGCGGTGGCGGCGGCGAGGATGCCGGGCCGTCGGTTGTTGGTGGGTGGCGACGACTTCGAGGAGTTCAGTAGTACTTGGTCGTCAGCGCATTAACGAATTTTGGCGTAGAGTTGGAACTGTTCAGAAGCTTACTCGATTCAGGAGCTTCTAACCCCGACTTCGAACCGTTCGGCCATGTGTTTTAGCTTACCGACTTCGCCAGCATCTTAACTCTCTTTGCCGGCGCCAACTTCGAGCAGTTCTGCCAGTTTTTGAGCCAACTACTTCTTAGATACTTAGCCTAGCTTGACTAATCTTTTACTTTCTTTTTCGCGAAATTAACTACCTTTTCTGCCCCGCCTTCGAGCCGTTCAACAGCCCCTTGAATCCCACCCCAATTCCAGAATCCTCCAAAATGGAACACTCTGAGATGGGCGCCTCCAGCCCGAAGACATCCCAGAAGGGCAGCAGCAGCGGCGGGGTGATGATGGTGAGCAAAACGGCTCTGAACTTCTTGATGACGCCGCCTTCAGAAAGTGGCCCTGGTGGTGATGATGCTGGTCATCGCCGCGCTGATGGTGAGCGTCGTGCTGCTGAACGTGCAGCTGACGACGCGCGAGGACGAGATTGTCGACCTGAAGCGCCGCGTCGAGGGCATCACGCACGAGCCGGCTGTTGTGGATGATCCGACCACCACGCCCGGCCCGCAGCCGATTCAGCCTGATGGGTAGATGATCAAGAATTTCTAGGGGTTGGGGTACCGTTATTCCCCCGCTAAAAGTCTAGCTCTAAAATGCTAAAAATGCCAAACATTTTGCTAGGGTGGCAGAGGCCAAAATCAAATGGTCGAAAATCCCCCCTGCTAACAGCTCAGAACCGCTTAATTTCTTCAGAAAGCCGCAGCCGGGTCCGGGCCCTCTGGGCAACGACACGAAGCCGGGCAGCTCGCCCGCTCCGGAGTTGTCCAGCAGCGTCGAGCCGAACCCGTCCGCCAGCGAGCCGCCCGCCTCGGCCAGCGTGCCGCCCGCTTCGGATGCGCCGTCCGCCTCGCCCGAGCCGTCGGCGCCGTCGGCCGCACCCACAGTCAGCTCGTCGCCCCCAACCCCCAGCGCATCGGCCGAGCCTGTCTCCGTGTCCGCAAGTGCGGCGCCGAACGCGGCCACGACGAATGGGTACGGATTTATAGTGTGAGCTAAGCTTAAGCCAGCCTAAACCAAGCCAAGCCTATGCCCAAGCCCCAATCTTAAATCTAAGCAAATTCCTCCTAGAACGGTGGCTCCTTCCCTGAAGCCGTCGTCGAAGCCCGCCGCGTGAGCCAGAGGTCATCTACTCGCCACCCGCCAACCTGGGCCCGTCTCCTTGACCATCTCGCCCCCACCATCACCCCCTTCCGCGCCATCGATCTCTGCGTTCCGCGTGTAAAATAAATGTTTGATGCTTGCCGAACTCGACGGCAGCAGCGCCGCAGCAGCTGGGATAAATGTTTTTTTTGGGTTGTGAATGGTGCAATGCATGCGATACTGCATTTTGGAGTGAAAAAACATTTGAGGAAGCTAAAGCTGAAAAAATAATCTCTAAAAAACAGGCGCCGGAAGGAGCGGCGCGTAGTCCGGCTCTTGGAGGGTCGCGTTCGTAAAAATTTTCTCGGCAACTATAAATTCTAGAGTCTTAAATTACATCAAAATGTTCACCTTGGTGTGGAGAACAAGAATAAAATAATTTTTAGCTGAAAAAGTTTGCATCGTCGAAGAAAAATCGGCTGGATGCTCGGCCAGGCGGTCTCCAGATTTCTCCACATTCCAGAATCGAAGTTTTCCAGATTGTTTTCCAAAAGAAAATTGTTATATTCAAACGATAAAAAAAACTAGATAATTACTCATAGAAGATTTTGGAAAGCATTTAAACGTGAGGAACGAAATAGGTAGTTTCGCGCTTCTATTCTGCGATCAGTGAAGGCAACGTAGAAGCCTAAAAAGTACATATCCATTAGTAGGGTTAGTTAAACTTTATTACAAGTTACATATTACGGTTTTAAACGGTTTTAGCGACTTTAGCAAGGGGGAACCTAGGCTTTTTGCTAGCGATGGTGGGCGGGGGGGGCATTTTGACCAACAACGACTGTTAGACAGCTGAATTTAAATTTTAAATGGTTTCAAGAATAAAAAGTAGAAGGGCGCGTGGGCGATAGACCATAAAGCAATATGTTGGTGGGGATCAGGGGTCAATGGAACGAAAAGTAATGTAAAAAAAGGTTAAAATATAATAATTAAGAACGAAAACCCATTAACGTACCATATAAAAGTACATCTGAATATTCTGAAGATTCCGAAGTAAACATTTTGACGCCCGGGTGACAAATCACAGTTTGTGGTGGGGGAGGGAACGGGTTGAGGGCCACGTTAGGGGATCAGGGTATTCTTTAGGAAAATGCATGGAAAAGCCGATAGTTTTTGACAAATGTTGATCACAAACACGAAAAAACACGAACCGGACTAGCTGGGGAGAGATACGCAACAATACGGTACATACAAAATCGTCGAGAGCGCGTCCTTTTTGCATCGTCATCAGTCCAGCTGGATGCAGTCGTCGGCGGTGCCGGCGGGGCCGCTACGGAGCGGCGCGACGAACGGATTGTTGGCTAAATAGATATAATAGCAAAAAAAATGAATAAAATTAAAATTGCTAGAAACGTACAAGTAATCAATAAATGGGGTGTAGAGAAAATACAAAAAAATCTGAACTGACCGCTATTGAGCCGGCCACGCAGCGGATGAGCAAGTCGGGACGTCGCCGGGCTTGAGCGGATCATCGGCAAGGCTGAGGGTGGCGTCGACGACTCCGGGTAGCTGCCTGAAAATCGTGACTTTAGAAGTGAAAAATCTCTGTTTTTAAGTAGCAAATCCAAAAAAAGCTCTTCTTTTCCCTACTGATCATTTTCGAAGAACGGTTGCATGACGTCATCTAAAGATTAGGCTTGGACGAGAGAGAGAAAGAGGGGTAGAGAGAGAGAGAGCGAGAGAGAGAGAGAGAGAGAGAGAGAGAGAGAGAGAGAGAGAGGGAAAGAGCTTTAGAAGCTTCGAAAACGATCGATCTCCAAGCCAAACGTGTGATTTTGAGGTGAGAAGTAGCAACCAGAGAATTTTCAGGTAATTCTTGCCAAGCCATAGCGGAAAGGACACTATACGGCCTCTAAACGTACCCATATTCAACGGCGTGTTCTTGCAGCTGTAAACATTTCCGTTGCGCGTGGCCGTGTCCTTGATGAAGGTGCCGCTGGGGTTGATGATCAGCGTCATCTCGCGCCCCGTCTCGATCAGGTCCTCCTGGAAGGCCTCCTGGCAGACGCGGAGGCGCATGTCTGGAAGAAAGGTATTTTTGGTGGTTTCCTATTGCTAAAGTTGTCAAACCTTTGAGGATTTTAGAACTTTCAGACTTTTCATCGAAAGGTAAAAATTTTCGACGTTTTAGAAGTTTTTATAGCTCTAAAAGCGCGTAAAATGCCATCAAGTCATCTTAATTTAAAAGCGAAAAAACCAGACAAACCTTGCTCAAAAATGACCCGAACCAGCACTGCGCGATTGGCCTCCCTGAAGTCGGGCTCGCCAACTCTTCGAACGCCGGACAACGCTTGAAGCCGATTCCAGATCTAAAAATCTATTTTTAGCTTTGTAGACCTTGAAAACCTCTTTCCGCTCGGGGCTCAGCACGCCCCACGGGTTCATGCCGGCACCGGGTGCGAAGCCCGACATCCCGGCGTCGCTTCCTGAAACTGAGTACGTTAGATAACCTTGATTTTCAATTTTTATTCTTAGTAATTCCGTGAAAGAAAAAAATATAAGAGAAGAGGGGTGCTGAAAGGTTTACTCAATGAAGCCATGGTAGCACCTCCACCAGCGCGGCCGCCCGGGTTCAGGAAGTTGCGCAGCGGCATGTTCGGCGGCGGGAATTTGGAGTATTGGCTTCTGAAACAAAGGATTCTTAAAGTTTGAAAATCGAAAATAAAGAAAAATTGATGCTTTCGCAATATCGGGGACCTAATTTTTTTCCTGGAATCCAAATACGCCCATTAATGCACTAAAATATCTTTCAATACCGTTTATTTTCAAAATTGAACTGTATTCCCACGGGAAAACGGTTTAGAAAACTTCGAAAAGTGTTGCAAAATTCGAGATTTTATTAGAAAAATCGATATTTTGTGTTTCTTATCGAATTTGTAGTTTTTAAGCTTTAAGATAGTAAAAAAGCCTAAAAACTCCTTATTTCTATTAGCAAAAAGTAAAGAACCATTCATAATATTAGCAAAATTTAGAAGATATTTCCCAGAAAAAACCTACCCAAAAGTGTAGGGCGGCGGGTTGTAGGAGCCGCTGTTGTATGTCTGCGGATCCAGCGAAGGGAAGGCAGGCTCCTAAAAGAGTTTTATAAAAATCTTACGTTTCAAATTTTAAAAAGGTTTAAGCCAAGGTATAACGAACAAAGTCATAAAGTGGATAGCTAAAAATGGGGACTGGCGGCGGGTAATACGTGATCGGCGGCTGGTAAGAAACCACGGGAATTGACGGCTCAACCGCCACCTCGGGCAACCCCAATAACTTAAATAGATATAACTTAAGTCAGAATAATTTAAATAATATAAAAATCCTTGTTAAGTATACTTTTTGTTGATTAGAGGTTATTTTAAATGTATTACCTTTGTCTTCTCCTTCTCGAATAGCAGCTGCGCCTCCTGCTTCTCCTCCTCGCTGAGCTTGTCCTCGCTCTCGAGCATCAACGACTCGTGCAGGATCGGCTTCTAAAGTGTATAAATTTAAAGTATATTCTACGCACTAGATCATGAAAATGCCCGGAAAAAACCCGAAAAACGTACGCCAGCAAAAACATTATCATGCCGCTCGATGACCGTCTTCAGCACGTCGTCGTCCACTTCCCACTCGGCCAAGTCGGTGTGAGTGTTGACCATGTCGAGGGCTTCCTGAAAATTATTTTAAAAGATTATAAACTTGCCAAATAGTTGAAGAAACCGAAAAAAAATTACTGACCAAAAAAAATCAGTAAATTAGCAAAAACTTACGTTATAAACCAGCAACGTCTCCAGCTCTTTTTGCGTCAAATTCGTGTCGACTTGCAGGTCGTCAACGACACGATCTAAACCAGATACTCGAAAATTTAAAACTTAAAATTACGTGACAACCCGTTCTTCGACACCTGACGATTGAAAATCGCGCGCTCCATGCTGTTGTCCATGATCAGCCGGTAGATGTAGGTGCGTCGTTTTTGGCCGTAGCGGTAGACACTGAAAATTAAAAAATTGGTTTAGTATATAAGAAAATATTTAAAAACATTAAGAGCTAACAAAGGATAAAGCTTAAAAAAAAGATGCATTAAAGCGCTCACTTACCGACAAACCGCTTGAGCATCGTGGCACGGGTTCCAGCAGGCGTCAAAGATAATACAACGATTTGCCGAGACCTGAAAATTAAGGATGAATTAAGTATTTAATAAACTTAATAAAAGATACTTATCACAGTAATATATATTTTATAGCTTCAATTGACTCACGAGATTAATGCCCAAAGACCCGGCCCTCGTGGAGATGATGAACAGCCGAATGGAGGGATCCTCATTGAAGCGGGTGATCAGCTTCTCCCGCTCAACTCCCGCTGTCGTGCCGTCGAAGCCTGGAATTAAAATGCTTATAGAAGTGAATTCAATTTCAAAATCTAGTTTAGAAAAACAAAAATGTTTGGAGTTGAAAATAAATACGAACGATGTCGTCGAAAACGGGCGCTAACCTCTGTATGCAGTTCAAACCAAAGAAAATTCAAAAATTTTCAAAATTTCATAAAAGTTGAGGGCCAATTTAAGTAGATTACCAAAATCAAATCCATCGATGAAAAATAGCATCCAAAAACCCACGGAAATAGTTGACGTTCCGCTGCCAGGAATGCGTCTGCACGTCGTCGGTCTCGAAGCGAGATCGAGCCAGGTAGGCCTCGATCAAGTCGAGCGTCGTCAGATTCTGGCTAAAGAGCAGGATCTTCTCATTCCTCTTCGTCGCCTCGCTGACGATGCCCATCGCGACGACGAGCTTGTAGCCGTTTTCGAGCTTGCCCGGGCAGTAGTTGGTCATCGCCTCTTCGGCCTGGAACCGTTGGTTGTTTTTAGCAAACGAGAGCGGAAGAGAGAGAAAGAGAGAGAGAGAGAGAGAGAGAGAGAGAGAGCAGGGGATATTGCTATAATCCCTAAAACTCACCCAATCATACTTGAGCGCCACATCGTCGAGGTCGAGGTCTTCTTGGAGCGCGTTGACGAGCGTAGGCTGCTTTCCCTTGGGTCCGGGCGGGACGCGAGGCTTTTTCTAGAGATAGATTGCATCAATTAAATTTAATTTCATTGAGATTTTCGATTAAGAATTTTGTTAAAAAATTCAAAATTGAAGTTACCTCTATTTTCTGCGTGGAGCCATTTGCCACAGATGTCATCGGGTTAGAAAGGATCGGGATCGTTGAGGGCAACGCTTGTTCAGCGGAGGTACTGAAAATGTTGTTTTTATTAAGTGGTTCTTCTGAACGCTAAATACACCATCAGAGCTGTAAAATTAATTAAGTGTAAAATAATCGATTGATCAAAAGCTAAAATGACTTATATAAAGCGACAACCCACATTTGAGGCATCATTGGGGGCGGGGGTTGCCCTTGGGGCGGCAGAGTTGTTTTCGGGCTGAAGCTGTTCCAAATTTGGTCGAGATCATCCATATTCGGCAGGGCGGGCGGCTCCTGAACTGCTTGCTGCTGTTGTTGCGGTTGATGACTCATCGAGGACGGGCCGGGGAAACCTAAAAATGCGCAGTTTTAGTGCGTTCAAGTTAGTGTATTTTGCAAAATACAATTTTAAAATATACCGTAGCCCATCGCGCCCGGATGTTGCTGCTGTTGAGGCGGCAGCGGCGGCTTCACGTCCATAAAATCTGAAAAATCTATTTTGGATCCATTTGCGAAAAACTTACTCATAGTCTGATTCTGATGTTGCGGCGGCAGCGGTGGCTTCACGTCCATAAAGCCTAAAGAAGCTATTTAACGCAGTTTTCCGGAACTTACTCATATTTTGAAGAGGAGCCGGGGCGGAAGTAGGTGGTTGAAAGTATTGATGTGTCGAGACGGAAGGCGGGGCGCTTTGCATCGGGTAAGGGCTCGAGGTGCTGCTCATCGACATCGGCGAGTACCCGTCACCTGAAAGACGTATTTTCGCTTGAGATTGATTTTTCCCGATTAATTTTGCTTTTTTAAGTTTTTTTCAATTTCGAACTTCTTTATGACTTTTTTTTAACTTTTAGTAAAACCAAGTTTACCGCAATTTGGCATCTGAAACCCGTAGGTGTGCATCGGCATCGGCTGGTAGGGCATCGGGCTATGCATCGTCGATCCCATGAAATCCGCGGGGCCGCCCCCAAACGGCATTTGCGGCATCCCGTACGTGTTTTGCGCCATTCCATAGTCTAAAAGTATTTATTTGATTGATAAAAATATTATTATTGAGGAATTAGTATTATTAGCGTTGTTATTGAGAGTTTTTAAGTTTTTTCAAAAGGAACTGACTCTGCTGCTGTCCCGGATACCCGAAAAATCCATTGCCATTCGAGAAATCGTGACCAGGCATGGGGAATGTCGGCTTTTTGTCGGCTTCTCCTCTGAAACTTTGAATTCTAGGTGTATAAATTTTACAAACCGCTTTTCAGCCTCAGCTTTTGCATCCAGCTCTTTCCGCTTTTGCAGCCACGAGTACAGGACATCCGGGTGATTCCAGATCTGAATTTCCACGTCATTTTCAGGTGCTAGTTAGCAAACCAACCTTACTACAAGCGGCGAACGCTTTCAGCGGGTTGAACGTCTCCTTGTTGCCGCCCTCGATCTCCTGTTGGGCGTAGATGATGAACGCTCTGAAAAATGCAATTTTTGCCTATTTTGAGTGCCCTACTTGTAGAGAGCATGCTGGATCGGGCTTTTTCGAAGGTATAAAACGTATTCCCGGCATTCTGGCAAAATCTCCTTCAGAAGAGAGTGGGTACGCCTGAAATTCCAAATTTTAGCAACGGGGTTCCGGAAGAATCTTCGTTTTTAAACTATCCTTACCTTTGAACAAAACCCTTCAGACTTTCGGTGAGCACGTGTATCCGTTGACGAGCCAGCTTCTGATCGGAGGGGCCCGAATCGGCGCATTGGCCGTTCTAAGACAATGAGCATGAAAAGCTTGGTCAGCTTCGTTTACCTTGATCGGCTTCTCGAACATTTGGATGAAGCTTTTCTTGGTACCGAGGTAGGCGGGCCGGACAAAGTCCACCATGCAAAAGTACTCGATGAGATTGTTTTGGAGTGGCGTGCCCGTCAAGACGATTCGTCTCCTAAACGCCAAAATTTAATAAAACTATTTAATTGTGATGTAAGCGAGCTCAGTGCGTTTTATAATGACCTATATGATGCCCATTCTTCAAAAAAGGTCCAAAATGGATTATTTAGACGACTTTCTATCGGTTTTATAGCACGTACTTCGTTTTTATCTCATTCAACGTGGACGCCGTCGCGGTGTTGAGATTCTTGATCTTGTGCCCCTCGTCGCAGACGACCAAATCCGGCCCGGGGTCGAGCAGGGCGGCTCGGACAGCTGAATATCAAAATTCTCGTCATACTGGAATTCCAGGCATACCCGAGTGAAGATCGGCCAACGTGCGCCCGTCTTGCGCCACAAAATTCTCTTTTGCTTCCTCCTTCTCGTCTCTCTCCTCCGGGTCTTTTGGTGTCGCCAGCTTTGCGCCGAGCTTCATCTTGGGAGGCTGAAATTTCCTCATTTTTTTGAGAAGGATAACTCGTATTTATCCATTGGAATATATCATTTTTTCACACCTTCTTGTCCTTCTTCGCCTTGGTAGAGTTCAGAATCAACCGGAACATCTCGTAGCCAATTAGCAAAACGCCGCCATCACGATGCCAGTCCTCTGTAATTAAAATTTTGTAAACGTAGTTTTTGAGAATTTATTTGTATTTAAAAAACGTACCAATATGCTTCACCCGTTGCTCGATGCCCTTGACAGCATCGCCGAGCAGGAATATCGGGAATTTTCGGATGACCCCGCCTTCCGCGTCGGTTCTAGATAAAAATAAGGAAAGCTCGAGTTTCACTCACTCCGGCATCCATTTCTGGTATTCGGCGAACCAATTTTGAATCGTATTGATCGGGACGATCACGAGAATCTTGTGGCTTTGCGTGGCGCGAAAGAAGACCTCGGTGAAGGTTATAACCTAAACAATAGTAATGAAAATGGTTTTTTTTCTGTGGCATAGCTATTAAAAAGAAGCTAATGATCGTTTACCTGAATCGTTTTTCCTAATCCCATAGAATGCGCCAAAATACAGCCGAACCCGTCCGAATCCTTGAACTCCTTGATCGAGTCGACGACATTGTCAAACCTAAAGCCACGTTTCGAAATTTTCTAGAACGCATACATAAAGCGTATCCCAGCTAGCTGATGGGGTTGCAGCGTATTCGTCAAATGCGCAGCGACGTAGATTGGAGGATCGCCTATACGGCTAATGTTTATTTCTTTATTATATTCCTCACCATCAGGCCGCCCGGAGTTCACCAACAGTTTGCCCTCCGTCAATTCCTTGCTCTCCAGATCGCCGCTGTTTCGGCGTCGACGTAACCTCTTTTGTTCGAACTCGCGTTGTTTTCGGAGGTTATGCTGGGCAGCTTCTTCGTGGTGGGAGCCCCAACGGCCACGATTGCCTGGAAAAAAATGAATCTTGATCATTCATCCTTTTTAGTCCGTATTTCGTAATCGCCAAAAAACGCACTCATCAAGATCGGGCGTCCATAGCTCGTATAGGCCTGGCTGGCGAGCGAATTATAGGGCAAGCGCTGCTTCTCGCCGATCGGAATAACGTCCTCGTCATCGCTGCTAAGGGTGACCACCTCCTGGGAGGTGCTGGGCTCCGGCTCGATTTTCTTGTCCTCGTTCGGGCTGTCGTCGAAGAAGTTGTCAATTTCCTGGAAAAAAAACACGTTATTGGATCGGCATCCAGCACAAATTCGGAATAGGGGGTTTAGCCATATCACCTTAAACTTACCAATAAGGGCAACGGATTATCAGTCGAGAGCATCCTCGCAATTTGGGCAATGTGGCTCTCGTCCTCAGCCGTGTTTCGTTTCGATATCCTATCCAAGCGGGCTCGTTCTTGCTCTTGTGCGGCACGGACGCTGTCAGGCATTTTTGCTTCGAATTTCTCGAAATCGGGGCTGAAATACACTTGGTGAGGTTTTTATATCAGAGAAAACATAATCGCTATAATCTTTCCAAAAAAAAACCAACTTTAGCCTTTTCCGCTTCCGGTCCTTCCCAGTTTTTAGCGAAATTTGTAGCAACTTTGGAGCGTCGGCCGTCGGCGATTCGCTCGATTCCTGAGGCGCCGTCGTGAGCTCTTGTTGCGATTCCGACCTCGACAATACGGGCGGGCTCGTATTTTCCTCCTAAGCCAATTTTTTAAAAGAAAGCCATGGAATCGTACCTTCGACGCCGTTTCATAGTCCATACCCTGCTTGCTTATTGTTTCCATAATTTCATCGATAGAATGGGGCTCTTGGTCAGGAATGGAGGCTTCTGAAAAAAAACAGAAATTAAATTACTTTTCAAAAAATACCTTCATCAGGCGTTTTCGCTCGTGATGTCGAGGCTCCCTCGATAGCGTCAGGCGGTTCTTCTGAAAAAGTGGCTTTTTCTACAATCAAAATCATCACAAACCTTTCTCCTCAAATTGCGGAGGCGAGAACCGAGGGGCGCACCGGTCTTTTAGGTTGAACTTTAACTTCAGCGACCCTGGCGAGGTTGCCATCCTGAAAACGGCTTTATTTGAAAGTGAAACAGACGAAGGCAACATTAAGGCAGAAGACAAAAACAGAACAAATATAGAATTCTCAAAAGTCAACAAATGAAACTATAGCTAGTCAGGTACAAAACAAAACACATTGAGATAAAAGAGTTCAGCCTAGAAAAAGTTGAGATCGCGGTAAATATGGCTGCTAGGTCGGCGTGGCGTGTATCACGCTTTCTTGTTGGAATCCCGGATTTCGCGACCATAAGTAATATCGAAGAGGGTCTTTGGCGTCATTTTTGGCGGCGGCCATCGCTCCGATTCGACGGTGTGCAAGTCGGCTATTTCTTCGCTTCCTTTTTCCTTCACTTTCGCCGCATACGCCTTCTGGATCTTTGCGATCTCGCCGTCGGTCCTGTAGGAGACGTAAGGCCGTAACTTGCAACCCTCCAAATTCGGCACCACCAGCTCGGCCATCATCTCGGGGACGCGCACAAATTCTCCAGTCTTCGCGTCGACGTAGCCCTCGGCTTGGACACCGGTGTATTTGTGCAATTGGTACGGGTTGGCCTTCTTTCCATTGGGCGCAAATTTCGGTGATAATTCCGGGAATTCCTTATCCTGGCCGGGCCATAGCTTCTTTTCTTCGTTGACCGGCCCAACTTTGCGCTGTCCATACTCGCCCTTCTTCACGAAAGGGTACGGCGGTCGAAATTGGAGGTAGTGCAGGGAGCGCACCGTTCGTCGCGATATGTAGGGGATGAGGGTGGCCATCCCTAAAAGAATTGATTGACGAGGGCAAAAAAGAGTCATTCTGCGAAATGAAGGGCACACAGAATTGTCAAGGGGAGAATGGGCGGTCGCAAGTTTCTCCAACAATTCTTTATGATTCAGCGTGACTCAAGTTAAAGTTATGTCTTGCAAACGTCATTCTGCTAACAATGTGGAAAGACGAAAAAGGGTATTTCCTTAGGTTTCGCGAATCGGAGTCGACGAATGGGTGATAAAAGTAGTTTAAAAGGGGACTTCCGGAAATTAGATTTCATAACAGGCTTTCCGGATCAAGCTCGGGGATAAATGGATAATCCGGAGACATGGAATATCCCAAAATCCTTTCAAAAGCTCATTTTTAATGTCATTTTATCATCAGGGATTAATTACACATAAAAGCGTGCGGAATATTCGAGAAGGCGGGGCCCCCAAATCATGCGAAAAGGGGGCCGCGGGCCGGGGAGGCGGACAAAAGAGCTACTAACGCATTGCTACTATCCCCCACCCTATATTATGCTGTTGTGACAAAACCAGCTTCCCGGGGGCTTCCTTGAAAAGACAACCCCTTGACCCCTTTCTAAGCTTCTAAACTCCAAAATTTTCTCTATTTTGATACCTTTTATACTTTTTAAAATAAAACCGCGTCAAAAACAATATAGCTACTGTAATTCCGATCTTCTGCGGTTTAGCTTGAAATAATAGATTGCAGCGAAGACGTATACTTTGCTTTGTTCTTTTATAATCTGAATTTTTTAAAATAACAAATGCTATGATTTCTTATCCCTCTTTTCAGATGATACGCCCGACGCTTCGCGAAAATCTCCTCGAACACGCCGACGATATCGATGGGATAGTGAAACAAATGCTGGAATGCCTGCTCGAACACGACAACAAATCCGGGAGGGAGGAGGCTCTCAGCACGCTGTCTGGCCTATTCGACTCACGCCACGCCAAGATCAAGACCCTGTTCAACCAGATTGAGGCCCACCAAGAGCGTACAAATCTGATACAGGAGCTAGAGAAGTGCAGCGAGGACCGCGACACTATCATCCAAAATGTGGAAGCCGATTTGCACACGGCTGATGCGCTGCTGAAAAGTACAATTTTTCAGGCGAACAAGAAAATTCGCACTATGCGCAACAGCGTCGAGCAGCCGGTGAACACCGAGCAGGCGCTGCAAATGGCACACCAGATTTCGAAGGGATTTTCGGTGGCTGGACCGATGAACTGGCAACAAGGCGATCCGTCGAGGCCGTTTCCGACTGAAGCTGAATTCCGGATTTCCCAGTTGATGAACCCGAAACCGATGGGGATGCCGGGAGCTGCTCCGACGTTAGGGATGCGACAACCCCCCGCAGCTGCTGGCCGAGGTCGCGCGATGATGCCGCAGTCGCCGATGAGCAGCTCGTATGGCGCGCAACGAGGGTGGAGCCCACGTACAGGATTTGTCGAATCGCCAAGAACAGCGCGAAATGGGATCGGCGGTATGTCGACGCCGCGTGCAGTTGGAACGTCACCATTCGACAGTCGGAGGACGAGCACCGGAAGTGAGGTGAGAGTTGCGTTTACGACACCCCCTATGCCGAGCCGTGCCCCGCCACCCGTCAGCAATGTCGGGCAGATGAGCAGCGATTCGTCCTCGTCTTCGAGCAGTGAAGACGAAAGGAGACCTTGAATTTTATAATTTTTCTGGCGTTACTATTTGAATACTCTGTGAATTTTAGACGCTGCTCTCTACAATTTATTGCTATCGAATCCCATTGATAAGGTGGCCCTTTCTGTGACTTTAGTGCTTATACGATGTATTTTGAGTCCCCTGTGACAGATGTTGAATTTGAACTTTTAAAGTTATGCGGGTATATCTGTTCTCAATTGTTCTGCAACTGTTCTCATTGTCTTCAATTTTTATCGATTGTGCGTTGCAAAAAGAACAATTTCAGCCGACGTGATGTCTTCTCCTGTGAAGGAGCACGGGAAGCGCCGCGTCGCCTACTACTACGACTCCAACGTCGGCAATTATTACTACGGCCAGGTAATTTTTTTATTATACTTCATTTCCTTTTCCTGGATATCTTGAATTAATTATATTTTTTTCAGGGCCACGTCATGAAGCCCCATCGCATACGGATGACCCATCACCTGATCCTCAACTACAAGCTCTACCGCGATCTCGACGTCTACCGCCCGTTCCCCGCGAGCTTTGAGGAGATGGCGCGCTTCCACTCCGAGGAATACATCACCTTCCTGAAGACGGCCTCCCCCGACAACATCAAGGTGTACAACAAGCAGATGCTCAAGTTCAACGTCGGCGAGGATTGCCCGCTGTTCGATGGACTGTATGAATTCTGCCAACTTTCTTCCGGAGGTTCCATCGCAGCTGCCGTGAAGTTGAACAAGCAAAAGGTAAATTTAATAATTTTTTAATTTTATTTTATTTTAGGCTGACATAGCCATAAACTGGATGGGCGGGCTCCATCACGCCAAGAAAAGCGAGGCCAGCGGGTTCTGCTACACGAACGACATAGTTCTCGGCATCCTCGAACTGTTGAAGTATCACCAACGGGTACTCTACGTTGACATAGATGTTCATCATGGTGACGGTGTTGAGGTTTGTAGAAATTTCTGTAAACTTTACAATATATTGTTTTTTAGGAGGCGTTCTATACTACCGATCGTGTGATGACCGTCTCTTTCCACAAATACGGCGACTTCTTCCCTGGAACTGGCGATCTCAAGGATTTGGGTGTTGGAAAGGGCAAGTAAGTGTTATTTTAATTGTTTTGGTATCGCTCTTGATTTTTCAGGGTCAGAGCTTCTCAATTTGAATTTTTCAGGTTCTATTCGCTCAACGTCCCACTCCGGGACGGCATCACCGACGAAACATACCAAAGCATCTTCACGCCGATTATGACGAAGGTATCAACATCTAATAAATCTTTAAATTGCTTTTAGGTAATGGAAAAATACCGGCCATCAGCTGTCGTCCTCCAATGTGGCGCCGACTCACTGTATGGAGACCGGCTCGGCTCGTTCAATTTGACGCTACGCGGACACGGAGAGTAAGATAGTTTCTTCGACTTTTAAATTACGTTTTTTCAGTTGCGCAAAGTTCTTCCGCAAATACAACGTGCCGCTGATGATGCTCGGCGGCGGCGGCTACACCCCGAGGAACGTTGCCCGCTGTTGGGCGTACGAAACGGCAGTTGCGCTCGATACGGAGGTATTTAAATCATTAAATCCTTATTTATTTCTTTAGGTCCTAAACGAGCTGCCCTACAACGACTACTTCGAATATTTTGGCCCCTCCTACATGCTGCACCTCGAGCCCGGAAACGTGACCAACGACAACACGCCCGATTATTTGCGAAAAGTTCAGGTATGAAAATTTTGGTTAGAATTGAGGCATTATGGTTTTCAAAGTAAATCAAAACGAATTATCTTTAAAAACATGATCGTTTCCTTCAGGACCAAATAATGGCCAACCTGGACAAGCTCGAAGCGGCGCCCAGCGTCCAAATGCAGCCGATACCCGCTGATGCGTTCCCGATTCTGAACGATACTTCTCTAGGACGGGTAAGATTTTCTGATGTGCAGTTATTGTATCCATTTGTTTATATTAAAGTTTATTAAATTTATTTCAGGACATGGCCAACCCCGATCGACGTCTCCACCGGGCCGACATGGACGGGCATGTACAACACGAAGGTGAGCCCTTTATTTTTTGTATTTTTAAGTTTCTTTAGGGGAATTCTACGATGGCGAAAACGAGGGCGACGATCGACGAAATGAGCACAACGGCCGAATCTCCACCTAGCTCTTTCCCCAATTGATACTGTCAATATGTTTGTGTAATCTAAACATTCAGCCCTCACTTTGATATATTTCCGAATCTCCTCATGTCTCTTTTCTCTTCTATTTCTTCTTGGCAACACATCGATCCTTTTTTGCATATGAAAATCCCCGGGCTACGAGCGTCTCTAGCGTGTCTCTACATCTTCGCGGTTGTTGAATTCATTATTCCCCATGTTCGTAAAGTCGTCATACTAAAGCATAAGACATTGGTTAAATTTCGGTCTTCTTAATTTATTGACACTGATCTCTTGTTGTATAAAGTGAGCGATAAACAATGTCGACAAGTGCAATTTTGTGGCGGGCGAGAAACGTGCCGATACAGCGGTTCATTTTTTATGAATGGTGGGAAGCGAGAAAATAATTTTCGCGGGTATTGAAACAGACAATTAGAAAAACTATAGGACGATCGATGGGCGACAAAAAGAGGCAGCAGCGAGAAGGTCATAGTAGTGAATACGAGGTAAGGTTTTGAGCAGAATACGATAAATTTTTATTTCCATACAAAGCTATGAAAAATGCGTCTACTATGGCAAAGTTCAGATTACTGGCGTTCTGGCAACCGGGACTGGATGGCCAGTTGGACCCCGAGATCAATGGCCACTCGATACTAAAGCCACGGAAATGATTAAAGTTTCATGGAAGTAGGCCAATCCCATAAAACTAAAACTTTTCGGTGTAGACCCAGCTGGTATGAAACAACGGTCCTTGACACGCGACAGAGAGCGCTTTTGGTAAGGGAAGCAAAACGAGTGAAAAAAAATGAAATCTTTAGAAAGACTCCGACGCTGTCGTCTTGGGGCCGGCTGTGGAGAATGGGCGAGGTAGGCATAATTAACGAAAAATGAACGTTGAAACTTTTAGACATCCACTCGTCTGACGCGTTGTGGCTACTTCAGAAAAAGTAAGTATTTAATTCTTCATAGAACGAAAACGTTTTCCTTTCAGGGATCGGGTCGTTTGGATGGTCAACTATGGCTTGTTGCGGCAACGATTTTCTAACGCGCTCCTGGAATATTATGAGAAGGTTTGTAGTCTTTTTTTTGTTTCTGAATATGATAAAAGCTTTTTTCTGCGGTAATTTTCGTATTTTCTTATAAATCCTCTTACGAGCTACGGTTTAGCGAGCAGAACTGGTGCACGTTGAAGAAGCCGAGTCGGATTTGGAGAGCTGGATCGATGACGCCCCGACGGTACATATGAACACGATGATGTTGATTTTTACGTATCGCAAATTTGATAAAAACTAAATAGAAACTTTAAGGTTGAAAATTAACTTTTAGCTCCACAAGGGCTATCTCTCCGACGACGACCTCTCCGGCAATGAAGAGAATTTGCCGCTGGAGCGTCTGTTCGCACGCCCGCCGAGCGCGGTGAGTTCGAAGAATATATAGATATTGATGTTATAAGATATAGAGACTACCACAAAGTACAAAAAATTCAGAAAAATTTGTTAATTTCGCCTAAAAAATTACGAAAAATTTTCAGCAACCGCAGTCTGGACTCGGCGACATGGCTCCCAAGCGGTGACCGAGATTTTCGCTTTCTACGACGCGTAATGTGCTCTATAATTTATTGACAAATGCAACCTGGATGATCTCAAGAATTCACGAGTATCTTGGCGAAGCGCAAATAAATCGTGTCAAGTTTCCTTCGAATTATTCGCATTGGTTCCGGGCGGGCCGGAACGCTGGCGGCTTCGCGAGGCTCGATCCGTCTTTTTCTGGTCCTTGGTGATGAACAGGTTGGCCTGCAGTAAGTAATAGCATTTAATGAAAAGCCTAGAAATAACAATAGGGGCTGTTAAAACCTGCAATTACAGAATTTTAAAATGTTGTAGAAATATTAGTACAAAATCGAGCGTTTAAAAATTACTAGGTGGTTGATTTTAACTAACTCACAAAGTTTCGCTATTCTTTTAAACAGCTATAAAAATTCTGGATATGGAAAGTCCGAAAAAGTTTCTATATCTGAATTAAAGGATCATCTTTTTAACTTTTAAAACAGCTATTAAACTCGGCAAAATTTAAATATATAACAGAATTTTTCCCCTGAATTATTTACCAAGCGTTTCATTGAATAGAAACCTTTTTAAAGCGCTATTAATTAGCAAAATTGCGGTGTTTAGAAAAGAAAATAGAAAGAATACCAGCGAAAGAAAAATAAGTTCCAATTTTAAGCCTGGAAATACCGAAAAGAAATAGAAGAAATATTGAGCACTCCTTGACGTTAAAGTTGTCAAATTACCAGTTTCTCCAGTTCCTGATCCAGATTGTTCTGCCGCACCCTGCTCGAGCAGTTCGGGCATGCACGCATCGTGCTGAGTAGGGCCATCGCGTGTTCTCTACAATTTTTACTGCCTTTTTCTTCTACACATTTCCCTACGCCATCTTCACCGTGTTCTCGTGCTGCTTGAGGTTGCTCCTCGACGACGAGTCATTGTTGTTCACACGTTTCAGCGCTTCTCTAAACAAAGCGAGGGATGGAATTGATTAGCGGTCGACAAACTCACTTGCTTGCTTTTTCCTCATCGTGACCCTCGGCTAATTTTGCGGCTTTCTAAAGTGTGCCATAGTATCGTAACGAAATTTAGTCAAACCAGGGTTTCGTACTTGGCGCGGATGTCGGGCGGCATGTTGTAGAGGGTGTAGCGAGGCGGGCGTCCTGGGGGGTTGGGTGATACCTTAAAAATGGCACTAGAATTATCTGAATGCTGGGCTCTCTCTCTCTCTCTCTCTCTCTCTCTCTCTCTAGCTTACAGCTGCTGTACTTGGCGATGACGGCGGAATAGACTGCGGGGTTACGGGAGGAGTAGCAAATGTATTGACAGGCATCCGAGGTACCGGCGCTGCTCTTGGCGACGACGTTGCTCGATCTCGGCTCTTGCTCCGGTGCTTCGGGTAAACGATCGTCTTGCCGGCTACGTCTAAGCACGAGCTTATGCTCAAAATAGAGCTGAGTTCATCTAGACCTCTACTGCTTTAATAAATGGGATACGTTACGCACGCTCCGTTCCGTACTCACTTTTCTTGGCCAAAGCCGATTTCCCTCCCCCGCTCGACCCAATCGACGAGTTACAGTCGTACTCGTTGAAAGTGCTCGAGCGCTCGTGGTCGCCAGGTCGAACAGTATCAACGGTTTTTAAGCCTGCTCCGTAGTACCGGTCATCCAATTCATCCCCGATGTGCAGCTGCGGTAGGGGGAGCACGGCCGTGGGGTTCAGTTGCTCACCTACGAAGCTGGCTCGATTCTGTTTTCTGTTAACTTACGAAACTTGCTCGTCGGCGTGTGGGCCGGTTCCGCGTTGTCTCCCTAATACCAGAATCTCTCTATTTCCTGCATGGACCAACCATCGACTTGACGAAGCACTTCGGCACGTATCCAAACCTGCCGTCGAGCCGCGCGTAGAAGGCGTCAGGGCGGGCTTGCTAAAGGTGTGGTGGACTTTGGTGTCGGATTAGAGAGAGAGAGAGAGAGAGAGAGAGAGATTTCGTATAGTGACGTATCGTGAGTCCAATCCAGAATCAGGAAACAATCCAGAAACTCACCCCAGGCGGCGATTCCAAGATCTGGATCGTTTGCTTCTCACGGACACTAAGCCAAGCCGGATCGCGGTAGTCACAGTCTTGGGTGGTCATAGCCCACTGTCCGGGGCGAACGGTCGAGGCAGGGTAGAGCATCGGAAGATGGTGAAGCGGCGGAGCTACTAAAATGGAGGTTTGGGTTTAGGCTTAGGCTTATTTGGCTTAGGCTTAGGTATAGGCTTATTAGGCCTAGGCTTAGGCTTAGCATACCGGTTGTGTTGAAGTTCTGCACGGAGCCGAAGGCGGAAGTGTTGAGTTGAGGCCTAGGGATCATCGGCATGTGATGCGGATCTTGGTATGGGCCGTACGGAGGAGTTTCTAAAGGTAGTGGTGAAGCTTAGATAGAGAGAGAGAGGGGGGGGGGCGCGGAGCGAGAGTGAGAGAGAGCGATCGAGAGACCTTGCAACTCACCTCGATGCCATTCTCCCACGTGAGCAGCATTAGGCATTGGAGCCCGAGCCGACTGATACGGGTTCAGAATCGTGCGGGTCATCGACATTGGCGGAGTCGCGATCGGGTAAGCTGCTAGAAATTTGATTTTTCTTGAGGTATCAGCCTTAACAAACGCTTGGCTTGCATGCCTTGGGCCACTCCAGACTCCAGACCGACGACGCGCTCGCGTACATTCACGCTTACGCGCTCGCGAAACATCTCTCGGTTCTTTCGAGTTGACAAGTTCTGGTCTGTAAATGTCTAGTGACTGTTTTTCGAACGTTAACTATTGTTCAGGGAAGATGGTCATGAAATAAAATGGCAGGTCAATCGGGTTAAAGCCGAGGCCAGGGCTTATCGCCGTGTTGGGGGCACTGAGCCCCCGAGAAAAAACACGTGGAAGTCCTTATCAGGGAAATCCGAGAAGGCGGACGAATTTAGCAGTGCGTTCCCGTTGGGCCACAACATTGGAACTTTTGGAAAGGGGTAAGCCGAAGCCTAAGCCTAAGCCTTAGCCTTAGCCTAAGCCAAAGCCAAAGCCTAAGCCTAAGGCTACACCTAAGCCTAAACCAGAGCCTAATCTTAAGGAAAAGTCCAGACCGAGAAGTAAGCCTAAGCCGAAGCTGAAGAGCAAGCCAAGCATCCGCGAGCCACTCCCTCAGACCAACCAGGCTAGCTTCGACGGGACTTTTAAAGCAGTCTTTAGCTGTCAACACCTAGCTGACGTGGGAGTATAGACTATCTAAGGTTTCTTACCAAGCCGTGCGAGTGCTAGGTTTCTAAAAACTCTCGAATCTGAGGCTTATGCTTCTGGCATCATGCTCTCTACACAAAGAAACGCGCCCAGCACTGATAGGAAATCAGAATTGAAAAGACGAGCGTTCGTAACCGGCGCCTTTATAGCCCAGAAAGGCACCGGATCTTTTTTTACAGGTTGTAGAGATAAGACTTTCCAAATAGTTTCTTAATTCCGCTAACGTCGATCGCAGTATTACACGTATAAAATTCGAGACATTCTCCCAATGACGGAAAATGATACGTATCAGGGCAAGGAAGGCGGCGTATTTTTTTGGCTTCCCTCGCGTTGAGATGCTTCGGGCGCTTCCGGTGCTTCCGCGGGACTCATAAGTTTCTTTGTCATTCTTAATTGTCAGCTTTTTTGGCTCGGGCATTTTTAGTCAGATATTTTAACGTAATTAAGAGCAACGTATAGATAAAGCGATGAACCACTTGATGAGTCATTCCTAGGCTGATGGGATAGGCCAGAATCGATTACTTATCACCACTAGGTCTCGACAGCTAGGCGGTACTTCAAAGCGCATCTGCAAGCGGGGCTTGAAGCTCTCAAAGCTAGGCCTAAGCCAAGCTAAGCCCGATCCTTATAAGGCCCAAGCTTAAGTCTAAACCTCGGCCCATCCTGAGCCCAAGCATATAAGCCAAAACATATGCCGAAGCATAAGCACAGGCATAAAACTAAGCCATGCCAGAGCCTTATCCTAAGCCCAAGCCTAATTCTAGCCTAATTCCCTTAGCTTGTCACCATACTTTGCACACCTTTGTGACCGGAAACCGCTTGCCTGAGGCTTCTTTAGCCTCATTAAAGCCCTTTATGACCCGCCAACTCCGGTTCCAAAGCACAACCAAGGCACATTCACGACTTTTGCTAAATCGCGGTGGCTTATCGCAGTTTGACACGTCAACTATCGCCACCCTTTTCGTTAAGCGAATGTGGTCCAGAGAACGACTAGACTTCGAAGCCAAAACGGGACTGCCACCGGGCCACGAAGGTGACGAAAAGATAGATAGAGAGCGCGACTTTACAACCTTGCTAGCCGGATTGGGGAGCTTGTGAATCTCGAGAATTCCAGGAATTTTTTAGGTTCCAAGAACAGGCAAATCGGGCTACTGTTTTAGTCGCTACAGAGTGCGAGCACCCCGAAAAATTGTGATAACCCCGCGTGGGTGGGAGTAGCTGTTAGGAGGACTGGAAAGTACGCGGGTAGAAAATTAGGGGTTAAGGGACTGGGCAAAGCTAAGCCTTGTAGGCAGAAATTGCCTAGGCTCGGGTTTAAGCTAAGCCTTGAAAGCCAAGTCAGATCATGCCAATACCAAGCCTAAGCTCAAGCTAAGCTTAAGCATCTGCCCAAGCCGCAGCTTAAGCTTAAGACTAACCGGACTGAGCCTACGCCTAAGCTGAAGCCCAAGCCCAAGCCAAGCAAAGCCTAAGCTTATGCCTAAGCCTAGGTCTAAGCCTAAGCCTAAGACTAAGCCCTAGCCCAAGTCCGAGCCAAGCCTAAGCCTAAACTTAAATCTAAACCGGATCTTAGGCTTAAGTCTAACCCTAAGCCTAGCCTAAGCCTAAGCATAAGCCTGAACCTAAAGATAAATTTAAGCCGAAACCTCAGCCTATGGCCTGAACATACACCTAAGCCTAACCATAAGCCCAAGCGTAAGCCTAAGCCAAGCCTAAGCCTAAGCCAAACGTAACTTGACTTCCAATTTCCTGACTTATTTTTATGTATCATCCATAGCTTGGTTTTTCACTTCCGGTGCGATACTTGTGCCACAATGCCGGAGGTTCCATTACCACATTTTTCTCGACTACGGCCCCACACTATTGACGCGCATGCCCAGTGCCCCGACGGCGCCCATCCGATTATCTTAGTTATTTGATCAGTAAACACTTGAATAAAAATTTCCCAGGCAGTGCCATCTCACTGCAACCCGCTGATTGTCGACAAATTTCCACGACTCGCAACATTTTATGTATGAGAAAATTTTTGACGCTGAATTGGTTGCCGGCGAGCTGGTGGATAATGGTGAGTAAAGCGAAGTAAGCTCAGCCTTCGGCTTAGACTTGGCTTAGGCTTGGCCTAGGTTTGCCTTAAGCTTGGCTTGGGTTTGGCCTTGCTTATGATTCGACTTCGGCCTTAATTGGACTTAATCCTGGGCTTATGCTTAGGCAAATGCCTGGGCCTAGGAAAAGGCTTTGCTTAGGTTTATGCCTCAAAAACAGTAAACTTAAGCGGAGTTTTAGTAAGAGCTGGAACGAAAGCCCCGCTTCAAGACTGCATCGAGACGACGAAGCTGCTCTTAGAAACGCTACTATCACATTCCAGGTACGTTCCTTCGAAACAGGCACAAGGCAGGCTGGCTGAGATTCTTAGGGCAACCCAAAATCGAATGCAGGGTGGTCTAGCAGCAATTCTTAGGGAACAGAAAATGAGTTAAGAACCTAACCGAGATTTTCAAAATCTGCTTTAAAGTTGTATTACCAAGAACAGAAAGCTGGGCAAAACTATAAAATCTATCTCGAACCGGAAGTTGTGGCAAGCTAGCAGAGATCCTTTGGGAAAAACAGTTTGGCGTCGCTTGAAGACCTATATTTAATTTTATTTGATCTTACAGTGATGAGACGTTATCGGCAGTCCACCGGGCCCTCGACACGTTCAGCCCGGATCTCGAAAATTGCTTCGACGCGAGGCTGCTCACAGCGCTTGGGCGCAGTCTTGGGCAGTGGTTTGACGAGAAGTCCGAGGTGAGAGAGCGAGAGAGAGAGAGAGAGCGAGTGAGCGAGAGAGATCAACAAAAATCCGGCTTCCATCTTAACCAACCTTTCAGCTAAGCTACTCCCTATCCCAAGAGGACGACAGCCACATCGAAGACATGGGAATTTTTGCCGAAATTGCGGTATCTTGACCAAATTTTTTGCGATTAAGTATTTCAGGCAAAAACGGACCCCAGGATACCAGAGCGAGTGGCAGCTGAAGACAACTTTGATTTTGTGCTGAAGCTAAAAGCATTGTATGTTATGGTAGGAATCAAAAAATATGAAAAATGAAATAAACACTAAAATTTTAGGACCAAAGCTACAAAGTACGAATCGGGGCGATACGGTTACTTAACAACCTGACCGCCATAATTCCGGCAGTAAGAAGATGCCTGGTCGATACGGAGCTACCTTCTGTGCTAGGTGAGGGAGATAGAGGGAGAGAGAGAGAGAGAGAGAGAGAGAGGGAGATAGAGAGAAAGAGAGAGAAAGAGAGAGATAAAGAGAACGAGAGAGGGAGGGATAGCATCTCCTATTTTAGCACCTCTGATCAGCGACCAGCGAACCAGCGCTGAAGAGCGGAAAATGGCTGTCGAGCTCCTCGACCAATGGGCAGCTACTGGAGAGCCACTACCATTAGTGCATCTACGTAAGGGTTAAACTCGAAAAACTCAACTTTTTCTTTTAGCTTTTCTAAACGCCAATTTCTTCAAAGCTTTGATCTCCCTGCATGAAGATCGCTCAGCCCTGAAGCTCCTCATCAATCTCTATGCCAGCAGCCCGGCTGAGACGCAGGTGAGAAAACTAGAAATGGTTTATTCATACAAAAAATCGTTGTAAATTTTGGCTACCATTCGGTTATATACGGCTTTAATAACATTTTCAGGAGCTCGCCATGCAAGCCCTAAGCGATTCGAAGAATGGAAATCTTGCCAACCACTTGCTAGAATACACAAATACGACCCCGACGGCTGCATCGTTTTTCTTGTTGAGTCGACTTTTAAGCTTACCGGAGGAACAGGTATCTGATAAGATTTTTAAAATGTTTTTTATTAGGTCAACGACCTCTTCTACCACAACGATCTCTCTGTCGCAGCCACGATTTCGAGCCGGGAATTGTTGAATAGTGTGGACGACAAGGTGGGTTTTAGAACGACCTAAGCCTAACTTAGGTCTAACTTAAGCCTAAGCCTAAGCCTAACCAAACCTACATTTTTTTTGAGGTCCAAGACTACTGCCTCCAGACGCTCGAGGCCCTTGCTAAGCTCGGCGTTCGGGATTATTGCATGAGAGAGGCACTGGAAGGGTATCACAGTGAGAATCCCCTACTTGAGAAAGTTAAGTCTTTACTTGCCTAGGCTTCTGAAGCTCTTTTCGCTCTCTCTTTGTCTATCTCTCTCACTCCCGCCCGCTTTCACCCTCTCTCTCTCTCTCTCTCTCTCTCTCTCTCTCTCTCTCGCTGTCTCTCTCTCCCTGGCGCTCTCGCTCTGTCTCTCTCTCTTTTAGATATACCATACTTGCCATCAAGATCAAAAATTTATTCTATGAGCTTTGGCTCCAAATTTGCATTCCATCACCCCCGCCCAGCGGATACTTTTTTGCTACCTTTTGAAACTGCTTGTCTTACTGTAGTTTTCGGTATACTGTACGGAACCCTGGTGCAATGTTCGAAACGTTCGAGTAGCCATATAGCTTTTATTGTACTGGTAAATAAAGTCGAATTGCTGACGCTTATTGCCTGAGTTCGGCGAGGAGATCACAGAAGTTCTTGAGAACACTAAAAAAGGAAGATTAACATATTTTTTAGCTCCACCGAGTTCTAGGAGTTCAGAAGTGTTCGGAGAATGTTACTACAAGCAAAGAGCTACTTGGAGACTTAAGTTTCTAGCGCTAAAATGATAGAGGCTTGCTGACACGATGACTTCAAAGAGTTCAGAAGTGCTTTTTGTTATGATTATCTTATACTCGTTTTCTAGAAGAGTAGTGCGTCCCAGGTTTAAGATCGCATAATTTCAAGCTTAGTAGGTAAAAACAACCTTTTTCCGGGCTACGACGACTTCAAGAAGTTCATCAAGTACTCACCCAAGTCCCGCTTGCTTTCCACACGTGCACATCGTCTCCATCTCGTGGCCCCAGTCGATCTTGTCGCCGCACGTGTCGATCGTCTTCTTGGCGGCGGCGTCGGTGATGTGGGGCATGCACCTGCAAGATCAAAATTTATTTTAAAGATTCGAGATATTGTAAGCGTGTATAGCTGAGGATGAACAACAAGAGTTACTTACCCCTTGCGCTCGAAGCAGTTGCCCTTGGGGTTCTTCTCGTTGAGGAAGCAGTTCTTGAAGCAGAGCTGGCCGGACTTGAGGGCGGCGGCAAGGGTCTAAAAGGAATATCATCCACAAATGCAGTAAAACACTCACGTTCATCTCCTTGGACTTGACGGTCTTCAAGAAGGCGTCGGCCTTGGTCTCGATGTCATCTTCCACTCTAAAACGACCTTAGCAGGCTTGAATGGCTTGACTTACTGTCCGATGAACGCGTTGAAGTCAAGGGTGGGGACCTTCTTCTCGGTGGAACCGTCGGTGCAACTGAAATATGATATATAGAAGATTGAGAGAGAGAGAGAGAGAGAGAGAGAAGAAAGAGAGAGAGAGAGAGAGAGAGAGAGAGAGAGAGAGAGAGAGAGAGAGAGAGTAAAAAACTCACGCGTGCAGGTTGGTCTTGATGCACGGCATCACCCGATCGAGCACCCTCTCCTTGTCCTTTATGCACTGTTTCAAGATGTCGGGCTTTTCGACCATCTGGATCTTCTTGAACTCGTCGAAGCAGGGGTCGAAGCACTGCTTGGCGTCGGTCTTCATGTCCTCGATGCACTCGTCCATCTCCTTGCAAGAGCACTCGCGCATCGTTTCGTGGCTGGCTCGGGACTTGTCGAGGGCGTGGATGGCTTTGCCTTTGACCTGGAGATGAACAGTTAGTGCGATTAGGCTTAGGCTTAGGCTTAGGCTTAGGCTTAGGCTTAGGCTTAGGCTTAGGCTTAGGCTTAGGCTTAGGCTTAGGCTTAGGCTTAGGCTTAGGCTTAGGCTTAGGCTTAGGCTTAGGCTTATCCTTAGGCTTAGGCTTAGGCTTAGGCTTAGGCTTAGGCTTAGGCTTAGGCTTATCCTTACGCTTAGGCTTAGGCTTAGGCTTAGGCTTAGGCTTAGGCTTAGGTTTAGGCTTAGGCTTAGGCTTAGGCTTAGGCTTAGGCTTAGGCTTAGGCTTAGGCTTAGGCTTAGGCTTAGGCTTAGGCTTTATGCTTAGGCTGAGGCATAGGCTTAGAAAACAGACTTACAATCTCCTTGGTCGCGTCGAGCGCATCGGCCTGCTGCGCCTTCGGAATCTCCTTGGCCAAGGCGACGGCGGCCACAAAGGCGAAAACAGCAAAGGCAGACAGGGTTCTCATTTCAAGACTTGAGCTGAGCTCTGGCTACTGATCCCCCGATTTGGACTTTTATACCGCTGGTCTGGGCACAAAACTCAACGACCTCGCCGCCCTTGTTGTTGTCGGGCTTCCAAAACGGATATTCATCTCCAGATCGCCTTCTTCAAAGGTGTTTGCTACAAAATCGGCTAGTTGTTTGGATGCGCGGGGCCGGCTGGGGGAGGTCGAGCCACCGCCGCCCCGGGAAAAACAAAACAAGAACGGGTTCCAGGGGGGAGTCGTGCTCCCTCGCATTCTCTCACTCTCTCCGTTTCTCTCTCTCCGCTCACTCGTTCCCTCCCTCGCTCTCTCTCTCTCTCTCTCTCTCTCTCTCCGTCTTGGGTGAGCAAAGAAGATATGCTGGCATCACTCGCCGGTGCACAGACCACAGAGCCAATGAGATGGTCCGTATTCGGGCAACACCTTCCAGACGATGAAAAATAAACAAAAGTTGATTTGGGGGTTGATATTCTTGTTTGTTTGTGACTTCACATAGGCAAGCCTAAGCTAATGCGAAGCCGAAGCCGAAGTCTAAGCCTAAGCCTAAGCTTAAGCCCAAACCTTAGCCCAAGTCTAAGCCTAAGCCCCAAACTCTCCTGCTTTTTCTCAAACTTTTTTGCTAATAATTTTCAAGTACTCTCATTTTCCTCAGTTATATCCTACTATATATAAAAAAATAGTGTCTGTGTGTGTGTGTGTGCCACTTTGCATCCATTTCCGTATCGTTGTTCCAGTCGTATCTCTATAGGGGAGGAAGTTAGGGGTGGGTACGACACGTCATTATGTGCGTGATGGTCTAGGAATGACTGCCCACATATCAGATTTATAAAAATCTGCCATTTTCGATATTAAATTTAAGTTTTTGTAAAACCCTCTTCGCTAGGAAAAATTAGCATTGACCGGAAGTAGGAAGTAGCCTATATAAAGGGTCACAAGCCAACCATTTTCATTTTTTTGGTCATCTGAATTCTGCGCAATTATGCAAATCGTGGAACAGCATGCGGTCCAAGACGGGGCCAGGGTTGAAAAGTCGCGAAGCGGCTTTTCAACCCTGGTTTTTCATTAATTTAAAGACGAAAAATATGCAACGAACGCCAATCGCTTTCAAGCATTTATTCAATCCCGTACAAATCGAGTCATCCGCGTCGATTAGGTGCTGATCATCAGCTTGCAGAAGTCTTGGAGACCACTAAAATGCCGATAATACAAACGTCAGTAGCTTCCTCACCCAATGCCCGCTTCGCGGTTGCAGTCGCAGATCGTCTGCACCTCCTGCTTCCAATTCACTTGCGTCGAGCCTTTCTCGATCGCCTGTTTTGCCTGGGCGTCGGTGATTCGGGGCATGCATCTAAATCCGCTTAGTTTTGGGCTTAGGCTTAACTTAGGCTTTGGCTTAGGCTTGGCTTAGACGAAGTTGTGGCTGAAGCCGGGGCTTAGCTTAGGCTTGATACGAAAACTCACCCGATTCGTTCAAAGCAGAAGCCATGTGGGTTCTTCTCCTTGACGATGCAGTTCTTCATGCAGAAACCGGCCGATTTAATGGCTTGGGCTACCTCCTAAAATTTTTTGAGCATGAGCTTAAACGAGGCCCAGCTTACATTGACGTTCTTGGACTTTGACATCTTCAAGAAAGCCTGAGCTTTGATGAGGAGGTCGTCTTCGACTCTAAACTCTTTTCATAGCGAAACACCCCTAGGTTCTTACTTCACCCTCTCACCCCATCTCACTCTCTCTCTCTCTCTCTCTCTCTCTCACACTCTCTCTCGCACTCTAACGCACTCTAACTCTTGCTCCCCAAATTCTCTTACTTTCCGAGGAAGGCGTTGAAGTCCATTGCAGGTACCATCTTGTCAGTCTCGCCCTCGGTGCACCTGAAAGGGGTTTTTTCTCTCTGTCTGTCTCGCGTCTCGCTCTCTCGCTCTCTCGCTCTCGCTCTAAGTAACCCACGCATGCAAGTGCTGCTTGAAACACGGGATCAGTTGCACGAGCATCCGCTTCTTGCTCTGGAGGCAAGTTTTCAACACCTGTGGCTTCTCGAGCATCTTCAACTTCTCGAACTCCTTGAAGCAGGGCTCGGCGCACTGGTCGGTCTGGCCCTTCGCTTCTTCGACGCACTGGTCCATTTCCTGAAGCAATAGATAGGAAAATGTCAAGGGTTGGGCTGACCTGACAGGTACACATTCGCATCTTACCGTCGCCAGCTTGTTTCGCTTCATGGAGGGCGCCGACGGCTGTGCTTTTTACCTGAATATGTTGGATTGGCTTAGGCTTAGGCCAAGGCGTAGGCTTGGGCTTGAGCTGAGGCTTAAGCCTAAGTTTGCTTTTACTTAGGCTTAGGCTCAGGCTGAGGCTTGCTTAGGCTTACACTTGCTTAGGCTTAGGCTTGGGCTTGGGCTTGGCTCAGGCGTGGGCTTGAGCTTAGAACTTTCTGCTGACTGACCTACCATATTCTTAATAGCATCCTGCGATACGGCCGACGCCCCGACACATAGCAACAACAAAATAAAGTACTGCATGGTTACCTTGAGAAAAATTGCTGCAAATCGGCGCTTATATCCGGCCCGCCGAGGCCTGTTCTCCACCTCAACGACACCGCTGTAATGTATCCCCTACTGTTTACGCGCCCCGCGCGCGGGCAGCCATTTTTGGTGCCACCGGATGCAATGCCTTCCTTCTTACGGACTTTAGATCGTTGTCTTTTTGCGGAATTGTTTTTTGTTTGGCGCACGTGGAGTACCTTTCGCCATTTTTTCAGACAATTTGTGGTGACGATAAAAAGGACGATACCGAGGCGGAAGACCTCGAGTCCAGGAACTGAGTGTAAGAAGTGACATCAGGTTTCACACTAAAAACTTTTCCAAAGGTTCCTTGGAAAGTAAAATGACAAATAATCACCAAATAAATTTTTTGGCAATCATAAAATGTTTTAGCAAGGAACCTCTTCGTTACCCAGGATTGTCGTACCTCTATTTTTTGCCAGAATGAGCTTTTGCAATTTTTCTCGTTTTTAAGATGCTGTTTAGATACTGGGGGATCCCTTTCAGCCCTTTGCGAACATAGCTTCCTACGGTAAACTTGGCGGACCGACCAGAATTTGGGAGAAAGGAAAGCTCATTCATTCAAGCTTGCACGAAAACCGAACTTCAACAGCCTTCTTCTCAATGTTATTACTCACGATAGTTATCTACAGACCTCCGTTAGTCATTTCCCAGTCTGGTACGCCGGTCGTATTTGATTGCCCGCATACGTCGCGAAACGAGTAAACAGAAATTGCCGAAAAATGCACTTTCACTTTCAAAAATGCTGCCAGGTGGTGCTCCTTGGCCAGCCGGCGATTTGAATATATTTGGTCAGTCCAGAAAAATAGATGGAATTTTTGGAAGAGCAGAAGAAAATTTCGCAAACCACGAAAACGGTTTGTGCTGAAAATTGAAAAGCGAAACGGCTTGGTTGTGAGCAAGTGGGCTTAGGCTTAGATGTAGGCCCAGGCTTAAGTTTAGGTTTAGGCTTAGGCTTAGGCTTAGGCTTAGGCTTAGGCTTAGGCTTAGGCTTAGGCTTAGGCTTAGGCTTAGGCTTAGGCTTAGGCTTAGGCTTAGGCTTAGGCTTAGGCTTAGGCTTAGGCTTAGGCTTAGGCTTAGGCTTAGGCTTAGGCTTAGGCTTAGGCTTAGGCTTGGGGCACCGTTGTGTGTCGCCTCCGCGTCAAAAAAAATTGTATCCGTAGCTAAAAACTATAACAATTTCTGCTCGTCCACTTAAAAGGCATCTTGTGTTCGTTTTTAGCGCTTCTCTGAATTTTTGCTACCTTTCCGGCTCATTTTGCGCTTCATTATACTTCCGGCTTCTTTTTGCACGCCATCTAAACATTCGAAGCGTGCAAAAAACCCCATATCGTTCGGGGTCATCGGCTAAACTGTTTCCGAAACCTTCCGGGTCGCCCCCTAAGGGGCCGGGCAAAGAGCAAAAAGGCCTGTTTACATAAACACACACCCAGCATATAAGCGAATGGCCGGGCAGTTGGGCCCAGACCACCACACAGCTACGAGATGCTACGCCAACACGTTGCCCTTCTGTGCGCCTTCTTGCTGACTTGTGCGCTATTCGCGTGCTCTTGTCCCCAGATGATGTTCGAGGATCTGATTCGGGATGATCCGGTCTACAAGGTCTGCAGCCTGCACTATTGTGAGTTTTTCGATAGAGCTTAAGAGTGAGAGTGAGAGTGAGAGAGACAGAGAGAGAGATGTTGAGAGAGAGGTTGAGAGAGTTGGAGAAAGGGTGAAAGGTGGAGAGATAGAGAGTGTGTGAGAGCGAGCCTGAGAAAGACAGATTGAGAAAGAATGAAACAGAAAGCCTGCGAGAGAGGGACAGAAAGGGAGATAGAGAGAAAGAGGGAGAGAGAGAGAGAGCGAGAGAGACGCAGGGCAAGTGTTTGCAAAGGAAGCGCTCCTTACAACTTATTGGTCTATTTATAATCTCTTCCTTAGTGACCCACATGCGCATCAGCAAGCGCGAGAACTACACGTGCGAGCAGGACCCGCTCCGTAACTTTGGCTGCTACATGAAGGTCGAGGTCATCGAGGACTTCTTTGTAAGTTTTGATGCTCAAAAATATAGCGTATCGTAACTTTAAGGTGCACGTAGCAAAGGTTGATCCTCCATTTTAGGCTCCGCTCAATGAGTCGGAACGTATGAACCCGCTGCCAACGAGTTTTGAGGGTGACTTGAACTCGGCAATGTGTGGCGTGAAGCTGCCCGAGCCGGGAGAGTACATTACCAACGGTTTGTATATTGTTATTTATTAAAATTGCTAAAAGACGTCAAATATATTAAATTAAATTAACGAATTAATTAATTATGTTACTTTATTTTTATTACAGCCTGGGCCGGCGAGAACGGATTCCGGGAAAATGCTTGCAAGGTTCAGCGTGAAAAGTACACTCCGGAGGTAAGATTGTCTCGCTTTCTCTCTCTCGCTCTCTCCCTCTCTCTCTTTCGATATCCATTATTTTATTCTTTTTCAGAAAGCAGCCGAGATCCGCGCCATCGTGAAAAAGTGCCCTCCTCAGCGTCTTTCCTGGAGTTTCTGGGAGGGAAAAGCCATGGAGAAGGCCAAGATCCCCAAGCCGGCCGAGCCCAAGTATTAGAGCATATTTATCTGTACACAAGACGAATAAATTTTTATCCATTTGTTCATCGAAAACTTCTTTAAATAATTTAAACCATCCAGAGATTTTCTAAGATTTCACTTTCTGGATGGTTGCAGCGGTGACGGAAGTATTGTCACCTCTCCTCACGTTGTCGACACGGTTCGGGCTTCTAAAATGAGGCTTGGCTTAGCCTTGACCTAGGTGTAGGCTTAGTCTAAGGCTTAGGCTTAGGATTCGCTTACCTTAAAAGTCCAATCCTCTGCAGCATTTGACATGCCTCCATCCTGTAGGGTTTTATCGTGATGATAACAATCAGCACGTTCAAGAAAGCGTGAAGGCAGAATAGGCATAGAAAGATGTGGGCAATTACTGGAGAGAAATTCTTCATTAAATGGCAAAGCTTACGGTTAACCAAATCGGAGGAGCCGGTTCGCTCGAAGAAGAAATAGGAACACCCAAACCAGGTGGGCAGATAGAAAAAGATGGCTGGGGTGGTGATCTGAATGCAGTTCTCAAATTCCGACAACTTGATGCCGGGTACTGTCAGCGGTGGAGATTTTTATTTTATGTATTTTTCATTATTTTTAACAATTTTTCATTAGTAGCCGACTACTAAAATTTTCCAGGACTTCAAATTCACTGTTCGTCTTTTCTGCTGTTTTCATAGATTTTTGACACTGATTGAGGGAGATACACATTTTCGCAAACTTTCTCATCCGATTTAAGATTCAAAAACTCTGTAACATGCTATAAAACTCGTTGAAATTTTTGTCACAAGCGCGGGATAAGAAAAATGATTGATTTGCCCCTGAAACCCCCCGATAATGCAAAAATACCTCAGTTTTGATAAAACCTATCAAAACTGGTTTGAACTGGCACCTGAATGATCAGTGATCGGAGCAACATCCTATGCATTCGATAGCTCTGGGCGCTCATCGATTTTTGGTGTTCCTGAAAAGTTTTGGCTTAGGTTTGGCTTGGCTTAGGCTTAGCTTAAGATTAGGCTTAGGCTCAGGCTTAGGTTTTCTACTACTTCTACAAAACCCACATTCAACCTCGCATAAATCCTGCGCACCGTCCATGCCACCATCAGCGTGACGACAAAATTCCCAACAGGGATCACCGCGAAGAGGTATGCGTTATGCGGATTTAACGCCGGCTCGAGCAGCACGTAGTTTGAGAGTGTTACGATGTCCGCGTGCTGCGGATACTCGCGCAGGATGAACGCGTCCATCTCGTCCCTAGGTGTGTACGAGAGAAACTGGCAGATCAGTGTCAGGCCCGAATTGAAGGTGTGCATGAAGATGGCGACGGCCTTGAGGGTTCTGCAAGATTTAAATAGAGGGAGAGAGTGAGAGAGACAGAGAGAGGCAGAGAGAAAGAAAGTATGAGGGACATACGTTTTCAAGTGCGCCGACCCGACCGAGTCCAGCGCTGCCAGGCGGTAGAAGAACCCATCCAGAATCGCGAGCGACGTGTTGACCAGGGCGAGCATGAGGATCATCTACAAGCCGTTTTTGTAGACATCGGGCTACTAACCCAGAAGCTATATCCGGAATCGGGCATCACGGGCGCAAAGTAGACGATCAATGCTGATGAGGTCGTGCCGCCGAACAGCGGGAGGAAGAGTTGGAGCTCCAGGAAAAGGATGAGGAGCACATCGGCTAGCGATGACCAAGCCTATAATTATCCCCGCAGTCATGCAGAAAACTATTTTGGTATTGGACTATTAACGGGGGGGGGGCGGACAATTTGTCCCAGTAATCCCGTACGGCCATAAAGATCAATCAAAAATCACCAACAATCATCATTAATTGTTTTTATAGGATTTTGCATAGTTCATTTTTACACGTGATCTCTTGCGCATTCTTTGGTTACCATTCCTAAAGTTAACCAACCCAAATATGCATCAAAATATAGCGGTAATCGCGCATTTCCGGCGGCGTTTTGGCATAGATGAGGTATCCGGCATACAAGTTGATCGGGCAAGTGAAACAGGTAGCAATGTAGAAGACCCGTAGTTCAGGGTGGAACTTGTAGGTGATGTCGCGGCCCCAGATATTGATCATCAACGGGGCAGGTAACCTTGCACGGAGTATTCCAAAGTTGTTATGAACTCGAAAATTTGTTAACACCGTCGTTCTGGATCGGGGAAACCGTTGAAAATCACCTGCACCCCCTTGCGTCGTAGCCCAGATTTTCAGAGACCGATTTTTGGTCTTTAGGTTATTTTTATGTGCTCGCCACCCACATACTTCTTGGGATGGCTTTAGCTGGAAGGCCGTCGGGAATGCCGACAGACATATAGGCCAGGCTGGATTTCGGCGGTCCGAATCTTCGCTGTCGGCATTTTTGCTGTCGGCTTTTTTTGTCGGGATTATGCCTGTAATTTGCCTTGGCCGAGTACGCCTTCATCGATTAAAAACAATTTATTAATCGGAATTTCAGGATACACCGTATTCGAATAAATTAATTGGTCGCTTCTCGTGTGGTCGACTAGATCGTGCGCTTCGCCTCGGCCCCAAGGTAATATCTGAAATTCCGGGATCGATTTAAAAAAATAGAGAAAACAGATACCTCGAAAAATTTGCGTTCAGCTGCTCGACAAAAATGAAGAGGAGCACGGTGTGGGGGCCAAGCCGGAAGTAGTAGGGGGTGAAGCCCTTCCACAGCGCCAGGACTCCCTCGTTGCGGACCACCTGGAGAATTGGTTGGTTCTCTCTCTCTCTCCCTCTCTCTCTGTTTTTTCGCTCTCACTCTCCCTCTCTCTCTCTCGCTGATTCTCTCTCTGACCTTTCCCCATACGTCGACAGCGCTCTTGTACTCTGGCACGCCGTTGATCATCCGCATTGACTGCATCCTGAAAAATATGGCAATAAGCTTAGCCTAAACCTAAGCCGAAGCCAAGCCTAAGCCCAATCCTAAACCTAAACTGAAGCTAAGCCTCAGCCTAAGCCCAAGCCGTAACCCACCTCGTCTTCGCCATGTCTACCGGCATCGAGGCAATGGTCGCGCACAATCCGGAGCACATGGAGGCGACAAAATGGCAGAAGAGACCGTCCTTGAGCGTCGCCGAGTCGAGCAGCATCTGCTTGGCCTGCGAGTAGGTGGCCAGCTGCGAGACGGCGATCACGGTAGCGCGCAACATCGTCGGGACGCAGCCCTAAAATGCTGAATTTCGCACAATTCTCGACGAGTTCGGCAAGTCCCAGTTACCTCAGATCAAATCGATATTTTTGAAATTCTTTAAACAAAAATTTGTAAAACTTGTGCGTTTAAAAACAGTAAAAAGAGTTTAAAAAATCCGCTGTTCCACTAAAATTTAGAAAAATTGGATCCCGCGGAACATGCAAGGTTGTTTCGACATGTTCGAGCAGTCCAGCAGCTTCAAGGTACTCTATTTTGACAATTCGCAGTTTTTTATTTAAGAGGCGAACAAGTAGAACAGCTCGATAACGCCAGAAAAGACGAAAACCCACCCTCCACATCGCTGTCGGCCCCTCATCCTTGGCTACACGCACGAGAGCATCCACCACATTTCGATAGTTGCGGCGCTGGTCGGGCGGAAGTCGGCCGTCGCTCGTCATCCTGGATGCAGGGTGCTAAGGGATGGGGCAGCTACCGTATCAGGGCCAACTCGGAGGGGGTGCCGACAAAGGCGCCGATAGCCCCGGCCGTCATCGCGATCGAGGCTTTCGTGGGGAAGCTGAGGTTCGTGCCGGAGGGTCTAAAATTTTGGAAGGTAGAAGAACATCAAACACTCTTACCCGGAAACCTTCTCGAAAAGGTAGGAGTAGACGCCGAGGCGTGTGGCGCCGTAGGTGATCTGAAAAGACAGGGGCAGGCTTAGGTCTAAGGTTAGGTTAGGCTTAGGCTTAGGCTTAGGCTTAGGCTTCAAGCTCTCTCGCTCTCGCTCTCTCTCTTTCTCTCTCTCTCTCTCTCTCTCTCTCTCTCTCTCTCGCTGCCTACCTGTCTCAACAGTCCAGCCGACAACCCGTTGTACAACGCCAGCACGCCCTCGTTCTTCAGGATGGAGCTGATCGCGTGGAAAGACGAGCGGAATTCCTAAAAACACAAAAATGTCGTATTCAATTTTTTAGGTACCTTCTGCCCAGTCTGACCGGAGAGCTGCATGCGATTCTTGACGAGATCGAGAGGCTGAACTACGGCCGTTGCGCCCATGCTGAAATTTGGAATTATCTCTCTCTCTCTCTCTCTCTCTCTCTCTCGCGCACTCTCTCTCTAACTCACCCTGCCAGCCCGCCGGTGACGAACTTGACGTAGCTCGGGATGGATTTTTGCGGCTCGGCTTCGAGCGGCATTTTGGAAGATGGTGATGGGAGTTTTTGGAATGTAGACTTGGAGATCGGTCAACCAGTCTCTAAAGGTGCATTTTGGGAAATAGATAGTTTTTATGGAAAAGCAGGGGGAAATGCCAGTTAGAGATGCAAATTATGATATGACGAACCAGAGACAGTCAGAGAAAGGGAGAGAGGCAGATGGAGCGAGAGCACGAGAGGGCAAGAATGAAAGAGATGAGCTGACAGAGAGTGAGGTTGAGAGAGGGAAAGTCGAAAAAATAGGTACAGAGTGAGAAAGACTTCGGCAGCGAAAGAGAGCCAGAGAGGGAGCAAAAACCAATGTAGAGAGAGAGAGAGAGAGTGCGATTGAGAGTGAGAAAGAGCGAAAAAGAGAGAGAAAGCGAAAAATAAGGACAGAATGAAAGAGACATATGCAGCGAACGGGACTAGGTGGAAGCGAAAACAGAGGTAGGGAGAGGGAGAGCGAGAGGTAAGGAAAGAAGTAGTGAGATTTAAAGTGTTGTGTCCTTTTTTCTCAGAAATAATTTAGAAAAGTACCGTAACAATAGTGGATTTTGAAGAAATTAACAAAATATCACATTTTAAGGCCGGAATTTCAATTTTTGATGCCAAGCGTGCAGAAGCCAAAGTCTTTACAAATTTCGGAAGCCGAATTACCCTGTCCTGTTTATAAATAGTAAAAGTTGCCAAGAGGCAGGCATAAAATGAGCAAAACAGAGTCGCCCGGAGATCGTATCACCTCATTTTCTGGGTGTCAGCGACAAAAAATGGGCCGGGCCCTCGGTCCAGCTGCCGGAAGGGTTCAAGGGAGACGTTTCCGAAAAAAAGAGGCAAAGGTCGACGGGTAATAAGTGAGAAACGTCTGGCCATCGGTTGCCGGGCCAGGGGAAAGGCTTGAAACCCGAGGCGTAAACAGGTGGAAGACGGAAAGGGGGAGGGGGAGAGATCCGAGGGAAAGCGGAGGGTAGTGGCTGGTCAACACTCCCTCATGGCTGGCCCTGCTCCCTTTTTTTTTGGGGGACCCCGCATCCTCTTTTTGTCCTTTTTTATCGAATCCGGGGAGAGTGCTCCTTGTGAACAATCAACAAGTAGCTGCCCCAAAATCCGGGCAGAGCGGAGGAATCAAATTTTGTCGATTTTCATATGAAAGTTGGGCGCAGGGTGCGCCAGATTTTTGGGTATTTGAGAAACTTTAGGTCCCTAGGCCAGGGAGAGAGAGAGAGAGAGAGAGAGAGAGAGAGAGAGAGATTAGATAAAATTCAGAATTTTCCAGGGGGTTTGAATTACGACACGAAATTGCAAATTTTCTAAAGCCAAAAATAACGTGCCGTGAAGCTTAAATAGATTCTAATTTTAATGGTGCCATTATCAATATTAATAAAAAGCTGAAAAGGCTTGAAAATCGAAAAATTTTTGGGCAGAGTCGGAAATCGCAAATTTGGAATGCGTAGTCCGGGTGTAGAAGCCGGGGAACAACGGCTCAATGCTTTTTTTCTGCTTCTCGTTATTCAGGCGCGGAGAGGAGAGGCCTGAATGAAGAAGCAAAAATAGGAACAGGCTCCAACGAACCAACGCTTGCTAAAATATCCCAAAAATTAGAGCTTTTAAAAGTATTTTCGTTATTTAAAACCATTTATTGCCTATAGGGTCAGGTCAAGACGGTAGCTCTGGGTTCCCGTCTTGGTGCTGTGCTTCTTCAGCCAGTCGACGATCACTTGGAAGGCCTTGACGAGCTTGGGCTTGTCTAAAAATAGCGAATTTGCATGGAACATGGAATTTGCATATTAAGCAGCTTGAAGCAGCCAAAACCAAGCTTCATCTACTCACCAGACAAGTACTTCTGGAAGTAGGGGAAGTTCTCCTTAAGCGAGTCTTTTGAAGGCTGCGACAGCTTGTTGTAGCCGGTCGTCATCGCATCCGCCCACAGTTTCATCTCCACGATCAGGTCCTCATCATCCTCAGCGTCTTCGGAATCGTCGATCATGTCCTAGAAAAATTTAAGTTTCTTTTTTTAACTTTAAAAATTCTTTAGCTAAGCACACCGAAAATCTCACCGCTTAGGAATTAAGCTAATCGCAAAGGTTCGCGGCGCAGGCTTGTTAGAACGAAGCTTCGTAAGTTTAGGAAAAAACGCTACCTCTTAAGCTTACACCGCGGGCTTAGGAACGAAGCTAGCTTCTCAAGCTTGCGTCGCAGGTTCACGAACGAAGCTAGCATCTGGGCTTGTGTCACAGGTTTAGGAACAAAATTAACGTCTCAAGCTAGCGTCGCAGGCTTAGGTACGAAGCTAGATTTTCAAGCTAGCGCTATAGGCTATGTAACGAAGTTAGCTACACAAGCTTGCGTCGCATGGTGAGGCCCAAACTAGCTTCTCAAGCTTACTTTGCAGGCTTTATGACGCAGCTAGGCTCTCAAGCTTGTGTCCCAGGCTCAGGAACGAAGCTACGAACGAAACCGATCTTCATGGGTGTTACACCCGTGTCTCCCCTGAACACACCCAGTTAAAGTAGTTCTGGGCTTCCTCGGGCAGCTTTTCATATCGGCTCGTGTGGTCCTGCATGAAGATGATCGCCTTTGCTCCGATGTACAAGCTCTCTTTTCCCAGGATTTCGAGTGACTGAACGGTTAATCTAACGAGACCATGACCTAATGATGGTCTACCTTTTCCATGAGTTGATCACTAGAGTCGGTCGTGGTCTTCAGGTACTCCCAGACCTTTTTCACAGCTCGGACCTCATCAGTGTCGAACGCCTCGAGGAACGTCTTGAAGCCGGGGGTGAACTCGTCTGAAAGCCGAGGCTTGGCTTAGGCTTGGCATAGGCTTTCTTAGGCTTAATCTCCTTACCATAAAGCTCCTTGGGGAAGAATTCCGGCGCCTTGAACTTCTTGACGTCGAACGTGCCGAGGGTGACGTTGACGAGATCGCCAATGTTATAGACGCCAGCCGGAGGGGTGGGCTTGGCGTACGAGCAGGCGACAGCGGCCAAGGCGAGGAGAGCTAGACGCAGCATTCCCGAAAATTAATTGATGAGGTATCAAAAAGCTATTAAGTGAAAAGATGGTAAAAACTTTTTAGAATTTAAACATCATGGTCGTTTTGGTCATTTTTAATAATTTTTTTTACTGAAAGTCAAAAAAAATTTCGACGTTTTTGACTCTTAGAAGCGTTTACACCTAAAAACGGTCTAAAGCCAATAAAAATGGATTACGTTTTGCCAAAAAGCTGTACGGATGATTGATAAAAATTTCTCCCCCCCCCCGCTAAAAGAGAAGCTCCAAAAACATTTGTAGATGATGGACGCGCTGAAACAGTGCGCTTCCGGCTCTTATAAGCGTTCGGCTTTGTTCCGTGTTTATATTGGTCTATAAACTAATCGGAATCGAAGGGCTAAAAAACGTTCTGTGCCCTCCACTCCCTAGAACAGTTGCATTTTCGAAGCGGAAGTGAAAGACTAGGCTCCCTTTTCTGAAATACCTTCTGTAGAAAGGCGTGATTTGCACAAAATTGTATTTTATAACATAAAAAGTTTTAAGCTTGGCTCAAAGCAGCAATTTTATTTGATTTTTTAAACCATTTAGAAGTTTAAAAAAGTTTGATTTTTGTTTAGTTTTGCAAAGCAAACGCTTTGTTTTCCGCTTTCCACCCACCAAAATATTTGCCACTACTAGCGGCACTTAGTGTTTATTAAAAACTAAACTAGGCAAGCTATAAGAGAAGCGGGAATCGAGGGAAAACAACCATCAAGCTATTCAAAATGCGCTTCTTTATAATTGCTATCGTATTGACCGTTTCTTGCCTGGCTTTTAAATGCAAAGAAAAGGGAATTTTGTCGCTTTACCCGAAAAGTATCCAAGGTAAAATTTTGGGCGTACTTGATTACTGCTAGGGGCTTTGTGATAGCAAGTCAGAGCGATAGAAAGAATGAGCTAGAGAGATAGATGGAGAGAGCGAGAGAGAGTGTGTGCGAGAGAGATAGCTAAATTTTTCAGGTCTCTTCCCCCAGCCAGCTCAAGACTTCTTGTCCAAATTCACCAAAAAGGACTTCAACGCCATCGTCGTCGCCGCTGATGGAAGAGCCGGCTTGCTGAGAACTGACCGGAAGCAGGTAGTTTTTTTCAACTTTTATAACAAGATCCCGGGAGAATATACCCTCACCTTCACTGGACCTCGACAACCAAAGTTTTTATACGGTCGCGAGTACGATTAGAAAAATTCGCCGGATCGTTTTTGGCCTAGCGCGTATTTGTCGAGAGCTAGTCGTCGTCAGGGATCGATTCTGGAATTTACAATTTTTTGATTGCCTATTAGAATAGCTCTTTCCTTTCAGGTCCTCGAGAAACTCTCCGGAAATCAGGAGCTCGAACAGAAGCTCCAGAACGCCCTTAGATTGTACGACGAGCACATGGGCCAACTCACCCCGGCTGCCAGAAGCTTTGTGGCAAAGGTACACCTAAGCCTGAACATAGGCCTACTTAAGCCTAATCCAAGCCTGAGCCTAAGTCTCAGCCTAAGCCTGAGCCTGAGCCTGAGCCTGAGCCTAAGCCTAGCCCAGCCGCCTGTGCAAAAATGGTGATATATGCTTTCATTTCAGCTATTCCTCCGTGATCCGAAGAACGAGATGGAAAAGGAGGTTCATCTTTTGTTCTTTCTGATTTCTGTTTATTTATAGAAAATCCCCGATAGCATCGAGAGTGACTACAAAAGCCTGTCTGACGAGGATCGCAGCTCTATCAGTCAACATGCCAGTTTTATCGAGAGATTGGTGAATGGTAAAATTTGTCAATTTCTAGGTTAAAATGTTTTCTTTAGATAAAAACCTGCTGCGAGAGCTGACCGACAGTTACGACCAATTTTATTGATTTAATTGATTTTTGTAATAAAATAGTGTCTCAATAAACTTGAGATTTTAATGCTGGAAAGCAACCATAAATACTACTATAGAAAAGTTTTTTGCATGTTTTTTGCAGATAAACATGCATTAAATATAGCATAACGTCTTATTCCTGCACAGTTAATTTACAAGTTCGGCAATGCTGCTTTCGATCATTTTTCTACAAAATTTTCTAGCAAAAAAAATTGATTTTTACATCTTTTCCGGAAAAATTCTTAAAAATATACCTGCTAATTTTCTTTAAAAGTATTATATTGCTACAAACTTGCCGCGCTGACTAAAATACCGGTTCCACCAAATTCGGCCGTGCGCGCCAAGCGTCCCGCAAAAAATGATGGGATGGGGGGAATTGAAAAAGGAGAACGGGGGTGGCAGCTCGGGATCCGAGGGGGATCGTAACAAGATCAACTTTCCCCCGTCCCCCCATTCGTCTATCAACCACAACAAATTGTTGGTGCTGTTCGGGCTGTTTTTTGGGCTATTATTCAGATCCTTTAAAGGGACAGGCAAGGCATGGCTATGGTTTTAATTAGCGACGTTGTACTGTACTTGGGCTTAGGCTTAGGCTTAAGCTTAACTTAGAGCCGATTCCTTTAAAGAATCCTTCGTATTGTCTCTACTACTCTCGCTCTCTCTCTCACTCTCTCTCTCTATCGCTTTCTCTCGCCATTGCTTCCACTCTTACCTCTCTAACTCTCTCATTCACACGCTCCCGCTCTCACTCTCTCGCTCTCTCTCTTTCTCGATCTCTCTCTCTCGCTCTCACTCTCTCACTTTCTCATAGTCTTTCTTTATCACCCTCGATTTTTACTGCTTTTTCAAAGATGGCGCGCGACTTCCGGGAAGACCGCGAGAAGTACAAGTGCATCTGTGGCTTCTTGCATATCAAGGTTTTTGAGTGAAAATTGCTTATATTATCATCATCTTCATCTTCAGACAGCCACCTGGATCATCTGGGGCCTCAACCTCGCCGGACTGATCCACGATCTGCTCCTCACGAGGGCAACTTTAACCGGCGATGATGGCGAGGAAGCGGACAGCATTACTTGGGTACGTCTTGAAATTTTTGGTTTATCGGGTGATCGAAGCAAAAAAGAACCGAAATCTTGCCGACCCTAGAATCCCGACAGCCAAAAGACGTCAAGAATAAATCGAAATTGATTTTGTACTGATATTTGCAGGACAGACTAGACTACCGTTTAGCAACCGACATTTTATTTTTTCGCGATCGGATCTGTCGATCTTTTGGCTGTCGGCATTTTGTTTGCCGGCATTTTGTTTCACGGCATCGGGTTTGTCGGAATTCTGGCTTTCGGCAACTTTTTATCGCTATTCTTGCTATTCTTTTTGTCGGTATTCTGGTTGACGGCTTTATCTAGGCTCCGGGTATTTTGGCTGTCGGTATTTCCATTGTTTCAGCTTTGGTTGTCGGCATTTTAGACGGAACATCGGCTAAATACGTGATCGAAACGAAAAAAAGCGCAATTCTTCTTGATATTTTGCGTGTTTTCGAATTTAGATCCATAAGTTTCGTAGAGTTCCAGTTGTATTTTGGACAACGATTTAGTTTTTTCTGATTTTTTTAAAGTTTAAGAATCAATTAATTTTTCAGTTCCTCGGCATTATCTCCCTGATGATCAAAACTTTCGCGTGGACGATGTTGTTGTGCGGTCTCGTGGCGGAACGCGCGAGCTTCCTGGTCCCGTATCTCATTATCAAGGTCACACCTCCGGCCTTGCACTTTAAAACATCAAAAAGTTTTTTAGGTGCTCGAGTTCCTGCTGTATGGCCTGATTGCCGTGTGTCTCGCCATCGTCCTGGCATTTGACGCAAATCCGTAAGGTTTTTGGCATAATTTGACGGTAGATAAACAACGAATGGTGATTATGCAGCCTATTAGGCCATAAAAACTTAACAAAATCCTAAATTCAGGATTTTTAAGACGAATCCCGACGGTATCTGGCCAGTTAGAGTTAGAAAAGTAGACCTACAAAACATAAAATTTTAGAAAAGCCGATGACGACTCGGCACAACGTGAACTTCATCGCGTCGCCGCCAGCTTGAGCGGTGGAACTGGTACCTTTTCACTAGATACTATTGATTTTTTAACGAAAAATAGTCAAGCTAAGCGACAGATTTTTATGAGTAACTTTTTAGGCTGGGCTCTCGCTTTCCTCGTCGGTGCATTTTTGCTCTTCACCCTGATCGCGTTGTGGACCGTTTTCAAGTAGGTTTTGGCCGCAAAAAATGAAAGAAAGTGAGAGAGAGAGACAGAGAGAGACAGAGAAAGAGAGAGAGAAAGAGAAAGGAAAAGCACCAAAAAATTTCATTTACAGGTGCCGTCGCTACTTCCTCGACTTGGCGGCCCATTGGGAGCGTACGAACAGCGCAACCAACGCGTACGTTTATCCTGCCGCATCGACTTATCGGGCCTGAGAAATCGAACGATTTTCAGGACGGAATACCTACAATAAATTTCATGGCAAGCCTTTTTGGGTATGCAATCAAAAAGCCTCAATGGTGTCGAGAAGTTGATACTTTATTATGGCAAAAGATACAGGCTAATTTACGCAAGCAAGTGAAATAAATAAGGCTTTCTTAGAATCACGGACAAAAAGAGATCGAGCGCCTTTGGAGCCTCAAGTTTAGATGACTAGGTTTTGGGCTTTGACCTTCTTGTGGTCCTCGCGGAGTTGGATGAAGTTGACGATCAGGGTCCGGTCGATGTTTGCCTAAATTTAGAAAATTTTGAGGAGAAAAAAGAGGGAGAGAAAGAGGGGGAGAGAAAGAGAGAGAGAGAGAGAGAGAGAGAGAGAGAGAGAAAACGCACTAGAGTCGGGCTTCGTGCCGCATCTGCTAGGCTGTCCGGCAGCACCACTAGCAGATTCGCGAGCGAATGTAACCTTTCAAAAGGTAGTACAGCGTCTCGTCCACATCTCCACCCGGAGACGAACTTCCTGAAAATATTGGTGAGTAGCTGAGTACTTTCCCGATTTCTCTAGACCCTAAAAAGTCAAGCTCGATGACCAACTTGTACTCGTTGAGGTCGCACAACAAATGCATTGCCCCGGCTGAGTTATAGAGGAAACTTTGAACGTGGGCGAGTACCGTCTGGGACAGCCGATCGGCAAGTTCAACCTCGGTCATCTACGATTGCTCATTGGTATCAGAGTCTAACAGTTTGCCTGCAAGTTCGTGCCATCACAGCCTCGTTCCAGCGCTGTTAGCTGCGATTTCAAGAAGCGCAGGATCGTTTGGCACGCCTGGAATGGGGAGGTCTTCCGTAAACTTAGGTCAAGCCCAAACCTAAGCCCTAGCCTAAGCTTCAGCCCAAGCCTGAGCCCAAGTCTAAGCCTAAACCCAAGCAAAAGTCCTACCGTGCTGGTCCCGATACGAACTTGATCATCTTCAGGAATAAAATCAGCCTTCTTTTGCTGTGACGTCAAGACGAAGCGGGTGTAGCCTAAAGCAATAGCTCAGTTTTCTGAAGGTTGGTCCCACCTTGAATCGCGTTCAGCTGCCTGTTCATCCCTGTGTTCACCTTCGTCTCCAAGCTCCTCAACGCCCCAGTCCACTTCTTGGAGCAGGCCTGTTCGGCTAGGGATCCACGCACTAACGGCCAGATGCTGTCCTCGAACTGCTTGGCGCACAGCAGCATGATGGCCGTGTTCTGAGGGACGAACGTGAAGAAATAGGCGGGGGGTTCGGTTTTTGGCTCGGCGAGGGTGATACCTTAAAAGATCAGGATAGATATCACTTCTCTCTCTCTCTCTCTCTCTCTCTCTCTCTCTCTCCCACCTGCCAACGCCAATTCCACTGCATAATCCAAGTGCTCAACGACGAGCTTGGCCAGTAGAACATCAAGAATCTTCTCAGCTTGGCGAGGCACTTCCGTTTTGCCACAAAACTTAAGGAAAACATAAGATTCATCTACAACCGCTACCAATTGGCATCTATTAAACGCATTTTTCGTCTCCTGTAAAATCGAGATGGCAACATCTTCGGCAAGGAAAGTCTCGCCACCATAGTCATCCGCCGACAGGAGCCGTAAAGTGACGTCTCGACGAAGTTCTTGAAGTCTAAGCAGATTCTTGTAGATGAATATTCAAAGCAACGAACCCTCCACTCTGAATCGCGCGCTTCTGATGTTTCTTGGAGTCGTAGAACCGTGATAAAATTTGGGAGCACTGCGCGTTGAGGTAGTCCAACTCGTCCTAAAGCTTTTTTATAGTCTCGGAATAGAGATGGTACCTTTGGATAAGCATCAATGTATCGTTCAAATATAGATGAGCACAACGTCTTCAAGAAGGTCGGGTCCGGAGACACGTGAACAGCTTCTAGTTCGAGGCACAGCTTTTTCGCGCTGAAGTAGATGATCTTTTTGTTCGCAATCTTTATCTACCTGGTGTACATCTCCGACAGAGCGACCAAGTACGCTTCTTGGTCTCCGGCTTCACGATGGTCCCGGAGGGTTGCGTAGACGGTTTCCTGGTGTAGATCAATGTAGGAGCGGTAGAGAGAGTGAGAAAGAGAGAGGGAGAGAGCGAGCGAGCGATAAAGAGACAGAGAGAGTGAGAGGGAGAGAGAGAGAGAGAGAGAGAGAGAGAGAGAGAGAGAGAGAGAGAGAGAGAGAGAGAGAGAGAGAGAGAGAGAGAGAGAAGAGAAAGAGAGAAAGAGAGAGAGAGAGAGATAGAGGGAGAGAGAGGGAGGGGGAGCTAGAGAAAGAACGAGCTACATACCTTTAGCTTCCCAGAAAATATACTCGCGACCAGCTTCTGGAGCACTGAAGTTGGATTTGGGAAGATGGCTTCGATTTTTGGCTTTGCATTTCTGGAAAATTCAGAATCATTGAACGTCTGCAACTCGTTGTTCCTCACCTGCACAAGTGCAACGTCTCCGCAAAAACGTCGCCTCGATCACGATGGAAAGACGTGGCGTGCAGGAACTCGACGTACCGATCCACGCACGAGCTGTAGCCCTAAAATATTCTAATTTTAGCTTCAATATCGAACTCGTACCTTGAACTCCGCCAGCACCTTGGCCACTTGCGCCATCTTCTTCTCGTCTCGCTGAGAGCGGACGAACTCGTCGATGAGCAGCTTTTCAATCTCCTCGTATCGATGCGTGATTCTCGCCTGGACGAAGGCGTACTTATCCTTGGACAACTCCTGGGAGATAGAGTACAACTTCTGGATGAGGTCGGCAGATTCAAGGAGCTGAAAGGGGGGATGTTATTTGAGAGAGGGAGAGGGAGAGTGAGAGAGCGAGAGAGAGAGAGCGAGAGAGAGAGAAAGAGAGAGAGAGAGAGAGAGAGAGAGAGAGAGAGAGAGAGAGAGGGAGAAGATGCGAGAAAGAACCTTATCCGGATCCGTGAAGATCGCCGAGTTCAGGGGCTGATCGAGGAGGAACTGGTCGAAGTGGGTGATCAACGCAAGGGCTTCGGCAGCTCTGAAAACGCATCGATTAGGCTGGCTTATGCGTAGGCTTAAGCCTAAAGGGCAACGACTTCAAGCATTCCAGCTTAGTCTCAATCTCACCTCGTCCTAGGAGCATCTACACTCTCGAGCTGGTCGCCAAGGTGTACAACAGCCGTCGATACGGATTGCATAGTGTTGTCTAGTTGCTAAAAATCGGGTAGAGGATTACGAAAAACGGGCACTTACCCTAACTTTCTCGATCGCCACCGCATTCTGGTCGTGCAAGTGCTGGAGCTGATTGCAATAGTCTCGCTTGTCGTTGTTCAGTTGCTGCTCGAGGCTGTTGATCTTGGACTGAAAAAATTGTACGTATGCCTTGGTTTGGTCCGCCTCGGAAAGTCGCTGAAGCTACTAGAGCTAGCCAGACTTACCGAAAATTGCTCGCAAAGCATTTGCAAGCTCGAGATCTCTTCTTCGAGCTTCTCCTTAAGATGTAAAGGATCTTCGATGGTGTCGGAGCCCTAAAAAAGATTTGGACTTTGTTTAAGCTGGGCTTCGGCTTTGTATAGGCTTAGGCTTAGGCTTAGGCTTAGGCTTAGGCTTAGGCTTAGGCTTGAGCTAGGCTTAGGTATAGGCTTACGCTTAGGCTTGGCTTGGGCTTGGCATAGACTTACTTGCGTAATACGCCATACGACGCGTTCTACGAAATCTGTAGCATCGAAGGGGTCCTGGAACTTACATTAGCATAAAGCTCTTCAACTCACTTGCTCCAAATCCTGTACATAGGTGGCAAACTGATGACTCATCAAAACCGGTTTTGTGCCCCTTAGAAATAAATAGTGGATAGCTGTGTCTTTTTGGTATATAATTCTACTTCTGCCGTTAGCTAGGCTGGGCTGACATAGAGGGCGTAATTGGTTGAGGACTCTGTATGTCTGACGCGGGTGGTTGAACGACCGGGTTACGGCAAAATATGCGCGAAATAGAGTATTTCGGGAAAGTTTAAGAAAATGGAAGGACGTTTATAATTATCAAAATGATCTTTTAAATATCTAATGTATTTCTCTCCGTTTCTCCCTCTCTCCCTCTCTCTCTCTCTCTCTCTCTCTGTCTCACTGTCCCTCTCCGCCTCGTTTTTTGTATCTCTTTACATTTGACTTCGACGTGATCATGCTCACTCTCCATCTTTATTGCTTTCTTTCTCTCTCTCTCTCTCTCTCCTCTCCCTCTCACTCTGTCTCGATCGCAATTACTCTCTCTCTCTCTGTCTCTCTCTCTCTCTCTCTCTCTCTATCTCTCTCTCTCAATCTCTATCACCCTCTTGATATCTCTTGCTTTCTCGTTGTCGCTATTGCTCACTCTCTCGCTCCCTCCCTCTCTCTCTCTCTCGCTCTCTCTCTCTCTCTCTCTTTCTCTCTCCCGACTTTCACTGTGCTGCAAACCATAAACGCAGCATTTATTCGAGAAATTTTATCATCCGAACAACAAAAAACGCGATTCACATAACAAAAATCAACCCGAATAGTGTGCTGTAATCATTCAACAACGACCTCGTCGGCCTTGGTCGCCCTCGTGTAGACGAGCTGGGCTCCGTGTTGCACGACGCACTTGATGAGACCCTTGGCCTGTAGCTCGCGCAGACCGGCCTTGGCCAGTGATGCTCGCACCTTCAGACGCTCAGACACTGTCGACGGGGTGATCAGCTTGGCGGTGGTGATCTGGAGGGGTGGGGTGAGGTCATGAAATTGGAATGGAAAAAATCCTTTTCCACAGCCGGAAAATAATCCAAAAATTTTTACAGAATTGCAAATTTTATGAGACACGAAACGGAAGCTCCGCTTCTCCTCCGGGAAGCCGACATAATGCTTTACGCCATTGAAAGGCGTGCGTCGCATGTCGCTGCTTGGACAAATTCATACAAAATCGGAGAAAGTAGGTCTTTCTTTCTTCCTAAGTACAACCTTGTTTGGATTTAGCTATTTTTAGGGATATAAAAAGATTTGTGTTACTGAAATACATAGTTTAATGTTTTTTTAATATTAGAGGTGTTTTAAAAACCAATTTTTTTGAATTTGGATATTTTACTATGTTCTGACGGTCCTACTATGAAAAATATTTTAATCAATGTTTTATCTATATTTTTTGGAGGCAAGCAAATCGTTTAATTTTATAGTTTTAGTTAAATAAAACAAAATTTTCTTCCAAGCTTAAATTATAAAATGGGAATTTTTAGGGCCTTTATTTTTTGATGCCTTTATATTTAACGGGTTTCTGGTATAAAAGTAAACTTTTTATTTTGTTTCAACCTGAAATTATAAGATGGAAATTTTTAGGTTTTTGATGACTTTATGTTTTAAAGACTTTTTTTTATATTTGATAAACGTACCTCTTTATAAAGTTTGTCGTAGGTGGCCTGGTCGAAGAGAACCATGTTGTTCAGCTTATCCCTGACCTTTCCCTTGGACCACTTCTTCTTCTTGGCCTTGCCGCCTCCTCCATCCTTCTTCTTGGCCGGAGCCTTGCCGGCCTTCGTGTCCGCCTTTTTAGACGTCTTCGGCGGCATTACCTATTCAAAATTTGCCATATAACGTTTTTAACTTAAAAAGATAAATTCCATTATTATAGAAACTTCAAAAGGCAGGAAAAACCGTTTGTAGAGGATTTTTAAAAAATTCGGAAAATGTGGAAACGAAAGAAATGTCCGAGTTATTATATAGTGCCTGAAAAACGCCAAAACGCTTAATATTCATTCTTGGCTTAAATTCGGGGTCGAAATGTTTTAAAAATACGGTGAAGAAGTCAAAACCGGGATAAAAAGGTAGAGGTTTGAAAAAGACGTCAAACGAAAGATTCCGAAGCTAAAACTTATCAAAGAATTTTTTATTAAACTAAATAAACTTAGAAACCATAGATTTTAGATCCAGTACTTTCCAAAATCAAAAAATCCAAGAAAAATCGAAGAAATCAAGGTAACCGTTCTCAAGATGCCGGGAATCTGACAGAAAACCTCAAGATCAGCCAATTAAAAAGCATAGAAAATCCAAACAATATCGATTACTTTATTTAGACGTTATTTCCTTTTACTAGGCTAAAAGAAATATATGGGGTTGGGGCCGTTGAGACGGATCGCGGCGGGACCCTCGTTTTTGGCACATGCCCAACGGGGTTTACAAACTACAAATAGGGTGTGAGGAGTGCATAGAGCTTCCATGTTTCTATTCATTTTCCCTGTATTTTTATTCGTTTGTCGACTGTTAACTATCAGATTTTGTAGCCCAGGAAAAGATTCGGCTTTTGGGACCTGGCTCTCCAAAAGATTTTTGGAGTTAAAATGAGTGAGTTTCAAGCAAAATAAAATAAATTTATCAGCAGCACTCATCAGCAAGCAAAAAAAAAATAATAATACAGGGGTTTCCGGGCTTGTGGCCTGCACGTTATGGCACATTTTCGGGATTATGGCACTTGATACAAAATGCAAAAACGAATATCGTTGGGCAATTTTTAGGGGTTGAGCAAGGGATTTTGAAGAAAATGCCGACAGCGAAACGCCGACAGCCAAAATACCGAAAATCAAATGCCGACATTCAAAATTTCAGAGAACAAGAATACCGATAATCGAAATGCCGACAATCGAAATACGGTCACTCCTCGTTGCAGACAGAACGGATCCCGACAACTAAATGCCGACATGCAAAATCACAGACCGAAAGAAGCAGAAGCAAACAGCAAAAATGCCGACATCCTGACGTCCTGTTGGCTGTCGGTACTTTAACTCACGATTTGTCGGGATTTTGAATTCTGGAATTTCGATTTCCGGCATTTCACTTGTCGGCATTTCGACTATCGACATTTTTCTGTCGGCATTTTGACCAAAGTTCGTTCCTGAACGACAAGCAAGTGACTGCAAAAAGCAAAATTATACATCGGGAGCACCAACTCAAAAAAGGCAGCTATTGGCGTTGATCAAGAACAATTGCGCTTTGTTTTCTGCAATAAAATTAGCTCTACTTTACACGGCACCTAAAAAAAAAACGAAAAAAATTGCGGTTCTACCGCGCTTTCAGCTCTTCCTTCTTCTTCCCCTTCTCCTCGTCATCCTCAAAAAAGAACAGCGGGAACATGCCGATTATGCAGCCGACGGTCAGCCCGAACGCTCTCGCCATGTTGGTGGTCCAGCGGGCCTAGAAAATTGGGTATTTCCGATATTTTAAAAAATCAATTGCTAAAATTGCTGCAAGAACGTGTAAAAAATCAAACTAAAAAATTTTAGCCTGAAAATTCAGCTGCTCACCTTGTTGCTCTCCAATTGCTCTGCCGACAGCACCGGTTGTTTGACACCGAATTTTCCCACGAAAGCCTGAAAATGAAGAGCGTCTGGTTGCACCTGCTTTTTGTACATGCTTCGGCTTAGGCTTAGGATTAGGCTTAGGCTTCGCATTAGGCTTAGGCTTAGGCTTAAGCTTACACTTAGGCTTAGACTTAGCGTCGTTTGGAAGCCATTAGCCTTCATTGAATCGTCCTTTTCCCAATTACCAACCTCAACATAGTGAGCCAACCCAACTCCGGCCACGTCCGACACGATGTTCCCGATAGCTGCCGCGGCCATGGTAGACAAACAGAGGAGAGTACCCAGTTGCTGAAAGAGGGAGGCAATCATTCTATTTACACGGCGCTTGATATCCTGGTGGGGGCCAGGTGGCGACAGGGAGTTCAGTTCGGCCCGGCAAAAGGCTATTTCCGACCGAAGTTTGGGTCTAGACTCGCGAAACAAACTCTATATGTACAGCTTTTCTCTCTTTAAAGGTATAAGTAGAAGGTAAAAACCGTAAATAAAACCTGGTAAGCAAATTGATGCACTTAATAAAACGCTAAAACTAATTAAAGACAGCGAAAAAGTCCATCCACTCAAAAAAGTAGGTAAAAAGTTAGTGTCTTCTAGATTTCAAATTTTTATAGCTTTTGCGTTGTTTTTTCTTATTCACCAAAAAAAATAAGCAAAAATAAGCAAATCAGGTAGTAATCTAAGGTTTAAGAAAAAGACTAAAACTTAAGGTATCCAAATCCAACCTGATCGATATACTCCCCGGCCAGGATCATGATCATGTTGTCGAGGAAACCGAAACCGATGAACGGGATCGCGTTGAAGGTGAATAGAGCACGAGCTTCTTCTCTTGATAGTAAGGAGGATACGCCTGTAAATAGACATTTTCTTGAAGCTTCCTCTCATTTTTTAGAACCAGAGCAATTCGACGTACCCTGAGATTTTGCTCGATCTTGGAAAGCGGTGACCAGGGCTTTTCTGAGGAGGTCTTGCTCCTTCTCCGTGAATCGCTTCGTCACCTGAGCACCGGATGTTATTAAAACTAGAAACCAATACCTCCTTGGCCTCCTCCTCATTCGTGATCGGGTGTTTTTCGAAGTGGAACATCACGTGGGTGGTCGAGCAGCGTATCTGGAGATGACTTTCGTTATTCGTCTATCTGACTCTCTTGCTCTTTCTCTCTCACACTCTCTCTTTCTCTCTCTCTCTCTATCTAGCTCTCTCTCTCTTTTTCTCTCTTTCTCTCCTCCTATATGTAAATTATTTTACCTGGGTGAAGGTAGCCCTCGATAAGGGTCCCACAATGGCCCTCATCACCTGCCCTCCACCCTGCGATCGGCTAAGACGCTATTTTGGCGTAGATTACTGAAAAATAAAGATGAAATTATGATCATAAAGAGAAGAGTGAGAGAGAGAGAGAGTGAGAGAGAGATAGAGGGAGGGAGAGAGAGGGCGAAAGAGATAGGCGGCGAGAGACGGAGAGCGAGCGAGAGAGAGAAAGCGAGACAGAGAGGGAAAGGGAGAGAGAGAGGCGTGAGAGAGGGAGCGCAGAATACTACAAAAATTCTGTAAAAATCGGCTGATTTTCTCAGCTTTTGGACGCCCACTCCCTTTAGTCTGCCGATGTCACAGGATGGTCAGATTAGCAGCGTAATGGGAGGCAGGAGGTCCCGACCACAAACTACACGCAACGGGCATTCCCAGCCCCCTTGGACCGGCAACTGAAAGGGTAGATTTGGAGGAGAAAGAATCTGTACCAAATTCTGCTAAACTATGGAATTCCGATGATCAACCTCTACCAATTCGTCCGCTGGACCGGGATCACGGTGTTCGAGCTGTGGCTGCACATTACGGGTTTTGCCCTGTTTACGCTGTTATTGGTAAGTGTTTGGTTGACTTTAAATCGACAATATAGCTTAAATAACTTTTAAAAAATTCAGATTTATCATTTTTTATTGATTTTTTAGACCCTAAAAATCTACAACGTCATCGACAGATCCTATTGGTTCCTTTTTGCGCCGATTTTTGGAGGTACGCTTTCTTACACCTTTTGCTAGTGTTTAAATTCAAATTTTAGCCTCGATCTTGGATGCCTACTTCCTGTTTATTGTTTTTGTGCGAACCGTGTTACAGTATAGGGATAATAAAGTGGCTCCAGTGAGGTAAGAATTTTTGAGTTTCGGATTTGGCTTAGACGAAGCCAGGCCAGGCTTAAGCCAAGCGCAAGCAAGCCTAAGCCTAAGCCTAAACCTAAGCCTCTGCCTAAGCCCAGGCCTAAACCAAGCCTAAACCAAGCGTAAGCCAAGCGTAAGCCAGACCAAAGCCTGAGCCTAAGCCTGGCTTAAGCCAAGCCTAGGCCAAGCCTAAGCCATGCATAAGCCATGCTTGAGCCAAGCGTGAGGAAACCAAACCCTAAGCCTAGCCCTTACCGACCCTATTCAGATGGACGATCCGCACAATCAGCCGCAACTTTTTCAACTGGTTCCGGTTGGCGTTGATCTTGTTGTTTGAGGTAAACAACGGATTTTTCGCTTTGGGTCTTTCATTCCAAACAATTTTGATGTACGATTATTTTCAGGTCTGGCTGTGCCACAAAATCGACGGCGAGCTGAACCCGACGCAAATCTCCGTCCATAACAGCTACGGCACCGTCTTCTCGCCAATCACGATTCTCATGGTCAGCCTGATGATACAGGCGTGTCGGGTATTTTGAATGTATTTTTGCTCATAATAAAGGTGTACAATTTGCAACTCTTTACACTACATTGGAAAATTCAGTTCAAGAGGGGGGTTCAAGGCTTCAGCTAAACCTAGCTAAGCCTAAGCCGAAGCCCAAGCCTAAACCTCAGCTAAGCCTAGCTAAGCCTAAGCCTAACCCAACCTAAGCCTAAGGCTAAGCCTAGACGGCCCTGAAAAGTAACACCCAATCCCCCAGACGTCTTTCAAAGGTCAGCCCCTCTCCAGGCCCGAATTCCACTCCTTGTAACATCACGGATTTCTGCAGCGGGCGCTATTTGAACGGATCCACCTCTCCGCCGGCTATATCCGCACTTTTTCTGAAAACGAGATCTTGTACCCTGTCGTGTTTCGCACCCGGGATGAAAAGCCGGGGCGCGGGATCGGGTTAATCGCGGTAGACAAACATTGGCCTTTCAAAGGCTACTTCTCCTAGTTCTCACTCGCTCGATGTCCCACCCAGCGTCCCGAGGAGCTGCGCGGAAAAATGCCTCGAATTTACGTCTACCTTTTTGTGCCCTTTATCGCCCTTGTTGCCCCGGATTGTGTGACGAATCGACACGAGAAGACGTGGTGCGGCTGCGGATATGGCAGAACGGCGGTTGGGCGTGAGTCTGATGAGTTTGAAAAGTATTTGCCAAAAACACTAGAAACTTCTCGGGAATCCTCCGGAAAGGTTTTTCGAAAATCCTGTCCCCAAAAACCAGCTACCAGAAGTCATATTTTTTTAAGACCACTTTCTCGAATTTTCAAACCTTTGCGGTGCCGTTACTCAGGGGAAATGGCCACAAGGTGTCCGAAATCGAAATTTTCGAAATTCTGCGTTTCAAAAACCTTTTCAAAAATAGGAATTCGGAAGAAACAATTTGCGAAATTGAGAGAACTTTGCGAGATTTTCACTTGCGTGACGCAGGCGTAGACTTATGCTTGAGCTTAGGCTTGGCTTTGGCTAGAGCTGGGCTTAGGTTTAGGTTTGGGCTTAGGCTTGGCTTAGCCTTAGGCTTATCGAAGCGTATCATGACTTTGCAGCTTGCGTCGGCGGTGACTGCCCCGATGGCTACATGTGTATTTGCGACTATTGTTGTAAGTGATCTTCAACCTCAATCTATTTTTTTGGTTCTCAAGTCCGAAATCTCCTAATTTTCCATATAGCCTCGATGTCGCACGCTCAGAATCCTTCCCGTTTTAGGTCAGGGGTGCATGGACGATTGCTACGATTGCGCCTTGTATCAGCAGTACTGTGACAACACGAATTACTGTGATTTGAGGTGGGAATTAACCAGTTTTTTTGCGCTTTTCTGCTAAATTTTTTGTATGTTTATGTTTTTTTTTGTTATTTAGGAGTACTGTGATTCAAATCTTCAAAAAAAAATCGCGCGTTTTAGACAAAAATGCAAGCGAACATGTGGGATCTGCCAGGACGCCGACGCGAATGCGGGAAAATGATTATAGTTCTTTATTTCGATAAATAATTTATTAGTTTATATCGCTCTGGTCTCTCTCTCTCTCTCGCTCCCTCCTATTTCACAACCGGCAATCTCCGCGGTGGCGTCAGCATTTTGTTAGAAGTGATGGTGGCGGAAATGACTGTTTGGAACTGGATAAATTAGCGTCAGATTTTCCCTCACCTTTTTCTCTGGCTTAGGCTTTCGCAGCATTAGCATATTTCGGTATTCTTTGCTTAGCAATATCAAGCACAGCGTGTGGAATTCGAAGTTGAAGATTTGAAAGGCTGTGCGCTAAAATTGTCCGAATGTTTCTATGATCTGGGAATAATGCCGGCAGCCAGTGGGAAAAATGAAAATGCCGACAAGTTCAAATTGCCACAACTTCAAAAGGGCGACAAGGAAAAATTCAATGTCCCCAAATGTCGACAACCAAGACGCCGACCAGCGAAAACACCGACAAGCTGAGATATCCCGGCGACTCGAAATGCCGAAAAGTTCAAGTGCCTGGGCCAAATGCCGATGGCCAAAACGTTAACGGCAATTTCTTACAATTCCTTTCAAAGTCAAAATTTGGCTGGTTTGCTATAAAAAGTTTCCACAGCATCTTGGCTGTCGGCATTTTCGCTTTTCGACCTTGCAGTGTAGGCATTTTGGTTGTTCCCGTCGCTGTGCTCTCTAAATTTCACGAATACCCACATAATTATTAATCCCAATGATAATCGAGTTGTCATGAACCAGCAGCGCATAAGCTTTTGCTGAGTTGTAATACCCAAATGGTAGGGATTCGGCTAATACGGATAATCCATAAATACAGACGTTCCGGTGGTAGGCGTAATCGGCTTTTGACTAAAAAGAGAAAAATGTTTTTTGATAACATAAAAATAGCGAAAAAATATATGACTAACACTTTTATAATTCCTTAAGCTCAAAAACGTCAACACGTTCAGGATCGAACCGGCTACGATGTATACTATGTACATTGCAACTTTTATTAAGCGATTGATCTGAAAAAATCATAATTGCAGAAAGAGAGAGAGAGAGAGCGAGAGAGAGATAGAGATGGAGAGGGAGAAAGCGAGCAACTTACCAAGCTGTAAATTCCGGTATACCCGTAATAGGTATATCCATATTCCGTTCGATGATATAACGGCTTGGCCGCGACGAGATAGATATGCATCAAAACCCCAATACCCCATTGTATGCCAATGTACAATTTCATTCGTGGTGCTGTCCAGACCTAGAGAAATATTTAAGGGGTTTACTGGCCGTTATTAAGACATACTGCCTCAAAAATTAAGTAACTACGTGAAAAAATTTGGCACCTTGAAATTTCGATATTATGAAAATTCGACATTATGAAATTCGGCATTTCGACATTAATCCTGTTAAGTAAAGCTCTGTGCTGATAAAACAGGTTAATCAAAAAACTCCGAATTGGCATCTAGAGCGTAACTTAAAGTCACGCAAAAAATCAGGAGAAGCTGATTTTAAGGAATACAAGACAACATACAGTTTTGTAGCTTTCAATATAGGTTTTTCATATTCAAATAGCTTCTTAAATATTACCCTGGTATAAGTAGCAAGTGAGGTCAGTGCCATATATCGATTCAGACTCATCGTAAATCCGCCGAGCACGATTACTACACAGCAGACACCATTTAATGCGGATAGGCAGATCGCCAGATACCCGGCCGTTTGAAAAATTACTGCCTAACGGTGTCGATCGTTTAAAACAATCTTTAGAACAAACTTTTTCAATTAGCTGATAGATTAAATCGAAGATACAAGCAGCTATGGAGCAGAGAACTGAAAGGTACAAAATGATGCTTGTAACCTGTCATTAGCCGTAATCCGGAAAATCGTCATGTTCAGCGTACTACCGTATCACCCACGATTGCTCAAAATTTGCATCTGGAACACCTGCTTCGAGGGGTCCTGATTGGAAAATATTAGGCAGACGAAAAAGTAGAGGTCAAAAAGGCCGAGGATACCTTCGAGGAATAGGAGGCAGAGTACCACTAAACGATGGGAATTTTTCTACTTTTTAGCTGATTTTATCGAAATGTTAGTCGAATCGAACTTCGAAAGAAACGCATGTTTGCGATCTTACGCTTGGCATCGGCTTGTCTTAGGCTAGTCCTAGGCTTGGCTTAGGTTTGGTTAGGGCTTGGCTTCTTAGGCTTGGCCAAAGCGTGACTTAGGCTGGGCTTAGGCTTAGCTTAAGCCGCGTTTTTCCTAATTTTTACGCAATTTGATCGCAATAAATAACTTTTCAAACCCATGAAAACAACCTAAAGTTCACGATAAAAATTATTAAAACTCACCGTCCATATCTGGCAGCAATGAACACACCGAAAAAACAATCAAAAATGAAATCCCGCAAATATCTACCCCCGGCACCCACCCTCCCAATAACAATAAATTTAATTCGAGGCCCCTGGCTTGCGGTGGTAGTGTGCTTTTTTGTACGTTTATTGGATTTCGGAAGGGGGTGCGAAATGATCATTCGCTTGTACATGACAATTAGTGCACACATAATACAACACCCGCGCCCGAAAATCGGCCCCGGAGCGTCAAAAGGCATAGGCTTAGCTTGGGTTGGGCTTAGGCTTAGGCTTCGGCTTGGGCTTAGGCCTAGCTTAAGCATATGCTTAGGGTTGGGCTTAGCCTACAAATTGTCGATGGATTACAGAAAACATGGGATGTATTAGTGATGGTATTATTCAAATCTCAAATCTAATTTGCATCCGCCTAATCAAATCTGACGGTTTGATTTGAATAAGGTTTCAGCACTTCAAATCAAATCGATTTGATTTGGACTTCGAGGTTTGAGTTCAAATCTGAAGATTTGAACGAGGATTTGAAAGGAGTCGAAAAAATCAATAGCTCATTACGCGGATGCTAATTGTATGATGGCATGTATAATCAAGGTCATTTCCGGTTCGCGGCAGCTCGACCATAGAGCTTTTGTTATATTTTGCATGCCGGCATTTCCATAAGATTTGATTAAGGACCGGAAGCTTAATCAAATCCTCGAGATTTGATTTGAACTCGCCCACGGGATTTCAAATCAAATCCGCCGATTTGAAATTGAAATTTTTGCCTTCAAATATTCAGATTTGAGCTCTCAGATTTGAGTCCAGATTTGATTTGAATAACCCCATCACTAGGATGTATTAAAGGGAATATTAAATATTAGGTTGAGAAGGAATCAGGAGATTAGCCCTGCTTGGCAGGCTCCACGACGCCGGTCTTGTACAGCTTCTCCGGCTCCTTCATCACGACCCGGTCGACGAATTCCTTGCCCTGAAAATTCGAATTTTAGGCTTAGGCTTAGTCTTAGGCTTAGGCGTGGGCTTAGGCTTACCTGGGTGAAGCAGTGATCCTGGTTGCTGACTTCGTACTTCCAGCCTCCGAATCGTCCTCGCGAGTAGATGCTGTGCTTCTCGAGCTCCTTGTGGGCCCGGGCGAGCTCGGAATCTCTCTGAAAAAGCATTTTCGCCCGTAATCAGGCCTTTTTTCTATCTCGCAGAACTCCTCCAAAATGCTTCTAAGCTTGCTGTACGTGATGCGGTCCCGTTGCGCTAGTCGTGTGCAAAATTTGCAGCTGATAGGCTGGAGAACACCAACCTGCGGGGTAGGAATCGGGTATCCATAAGGCAGCGTCGTTGAGTATACAGAAACGATGTCCTCTTTCCGGATCATCGACTTCAGGACGAGACCATCAAGGGCTTGCTGGGTGACCTCTTCTTCGGTATCCTAAAAAAACTTGATCTTCATCATGTTCTAGCTGGTCATACCTCATCTCCAATCACTCGTGCGCACTCGCACATCACCGACCAGTACTTGTCGCTGTCGGGGGTCACCTAAATTGGAGGACTTCGAGGGCACGCATAGCGTAGTTCAGGCTTAGGCTCAGGCTCAAGCTTCGGCTCAAGCTGAGGCTTAGGATTAGGCCGCTTACCTCTCCATATCGGCTGAGAATCGTCACCCTGAAGAAGGGGACGGCCGGATCGGGGAAGTACAGCCATGTGAAGTTCTCCAGGAACGGGGTCATCGGCTTCTTCAAGCCAACTCCGACGATGAATACCTTAATCCAGACGTTTCTCAACGTCTTCGGCGGCCTACCTTGTTTCTCAGCAAGTCCAGCTCGCGGGTGATCTTTGTTTCCCTGACCAAGATGTCGATCGGGGCGGTATTGAGCAGGATGTCGTAGCTTACCTTCTGAACTTAGGGTTTCCAAGCTTAAAGGGCGCCTCCTACCTTGGTCTCGGCTTCTCCCTTGACGACGTACTCGACAGTCTTGTTCTGGTAATCGACAGCGACGACCTGGAGGAGTTCAGCTGTAATATAAGAGGAAGCGACTTACCTTGGAGTTGAACTGGAACCACTCCTGGGGCAACTTTCGGCACATGCTGCCCCACACGTTTCCGGTACCTCCGTACTTGGGGAACGTGAAGACGGCGTTCGGGCCCCAACCGAAGTCGGCTTTCTGAAAAGGCTTGGCTTAGGCTTAGGCTTAAGCTTCAACTTAGGCATGGCTTGTCCTAAGCTTCCTCTCAGCTTCACCCACCTCCAACGCCTCCTGATCCATGGCACAAAGCTCCTCGAGCTTCTCCTGCGGCAGCTTGGCGACGCGCGTGCCCACCCAGTTGGGCGACATCTTCACCGGGTCCACCGTCCACACCTGATCATCTGCTTAAGCGGAAAATTTCGCGAAATCGCTGACCTTCTTGGTGTACGGCTTGAAGAAGGTGTCCAGAATGGTGGGTCCAAAGTGCTTCAGGACCCAGTCTTCGAAGTTTTCGGGCTCTCCTTCCGGTTCCTGGACCTCAAGTTGAATGCGTTCAGGGTCGGGGACCAACCTTTTCATAGCGTTCCTTCAGATCCTTTAGGCAACCCTCCTTCACGGCATCTGGGAATAGGGGAACGGCAAACTGCGCTGGATAGGGGACCAGGTGGATTCCCTTCTCGCCGTAGATGTAGTTCATGTCGACCTAAAGGCTTGGGGTTGAACTTGTTGAACTTGTTTTGGTACTGGACCGTGACTGGCGGGAGAATGACTTTTACCTAACTTAACAAAATCCCCTTACCTGACAGTTCCGGGTGAGGTGGTTCCACTCCTCTACCGCCCACTTGGTGGCCTTCTCGTAGTAGGGGAAGTTGTGGTTGAAGGTGATGTGGCCGCCCATATCCCAGAGGAAACCCTTGTCGTCCTCGACGGTGCATGACAGGCCTCCTGCGATGGCTTCCTGAAAAGTATGGTTAGGCATAGGCTTAGGCTTAGGCTTAGGCTTAGGCTTAGGCTTAGGCTTAGGCTTAGGCTTAGGCTTAGGCTTAGGCTTAGGCTTAGGCTCAGACTTAGGCTGGAATTCGACATACCTGTTCTAAGCACAGAATCTCAACATCCTCTGCCTCCGGCGCTCCCTCGCGCTTCAGCTCGGCCAGCCGGTAGCAGGCTCCTAGGGCCGTCGGGGCCGCACCGATTGTGACGATTCGGGGCATGCCTGAAGGTAAATTGGAGTTAGACGTCATGCTCAACAGGTTCCACGCTGAGATAAGCAGCCGGACAATGGCTTATGCAAAAAGTTGAATTATGATAATTTTTAACGTCAAGTTCAACAGGTTCAACGCGCAAAAAAGGTTTCGGCAAGAAAGTCTTCAGCAAAAAAAAGTGCCACCGACCCCGGGTTGAGCCCCAAAATTGATCCCAGAACTTGGGAAGCCGGGAGATGCCGATGGGGAGGCGGATCCCGGGCTCGAATTCGAGGTCCTCTTTTCCGGTTCTTGTCACTAGCCGGCGAGCCTGAGCCCGATCTCGCTACAATTGATTCCAAAAAGGAGAGGGATCCATAGCGCGTCACAGCGTGAACCGCTATCACATTATCGGGATCCTTGTCGGTTCGGGATTTTCCCAGAAGGAGTTCCTGGGTTCCCAGATTCGTCGTAGAACTGGGAAAACGTAAAAAGCACATTGCACACATTACGCCATGAAATTCGGTTTCTACATTTCTGATTTTGGCTGGAAACCGACCTATTCATAGCTCGTTGAAGTGTGCTAGCCCTAAAAAAATTCAATTTTGGCTAATTCAAGCGCTTGCAAAAATCTATTTTGGTTTGTTGACATTACGAATAACTTAAAATTTCACTTTAACGGCGCTGGAAAGTGCTCAAATTGAGTGATTTCCGTCGAGAAATCGGATAGCTACACTAGACTCCACACAAGAATCGAAAAATATAAGTGACGGTTCAGTCGATTTCGTTGTCCACATTTTTTTAAAGGAACCAGGAAGCTAGCTAGATGCCGCTACGCGACGCTCCAAGTTGCGCGAGTCCTGAGAAACGTATTATTAGGTCCTTCCACAGACGAAAAATGCGCTGGAACAAATCAAAAACTGGTATTGTGGAGCCCAGCAGAGTTGTCTAGAACTAGGCAATGTCGAGGGTCGATTCTCGAGCTGCACCTGCCCTTTACAAAAATTTTAGAACTCAAAATTTGGTCCAAATCAACGAAACACAATTCCGCAAAAATCCTCGCCGCATTGGTGGATGTGGTCAGGATGGCGGAAGCGTGGACATAAAACAGGAAAACCACGATCCAGGATATCGGGATCGCTGGAAAAGGAGTGGGAGAGTCTGGCCGGGCCACCTCGTCCTCCTGCTCTCCCTCACGCTCACCCGCCTGCTCCACCGGCCGGACCGGAATCGGGCCGGGTGAAGCCGCGGATCCGGTCGGTGGAGCCGCAGGGGGCAGATCACTATCGTCCCTCGAGCTCCATCCCCAGACTCCACAATCGCCACCCATCCCCAGCGATCTAGCGTCACCCCCAAATTTAGGTGACCGCACTTTTGTAGAGAGAGAGAAAGAGAAAGAGAGACAGGGAAAGAGAGTGAGATAGAGAGGAGAGACAGTAAGAGCGAGAGAGAGAGAGAGAGAGAGAGAGAGAGCGGGGGGACAGAGTGACGCGCGAGAGCGAGATAGAGAGAAAGGTAAGGCGAGGGTAGAGAGCAGGAGATCCAGAAGCGTGCTGCTCGAAAATCGCTGAAATCCATCCCCCTCCATCTAGCGTCGTCCCGAAATTTGGGTGAGCGCACTTTTGTGGTACAGCCGCAGGGGTGGTGACCACTTGTTCGGTCCGGTCGAAATTGTGCCCGGAGCTGCGAGTCCAGTTTTATGGGCGATTATCTGATCTCTCCTGCCAAGCAGAACTGGAACTCTGCGATTTTTTTAAAGGGATCATGCCAGCTGGAAGATGACTGGGAAGGAAGAACCAAGACGATGTTTTTGAATACAGAAAATTTTGAAAAAGTTTACATTTCGAGGTGACGGAGAGAGAATGAGCGAGAGAGGGCGTGAGAGAAAGAAAGTGAGAGAGTGAGAGAGAGAGCGAGAGAGAGATAAAGAGAGAGAGACGCGTTTTGATAAGCTGCGGTGTTCTCAGTAGCTCATTTGATTGCATTTGATTTGCATCCTGATTTTGATGTATGATACGCTCTTTTACATATTTTGCTATCTCGAAAAGGTCATTTCTACCACGCCTGTTTATAATAATTAAAATATTGATCGGTATCCGCTGAGTAGTCAATCGTAGGTGCAACGACAGGAGTTCGGACGAATGACCTGAATTTTTTGGGGTATAAGCTGAAGTTCAGGCAAACCTGGCGGAAGTAAAGAGACGCCTCCACATATCCACATATTTCTCGCCCCATTCCCGTACCACATACAGTATTGTTAAGGGGTAGACGAAGAACATGCTGAAATTCATCGTAGTTCTCGCTCTCTCTCTCTCTCTCTCTCTCTCTCTCTCTCTTGCCTGAACTCACAATGTCAGGCAAAAATCGACAAGTATCATCAGTATTTGTGCAAATCGAGATTGCTCATCAAAACATGTAAATAGCAGTGACACCAGGAGAATTACAGTAGCTTCGGCGGTAGTTGTAAGTAGTAAAAAACGACGTAAAATCTGATAATCAATTCCTATTCTTTCCAAATAACGATATACTCACATCAAAGACCCGCATATTCTCCTTGATTTGATACCTAACCGATAGGTCGTAGGGTTTATGCAACAGCTTCCGAAAAAGGACGTCGTCCGGTTGAAGCGTATTCCGGTTGTCGAGCCAGTAGAGTACCCTCTTGTTGTGGAGGTAAAGCATGTGGCACACCTAAAATAAGCTTAGGCTTAGGCTAAGACTAATTCTTAGGCTTAGGTCAAAGCTTCGACTTTAGCTTGGGCTTAGACTTGGGCTTAGGCAGGAGGAACCCAACCCTCGAAGTCAACACTTTCATTTCAGGTCAATCAACAATTTTCATGAACTGGGAGAGAGAGAGAGAGCGAGGGGGGAGAGAGAAAGAGAGAGAGACGGAGAGAGAGTGTGAGAGAGTTACAGAGAGAGAAAACAAGACCGCAAAAAACACTCACCGAACCCGAGCCGATGACCATCAACATCAACCCAATTGCCGAGATGATGACAGCAATCGTGAAGTCCGAGGCGAGCCCTGAAAATTTGGACTTATTCTGGTCCTCGACGTCAACAGGACACCCGTTCTAATCTGATTCCTGCGTTTTTAGGCTGGCAGGTATTGCCTGGTTGTGTGGTTCTTGTGTTGTATTTTTGCAGAAGCGTTCTCGCCCTCTCTCGCTCTCTGGTTCTCTCTCTCCCTCTGCTCGCTCTTTCTCTCATTTTCTCTCTATCTCTCTCGCTCGCTCTCACCTATAGCCACAAACATCGATATACAGATAAATGCAATGATCGCCCCAATGAGCATAGTCCAGGCCTGGCAGCGCCGTGGTGATTTTTCGTAATCCCAGAGATAGACTGTGGCCATGAATCTGGAATTTGTATCGGTTTTTCTACCATTGGTTTCTAAAATTACCGTTCCATTGTGATGAGCGGTACGAACGAGCTGAGGAAAAGCAAGACGTAGACGCGCACCAGCCCGACACCGAGGATGACAGGCACTGGGAGGGGGAAGGCTAAAAATGATCTTCAATTTGCTTTTCATTTATTTTATTCTACATGTAGTCAAGTATCTAGCCGTCCCGCGGTCCTTAAAGAAACTTGGAAGTGAAAGGATCGACGCAATCCGACGTCTGGGTATCGACAGCTACCCTACTTTCCAAATGACGATCAGATTTACGTTCGAAATTCTTCGATCAATATTCGATACAAGACAGAGAGCGAGAGCGAGAGCGAGTGAGAGATGGTGAGAGAGGAAGAGAGAGAGAGCGAGAGAGAGAGAGAGTAAGTGAGAGTGAGAGTGTGATAGTGCGATTTTCCATTCGATCTCGACTCACCGACAAATATCGTCCCCTGCGCCTCATAGTAAAGTAATACGATACGTAGGTGTTGCTCAATCAACAGGTGTAGGCTGAGCACATAAAACACGCGGCAGAGATTCCCGTGGAAACGGCCGCACGTCCGGATTACGCGTAGATAAGGAACGTAGACAAAAGTCGAGCCGACGATGAAAAACATCTCTATGATCCGCATGCATTCCCAGAAGACCAGGAGGTTCGCGTGGTCCTGGAAATAAGAATTTGGAATTTCAGAGGAGCATCTTATGCAAAAAAAACCGCCATTTTACTTGAATAGGTTTTGACAGTTCCGCGAAATGTCGATGAAGCTTTCCATTTCCCTTCACAAGCGAGGAGCGCGAGAGAGACAGCGCGCGAGTGAGAGAGAAAGAGGGAGATAGAGGGAGAGAAAGAGCGAGAGCGGGACGGTGATATATGGGGTGAAAAATGGTCAGCGAGGGCAAACAAACCAGTCAGAGCGAGAGCCAGAGAGCGCTAGAGCATAAGAAGAAGGTGCTAGAATGAAAGAGAGCAAAAGAGAGAGAGAGCGAGAGACTGAGACAGAGACAGTGAGAGAGAGTTGGCTTCTGAATTCTCTTATTTAAAAGAATCCTTTGAGTCATTTGGGAAATCTCGTAACTGTCGAGATCAAGTCGCCGATGGGGGCATATATAACCACTTCCCGGTCCCTTTAACAAACTCTCAAACCTCTATGAACTCCATATCCACAAATATCGGCACATAGGCATTGAGCGAGCGATTCTGGGAGTCGTAGACGGTCAAGAACATCTACTGGCGAAATCTCCGGGGCGCTATGAAATCGGGGGACCCACAAACTCATACGCTTCGCATCCCCTACCCGCCCGCCACGTGCTAATGGCCGCGCAAAATGATTAACGCGCCGGGGTGGAATGATTTTTTGAGTTTTGCGTCAACGTCGGAGATTGGTGAAGCATAAGAGAACTGTGATTCTTGTGACATTATTGTTAATGTAGCATTAACGCAACGACGTACTTTAAATTACTAGCAACATGTCGGCACTTTTTGTGTAGTTTGTGGCCTGTCGTTTGCTTTTTTCTTGTGCGTAAATTACAAATTGCAAAATTTATTTGGAGCTGAGCTAAAAGGAATGTTAAAAGGACCAGAATTCTGTACTTTATCTCCTCCGACTTCAAGCCGTTCAGCCGCGCTTGCACTGCTCGGGCTTGATGCATTCCTTGCCGGCGATGATCCGACGAACAAAGCCGGCCTTGCAGTGGCACCCGTTCGTCACGAAGATCTTGATGCAAGCCTGGAAGAGGCTTAGTCATAGGAATAGGCTTAGGTATAAGCTTAGGCTTAGGTTTAGACTTGAACTTACACGAGGTCGATAATTTCCGTTTTCCTTTCCAACCACATCCACGCAAGCCTCGTCCGCGCATGCGGCACCCCCGTCCCGCCGTTCCATGTTCGTCCCCTCGCACGGATCTGGAAAAGAATCTGAGGTTTGACTTGAGTGACCTGGTTTTCGCCGCTTAACGACTTCCGATTCCAATGACAACCTACCATTTGGATCGCTCTTGTCGAAAAGGCTGTCTTCCGCAGCGAGCACGGCAGCCACCAGCAACGTGAGGCAGATCAGCAACTTCATTCTGGCTTGAGCATGGGCTTTTTGATCTTGTGAAGCTGAATTCATCAAGGAAATAAAATGGCCAAGCCCCGGAACAATAATAAGAATTAGGATTGAATTTTTATTGAAATCCAGGCCTTCTAGGCTCTCTTGCACTGCTCGGGCTTGATGCAGTTCTTGCCGGCGATCGTCTCGCGTACGAAGCCTGGCTCGCAGTGGCAGCTGTTCATCACCAGCATGAGCACGCAGGCCTGGGATTGGTAGTAATTTTAATGGGAGAGAGAGCGGGGGGAAGCGAGGGAGAGATCGAAGGAGCGAGAGAGAGAGAGAGAGAGAGAGAGAGAGAGAGAGAGAGAAAGCTTCTCACCCTCGGCTGGTAAGTCCCCTTCTCCTTGGCGATGACGTCTTCGCAAGCTTCATCACATTCTGGCACGCCGCCGTCCTCACGGAACATGTTGGTGCCTTCACAAGGTTCTGAAATAAGCGTTCTACTTTCCTTCCTTTATCTCTCTCTCTCTCTCTCTCTCTCTCTCTCTCTCTCTCTCTGTCTCCCTCACCATTCCGGTTCAAGGGAAGAGCTGCGTAGGCACCAGCCAGCAAGACGAGCATGCAAAGCCCCAGCTTCATCTCTCAAAGTGTGTCTGCAAGCTTGCTAATGACGGAATATGCATCAAGAAAGAACTGAGAGAACGCATTATAATTCATTACTGGCCCTTTAAACTGAAAATTGACACTAAATGTGCCGAAATTGAAGCTGGGACGTGGAAACACGATAAGCATCACCCAAGGATCGCCTTGATGTATTAATTCGACGAAGATTCTATGATTTACGCAAATTATTGATGATTGATGAGTTAAGCGCGTTTACACAGCGCAGGCTTGATGCAGTTGCCGCCGTCCTTCTCGCGGACGAATCCATCCTTGCAGTGACACGCGTTCGTGACGAACATCTCCGGGCAGGGCTAAAAACTAGGCATCGGGTTGTTAGGATTAGGATTAGGCTCAGCTTAGGCTTAGGCTTAGGCTTAGGCTTAGGCTTAGGCATGGGCTTAGGCTTAGGCTTAGGCTTAGGCTTAGGCTTAGGCTTAGGCTTAGGCTCAGCTTAGGCTTAGGCTTAGGCTTAGGCTTAGGCTTAGGCTTAGGCTTAGGCTTAGGCTTAGGCTTAGGCTTAGGCTTAGGCTTAGGCTTAGGCTTAGGCTTAGGCTTAGGCTTAGGCTTAGGCTTAGGCTTAGGCTTAGGCTTAGGCTTAGGCTTAGGCTTAGGCTTGGTGTTAACGATTTTACATACCCTAACCGTCTTGTCGCCCTTCTCCTTGCTGATCACGTCAGCGCAGTTTTCATCGCAAATCTCCGGCTCGCCGTCTTTGCGGTCCTGATTGGTGCCGGGGCACGGAACTGTAAGGTTACTATAAAATTCTAGGTCGAGGCTTATGTTAGGAATTACCGTCAGCAGCCAGGGCGACGGCCACGAGGAGGACGGCGGAAATGATGATCAGCTTCATCTGGAAAAAAACTAGCCATGTTAATAAAATTCCAAGATCGTGAAAAAGGTTTTTAATCAATTGTAAAAATATTGGGTTTTGAAGAGGAGGGAAACCCAGGCTTAGGCTTAGACCTCAACAATCTTTCGCGCAATTATCAAAAAAATGCATCACAGCCTGTTTAAAACACAAAGAACCAAAACTCTAACCCCAGGAAATATAAACACACACGAAATAAAAGTCCGTAGATCATCGACAAACGGCAAACGGGGAACTGCCAGACGGCCAACCAGCGTGTGTTTATCGGGCAGAAAACGCCGAGGAAGGCCAAGCGTTGGGCGGCAATCCATCACCGTAGAGGGGCGGGCGTGCAAGTATTACCGATCTTGGAACAGCAGAGCTGTTCAGCTACCCTAGCAGTACTCTGTGGTGTTTTTTGTTAGATATATTTTTTTCGGGTTTTTCCGACTTGTGGGTCAAAAGGTCGTCAGACTGGTTTCCAGTGTCGGCAGATGCACTGCTGAACTAACTGTAAAGTGTTTTTACTCAGGCTGGCGTTTTAGGATGGGGCCAAGCCTATCTTGTTCAGAATTTTTTGCTGATTCCGAATCCTTTTCCAAATTTGCGGCGGACTTCGCGTTGAAAAGTCATTTGGGGTCTAAATTAAGCTTAAAAACGGCATAAATTCGGATGCTGGCCCACTATTTCATGCCTCGGCCCAGGTATTGTTGTGCCCCTTACCTACCCTCCCGAAGCGTCCTTCGCAGTTGGCACCATGGTGCATTGGCAAACTGTTCGCTTGCCAAGCACAGGGGCGGCGGATCGATCCCCGCCCTGCACAATTTCTTTTGCTTTTTGCACAAAAACTCATGATTTTTTGCATAAAATCGTGCTTTAACCTCTAAAACCGTTCCCGAGCCAGTTTTAACGTCGGAGGTGACGACAACTTAAAAAATAACGCAAAAAATCCAGATTTAGTCAATTTTTTTAGCTTAAATGTCGAATAACTTTTTAAATAAAGGTCGGCAGCAAATTTGAAAACCAGATTCGGAATCAGCGAAAAATTCTGCACAAGATAGGCTTGGTCCCATTCTAAAACGCCAGCCTGAGTAAAAACACTTTACAGTAAGCTGACCCTCTTCATGACTGTCCAGAGCTGGTAGATGCTATGCTGCTGAGGCGTCGCCAATGTACCAAACTGTCGGTGGCCCTTATCCCGTTCAGCCGCAAGGAGGTGCCTTACCAAAGTTAAAGAAACGCGAAGTCTTAGTGAAGCATTCTCTTCTCAACGTGATAAATCGTCAAAACACTCGTGATGCGAAATGCAGCGGAATACGCAAAAAAGGTGCAAATAAACAGATTAAGCAGTATTTTAGCATCTTTTAACTTTATATTCTGAAGACCAGATTTAAAACAAACCTTTAAAGTGATTTTTCAATTTATTTTTTAATCATTAAGATTTTCCGAATCTGCCCGGCGTTCGGGTGTTGTTTAGAAAAACAGGGGCCAGAGAGAGCGCGGTCCTGGAGAGACGGCTAGCCATTCGCTTACGCGACAAAAATGGCACAACAAGTTTTTTCCAGAAATTTTGGCAACTGTTTTGGATATTTGCAAATATTTGAAGCTAGAAAACTAAAGAAACTTTTGATTTTATGATATTTGTAAAGTTATAGCTTTGTAGAATAGCTCCCGCTTTGCTTTGCGTCTTTTCCGCGTTTTTGTGGCTGTTTTTTTACTCATGAACAACCTCCATTTTCAGATTCGTTGCATGGAAAAGGTGATCGAAGAGCAGGTAAGAATTAAAACTAGTTTTTCTTTGGTATACCGCCAGTTGAGGACCGTTTGATAGCAATTTTTGGGCACTTTACACTATTTAGCCTTTTTGCGCGCAGTTTTAACGAAATCGCCTTATTTTTTGAAATCATTTACTTTCTTTTTCCAGCGTCTACGTTATGGCGTCGTCTGCTCGCGGGCCACCAGTGGCACGCAATTCGTGCGTTTCGTCGATGGCCAGCTGATGCTGACCCGCCACAGCCGCCCGATGCTCCAGGAATCGGCTGAGACGCCGGCCAAAGTTGGCGACATTATTGCGTTTGCTTGGAAGTAAGAAAATTTTTCGATTTCCTATATATTTGCTTCTAGGAAGTACGCGAACCTGAACGGCTGCATCGGCGTGGTGGATAGATACCTGGTCGTCCCGCCCGAGAAGCAAAAGAGCTCCTTCTCAGCCTCCGTCAAGAACCACCCAAAAGGAGGTCATTCGGTGATGGTAGGTGTTTTGTATCTTCTGTAATAACTTTATATAGGTTTCGTGCGAAATGGAGTATGTTGGAAAAGAGGACAGCAGCTCGGTCTTTATAAACGAGCATCTAGGCCGGATTTTCGATGATGTAGGAAAAGTCCCGGTTAGTTTCAATCGCTCAAACCTAAATATTTTTGTCTAGAATGAGTCTCTGCTTGTGGGCGGTCGATACCAATGTCTAATCACCCGACACGACGATCGAAAACAGAATATTCATTATTGGATGGTGGTCCACTGCCAATTCTTCCCAGAATCGATTTTAGTGAGGGTTTTATTTGCTTTAAAATTGTGATTTTAGAACGGCCCCACTATCGGATTCGCGACGAAGCTTCCCGGAAGTGAGCACGCAATCATTTGGCCATGTCACGAGCGTTTCAAGCGGCCGCTGAGAATTATAAAAGAAACGCAAGTCGCTTTATTATGACTGATGCGGTTTTAGGCTAAGCGGATACCGGGATATGAATATGGGCCGCTTTGTCAAGTACTGGCTGATCCCGAGGACGACGACGATCGGCCGGATGGAGCCGGACTCTACGCAGCCACTGTTGTCCCGGGAAAAGGATAAATACCTTGTAAGTTGTCGCGATTTTGGTACTGGACTGTTAGCAGCGGGGAGGGGGTTTAATTTTTTTTGCTGGTAATTCCTTAGGGATATATTCCGTACGGCTAGACGATTTTCATACCATTTCACACTATAGATATGGAAAACCTATTTAAAATTTCGAAATTTTTTCTACGTTTTGTTGAAAAATGTAGGAAAAATGACTAAAAAGGGCCACATTTTCAAAATTTCAAAATTCGAGGATAATCATTATGACTGTCTAGCATCCAAACACTAGGGAAATTACTATAAAAATATATTATCTAACCCAACAGTTAGGGGTATAGGCGGAAAGATGAAAATTAGCTTTCCTCTGCTAAAAATCCCCCCTGCTAATAAGCCAGTACCGCGTTTTTATCGTTTCTATCGCATACATCGTTTTAGGCATCGTTCCAATGCGAGTACACGAACTACAAGAACAGCGAGGTTGACTTTGCGATCCTGAGATCACCAGTGGTAAGCTTTTCAACGTTGAATGACACGTTTTTTTTTAGTCCCGGTATATGGAAGATCGGCACAACGTCGCCAGGGACAGCGGAATGCAAAAGGGCGATCGTCGATGGTTTTGGTGCTATCTGGACCACAGCTCGACAAAGCACGGGCTCGTCGACTGGGTGATCTTCGAACCGGATACGACGCCAAGGGTATGGAATTCCGCTTTTCTATTAAATTTCGTTTTTACAGACTGAGCGACCGGAGCTGCCGGCGCCTGCATTTCCGGCGGTCGAGCCAAACTGGGGCGGATTTGGCTACGAAAACGCCGGTCCACAAGCTAGCTATGAAGAATTTCCGCTTGATCAGCAGTACCCGGTACCTCTTTGTGTTATTTGTCCATATCTGTTTTTTCGAATTTTAAATACCGTAAAATAGAACGTGTGGTTTGCGATGTAAAAAAAAACACTTTCGATGACGCATAAAATTCTGAATGAGCTGCAGCTTTCAAAAAAAAAAAACCGGGAAACGATGCGGGTTACGGAAAACATTCTCTCCGAAAGGACGGACTTTGCCCCATTTTTGGCCCTCCCCCCATCTTGACCATTTCTATCGGAGGAGCTTTGAAAAATTATCCTATCACCTAAAAATGCTCCTTTTTAGGATAATCGAGAACCGATCGACTCGATGAGGGCCAACTCACGGACGCCCCATGGCGAGATGTCGCCCGGCAACCGCCACGACTTTGACGACCCGAAGAATTTCGGCCATCAGGCCAGCTACGAGGAAGAGCTACGGCAGGGCGCTTTTCAAAGAAACGGTAGCTTTTTATGATTTTCTGTAGGTCTTTATTATCTAGCATGAAATGGCTTTAGTAAAAAAAACTTTTTTCAATTTTCTTTAGGCGGCGGCATCAATTATCCGGGCGGCTCGAATCACTCGGGCCACGACCAATATCACAATCGGCTCGACGACGGCTTCGCGGAACCGGGCCCGCCCAGGAATCCAGGGTTTGTTTGGCACTTTTCTGCCCGCAATCGCCACTTTAGCCAGCCGGCAGCGCACTTTCAACAAGCCGACCAATTGACGGCCATCGTGCGCCAATTGTTTCGATATGGAGAGGTAGGAACTTTGGTACAAACGATGAGAAAGACTGGTCCTTCGATAGAGGTTGAAATTCTGAATAATTTCGTCTTTTAAAAACAATTGGACAATTAGCGGTTTTCGAACAGTTAGAGGGGCTATTTTGATCGGATGTAAATGTCGAAAAATTTCGTTTTCACTAATTTTTTCTCGAAGATCGTTTTCTAGCAGTTTTTAAAACAGAACCTTCTTCTAAATTCAGGCTCTATCGACTCTCTCATCGCAAAAATAATCCGTTATTGCGCATCTAAACCATCTTTCAGGTGCGTGATGTGGCGCGCCGCGTTGACCCGACACTGTACAGCGACCTGATGGAAGCCCTAGCCTTCGCCTCATGAAATTCCCCCCTTCTTTGATTTGTCGTGATGACGGGCTTGTTGTATTGTGTATTGCCAAATTGCCTGTTGTATCCGTTTGATTTGCGCTTGATGTGAGTGTGCGCCCCGTGTCGGGTCTTTTCCGGAAATCTCGCATCTGTTCAGCTTCTGGTCTTGTTTTACGAGTACTCTTTCGCGCCTCTTGTTATGTTTGGGATTGCTTTAATAAAGTTTATTGAGTTTTTTCTGGATTTGGTGGAGTTGAGGACTTTTTCGAGGAGTTCAGTAATCACATAGACGTTTTCAGGGCTTCAGGAATATCCGTCATACAGTGCTCAGACTTTCAGCTGCTGCTGAATTTGGGAAAACATCAAAAAGAAGGCGTATATCACCTGCGCGGCACACCTCGAAGGATGTTGCTGAATCAAGGCGATAATTCTTACGAATGTTATCGATTTCGTACGAGCCCTATGTTTATCCGTATGCCTACGTCTGTATCGCGTATACCTTGACAATAGTCAGCTTGCCGCTCAACCTATTCACATTTTTCGTTATACTCAAAAAGTCGGGGAACAACATGGCCGAGTATCGCTATTACCTCGCTGCGACCCAGGTTTTCTGCATAATAATAATAATAATAATAATCCAAAATCCTAAACCAGACCTTCTCCTCGCTAAGCGAATTTGGGCTTGGCTTGCTGTGCTTCGAGACTTTTGAGCCGCTCCCGGCTTTTCTGGCGCATGGTTTTGGGCCGACAATGAATGTCAACTTCCTATACGCATGTTTGGTAAATTTTTCTGAAATTCAGACACATTCGAGATGTTCAGCCAGCATTAATGTGCCTCTTCGCCGCTCTGTTCATCTCCACCGTGCTCTGCTTCTTCTACAGGCACCAGCAACTGCTCGGCGCCGGCAGCCCGTACAGGTATGTAAATAATGAATCTAGCCCATTAGTATTTCGCGGAGATAATTTTATTTTGTCTTAGTTTTTAACTTATAATTTTACAAAAAATTAATGTATAAATAATATAATCGAAAAAATTTAACAATTTTAATCTTCCTTTATGTAATTTTAGGTAAAAAATGCAAATTTTAATTTCATTCGACAAAAATTTCGATTTTTAAATAGTTTTAAATGTTTTGCGCTTGAAATCCAGCTACATTTTTGCCAAAATAACTACTAAAATCCTTGCTGTGACGTTACGATGTATCTCTGGAATTACAGGAAAAATTTGGGTTAGTCTGCTCAGAAACCCCCCCCCCCGGAAATAGAAAAGTACCGTTTTCCAATGACTAACTCCTTAAGGGTCTCGAACTTCTCTATGGCAGCGATCGGCGTCACCTATTTTATTATCGAAATCGTGCCCTGCTTCTGGTTATTCCATTACATCCAGGTTCGCCAGGTTACCCCAAAAGAGCTGATGAATTTGTACCCGGTAAGTGTTCCCCAGAATTCCATTAATTTCCGATACTTCAGGAATTCGCCAACCTGGCCCCAATGATCCTCTCGGGCCCCAATTTATTACTCGTCGACAGTGACGTCTATTTTTTCACCCCAGGGCTGCGCGCGCATATTTGCGCCGTATTTTTATTAATGTTTTTCGCGCTGATACATGTGGTTACGGTAATGCTACCTTATGTAATTTTGCTATTAACAAAAATATAGCCAAAAACATATCGAGATACAAATAAAATGTAGCCAAAAGCATATCTAGTAATTTTGTTTAGGTGGCCTGCCTCGTTCTAAACGCAATTGCGCGTTTGGCGCTGGAGACGCGAGAGTTGAGTCAGAAAACGCGCATGATGCAGCGCTACTTCTTGATGTCGTTGCTGGTGCAGGTAGAAGATGAACATAAGCTTTTGCTGAAAAGCCATATTTAATTTTTTTTCTAATTTAATTGAAAAAGTGGTTCTAAATATTTTATTTATTCCCACGCGAAAAACTAACAAAATTCTATAGAAAATGCAAAAAATCTTGACTTTTCGATCAAAAGTGGTCGATTTTCGAAAAAATATCGAATGTTCATTGGTTTTTAGAGCTTTTAGATAGTGTTTCGATCTGAAATTCACTTTAAAATTACTAAAAATTGCCAAAACCCTTGTTATTACGTTGCTAGAGAGGACTGGGTTTATAAAAAGACCCCCTCCCCGATAATGCGAAAGTACCTAGAATAAAAATAAGTTTTAAAGCTCTTGGTCATTTATAGAAGAAACATATACAAGAGCGTTTCAGACATTAATCCCGGCCGGCTGGATGGCTCTGCCATTTGCAGGACATTTTATCCTCTTCACCTTCAAGCTGCAGCTAGGGCAAGGTAAGCAAAAAAACCGGAAAAGTGGTACCTTACTGATAACTTTAATTCTAATATTGAAAGCTTAAATTAAAGGTATCAACCACGTCCTGCTTATCCTAATCTCCAGCCACGGAATTATCGCCTCAATCACCACGCTTTGCATCTACGCCCCCTATCGGAATTTCGTACGCCAATTGACAGGGCGCTGCTACGGGAAATTGGCCCCTTCAGCGCGGTCGGTCGCTTTCAAAATCTTTAGAAAATTCTGAATTTATAAACTACTCTTTAACACTGAAACTATAAACTTTAAGAACGGTTTTTAGCATCGAAAAGGTGGCCGAAGATCCGGTTTCCGGAAAATCGCTGCACCACCACCTGATGGCCGCCCAGAAGCAGGTTACCTCGATCAGCATTTGAAGTGTAAAACGTGGTATTTATATTTTTAATTTTTGTCAGTTTTGCAATAAAAAACTTCCGGTATTGTCATCAGAAAAATTAGCAACTCAGTTGTCCTGGAATCAACTGGAAAAGATGTTTTGGATCTTTGTCGTTTAATTAAAAAATCTATCGAATTCCCCTGAGAATTGGGTCAGGAACTTTTGGCTTCATAATTATAGATCTCGCGAATTTTCACGTTTTTGCTGCAGAAAAGCGCAACTGAACCCCGATAGTCCGTGCGTCGTTTGCAGCGGAGAGTACGGTAGTGGGATTTTGGGTTTCGGGATACTTTCTGTCGGGATTTGTTTTTCGGGATTCTGGTTGTCGGGATTTTGGATGTCGGCTTTTTGGCTCTCGGAATTCAGGTGTCGAGATCATCGTTCTCCAAAATTTTTGCTATCGGTATTATGGCTGGAATTTGGCTCTCCGAGGTAATTCACAAAAATTGCATTTTCTCGAAAATTTTCTCTTTATTACGGGCCAAACTGGTGCCTAGAATAATTTACAAACTGTAGTTAGCTATACATCGTGGTCGGCGCCGATTTGGTGCCCCGTTCCCAGGCGCTTTTCGTTGCAGGGGCGGTAGTGAGGATGGGTCCTTGGGACATGACGGTGACGGCCATCTCCCGACCGGTGCCCTTCCCGCGCACGATCGTCCGCGTCTCGGCCGAGATCAGCAACAGGAACCTGAGGCATATACTAAAATTTAGAAAAATCGGATGGCTCTCCAGCTATTTTCATGTAAAGATTCATCCAAAGCTTTAAAAACCCCTGCACCGTCGGTACCGAATTAATCAAAGACACAAGGTTGAGAGAAACCGAGAGAGTTATAGAGTGATAGAGAGAGCGAGAGAGAGAGAGAAAGAGAGAGAGAGAGAGAGAGAGAGAGAGAGAGAGAGAGAAAGAGAGAACGTAAATAGACGCCCACGTAGCTTTCTGAACGTCTTAACCTACATAGTACGCTGTGCTTTGCCGCATCCCCTCTATGCAATTAGCTAAAGGGCACTTGTTAGATGTCACGGCTGCAGCGTGAATCTTTCCACTAATTGGATAGGCTATAGGATGAGTGGGTATTGTTGTCTGTGGCAGATCCCTCGAGGCCGAGCAGTACGGTAGCCAGAGCGTAGTTCTGCTTTAAAAAAACTTCCGGCTCACCAGATCGGGACAAAGTTGCAGAGGTCCATGAAGACGGGCTGGAACTCGAAAAACACCCAAAAGTCGCTCATCTTCTGCGTCTTGGTGATGATCTGGAAGTTGGAGCGTTGCGTACTCTTTCAATTTTTCCGCTGAGCTTTTGCATTATCGGGGGGGGGGGCTAGTGAAAGAAGAGGAAGTGTTTATAAACACAAATAATGGCAGATTTTTTAAGCAAAAAGATTCGAAACTTTTAGCATTTCTCTAATGTTTCTGGATAGTTTTTCCTCTTGAAATATCGCTAAATTTCACGAGAAGATTATTAAAATACGTTCCTTTACCCCCCCCCGATAATGCCAAAGAACCTCACCAGATCCCCGGTGTTGAGCAGCTGCACAAAGAACTGCAACAGTGTGGCAAAGTGGAACACGCGCTCGCGGCGGCTCAACGGCTTCCCCATTTTGTGGCTGTACGTGAGCAGCTTGTAGCCGGTGTAGATGTTCAACACCAGCGCGAGGAAGGTGTATGAGATGCACAGCGGGAAGACGACCTTGTCCATGATTGTCTACAGAAAAATCCGGCAGTATAAAAGTGGAAGTTCAAGGCTTACGGTGACTTGATTATAGCGCCTAGTTACTGGAATATAATAACCCCACGAATCTCGGTTGTAGGTGTACTTGTTGGTGACGCCGGGTGACGAATAGATAACGCAATACAGGGCAATTGCAGCAAGCAGTCGCCAAGTGTTGATTGACCAAAACTGTAAAAACGATGGGATTTATCGGATTTTCGGCGCTTTTGCGTTATAGGCGGGGGCAGCTTTTGCATGAATATTCAATTTTTCTGATACCAACAGAGAAAATTTTTTAAGATATTTTTGCCGTTCCTAAACGCAAGGACTTTCGAAATATTTACAATAATACAAAAATCTCGATTTTTAGAGCAAAAATACCGATTTTCACCAAATTTTTAATCTTCAATAATTTTCAGATAGTTTTAGATTTTTCTCTTATTGAAATATAGTTAAATGTTAGTAAAAACCATATTAAAATACTTGCTATTACGTACCAAGAGTTTTGGGATTATACAAAAAAATTGTTTTCCGCCTCCCCTTCCCCCATTAATGCGAAAGTACCGAATTTCGAAGTCTCCCTATTTTTTTCGCTATTAGGCATTCCTTGGCACTATTTTCCACATTATTAAGTCACTTACCTTCTCGTATTTACTCGGATAAGCAAGCGATGAAGCCCGATTTGCGGCAATCAACAGCGTGCCGAGCACTTGAAATTGCAGGGAGAAGCTCTGGATCAGTCCGCAGGTAGTGGGGAGCACCCCCACCTTAAATATACATGAAATTGCTTCCGGAAAATTGTAAAAAGATCGAGTTTGATGTGCGCTTTCATACCTGGACATACCAGAACCACTCGTTGACGCCCCACGTTGGCAGCCGGGTGCGGAACAGCTGGCTGTAGTGGTTGAAGAGGTCCTGCGAAGAGTTTCTGTCATTTTTCGGATTTAAACAATTTAATTATAATTTGTTGAAAGATTTTAGAGGTTAAATTCATTAAACAAGTTGTTTGAAATCGTTTAAAAAGTTAATTTTTCAAACCCAAATTCGTAAAAGGGGCTTTCGCCATATCGGGGGGTACGGATTTGTTGTACAAGTTCAGGAACGCACAGTAACGTAATAATAAGTATCTTAACAGTGTATGTTGTAAATTTCGAGTGAAAAACTTTCTAAAACCTGCAAAAAAATTTAAGTAGCATCCCCCCGATGATGCCAAAGAACCTAAAAAGTATAAATATCTTCAAGTCCAAGTCTTTCAAAAAGCTAAAAATATTTTCTAAGTCTGAGAACTAACAATAAGACCTACATTCGTAAAGCAGACAAAGAATATCTTCTGGTAGTGCGTCTTGAAGCCGTGCCGCCAGTGGTAGAGAGTCAGGCGAAAATATATGGGCAACGTGCAAAGGCCGATGACGATGAACACCGAGCTGGAGACGATCTCGACCGGATCCACAAAATGGCCTTCATAGTCATCAGGAGGCGTCACGGCATCGCTCATCAGAGAATCTCCAGATGCGGCTTTAAAACTTCAAATTTCGGAAAATGCTGAAAAAATCCCCCTCAGCAAAAGCCTGAGATTGGAAAGGGCCTTTAAAAAACCAGCCAAGCGACACTGAACTTGGCGTAATACGCGCAGCGTAATCGCGTTGGCGACCCAATTCCGCACAATTCCCATATCAAACCGGTAAGATGCAATTTTCGCAAAGTGCTTTTGGGCGAACATCGAAGAAAAGCGCGCCACGGCAGACACATGTCAATTCAACAATCAGCGACTAATTACCGGGACTGCTGGGGGGCTGTATGAGCTAGGTGATTCCTAAAAAAAAATCCTGAAGCCTCCACTACACCGTAATTACTGGCGGTGATCACGGTCCCGTTGAGGGGGTGTCCTGGGGGATTCCCTTCGACTCGCACTTCCAGGCGTGATTTTCCAGGACCACGGTGTCGCTAATCGGACAAGACATCAGCCTACGATGAGCAGCTTGAAGATAACAAACTATCCTGATTTGCAAATTCCCTATGGCGTTGTCAAAATTTTTCGATATTCATTTAATATTCGAGAAAAAGAATAAGACTCAAGAATCACAAATGAGAATCAATGAAAGGATATAGATCACGGACAAAGTATACCAAATGGCAAAGTTAGCGTCGCATCATCGGCGGCATCCCCGGCACCGGCGGCTGCTGGCCCATCATCCCTCCGGGTGGCACGTTTTGAGGCTGGACCTTGGCTGGCCGAATGCTGATCGTGTCGCCTAAATCATAATAATTTAATTTGATGTATAAAACGAACCGTTCATAATCGCCCGCACCAGCTTCCGTGTCTCCTCTTCGCTGTACGTTGGCTAAAGCGGATTTGAAAGCGAAAAATAAAAGAAAAATACCTTTGCATCAGCTTCATTCGTCGCCAACTTCTCTAAAGCTTGCAATTGGATGACGAGCGCATCGACGTGTTTGTTCATCGCGGAAATCTGAACACAGAAAATTAGCAAAACGAAAATACGCTACCTGTTTATTGATTAAATCGTGGGCTTTCGACTGGCGCTCTTGCTCTAGGGCGGCTTCCTAAACAAAGAAAATTGAATTCGAAAAGTGTATACCTCATTCTCAATTTCCGGTGTTCCCTTCGTACTCAAATAGACCGGCGCAACTTCGTGGTTCCAGGAGTGCACCCGATTTTCCAAGGTCTCCTAAACAGAGCTGCTAAAAAAGAAGTTGTCTTCCGTACCTGTAATTGAGGATTCGGCTCCAAGCTCAGTAGCTGCGGGACGAGCACGTTTGTTCGCAATATCAGGCCATGATCCTCTTGGCTCAACGTGGGGATGCCCGATCTCCGGAAGGACGCTAAAAATCTCTATCTGGATCAAGCACAAAACGCTTACTTTGTAACTGCGAAAATGTGGAGACGACAGACGTGAACTTCTCCAACATGTCTGGATACGGCACGCTCTCCTCTTGGTTCAGCAAATAGATCAAATCCTCGATGATCCGCTTCGCCTCCGACGCCTTGGTGATCATGTAGGTGAGCGATTGTTTCACCTAATACAGGTTTCATTTCTTTTCCGAAAAATTCCCACCTCTTCCGGCCGATTTTGAAAGTGGCTATAGTCGAAATAGCTCATTCTAAAAAATAAGATTAGTTCTGAAAGTTGTTTTACAAGGCAGTAAATTCGGAGAGCCGAAATTCTGAATTTTCAAGGCTTGAGGTTCAATAAGCTTTATTTGCACGAGATCTGAGTATAATATGCTTCGATATGAGAGTAAATAAGTGAGCGAAATTGAATGAGAAATAGAAAATATTTGATTGAAATGAATGATTTAATGAGAAAGAGAAAGAGAAATCAATGTTCATGTGCTTTTTCGAAGTGTCTGCGCCGCATTCTTTTCACGTCGGATTTGCCGTTGTGCTTCTTCTTTGGCGATGAATGCCTCCTCATCGAACGACAGCGGGATCAGGTCCTTGTATTGAGGCTTTTGGATCGTCGTGGCAGACGTGACTCCGGCCTGTAAAGAAACCTGTTTTTTTTGCCGCAACTGTACCAAATTTTGCAAAAAAAAAAGCGCAAAGCTCGCCTACCTGTTTCATAACTTCTTTCTCAATAAATTCCTCATTCTCTCGCATCAAGCGCTCTGCGATGGGCTGTGGGTTCACCTCTACGTACGTTGCTGTAGAGCGGTTTGGTGCATCTACGAGCATTCATTATATCTTAAATATACTCTCACTTTGTGGTTGAAGCGGAACGCTGATCTGTCCCTCGACGTACGGCTTGTAGAAGTCGGCTGACAGCGGGATCGGCGCCGTTGGCCGCGGGTGCATCGGGTTGTGCTCGGAGCCGTAGAGCATCTGAAAAACACGAATATTAATGAGAAGTTTATTATTGAAATTAATGAATTAAATTATATCAGCGAAAAGAGTGTTTTTACAAGTTCCTTAGCAGCCGAAGCTTTTCATTAATGCTTCGTGGGCAAGAGACAGCATTTATAAAAAGCGGTAATTGCCGAGCAGATGTGCAATTGTAAGCTTCAGTGGTTTGCCAATATTTAGAACCTTTTCAAAAGTTCGATCTGGATCTCACTATCAATAATTCTTTGTTGCTTGCTGCCACTATGTACGCGTCATGAGTGCATCTTTGGACTAGAACAACCCCAGTGTAAACGCAGTGGTTTCGATGATTAACGAATAGTTTTCCGCCCTGAATCCAACTTCTTTTTCGACTTTCTATTTTGTAAATGACTCTGTTAAATATATACTTTTAATATTTCTTTTTCCAGGAATGTCTCGCGGCAAGCGCAAAGGAAAATCGGTCTTTTTGGGGCGTAAGTTTTGTTTATATTGTGATAGTTTGATAAGGAAATTTTTATCTTGGCGGCTGACTGTTGTTATCTAATGATAGAATGGGATGTGCGACACTACGGACGTATATCTTTTCAGTTGATCAATTCCTCGCAGAAGAAGATCTATATGGCGCCGGGTTCGTTGGAGCACCCGCCGAAACAGGGTAATAAAAGTTATTTTTGACGATTGTTTTCTTGTAGTGCCGAGCCTCTCGTTGTGCCAGAGCCTGGCCCGAGCTCCGAGTACTACGACAACGAGTTCGAGGACCAATGGGAAGGCGAAGAGCTGGCCTGGGTCCGCTCGCAACGCAAGGGCATTTTGCCACAGGAGGTATTTGAATTTCTGTTAAGTCTATGTTTATTTTCAGCGCACCGATCCGCTGCCAATTCCCCACGACTACAACCTGGCCCACATCCGTCTGCGCGAGCGATTTCCACCCTGGAATCCGCCAACCAGCAAAATTCCGCCGGCAGAGGTTTTTCGCGCTGCTCAAATAAACCGATTTTAGTATTTTCGTGTGAACATCAAGGAGGAACCGACCGGCGGTAACGCACCCGGAGGAAGCGGTGAAAAGATTGATCCCAAGCGACTTGATGGGCTCGTTTCCGCTTTTGTGAGGTGAGCTTTAGTTCTAGGCTAACCATCTGCAGCAGTCCCGCTTGATAATCGAACGTTTCTAGGTGTGTCTTCAATTCGCGCACGCATGAGCATTTGGAGGTGCGCAAGCAGCTTTTCGACGAAATGAAGGTACGATTTGGGTCCTGAAAATAAGTTATCCCTCTTTAGTACCTGAGCCGATCTACCACCTACCCGATGGGACCATCTTTGGCGGCCTACTTCGCAAAAAACGACGCGAACGGCATACAGCGAGTGTTTTTCGAATACGAAAACTCAAGCGAAGCACTGCCGTTTGCACAGGTTGGGTTTTTGCAAGCGAGCCAACTGATGAAGGATCCTTTAGATCAGAAACCCGCCTCGGAAATCGTTCCAAACGAAGCGGTTGGACTGGTCTAAAGAAGCCCAGAGCGCCTTCGAGACAAAAAGCCATGGGATCCCCGGACGTATCGACAACACTGTCATAGAAGTGGCCGTTCCCGGACAGGAGTTTAAGGTAATAAAATTGCACGTTCCGGAAACCACTTGTATTTTTAGTTGCAAATCGGTACTGGCGGCTCGTGCGAGTTTATGCCGCCTGATGCCCCGGGATGTTCGTACCTGTGGACCCCGGATGAGAGCATTTCTCGTGAGCACAACGAAACTGGAATCGCGCCCTACAAACTGAGCCCGCCCGAGCACCGTCGATTGATGCTGCGCGAAAAGAAAAATCTCGGCTTGGACCCGGAGGTAGAGTATCCTTATTTGTGTTTTTTCTTCCATTCAGATCTAGTATTTTTTAAATCGGTTTGTTTCTTTATTTTTGTTTTTATCTTTTAGTAGGGGGATGCTAATTTTTTATCTTGGTTTAATAGTTATCTTTTAATTTTTGCTCAATTTTAGCTAGAGTTCAAGTAGAAAACAAGGTAACTATAAGCTAGGACATTAAAAATGAAAACCGGATTCTTTTGGGCAAAAAGATACTTTTTTTATAATATTTGGATAAATTTCTGCTGAATTTTTTACTTTTTGGGGATGGTAAGAAACCGCCTAGAAAAAAATCCAGCCTCGATTAGAAAATCTGGATCCGCCGGCAAAAATTTGGATTTTGCTCCTTGGAAATACTAAAACACCGTCTAGTCGTATGGGATTTTCCGTCAAGTCCTGTATTCTATATAATCGAAGCCAACTTTGTAAGAAAAAATTTTAGGAAGACGATGAGGGCCATCTTACCACGCTCTTCACGTTCAACAACCCTGCCGCCGGAACGGAGTTTCGGGAGCGACAGCCTCAAGCCTACAAGGCACCACCCGATTTTCTGATCGGCAAATACGTCATGGAGAAGTTCAAGGGCACCGAGGTGAAATTGCGGCTCCGTTGGCAACGTCGTCCGATAAGCAGTGCGACACTGGTGGTGGGTTTTGTTTTTTTCGCTTTAACCCTGCTTCATTTAGTTGTCCGACCCGTCGCTGGTGCTCTACGCCTGCGACCTGATCAAAAATTCTTCCAGTGCCTTCGCGCGTCCACTCTACAATTCAAACACCGGAAGGGTAATTTTGAGCGCTGGGGCAGCACTGTTTGGTTCTGGACGGTTAGCGGGGCAACCAAATTCTTCTCTGTGGTTCTCCACGACCCTATAACCTAATATAAACAATTTTTGTAGTATTTTACATAGTTTTGTAGATATAAGAAAATAATAGAAAAGTTTTTGACTTTTGGTCAAACGTGTATGAAAAAATGACGCCATAAGGTAAAAATTTCCGAATTTTCAAAACTAAAAAAATGTTTTTTTTGATAGCTCTAGCAATCCAAAACTACTAAAAACACTATAAACATACATAATATAACAACAATAGGTAGAAAATCAGCAAGTGGTTTTCCCCCTGCACGCCCCCTCCCCCCCCTCGCTGACAGTCCAGAATCCGCTGTTTTTTTCAGCTGGTAATCTGCCGTCTCCCAACGTGGCTCCGTAAACCGGAACAAGTGGAAGAGTGGGCATGCTCGATACTGGGACCTTGCAAGGTGAAAATCGCCCGAACTATCATCAGACGGAACGACGATCAAGAACTGTAAGGGATTAGATTTTCGCTGTTTATAATTTTCCTATTAGATCCGAATGGTTGACCGACACGCTCTCCTACCTACTCTCCCAACTATTCGTGCGTTCCGGCGAGCATGTTGGCGCGTATGGCAGGGAGCAGCTCGTCAGCTTGGAGCAGGTGTGTTGCTTTTCGTGTTAAAAACCCGTTTTTGTGTTTACGGGGGCAAGGAAAAAGAAGTGGAAGTGAAATAATTCTACACACGTCAGTTATGGAATTTTACGCTGTGGGTTAGATTTTAAATTGAATTTTTAAAAATTGAAATTGTTAAAAATTAAAAAATGTCAAGACAAGAAAAAGATTTGAGAGCTTTGCTTGTTCAAAAATCTTCAGGAGCTGGCGAGAACGTTGGAGAATTGTTCGCAAAAAACACACAATACTATAAAAAAATTTTAATTTTCGCGGTAGGCTGTAAGCGATAAAATCAAGAATATTGATATTTTTTTCAGTACTGCAATGACTACCAACGCTTTCCCTGGAAGTTCACCTTTAACTCGTGGAAAAACGAAAACGAGGTCACGGTAAGTGTTTTCGCTGGTGTCACAATTTCCTAGATTCACTTCCAAAACCCGGCGCAAGGCTACGCCATAGTCGACGAGCTGCTTCGTGTCCGGGACATCGACAACCTGAGGATGAACCCGTCGGACAGATTCGGGCCCGAGTACTTGCCACAATATTCGATCGAGTGTGAGGTGCCGCGGGCGTTGCGTGTCCTCTGCAACGACGATATTTGGGAGCTGAGCAGAGAAATGTATGCGTTACAAATTTTTTATTAACAGGACTCTTTTAGACAAGCCGAGTGCAAACCCCCGGAGCAATGGGCCAGGATCGGAGAGCCGGAGTTCCAAAACCACAACAACCTGCGCACGAGTCGAATTGCCGTCTACGGATGGCCAAAAAGGTACGGATTGCATTTCCGAGCATTGTGTATTTCCTTTTTAGCTTTGTCGACGAGCGATACCAAAAACTGCATGCCATTTTCGCGCCCGAGGTTTACAAGGTGGCGCCCGACGACGAGGCCGGAAACTGGCTATTTTATGGGTAAGGGAAAACTGGCTATTTTATAGAGCTCAGTGGCGAATCTCTTTAGTAATTCTATTCTGCCCTAGATTTCAATTTTTCTGAAAGTAGAACATGCTCGAACATCGAATTTTTGCCAAAAGTGTGCTTTTTTATTATTAAAAATTTTGCCACTTGCTAATAGCTAAATTTTAGTGAAATGCATATTAAAATATTTTCTGTTGTCCTACTAGGCATATCTAGACTTTTAGGAAGAAAATTAAGTCTCGCTGTAAAAGCTAAAGAACCGCAAAATTTTCTTGTTGTAGATACGGCGCTGCATGCCTGGACAAGCATCTGAAGAATTCGGATCTTTTCCGCAAAACGGCGGTCGACATTGACGCGACCCGGCGCAAGATTTCGATCTGGGGAAACCGAAAGGGCAAACTCGAGGCCTTGAGGCGTATCCGGGAATTGGCGCGGAACCGGTAAGACTTGTGAACTAATTCGAAGCTACATTTTTCCTCCTAGAAATTGCGTCTCGGGCATCATGGGGATCAGCGTGGCGCCGCCCCGTTTCCCGCGCGGTTTTCCGATGCTGCTCAACCTACTCGACGCATTCGAACACTGTAAGAGATGCATTGTCATACATAATCGGTCTTTTTAGGCGGCATTTCCGGAATTGCGCAGTTCATTGGAGGCAGAAGACGACTCGAGCTCGACTTTGATCCGGTCGGCTGGGCGGTGTCGATCAACGGCACTGTCAGCGACTACGAGAACTTGGTGCGAATTGTCGACGGGCTGGACGAAGAGGTACATTTTTATCAGCGATTTACAGCTGGCCAAATTTTCAACTGGCTTAATAATTAGCAAAGAAAATCTTTTCCTTTTCCCTTTTTTTATTTTTGAAAAATTCAATTTTAATTAAGAAAACAATATTTGTGAAATTTTCCCGATTTTTGCCGGTCTTCTTCACGCCCTTTTTCCAGCTCTGGCGTGAATTTGCCCTGAATGAACAACACTCGCGGGACAAAAATTCGAATCGGGCACCCTCACGCACGTCTTCGCGACCGCTCTGCCACATCTGCACGCAGCCGCTGAGCGACGACTTCTACAAGTTGGAGCGGTGCGGGCACGTCTTCTGCCGTCCATGTTTGAACCATCAGGTATTTGTTTTGGATCCTCTAGGCCTGATTACTATCAACATAGATTTTCTATCAAAATGTCGAAACTTAATAATCGAAATTTCAACAAGTTTTGGTTTCCAAGTTTCAAGTTTTGAGGAATTTCGCTTCGAGAGGTTCGAAATTTTAAAAATAAGCCTTTTAGGTACTCTATGCCGAGACCAGCCGCGACGCCGTCCCATTCTACTGCGTCCACCCCGACTGCAAGGAGGACAGCCGGCTCGCCTCAAGTGATGTATTGGTAAGGAATCGATTAGTTGTGTATCTTTTTTTCTTCTTTAGTACCTACTCCTCGGCGCTGGTGGCGGCTTCATGTTGGAAGAGCGTGCGTGGTGGCTGGACGGCGAGAAGCTCGAAAAGTTCACCCTGGCGTCGCTCGACCGGCTGAAGTACCAACGCAACTCCATCTACTTTGGCTGCGTCACGCCGAGCTGCAACGGCGTCTTTCAGGTAATATTGCTTCTGAATTTTGGTAAATACCTTAATTTTACGATATTAGTTTTTCCTAAACGAAAACGACGGTGATTGGGACTGCTAAAATTGTCAATTTCAGAAACTCGCCGCCGTCGTGCCGCTCCCGCCCGGTCTTGAACAATCGGTGAAAAAGATCGAAACGACTGTCCAGTGCAAAGCCTGCTCCCGCGAGCACTGCCGACTATGTGGCGTCGAGGTTCATCCGGAATTCGGCTGCGACGAGTACCGCATGCTCAGAGGTAAGATTTCTAGAGTCGCTGAAAATCTACGCGTTTTCAGCCGACCCGGATCGCTCGCTGTCCGTCTACGCGGAGAAGAAGGGCAACAAAATCTCGGCGTGCCCCGGTTGCTCGGCGATCATCGAGAAGGCCGAGGGCTGCAACCACATGGAGTGCTTCAAATGCAAACTACACTTCTGCTGGCTTTGCAAGCATCGGGTAGGGCTTTTTCGGTTCTTTGGCAATATCGGGGGGAGCGGGGGGCAGAGACCACCTGCTTTTTAATCCTAACCTTATCTACTACAGGACATTTTTTTTAATATTTTTTAGTAGTTTTAGATTATTAACGAGTCAAATCAATTTAAAAACTATTTTTAATATTGGGTTTTTTTGAATTTTGACATTTTTTTATTTTTTTTGCTTGATATTTTGTTCACATTCAGGAATTTGCATACTTTTTATGAACTTTTTATATCTAAAAAATGCGTAAAAAGCTAATAAAATGGTTTGTATTTCATTTTTCGGCGCCAACGAGAACATAGGAAAATTTAGCGACCTCTGCCCCCCCGAAAACAACCCAGAACCTTCTTTTTGGTATTCTAATCATTTTGTTTAGGGAAACGGCCCGCCGGACATCTACAAACACCTTGCCGAGGTTCACGGCGGAGCCATGGATGGACAGGTCGAATGGAGATTCGGACCCGACGGCCAACTTCTGCGTAAGTCTTTGATTTCTGACCTTTATCCTGGTTCTAGAAGCACCACCTGATGAGCTGGACGACGACGACGAGGACTTCATTGTATAAAAGATAAATGCACGTTACCACTTAATATATTTTCGGGTTGCTTCGTTCTAATTTTTGTTGATTCCACACTGCTTTGGTGATATTTGCAATGCTAGCCTTTTTGTCATAAATGCTCAATTTCTTATGCAATCGAAAGTATGATACATTGAAGTTTATTCCCGCACTAGAATTTCCGGTTGCCGGCGTGCGATTTGACAGTGGCGATTGAGATGGTCGTTTCTTTGCTATCTTCTCGGTTATGTCGGAAGACCATCTTTCTCGTCTCGTCGGAGAGGGCGAGGAGAAACCTGAGTGTAACAATGAAAAGCTTTAACCGTAAAAAGTTTCCAAAAGTCATCAAAAAAAATGCGAATATCGATTCTTCGATCAAAAATTCTCGAATTTTACCAAAATTTCAGATTTTTGAGCAGTTTTTGCCTTTTCAAAAAATGGTTTTTCGACTGAAATCTCGTTAAATTTTAAGAAAAAATAACGGATCGACCCGAAACCAAATTTAATGAGTTTTTGACATTAAATTTTGTAAGCTTACCAAATTGGTAGAAAGTTGGCCACATCGATAAATACTGGCGAGAATTCGAAAAAGAGCCACCACTCGTCCAGTGACTGGGTGATCGTTATAATCTGAAAAAATTGGGGGTACTTTAATAACTACTTACGATGTCGATAGTACTGGACACTTGCACTATAAACTGGCAAATGGTGGTGAGATGAAAAATCTTCTCCTGTTTCCCCAGCTTCTTGCTGGTCTTGCGCTGGTAGTTGTACAACCTCCACCCGGTGTAGAGGTTCACGAGAAAAGTGAAGCCGAGAATCGTCATGCAAATCGGGTAGTAGCTGTCGGTGAGCACGGCCTGGAATCGTTCTCATTTTTGACTGCTATTGACTACGACTCAGACTTCCGTTAGAAAAATTTCTGGAAAATCGACATGTTGCCCATTTTAGGTCGAAAAAGTGGTTTTTGGCCCTATTTTAGTTAATTTCATGTTTCTCCCGGTCTACGCTGGCCGTTTTTAACCCTTTTAAACCGACCGTAAGTACAGTACTGCTAGTGACCGCTGGGGCGTAGTAGCCCCATGAAAATCGTTGGAATATGACGTCGTCCATCGAGAAGGGCAACGCGTAGATGAGGCAAACTAATGTCAGAAAACCACAAGATGGCCACGTCCAGCGCAGCCAAATCTGAAACATCGCTTATTTTGTTTTATAACAAATTTTTAGCACTTGAAATTTCAGCTACCTTTTCATAAGTATGCGGAAAGGCCAGAGACGTCGCCCTGTTAATTGCGATCAGGAGGGTTCCCAAAAACTGGAACATTAACGTGAAGATGTAGATGACCAGGGCGGCGACAGGGACTGGGCCTTTCTGGAAAACAGCCAAACTCTTTTTATAATTTTTCGAAGCGTAAAAACTGGATTAAAAAGCGCAGAAACTTTATTAAAAATACCAAAAATATCGATCTTTCGACGATAATTTCGCGTTTTGGGCAATTTCTAAAAGCTTTTTTGATAATTTTGCCACTTGAAACATGGCTGCATTCTAGTTGCTATTGCATAACTAGGCACCTGGAAGTATACCTAAAAATTCCGTTCCTTCTGCTACCCCTCCCCCCCCACCCCGATAATACCTAAGCACCGAACTAACCCGTATGTCCCAATACCAATCATTCGCGCCCCAAGTTGGTAGACGTACTCGGAATACCTGAGTGTAGTGGACGGCCAGATCCTAAAATTCACAACATGAAAAGTGGATCCTGAAGAGGATTATTGCAGGGCTTCTATACGGATGCCCTAGGAATCGCTGCTAGTTTGCCGCGCTCACGGAGTTAGACTAGATTGAATGGTGCTTTAAAAATACTTTAAATCTTGAGGGTTCAAGCTTTTCGAGGGGGGGGGGGGGGGGGGCGGCGGTGACTCACGTTCAGGGACGTAGCGTAATACCGGCCCCGGGGGCCCGGGGCCCCCCCCGAAATCGGCCGGGGCCCGAAAATTTCATAAGGGGGGACCCTTATGATTTTCATTTTCTCAAAAATTTTGCTGCCTGCGGCGCTATTTTTTCACCTTTTTACGGCTATTTGTAGAGCTATGTAACCTTTTTTTCAAAAAATTTTGCCTGCGGCGCTGTTTTCTCGTTAATGATTTGTGGGTTTTGAAAAAAATTTTTGGGGGCCCCCCCCGAAATTTTTTTCTGGCTACGCCCCTGCTCACGTTTGTTAGACAAACGTAGAAAATACGCTGGTAGTGCGTCTTGAACCCGTGGCGCAAGTGGTAGATGCCGATGCGGATATAAGCAAATAGGGTGATGAAGCCGATAGTGATAAAAACACCGCTCGATACGATCTCGAACGGATCGACAAAGTGCCCCTCGTAGTCGTCGGGTTCAATCTCGTTCATTTCTTCGGGATTACTACGATAGATTTATTCCTCTAGATAAGCTAAAATTTAGACGTTTTTAATGGATTTCAGACGGGTTTTCAAATATAAAAAACTTCAGATATATTAAAAAAATTCTGAAAATATATAGAATTCTGGCCCAAATGTAAGAAAAATGAGGTTGAAAACCATCAAAAAATGATTTTGAAAACTCTGAAAAAAACTTGGTAAGAAAAAAAGATCAGCTCTGGCCTTCTGACTCTTTGATTTTGAAATACACGCACATTTCGCTAAAAACATTGGAAGTCGTGGGTCGCAAACTGTTCTTGGGCCCGTGGAAAATTGAGGCTCTCGCCCCGATCCCATTCGTTGCTAAATTTTTTTCCCAAAATTATAGGCCGAAAGGGCGCCTCTGCCTTCCAAAAGCCGTCATTAAGTTGAACGTCTAATTTTCGATTGTCAATATTTGGTGGGATGAAAGGGGAAAATTTTCCAGGGGTTTACTTTGCGTCAGCGGCAGGAAGGTCATGTTTTGGAAGTTTAACAAAAGAGTTTTGGCGCTTTCGTATCAGAATTCGAAAAATATCAGACCGTCGAAATCTCATAATGTCGAAGTCTTCCAATTCCGCAATTTTTCGGTGCTTTTCCACTATCAAGGGGCGCGCAATTTGGTGTAAGGCCAGAAATGCCTAGTAGGTTTTAGTAGTTAGACGCGAAGTTGCAAAAATTCTGGGTTTCGGAGAAGTCATTATGACTTCGGAAAAGGCGTTTTCGAAAAAGTTATCTTAGAAATGATACTTTACGAAAGAATTGCTTTGGAAATTTGATTTTGCAACGCTGCCAAAAAAGTGGTGTTCGAAAACTTATATTTTGTATTATTGTTGGTTCTCACTTTTGCAATTTCAGTTTTCGAAACAGTTATTCTCAAAATTGCGGTCATCGAAAATGTAGATGGCATCCTTGAAATAATTTATTTTATTTCACTCCCGGTTTTCGAAACCTGGGCGCATGCAAGAAAACTGGGCTTTTTGCCCTGGTGGGCCCGCCGGCCGAGCCGTAACGCACGATGTTACGCGTGTCCGGGGAGACGACGAGCAGGAACCTGCAACAGATATTGTATTTTGAATTTAAATTGTATTGTAATAAAATGAAAAGCCGTGACTCACCAGATTGGCAAAAAATTCGACACATCACTGAAGACGGGTGCGAAGTGAAAGAAGAACCAGTACGCGTCCATGTCCTGCGTGGCGGTGATCACCTGAAAATTGAGGCGTGATTTCTAACATCATGATAGCCAGAATCGCGACATGCAAAATACCGACAACGAAAATCCCGACATTGAAAATCCCGATTGCCAAATTCCTGACATTCAGAATAATGATACGCAAAATCCCAACATCCGAAATCCCGACAGCCAAAATCTCGACATGAAATATCTATGAAATTTTGAGTGTCGGTGTTATGGATGTCGGTATTTTGGTCTATCGGGATTTTAGCTTCCATTTTAGCTGTCGGAAGAAGTGTGTCAAAGGCGTAGCGTAACATAGCGTAACCTGGCGCCAGCTTTTGATCTCACCGAGTCGATGGCGTTCAGCATCTGCACCAAAAACTGTGCCATCGTCGTCATGTGGAAAGTATTCTCCTGCCTGCTCAGCCGTTGGCTACGCGTTGCGGTCCGACCATAAGTGTAAAGACGTATCCCAGTGTACAGATTCACAAAAAGCGTAAGGACCACGATAAATGTGCAAAGCGGGATGAAGGCGAGCGAGTAGAGCTCCTGAAAATAGATTCTGGATTCATAAATTCTGTTTTAAAATGCTTTAAAAACGTAAAAGTCCTAGTCGCTTCAAAATACCTACCATAACAACATTATTCGCAAATGCATAATTGACATAATTCCCCCATCCATATCGTTTAAAAATATTCGTCGACGTCACCCAGAAAAGGGCCGTCAGAAACGAATAAATTGCCAGAAGCCCGCAAACCCGCCACGTATGCGCGTGCCAAAACTAAACAGCTTTGAAATAAGTTCATAACTGCTCTAAACGGAGGTTTAACAGTGTGAAAAAGTATACCTTATCATAAACCTGGGGCTTGGCGATGGCACTTGCCCGATTCAGGGCCACCAAAAGCGTACCGAGGACCTGATACTTGAACGCAAAAGCGTAAGATATCCTCAGAAGAAGAGGGATTGGTCCTGTCTAAATAAAATTGGATATATTATATATTTATTGATTGTTTGAAGTAGTAATACTTATGTGCTTTTAATAATCCTTAATACAATTCCTACCTGAACATACAAATACCACTCATTAACACCCCACGTAGGCAGTCGTTGGCGGAAAAGTAGCGTGTAGTGCGCGACGAAGTCCTGAAAGGTTAGGCTTTTGCTTAGGTTGAGGCTTAGGCTTATAGGCTTAGGCTTGGGATTAGGCTTGGGCTTAGGCTTAGGGTTAGGCTTAGGCTTAGGCTTAGGCTTGGCTTAGGCTTACTTAGACTGTATCTCTGTCCACAGGCCTCCGCAGGAAAATCGGAAAACGGCATCGTGTTCTCCATAGTCGATTACCCGGGGGTAGCCGCGAGGGTTTTGCGAAATTCCAGCTTAGGGCTTAGGCTTAGGCTTAGGCTTATGTTTAAGCTTAGCTCTAGACTTAGACTTAGGATTGGGCTTTTGCTAATTGGGTACTGGTAGACTCATATCCTATCTTTAAAGGGGCTCAGAAGTCAAAATTCGTGCGTGCGGGGATTGAACCTACGGGTCAAAAAACGAAACGGTCACTGCCGAGAAGTGCCAAAAAAGCGATTTGATTGCGAAAAAACGTAAAATGTTTGAGAAAAACCGAATTCTTTTTGGGGCAAAAACGAAATTTTGAGTGCGCGGCGATTACCTGTCGTAATGCCTTGCAAGGCACCCAATCTCTCGATCTCGGTGATTCTCTGATCAATTTTCATAATTTAAAAGTCTGGAATGATCAAAATTCGTTGAGGATTCCAAAAATAGTATCAGAATTGTGAAATTCAAGCGTTTTCGCGTCCAAACAGGGGCAAAAGATCATGCCGCGCGGTCGCGTTGCGGCGGCATCTGGCTATTTGCCAGGAATCACAGCAGGGGGCCGTGGACCAGATTTCGGAGCCCCTTTAATAAAAAATAATCTCACTTACATTTGCCACAAAAACGATCAAAATCTTCTGAAAGTGCGTCTTGAACCCGTTGCGCCAATGGTAGACGAGTATCCTTGCGTAAACGACGATCGTGATCAGCCCGATCCCCACAAAAACCGACGTCGAAATTATCTCCAAGTAGTTTATCTCCTTTTCTTCAACATATTGTGACGTTGTAGCCATTAGATAATTCTGAATCGTGGTTTTGGTAGATTTTGTAGCTGGCATCGATTCAAAGGCTTGTAGGAAGTTCGAAGGCCTTTTTAGAGACTATTCATAATGGCACATTCTGATCCCGTGGACCATCAGGCTCTCCTAATTGAATTGGAGTTTCAGCTGCTACTCCGCTGGCTTTTGCTCGGGATTACGTGGGCGCCCCCACGCGCAACATACCACACACAAAAACAGTTGGGGAGTTATCGGGAATAGTTGTAGAAAATTTCATTTTACAATTTTCTGGATAAAGCATATGCTTCTGTCGGCAAAACCCGGGGAATTGAGGAGTACAAAATTCCATTTTATCGGTTTCAAAAGTCGGTTCTTTCGTATTATCGGTCAAGAAAGTTTTTTTCAGTATCCAATTTTTCTAGCATAAACAGACGAAGGGTTCCTAAGCTGTTTTTATCATTACTAAACAAAAAATTTAATAAAGACACAAATTTTGTATTAAAAAAAATAGAAAAACATCGACTTTCGACAAAATTTCGCCTTAAAAATTTTAAAAAATTTTTTAGTTCGTTTTTCCGCCTCAAATCAAGTTCAATTTCATCCAGCGGGCTATTGAAACGCTTACTTTGCTAAGCATTTCTGGAATTATAAAAAATCCCACCGATAATGCAAAAGCACCAGAAATTTGCACTTTCAACTCGAAACTTTTTTGTTGAGGGTGAAAAACTGAACGCTGGTCTCCGCTCGAGGCGAACAGCTGAATTTTTGGGGGCTCATGAAACAACAAAGAGGGGTGAAGGTCAAAATCATTCGACATTTGGGTTTCGACAAAACTACGTGTGACCTTCGCTAAAATTATTTGGTGAACGGGAGTAGGAGGTTTGCCGGAAGCCAGCAAAAGAAAGGACGGCGATTTTGGATTTCTAAAACCCAAGAGAAAATTCTATGGGATAAGATTCTCCCGGAATGTGATGTAACAATGTGGTCTGCGTTGATTTCCAAATATAAAAGCCTATCTTGAATCTCGAAATCTAGAAAATTACGGTAATGGATTTCCCCAGGGAAATCAGTGCTCACAGGCGGCTAACAAGTACAGGACTCTGAAATTACGTGTTCAACAATTTTAAGAAATCCTTTGTAGCCCTGAACTGTTCATAATAGGTATTTTTATGTCAAATTTGAGTGCCACAATGATCGAGAGCTGCTTTGCACGTTACTGGCAAAAACATAAGATTTTGGTACCCTGTTGCTGTGTTTAGAGCCTGCGTAAACTCATGAGAGGCTTTTCAAAGTGTAAGTTGTTACTCGAACGCTTTTCTTATCCATCTTTTGCCTACAAAGGCTTATTTTCAGTTGTTAGTCCGTTTCTTGTCAATCCCGTACTAAGCGGGCGTCCCGCAGCGCGCGCCCTGCCCTCTCTTCGGCTGTTACGGCCGCCAATTGTACGTGGTGTTCAGCCCGCGGGCGATTGCCGACTAATAAAACCTTGTTTACAAGTTTATAAAATGGTGAATAGCCAATAAATAGTCTATTTTCAGGTAGGATGTACAACATGCGGGAAGATGGCATCGAAACGATCCGCTCGAGACAGATTGGTAAGCGGAAATTCCTGAAAACAATGATTTTCTTTAGCTGCCCTACGCCAGATGATCAACTTCAACGAGCCCGCCATGAATATGATGGTGTCGGAGCCGGTGTGGAAGGTATGGCACTCGAAGTAGTTTAAAATTTATGTTGGCTAGGTTTTGATCATGGACAAGGTCGGGCAAGACATCATCTCTCCTCTCCTAACCGTCAAACAGCTTCGCGAGCTCGGCGTGACGCTTCACATGTGCGTTTATTCAGACAAGTTTTTGAGATATTATTTAGGCTGTTGGACGGCAAAAGAGAGCCTCTACCAGACGTGCCCGCCGTCTACTTTGTCAATCCAAGCAACGAAAACATTGCGATGATTTGCCGCGATATGCAACTGGTTCGGATTTAGCCTTGAATTTAGTTCTGATCATTCTAGGGTCTCTACGAGCGTTACTACCTCAATTTCGCGTCGGCCCTACCCCGTAACGAGCTTGAGCAGCTGGCGCAGGGCGCCGTCCGGGAAAATTGCGTGGATCAAGTGAAAAAGGTGATTTTTTTGAGCATCATAAGATCCGGTTTCTGCTTTTAATTATTGTTCAGACAAAATTCACGATTTTCAGGTTGTCGACCAATACCTAAAGTTCATCTCGCTGGAAAACGATCTCTTCGTCCTCAAGCGATCAACTGCCGGCAGACCTCTGACTTTTTATAGTAGGTTTTCCCTTCAAACGTTTACTTTCTCATTTTTAGCGATCAACGACTTGGCCACCTCTGAAGACGTGATGAACGGCATGATCCAGTCTATTGCTGATGGTCTCTTTTCGGTATCTATTGATGCTGAGTACAACTTTCCAATCTAGGTTTGCGCTACACTAGGCCTCGTGCCGATCATTCGTGCAGCGAAGGAAGGAGCAGCCGAGCAAGTTGCACTGGTAATTTTTGACTAAAAAAGTTTAAAGAATTTTTAGCGTTTATGCCAAAAGCTGAAGGATACGCTTTGCGAGACGAACAACGTGTTTACGTTCACGGTGAATCGAGCTGGAATGCTGACGGGGACACGCCCGATTTTAGTGATTGCTGATCGGTAATAGCCGTTTTCTCTAGCTGATCCCAAAAATGTAGGTCAGCCGATCTGGCGACGATGCTCCACCACACCTGGACGTATCAAGCCCTCATCCACGACGTCCTCGGGCTTGACCAGAATCGCGTGACGATGCAGGAAAAGGGCAAAAAGGTCGATCACGACCTGCACGGAGAGCACGATCGGATCTGGTCTAGTCATAAGGTTTGTTAGAGTTTTCTAGTTCTAATTTTTCATTTAGGGTAGCCCATTCCCGTTGGTGGCCGAGGCGATTCAGAGCGACCTCGAGCACTACAAGACCCAGAAGGAAGAAGTCGAGAAAATGCGGAATGCCATGGTATTGACATCGCAAAAATCTCTGACGTTGTTTTAGGGAATCGAAGGCAGCGAAATGGAGGCGGTTATGTCATCGCTGATCATCGACACGACCTCCAAGCTCGGCTCGACGGTCACCTCATTGCCACAACTTTTGGAGCAAAAGAGGTGTGATATTTTTTAAATGTCTAATTTTTCTGTTCTTAGGTTGATCGACCTTCACACGAACATTGCGACCAGCCTGCTGAACGCGATCAAAGAACGACAGCTCGACTCGCTGTTCGAGCTCGAGCAGAAGATGCTGCAAAAGGCTTCTCTAGGTACCGAGGAACACATAGATTTCATTTTTGGCTAGATTCCTCGATACGAAGCGAGCTCGAAAAATACGGAGATCACGGGGACGTGCTGCGCGTTGTGTTGCTGTACTACTTGTCAACGGATCGTTTATCGAAGGTGAACAGCAATATTCGAGTCTTTGAATTTGATATTTCAGTCTGACGTCGAAGAGCTGCGAACACTACTACGCGAGAAGAACATTGACGATGTTGCCCTGCGATTCGTGGAGAGGATCAGGTAATTTACAAAACAAATTTTACCATTTTATTTCCTTTCCAGATCCGTGTCGAATCTTGGGCGCGGGATTACGAGTGAAGCCCATTCCGGCGCCGGCACGAGCACGGTAGTTTAGCTTGAAAAACGAAAGAATTTTTGCAGGTGGGCATGTTCGGCAAGCTGCTCGGCCAGAGCAGCAAATTCGTGATGGAAGGCGTGAAAAATCTGGTGCCCAGGAAGCATAACTTGCCGTTGACGAAGGTAAAAAAACCAGATCTATTTACCTAGAATATTTTAGCTAGTCGACTCTGTAGCGACGCCAGCCTCCTCATCCGTCGTCGGCATCAGTGCGATGAGCCAGGCGCAGCCCGAGGGCGACGCGCTGCTCTACCTCGATCCGAAGCTGCCCGCCGGCCGACCCGAGTATGTTTTAGAAAAACAACATTTAAAAACTCGTCTTTTTGGCTTATTTCATGACCCTTTAATTTTTTAGTTCCGCAAAGTTGCGCCCATCTACAATGCCGCACGACGTGTTGTTGTTCGTCGTCGGCGGTGGCAACTACGTGGAATACGAAAATGTGGCGCAATGGGGCCGGGACAAGGGCATCCAACGAGTCATCTACGGGTCGACCGAGCTCATCAGCCCGCTACAATTCACTGAGCAGGTATTTTTTGTAGTAAATTTTTTAAAATTTGAAATCCTACAGCTATCCTCCCTCGGAAAGCAGTACCAGTGACCCCGAATGCCACAACCAGCACGAAACGTTTCTCAATAAAATTATATTCTACCCCTCCGCTGTGCTACAAGTTTTTTGCTAATTCTCACACGCATTGGTCAGGAATTGTGATTGGACTTCTTCCCTTTGTATCGATCGGGTTCGGCTTTAATTTATTAATCCTATATGACTTGGCATAAAGATTTTTACTTCAAAATGATTCGCATGAAAAAATATACTAAGAGTTTTAATTTCATCTTAAAATATTGTTTTATAAAATAGTTATAGCAAAAACAAGGTTTATACGGTGTTTCCACATGAGATCGTGGAGTCGAAAGCTAGTTTTCGACATTTTCGATAACTTTCAAAAATTTCTTAAATGCCATTCGATAGAGCGTCAAAAAATATACTAAGAGTTTTAATTACAACTCAAAATAGCATCATGTAAAAGAGTTATAACAAAACGAAGAAAATTTCCCCCGCACAGTTTCCCCCGCGAAATAGAACAGAACCGGATGCCGCGATCAAGTGGTGAAGCTCATCGTCAACATCTACGCCGTCAACATCGCAAGGTCAACGCCGTCACCGACTACTCGATGCGCAGCTACACGACAAGGAATAAACCAAAAGTAACCCCTTTCACCTTCCGCGTTTGTAATTCTCGTTCGTGCATTTCATACGACTTTTGCATTGTAACCCTCGTCTCCGTCTCTTATTTTCACAGTTTTTCACGTTGTTACTCTCGTCCCCGCGTTTCATTTTCATCTGTATTCCTTCCTTTCCGCTGCATTTCCGTTAGTACCAGTTATTTTTTACACTGATTCAGAATAAAAGTCGTAACATGTGCATTGAATTGACAGCTTGGCAGTTCTGATCTGTACATGTACCTCTCGTGAAAGGCGTTTTTTATCAGGCCGTTTCATGTCTATTTTCGATTTTTAGATGCAGAATGCCCAGCCGCACTGGGTCGAGTTCGAGAACCCGTGGGGCGCGGTGCTTCGTCGCCTCCGCGACCCCCACAATGGCCGCTTTGTGGCCCCGCCCCCGGCAAGCCCTCCCGCAAGCCCTCCTCCGGCCCCCGCTTTCGCCGCGCCACCCGTGCGCCGTCAGCAGCCACCCATCTGGCAACTGCCGGTATATCGGCACGGTGGGCCACGCACCGGCCACCTCACCGACGACCTGCATCGAAGATGCAGGTCGTCTGGGTTGCTGGTCGGGGGCCCCGGCCGCATGCGGTGGTAAGTTATTTCTTTGCTTTATTATTATAAAACTGCTTACAGGCTGCCGGCCGAGGCCCACCGGCAGCTCATTGCAGAGGTGGTTGCCGCGTCCCGGCGGCTCTGAGGTATTGCTTTATCTTTATTTCTTGATTTTTACGTAGGTCGGCGGCCTCTTCGTGTACAACCACAAGGGTGTTCTGCTCATCTCGCGCATCTATCGGGACGATGTCAAGTGAGTTTCTTTTTTTACAGAAAACCAACTTTTTTTTCTAGCCGTAATGCGGTCGACGCGTTCCGTGTCAACGTCATCCACGCGAGACAGCAGGTAATTTGTTGAATTAGTTTCGTTTTTCACGTTTTTATTTTCAGATCCGCTCGCCGGTCACGAACATGGCCCGAACTTCCTCCTTCCACGTGAAACGCGGCAACGTTTGGGTGTGCGCGGTCAGCAGGCAAAATGTGAACGCGGCCATGGTTGGTTTATTTTGGAAACTGGCTTTTGAATTTGTTACGTTTAACAAAGGACTTTTACAGGTTTTCGAGTTCCTCAACCGATGTGCTGACACGATGCAGTCCTTTTTCGGAAAGCTGAATGAAGAAAACGTGAAGAACAACTGTGTGCTGATCTATGAGCTTCTCGACGGTACATTCGGGGTATCTATTTTATCAAATCATCTGCTTTAGAAATCCTCGACTTCGGATATCCTCAAAACACCGATCCCGGCGTGCTCAATACCTTCATCACCCAACAAGGCGTGCGCACAGCAGTAATTCTTTGGCAATCTTAACAAATAATCGTTTCCCTTTCATGAGGCACCGGTGCCCGTGGTAAGCAAATTGTTGTGTGCGGCGATTAGTTGATTGGCTTGCGAATTGATTTTTATCTGGATTCCCTCCCGCGTATTTGTCATTGTGGCGCTTTTCGTTGCCCGTAGCAGATGTGAACGTGCATGTGCATTTCTAGGCTTTTTTATCTTTTTTCCATTTCAGACGAAAGATGAGCAGTCGCAAATCACCTGGCAAGTGACGGGGCAGATCGAATGGCGTCGCGAAGGGATCAAGTACCGCCGGAATGAGCTGCTCTTGGACGTCATCGAATACGTTAATCTGCTCATGAGTCAGCAAGGTGAGAAGAATTACCTTTACCTTGAAAGTATGCTCAAAATGACCATTTTTCTCAAATGCAATTATTTTTCTTTCAGGACAAGTCCTCTCCGCACACGTTGCTGGCAAAGTGGCGATGAAGAGCTATCTGTCTGGAATGCCCGAATGCAAATTCGGCATCAACGACAAGATTAGGATCGAGGGCAAGAATCGAGCCGGCACTGATGATCCGAATAAGGCGTAAGTTTTTTGTCGGTTTTCTAATTTGCTTACTCGTCAAATGTCGAGAATACGTGAAAATTAGAGCTCAAAGTTGCGTATTTGAACCTCTTTTATTTCCAGGTCTCGAGCCGCTGTCGCCATAGACGACTGCCAATTCCATCAATGCGTCAAGCTGAACAAGTTCGACACGGAGCACGCGATCTCGTTTATTCCCCCGGATGGCGAGTACGAGCTGATGAGGTAGCTATTTTATGTTGTTGTAATCTCTTGCAAGAGTGACGGTTTCTACAACGCTTCAAGATCTTAATTTTTAATTTTTTAGAACTTGAAAATTCTAGTTTTTAGATATCGCACGACGAAAGACATACAACTTCCATTCCACGTTATCCCCCTGTTCAGCGAGACGTCTAGGAACATGATGGAGGTCAAGGTGAGGCTTGAAAGGTTCTATATTTTTCTGTGACTATTACATGTAAGAATTGTAAGGCCTATTTCCTCTTTTTCAGGTTGTCCTCGAGTCCAACTTCAAGCCATCATTGCTCGCCCAGAAAATCGAGGTGCCGATCCCGACCCCCCCCACGCAACACGGAGAAGCAGCAATGGAATCGTCCGCCGGTCAGCATGTACTTTGAGGTTGGTTCTTTCACTATAGTTTTAAATTTTTAAGTGCGTAGTTACGTTGTAAAAAGATTAGGAAGATTAGATGATGATAATATTAAGGATGCTTGAACGATGTTGGTAGTAGTTTCCGATCACTAAAACACTATTAAAAATTTATTGGAAAATCTTAAAAATCCAGAGTTTTTGACCAGCTGTGCTAGTTTTTTATGTTTTTTTTTTTTACCAAAAACAAGCCTTCTCTAAACTTTAAGTATTTTATTTGAAGTGATTTTATATTAAAAACAGTGTAAATGCATGTAATGTGTATGTCATTGTTTTAACAAATAATGTTTTAATAGCTTCCCGTAGATCGCCATCTCAAAAAAATTTGCCTTCTTCCCGCGTTAATAAATTGCTCCCGCGCCAACACGGAAGCACCAAAAATGATTTTCCAGGTTCCCGTCGCCCCATCCGGCCTCAAAGTGCGCTACCTGAAGGTGTTCGAGTCTAAGCGGAACTACTCGGACCACGACGTCATCAAGTGGGTGCGATACATCGGCCGCTCCGGACTGTACGAGACCCGCTGCTGAACAAGGCGACCGTCTACTTATAAAATTGCCCAAAATTCACTTGCTTTGTCGTAGATTCCCTCCGCACAAGCCGTAACTTATGCATCATTGTCAGTATTTCTTTTTTCAAATTTTTTGAGTTTTCTAACCTCATCGGCATAATTTAAGCGCAGTATTTGCCCATGTCCGTAGTTCTGGTATCCCCCCGACTAGCAATGCATGCTATCCTTCCGCGTACACTTGTGCTCATCCCTGTAGAATCCACTTTTTTTCGATCGCCATTGCCGAAATTAGCCGTTGTGATTTTCGTCCGTTGCGCGCGCGATTCTGTACCATTTCCCCCAAACGCCGTCGGCATTTTCACATTCCCTGAACAAACTGTAGTGCGAGGTGCCAACCATGTTTTTCGCATCGTGATTTCGGACTTGTTGTGAATTTGAAGACTACATAGCGTTGATACCAAATAAATTATTTATTATCGGAGTTTGGCGATACCGGAGCACCGCTAGACCTTGGTGATCATAAACAGGAGCTCCGGCGTGTTTTTCAGCTCGCTTAAAAAAGCGTACATCAGGTGTATAAGGCTTAGCAACTTGTCAAAACGTCTTAAGATACCCGGAAGGAGTAGAAAAACGGCTTTATGATTTTTTTGCTCCGTCTTCCTTTATGTACAGTTTTTGGCGGCACATTCTTTGTCTCTTTGTATATTTCAAAATCTAAAGTATTTTTGATGATGTTTGATCCGCAATTTCGCTAGCTCTCAAAGTCTGTTTTCCGCTCTACAACACAGGCCACAACACGCCGCCGCGCTTTCAACCCTAACTCTCTCTTTGGCTATTACGACCGCCAATTGTACGTGGTGTTCAGCCCGCGGGCGATTGTCGACTAATAAAACCTTGTTTACAAGTTTATAAAATGGTGAACAGCAAATAAATAGTTTATTTTCAGGTAGAATGTACAACACGCGAGAAGATGGCATCTAAACGATCCGCTCGAGACAGATTGGTAAACGGAAATCCCTGAAAACTATGATTTTCTTTAGCTGCCGTTCGCCAGATGATCAACTTCAATGAGCCCGCCATGAATATGATGGTCTCGGGGCCGGTGTGGAAGGTATGAAGCTCAAAGTCCTATAAAACTGATGTTTTTCAGGTTTTGATCATGGACAAAGTCGGGCAAGACATCATCTCTCCTCTGCTAACCGTCAAACAGCTTCGCGAGCTGGGTGTGACGCTTCACATGTGAGCTTTGATGAGCTCAATTGAGAACTTATAATTCAGGCTTTTGGACGGGAAAAGAGAGCCTCTACCAGACGTGCCGGCCGTGTACTTTGTCAACCCCAGCAACGAAAACATTGCGATGATTTGCCGCGATATGCAACTGGTTCGGATTTAGCCTTGAATTTAGTTCTAGGGTCTCTACGAGCGTTACTACCTCAATTTCGCGTCGGCCCTACCCCGTAACGAGCTTGAGCAGCTGGCGCAGGGCGCCGTCCGGGAAAATTGCGTGGATCAAGTGAAAAAGGTGATTTTTTTGAGCATCATAAGATCCGGTTTCTGCTTTTAATTATTGTTCAGACAAAATTCACGATTTTCAGGTTGTCGACCAATACCTAAAGTTCATCTCGCTGGAAAACGATCTCTTCGTCCTCAAGCGATCAACTGCCGGCAGACCTCTGACTTTTTATAGTAGGTTTTACCTTCAAACGTTTACTTTCTCATTTTTAGCGATCAACGACTTGGCCACCTCTGAAGACGTGATGAACGGCATGATCCAGTCTATTGCTGATGGTCTCTTTTCGGTATCTATTAATGCTGAGTACAACTTTGGGTTCTTTAGGATTCCCGGGGGGGGGAAAGTATTCCCGGGGGGAAACCAATTTTTTTCCTGGTGGTCCCGGTTGGCCTAGTAATCAAATATAAAGTGTTTTCGAATTGTTTTTAGTAAGTTTTAACTATATTTAGAGCGGAATAACTTTCAGAAAAATTTAGAAAAATGTTTGAAAAAGTCGAAAATTTGGTCATTTTGGGTCTATTTTTCGACCTAATTTTTAATTTTTTACATTTTTTTGGTTAAAATGTGTGTAGTTTTTATGCACAGGAATAGTTAAAAACAATTTAGAAACGCATCCGCAATTTATACAAAAATCTAGGCTTTCGCCGAAAAAAATTTGTTTTCCCCCGGGAATACTTTCCCCCCCCGGGAATCCTAAAGAACCCAACTTTGCAATCTTTAGGTCTGCGCTACACTGGGCCTCGTGCCGATCATTCGTGCAGCGAAGGAAGGAGCGGCCGAGCAAGTGGCACTGGTAATGTTTGATTAGCCAATTTTAAGGGAGAATTTTTAGCGTCTTTGCCAAAAGCTGAAGGATACGCTTTGCGAGACGAACAACGTGTTTACGTTCACGGTGAATCGAGCTGGAATGCTGACGGGGACACGCCCGATTTTAGTGATTGCTGATCGGTAATAGCCGTTTTCTCTAGCTGATCCGAAAAATGTAGGTCAGCGGATCTGGCGACGATGCTCCACCACACCTGGACGGATCAAGCCCTCATCCACGACGTCCTCGGGCTTGACCAGAATCGCGTGACGATGCAGGAAAAGGGCAAAAAGGTCGATCACGACCTGCACGGCGAGCACGATCGGATATGGTCTAGTCATAAGGTTTGTTAGAGTTTTCTAGTTCCAATCATTTAGGGTAGCCCATTCCCGTTGGTGGCCGAGGCGATTCAGAGCGACCTCGAGCACTACAGGACCCAGAAGGAAGAAGTCGAGAAAATGCGGAATGCCATGGTATTCACATCGAAAAATCGCTGACGTCGTTTTAGGGAATCGAAGGCAGCGAAATGGAGGCGGCTATGTCGTCGCTGATCATCGACACGACCTCCAAGCTCGGCTCGACGGTCACCTCATTGCCACAACTTTTGGAGCAAAAAAGGTGTGATATTTTTAAATGTCTAATTTTTCTGTTCTTAGGTTGATCGACCTTCACACGAACATTGCGACCAGCCTGCTGAACGCGATCAAAGAACGACAGCTCGACTCGCTGTTCGAGCTCGAGCAGAAGATGCTGCAAAAGGCTTCTCTAGGTACCGAGGAACACATAGATTTCATTTTTGGCTAGATTCCTCGATACGAAGCGAGCTCGAAAAATACGGAGATCACGGGGACGTGCTGCGCGTTGTGTTGCTGTACTACTTGTCAACGGATCGTTTATCGAAGGTGAACAGCAATATTCGAGTCTTTGAATTTGATATTTCAGTCTGACGTCGAAGAGCTGCGAACACTACTACGCGAGAAGAACATTGACGATGTTGCCCTGCGATTCGTGGAGAGGATCAGGTAATTTACAAAACAAATTTTACCATTTTATTTCCTTTCCAGATCCGTGTCGAATCTTGGGCGCGGGATTACGAGTGAAGCCCATTCCGGCGCCGGCACGAGCACGGTAGTTTAGCTTGAAAAACGAAAGAATTTTTGCAGGTGGGCATGTTCGGCAAGCTGCTCGGCCAGAGCAGCAAATTCGTGATGGAAGGCGTGAAAAATCTGGTGCCCAGGAAGCATAACTTGCCGTTGACGAAGGTAAAAAAACCAGATCTATTTACCTAGAATATTTTAGCTAGTCGACTCTGTAGCGACGCCAGCCTCCTCATCCGTCGTCGGCATCAGTGCGATGAGCCAGGCGCAGCCCGAGGGCGACGCGCTGCTCTACCTCGATCCGAAGCTGCCCGCCGGCCGACCCGAGTATGTTTTAGAAAAACAACATTTAAAAACTCGTCTTTTTGGCTTATTTCATGACCCTTTAATTTTTTAGTTCCGCAAAGTTGCGCCCATCTACAATGCCGCACGACGTGTTGTTGTTCGTCGTCGGCGGTGGCAACTACGTGGAATACGAAAATGTGGCGCAATGGGGCCGGGACAAGGGCATCCAACGAGTCATCTACGGGTCGACCGAGCTCATCAGCCCGCTACAATTCACTGAGCAGGTATTTTTTGTAGTAAATTTTTTAAAATTTGAAATCCTACAGCTATCCTCCCTCGGAAAGCAGTACCAGTGACCCCGAATGCCACAACCAGCACGAAACGTTTCTCAATAAAATTATATTCTACCCCTCCGCTGTGCTACAAGTTTTTTGCTAATTCTCACACGCATTGGTCAGGAATTGTGATTGGACTTCTTCCCTTTGTATCGATCGGGTTCGGCTTTAATTTATTAATCCTATATGACTTGGCATAAAGATTTTTACTTCAAAATGATTCGTCTCGAACGTGTGCAGAACAATCGACAAGGGTTTAGCTTGACCTGTTTATCCGAACAAAAACATATGAGCACAGTATTGAACCTGTATCTGGCGAAGTGAGTGATGGGGCCTCGATAGCACTAGACGGGTGGCGAATGGAGAGATCAGGTCGAGAGCTTGGCGCGACGAAGCACGCGACCGACCGTCGACTCGTCGGAGAGGATGCTGCGAATCAGGAAAACCTAAAAATACGTTTCCCACGAAATCCGGCACGTACCTGAACCCCGGCGGCCGTCAACATGGCGATCGTGTTCACGATTCCCCAAAAGTTCATGCTCTCGAAGGTAGATTCTGCCATACCACTAAAAAGGACTTACTAATTGAAAACCAAATCCTCTTACCGATCGATGAACTCAATGCGGCGCATCTCGCTCTGCAGCGATTCAATGCGTGTCAGCTTGGACTTGATGCTCATCGTCGTGCCCTGCGAAAAAATTTACCCCTGAAAATTTAAATACCTCGAAGAAGTCCAAGCGAGCCTCTAGGTGTGCCGAGCTGTCCGTGTTCAGGGCGTTGAGCTCGCTCATGTAGTTGCCGCTCTTGTCCATGACGTACATGTGAAGAGAGACCTGAAAGGAAATATTGAAAAGACGCCAAATCCCACAATTTTCTCGGAGGTCATGCTCATTTTGTTGTCGAAGCACATCACATAGTCGCCGAGTGGGTGCACAGAAAAATCGACACTAAACGACGATACATGTATTTTCAGCGAAAGCGGTAAAGTTACTTGAATCGCCCGTGTTGCTTGGCCACCTCTTCGGACAAAGGCGCAGCACTTGGGCTTCGTAGGGTGAATGTGATGTCCAGGCCGCTGCCGCCTTTCAAGACCTACAAGAAAAAACACGATAAAACTGATGCGTACGGCCTACCATCCAGTTGACCTCCATCGAGCCGGAGGCGGGGTTCTGGACGGTGTGGAAGTAACATTCAACTTTGCCGGGATCGACCCTCACCGTGATGCCGACCTAAAAATCAAACGTCAAGCCCAGTACGGCAATGAACCTCATCTTCTTGCATGGCTCCGAGGGTAGACGAAACAAACAGGACTAACAACGAGCAAGCGAACAATCGCATCTTGGCTAAAACAAGACACTTCACATGTGCTTCACCCGGTGCAAAATATGAAACTGCTGAAGTGGGACACATACACTGCTATTTCGTCTCCAAAGCGATAGATCTTTATTCCTATTAACAATCCCAAAAACCGCGCGTCAAACCCATAAAAAGCAAAATAAATTATGCACGTATTATGTAGGAAGTGATATCACAGGTGGGAAGAGGTGTTTGCCAATCGAGAGGGGAAAATGTCAAAGAATTGCAAACCATAAAAATGTACAGAAACAAAACAAAAAAAACTGGTCCGAGCGTTAATCCTGGTGGGTGCCCTTGCGGAGGAAGCGGCCGACCTTGGAGTTCTCCTCGAAGAGACTGCGAATCATGTAAACCTAAAAAATGTTTTTGTAATAAAAAGACTTCTCATCGATACCTGGATCCCGCCGACGAATATAAGCACAAGGGAGTTGACGATCGACCAAAACGAGACTCGGTCCAAATTTGCGTTCATCACGGATCGATCACGTGCTTCATGAGCCCTAAATAATCAAAATGAGACATCAAGCTAAAAACCAACCTGAGAATGGCCTGGTGATATTCCATCTTGTTGAAGTTGTTCTTGATTCTTGTTGCAGCGCCCTAAATTAGAACTTTATTGCTAGAAGCACTTTTCTTACGTGGAAAATCTCGACGGTAACCCCCAAATCGGCCATTCGCTGCTTCAGCCGGTCGTCCTACAAAAGGATTTTAAAGCAGGATTTTGCAAAATCAACCTGAAGTCCAGCTTTCACGTAATCGAAGTCATCCAGGTTCCCTGCTTGATCGTAGAGGAAGATTTCGAAGAAGACGACCTAAAATAATGCCTAGAAAATCCGAAATACCGATACCTTGCGAGATTGATAGCTGAAGGAATTGTCGAAGCACACTTGATAATCCCCGACTTGCTTGATCTCAACCCTGAAAAAGCGGATTGATTTCGTTTCGAAAAATTACTTGTGGCTAGCGTCGGTCTTCATCGTTTCTTGGATCAGCACCTCAGCTCCGAGCAACAGCATGAAGTTGATGTTCAGATCGCCGCCATCTACCACCTAAAGCGGTTTTTGAAAACAAATCAAAAATTGTACCTGATAATCCACTTCTATCGATTTGTGATTGGGGTTCGTGACGGGTTGAAAGAAGCACTGGAACTTCCCGGGAGGCACTTCCACGGTGAAGTCATACTCGCCAGCCAGCGCCACGGAGGCCAATGCGAGCCCAACTAGCCATCGCATCCTGGAATGGTTTATTGTATGACCAAGTTGAGGAAAGAGATCGAGCAAATGCAGAAATTACAGCGGACACAGGACTAGCACGGAATAAATTCTTGAAAGTGACTGGATATGGAAGAATCTTGCAACATAACAATCAAGAGCACGTATCATCACAAAATATTAGGCAAGAAAACGCAAGTACAAATAGAAAGCGCCAAGAAGATATTAAAAATTAAGAAGTGACGCTCGCAGACTCGAGCTGCGCCTGCAGGGCGTCGAGATCGGTGGGGCTATCATCATTTGGCGTATGCCACTCGCCGATCGCGGCGCAGCACTTCTTATGTATCCCCCAGTCGTACTTTTGGCACTTTTGTGAGCAATACGGCACCCGGCACTTCGGGCAGCGCTTCGTCGCGTTGAACCCGCCGCAAGTAAAGCAGAATTGACTGACAGCCAAGATTCGCTGTCCGAAGAGCACTTGTATAATGTAATCGTAGGCGGCCGGGCGCTCCCCGAATTTGCTCTTCGCCAGCGCCTTGACGATCGTTTGGAATAGAAGGCTTTGACGATAGGGGAAGCTCACGATACCGGCACGCAAAAGAGCATCGAGATTCGGGCGCACCTGGTGCTCGGGTTGCATGAAGAGCAGAGTTTTCGCGTATAGCGTCAACGCCTCACTGGGTGGCTTCTCTGAGTGCTCATCGATATACTTGTACATCTCGCGCAGCATGTGTAGAATAAACCACAGCTTGAGTGACATGACCTCGTTTCCCTCCTTGCACCGCAGCTGGCTCTCAAAAACGCGGTCGACGATGTAAAGGATTTTCTTCCGGTACTTGATCCCGTCCTCGTAATCCAGGATCGAGAAAATTAGAGCAACCGGGTGGATAACGTGCGCGCACACCATCTCGTGTATGAATTTCGCCAGCTCCTCGGGGAACTTTTCCTCAGATTCTTTTGGGTTCAGCAACTTCGATATTTGATCCAGCGAAACGTGCGTATTGATCACGGAAACGCATTCGTGTTGGCTGACAAAAGCCGCCATCTCGCACGCCGTTTTGCCAATGTTGTTTGTCGCTGCCGGATATGCGCCAAAGTCCATAAGAAGCCGGCATAGGTTAGGTTTGCCGGCCAGCGCTGCAAACATCAAAGGCGTGTACCCGTGTTCGTGTTTCTTGGAGTTGACATCTGCCCCGTGTTGCAATAGCAGCTTGCAGAGGTCCTCATTTCCTTTGTAGGCGGCCATCGAAAGTGGGGTCATTCCATTCTTGTCCAAGCAATTGACATCGATGCCCGCCTTCAGCCGCTTCTCCACTTCCTCAAACTGTCCCTTGTCGATGGCGTCGAAGATGTCCTGCGTTTGGGCGGCCATTTCGGATCCTGGAAACAAGGTGTTATCAAGTTTGTGAAGAGCTAAATAGTTAGGTTAGCTGACCCCGGCGGGTAGCGCCTAGCGGAAAAAGAGACACACAAAATGGCATAAAAGGCAATCCAAGAACGACGGCACAAATGGCCAACCCCCACTCTCAGCCCCGCAAACCACTCTCAAGCCGAATTAGTAAAACGGAAAACACGGTTAAGAGTTAAAGAATCTATTAGGGAATCGCGGGACGGATTAGAAATGAGGAAAAGGACTAGAATTTACAGAAAGGGGAAAGGTTACGAAAGATAAAAGTATTAGTGGGGCGAAAGTGGAGATTTTAGGCCGAAAGCGGCACGAATATACAGGAAAAACTGGGAAAAGACGAGCACGGCCAATCAAACAGGCCAAAAACGGCAATGTGCCGGGAGGGGCGAGGGGCCAGGGAAGAGGGACCCGGGGATGGGGAAATTCCAATTCTCGCCAGGCAAAAGGGAAAACCGTGCGGCTCTGCCTTCGGTGAGCGCGCGCTCTGTCCTTGGCGCCTGTATCGCGGTGTACTCGAGGCGAAAGGGGGCACCAGGAAATAGAAAGAAAGTATTTCAGAAATAAAAATATTAATAAACCGATCTAAGGTCCAGTATTTTGCTCCTATAGCAACCGGCTACCACGCACTGCCAAAATCGTGACTACTCGTCCTCGTAAGCTGCTCAACAAGTCCCGAGACACATCGATTATGGCATTATCTATTCCGGAGATGAGTCTGGAAGATGGTTTCCGGGACAACTCCACGCAGCCTTATATGTAGTTTGTCGGGCGGTTGGCTATTTGCCAACCAGGGGGTTCTCCCCGACCACGGTGTCTTCACCAAGACATCGATTCCAGTGTTTCAAGCTTCTGCTTATCAAAACGGGAAGTACTAATGAGAATTAGGAATACTAGGCTTGCCGTAAGTCGCATAAGCAAGAGGAAAGCAGATAAGGTCGATGTTGAAGCTTGAGAAAGCCACGAAGTTTTTGAGGTTTGCGCATTAATGGAAGATTGCGTTTTCGCTAGTAATCATACCTTTTATTAGTGCGTCAAAGATACCTTTTTAATCACAATAAACGGTCAAGTATGCCCAGAATCCATACTCTCATGTTTCGATCATTTCGCAGTGAGTCGTCCCTTTAGTGCTAGATCAATAGTTCAAATCAGAATTTGCATCTGCCCAAGGAATGATAAGACAACTAGTGCATTCGATTGTTAGAATTGGCTTTCAAAAAATACATTTCTCGAGCTCTTTGTTCTAAAGATTTTCAAGTTCCGCACGCTGCTTTTGACGAAACGAGCGTGTAACCTTGTCGCTCCCTTGATTAGTCAGCTGTGTTTCCCAATACCTGTCATAAAGCTTCCCTTATCTCGTTATCTATTTACTTTCCGCAATGTTTTCTCTTTCCAAAGTTGTCGATCGATTCAACCATTCCTTTTAGTGGTAGCAGCCGGATGGCGAAGAGATTCGAGCGGTCTCTAGCTGCGGCCACCGACCCGAACTCGCTGGACACCGACTGGGATGCGGTCCTGGATTGTGTCGACCAGATTCGAGGCGGCGAGACAAAGTAAGGGTTGAACCTTTAGATAAGTATCAATTATTTATATTTATTGTGTATTTTTAATTATCATTTTCAGGGCCCGCGAGGGAATGTCCACCGTCCTCAAGCGCCTCGCCAGCGACAACCCGCACGTTCAGCTTCACTGTTTGATCCTTTTGGAAGCGATGGTGAAGAATTGCGGCAAGAAGGTTTGTCATATTTTTTTTGCTGATAATTTTCTCCAGGTTCATTCCGAATTGGCCACTCGTGAATTCATGGAAGGCGTGAAGAATCTGGCGATTGAGGCCAAAGCCGAGAAAGTCAAGAACAAGGTGCTCGAGCTACTGCAATGTTGGGCGATGGCGTTTGCGAACAAGCAGGAGTACAAGATTGTCGTCGACACGCACAACCTGATGAAGCTGGCCGGTTTCGACTTCCCATCAGTGAAAGGTGGCTTTATGGAAGCTGAATTCAACTTTTTTTAGAATCCGACGCTATGTTTGCTGCCCAGGTGGCCCCAGAATGGGAAGACGGTCCCAATTGTTTCCGGTAACCTGGATTTTTGGTGATCAGGCCATCTTTTTTCAGTTGTCGTAACGAATTCGGCTTCTTGACCCGGAAACACCACTGTCGGGCGTGCGGCCAAATTTTCTGCGCCGGTTGCAGCAGCAAGGAGATGCTCTTGCCTCAATACGGTATTGAAAAGCCGGTATGGTAGCTGTATCGTCATTTTACATATTGTTTAGGTCCGCGTCTGCGACGGCTGCTTCGAGAAGGGCATCGGCGTGCCCCTCGGCAAGCAGGCGAGTTCAACGTCACGGGGCAAGGTGTGGTATATACGTTAACATTTTTGTGTGTGCTGCATGGTGTGCTGTGCTTTGTGTGCTTAACCTTTGTTCAAGACTGTCTTTCCCGCTGTCCGTGAACGGGAAGATTTGGCGTATCTGAACCTGGAGAGCCGGAGCCCGGGCCAGCAAGTTTCGAGCCGCCGCGAGCTGCCCTCTGGCCGACGTCGCGCGGCTTCAACGAATCGGGAGCCAAGCCTTTTCAAGAACGTCTTGCGTGGCCTGTTTGGGCTGAAACAGCCGGAGGTATGCGTCTTACTATCTGCTGAGCGACGAAATGTTCGGTTCTACAAACGACAGAAGACGGCTTGCATGTGTGTGTTTGTCGTTCGCTTTTTGTCCCTACTTTTTGCACGCGTTTTTTGCTTTTGGTTGAAGTCGCCCGCTTTTGTGCGTTTGTTTCCCATACTAGCAAATCTGGAAGTGCCGTGCTAACGCTCGCTTTTTTTTAAATGTTAAGTGCCTTTTTGAACCTCCTTTTAGGAACAACCGGCTACAACAGCCCCTCAAACTGCCGATCCGGAGAATGAAGAGCGGGTAAGAGAATTAATTCCCAAACTAATTTATATATATTTTTTTCAGGAGCGCCAGGCACGCCTGCAGCGAGAGAAGGACGAGGAGGAATACCAGCTGCAGATGGCGATGGCGATTTCGCAAAGTGAAGCCGAAGCAAAGGTATATTTTCCCTGCTCGATTTACCCCTTTCATCTAGGAAAAGGAGCGCGCTACCAGCCTGTACAGCTTCTACAACGGCGTCAAGGACCAAAGCGTCAACTCTCCGATGTCGACGCTCAATGACTCTGCCTCGATCGCCCCGTCGGAGAATATTGGCATCTACAAGGGAGCCGCCGATGTCGTGCGAGGTAAAGATTTTAATGGAAGCTATTTTTATATCTGTTTATCTTAGAATCACCATCTGAAAACTCGCTGAATGCCGACGATCCCCTGGCTCGCTACCTGAACCGCGACTACTGGCAGCAGAGGAAGGAAAATGCCGACGAAAAGGTGGAAAACTGGGAGTTCAACCCTTCGGCGCCACTCCCGAGCGAGCCTTCCCTCGGCGGCGGTTCGTGTGCCCCAACGATTCGCGGCAGTCCAACGAAGGATTATGGTGAGTGGAATTTTTCTTTTGTTTTCTATCTAAGATGATAAGACGGAATCCGATCGGGCTCAAATTTGAATGGAAAGGCTGTTGAACATTTCTCTATCTTTAAAATGGCTTCAGTTCGTTGAAACGGGAACTGCCCAATGCCAAAGTGATCTGCAGTTTTCAGCACCAATAGGATACATGAAAACCAGCCAAAGGATAAGCATCCTCAGTTCTCTATTTGTGCCAATTTTGAGCCCGATCCGATTACAGGCCAATTTCACTTCACGTGTTACCCTTCTATTTCCAAAAATCTAGTTTTTTTTTCAGTTTACCCTGTTTCCGCCGAGCCCAGTGCCGACGACGACACGCTGCGCAAGGTCGAAGAGACCAAGAAGTTTTGTGCGGATGTCAACGAGCAGGTATATTTTGTGTAATTACTTTGCTGTAACCAAATTTTGTATGCAGTATTTATTAATCGGGAAATCCCGGGATTTAACGGCGGGTTCCGTCCTCGAAGAAGACTCCTCCGTCGAGGGCACAGTACTTGGGGCAGATTCCGCGCTCTCCCTCGGTTCCCGAGTTGCCAGAGTTTCCAGCGGGGCCGGGGGTTCCATCGTTTCCGGGCTTGCCGGGGGCTCCGTTGGGTCCCTTGGGTCCAGGCTGTCCGTACTTTCCTTGGCGTCCAGGGCTTCCGGCAGGTCCGGGGGGTCCGGCGGATCCGGCGCTTCCAGGCTCTCCGGGGGCTCCAGGCTGGGGTCCCTTACTCTCGGCCTCGGGTCCGGCAGGACCAGGGGGTCCAGATGGTCCGTTGCGTCCAGGGTGTCCGGGCTGTCCCTTGGGTCCGGCCTTTCCGGGCTCGCCGTCAGGTCCCTTGTTTCCGGCGGGTCCGCGGGGTCCAGGGTATCCGGGAGGTCCGGGGGGTCCTTGGGCTCCAGCATCTCCAGCGGGGCATGGCTCGCATGGTGGCGGGGTGACGGGCTCGCACATGTGGTTGGGGGCACGTCCGGGGTTTCCGGGCATACCGGGAGATCCGGTGCGTCCAGGGCGTCCGGGCTTTCCGGGGGTTCCCTGGGGTCCGGCGGCTCCGGGCAGGCAGCAGCCCTCGCACTGCGAGGCTTGACGGGCCACACGGGTCTTGTTCATGACGAGGGGCTCGGCTCCCATGTGGTAGACCTGGAGATATGGATTAATTGGGGGTTTTATTGGTTAACACTAACGAGAAGCCTCTACTCCAAATTTTTTTTGAAGGGCTTTCGGAAAATCGGGAATTGGCTATGCCTTGAAATTTAATATGATTTTTTTGAGAATATGTGGGTGTCGTGCCGGCGCAGCTGTTTAGAAACCTTATAAATATTTGAAATTGTGAAGAACAAATTACTAGCATTTTTTAACCATAAAAACTGAAAATTTTCATTTAGTTATATCGAAAAAACGTAGAAAGAATTTATAAACGACGATTGCGCTTCTACGGTCCCTTAGAATTTCGAGCAAGGTTCTGGTCATTCTGAATTGCTACCCACCTCGGTCCAGGTGTCCTTAACCTGCACACGGCACTTCTCCATCTCAACTCCGACCTGCTTGCGCATGTGCGACATGTAGTTGTACATCTAAAAAAAGATTTTGGAATTATTTTTGTTTTGTTTTAAAACACAATTTTGAACGCTGTTCCCTACCATGGGCATGGTGATGCAGATGGAAAGAACAGCGACGGTCGAGAAGCCGATGGCGGCATAACCGACGAAGCGGTACGCCTTGATCTTGGAGTCGATCTCCATGACTGGAAGAGCTGGATGCTGGCACCCCAGGCCGGGCCGTTCCTTTTATACCCCCGGTGCGCTGTGGGGCCAGACCCTGGTGGCCTTGTCTTTTTCATGAGCTCTCAGAACTAGCGGCTATCCTTTCGGGGCATTTCTTTTTCTCGGCGCCTCTAGTCTCGACTAGCCATCACCTTTTTTCCATTTTTTGCCTGCCCCCTTTTTCCGTACATTCCCCTGGCGGGGCCGAGATCGCGGGGGCGTTTTTCATCCCGGGCATTGCCGTTGCCCCTGCGGTGACCTCCAAAATCTCACCCGGGATCCCGCTCGGATTTAGCACACGGCGGGTCGGATCGGCACCCGGGTTGTTCGTGGCGAGGTGATAAGGAAGCTAGTTTGGTACGGGAGTACGGTATTTATGAGTTTGGTTTTCTGCTTCCGGGTCGCGCGAAAATAGAACCGGAGTGTGGCTTGAAGTGCCTATTACGCTCCAATTAGTCAGAGGGGTAAATGAAGGAAATATGGAAGGTAGGGAAAGGAAAACTTTTTGGAAAAATAATATAGGGGCATCGAGGAAAGAAAGAAAGTAGAAAAGTCCAATAAAAGAAATTAGGAGTCTAAGGTTTGTTCACTGACAGTACGGTGTTCTTGTGATTTTTTGGCGTCCGGTTTTGAAAAAAAATAGAATTGCGTAGTTGCCTGATCACCTAAAGGTAAATAAACGCGGTGAAGTGATGACAAGAAAGAAACCTAAAAGATGCGAAAAACGTTTATTTCTCTTTTTTTTTCAGGTGGAATCGATGGAAAACCGCATCCGATCGAACGTGGCGCGTGGCCGTCCCGTCTACACGGACACGGCTATCCAGGGCATCTACATGCGCCTCACCGAGCTGCACTCTCATGTGATGGGCCGGATGAACGAGCTCGAGCATCAGCGAAGTAAGTGGCTCGCCATTTTTCAAATTAGTTTTTTTTGCAGTGTATTTCGAATCGCTGCAAGACAACATCTCGCACATCTCCGAGGCTCGCGCTGCCATCACGGCGTTGCGGTGTGTTTTTGAAGCTATTTTTGTTATTCCCTCTTTTCCTATTCTCGATAGCCAAAATGACTATGGAGGTGTATAAAAGAGGAAAAGTGTTCATTTTTGTGTATGGCTCTAGGGTCATGTAGTAAATTACGGACAATTTAAGCCCATCACGAACAATTAGAAATCTTTAAGAGCTCGCCAATTTTATAGCGAAACTCTCTACGCTTGTAACATCGTTTTTTAGAGATGAGGAAGAGCGGAAACGAGCTGAACTTGCTGCTGAGGAACAGCGTCTCCGACAGTCTCAGATGCAGCACAAGCTGGCCGCGATGCGGCAGCAAAAACATGTTGGTTTTGGCTTGCTTTATCATGTCTTCTTTTTGTTTTTGATTTTTGAGAGTCATCGAAATTCGGGTTTTTAGGACATGCTGATGTCGCAGCGCGAGCTGGCTATCCAACGCTTCCAGCAGCAAGAGGCCGAGATGGCCGCCCGCCGTCAGCAGTTGTACCAGCCGTCCGGTGGCTACGGAGCTGTTCCGCCGGGCGCCTATGCATACGGCCAGGTCCCGACCAGCCAGTACCCTCCCGGCCAATACGCACCACCCGCTCACCCGTACGGCTACCCGACGCCCAGCAACCCGGCCGGCCCGAGCCCGTATCCTGGTGCGCAACACGTGCCCCCGGTTTACCAACAGGCTCAACCCGTCAACGGCGCCTCACCCTATCCGCCCCAGCAGCAACAGCAGCAGGGCGCAATTCAGGATCCGGCACGGGCTCAGGCGCAGGTAATTTTTTTTAAATGTTCTGTATGAAAAGCAACTATGCGAAAATGGTATTTTTCTGCGTGATTTCGGGAAAATTCAGCATCCATTTTTTTGAACAGGTGGCTTTTCGAAGAGATAATTTTTTGATGGGTGGTTTTTGAACAGATTGAACAGAACAATTTTTGGATGGGTGGTAGGGCCGATTTTGTAATATAATTTTTCTTGATTAGGAATGTTCCTTGCCTTCAGGTGCACCACCAGAATGGCGTCTACACACCTCCAGTCGCCCAGCCTCCCACCCCGCAGCCTCATCCCCATCAGCCGGCCTATCCGGCCACCAGCGCCCCTCCGCCCGTTGCCCAACAACCTCATCAGGCCCCGGGCTATCAATATCCTGTATGCATGCAACGTCCGCTGAAAAATCTTTTGTTTGTAGCAGCAACACTACGACCCGAACGCCCAATACAATCAGCACTACTACCAGCAGCAGCAACAGCAGCAGATTTATCAACAGCAGCAGGCTTACGCGCAGCAGCAACAACAACAACACCAGCAGCAGCCCCACCACCCCCAGGCCACCTATGCTCAAGCCCCGCCCGCAAGCCATGGTGAGGAATTTCATGCTTGGATAATTTGACAGAATTAGGACGTTACAGATTTTGTTTAAATTCTGAAAATAAAGATTTTCCGTTCTGAAATGGCCAAATTCCGAGCAAAATTTGAAAATTTTTGATCTTTGTTGAAGCGCTCTCGACGGTCCCCCTTGAAATATACCTAAATTTTGGTTAAGTGTATCATTAAAGAGGCATTTGTGGAAAACATGCCAAAAAATTAGGCATATTTCACTTTTTTCAGTCCCACACGCCATGCCCGCCGCCGCCGCTACCTCATCCTCTGTCGAGACGGCCATCCCGGAGGCGGCTCTCATCTCGTTCGATTAATGCCATTACGTCCCATGCACGCCTCTCACTTCCCTCCAACTTCATGTAACCAAAGTATAGTTAGAATTTTAACGTTAACTTGTCCCTCGCCTCACTTCAAGTTATATAATACTCGGTTCTTGGTGCGCATGCTGCTGCTGCTATTCGAATGTGATAATAGCCGATGATTCCGATGTGACTAGTTTTTTATGGGTTCGTCTCTCTCTTCCTTCTTTCTTTTTGCAATTGTTGAATATACCATCGGCACATGTACTTCTTTGATATGGATAAAGATTATAAGAAATGATTTGTTGACGTATGGGTGCTATGCGGCTGTGGTCAAAGTTTATTGTACGTACATGCACGTAATCTTTGCAATTCCTGAGTTTGAGTGCGAGTTTTAAAGTTATTGGGCCGTTTAGCGTCTCGTCGTGCCGTCCTCGAAGAAGACGCCGCCGTCCAGGGCGCAGTACTTGGGGCACATTCCCTTCTCACCGCCGACTCCGGCCTCTCCATCGCATCCGGCCTTGCCCTTCTCTCCGTCGTCACCAGGTCTGCCAGGGTTTCCAATGGGTCCTTTCGGGCCGGGGGCGCCGTCCTTTCCGTCGGTTCCATCGAGTCCAACTTCTCCTTCGGGTCCTTGGGGTCCGGGCTCTCCGGGGGGTCCAGCGGGTCCTTCTTGGGGCGCCTTATCTTCTCCAGCGCTTCCATCAGGTCCATCCGGTCCGGCGTTTCCAGGGCCTCCAGGGTGTCCGGGCGCTCCCTTAGGTCCAACCTGACCAGGCTCTCCGTCAGGGCCAGGGTTTCCGGCGGGTCCTGGGCCTCCAACATCTCCAGCGGGTCCAGGAGCTCCCTGGGGTCCGGCATCTCCAGCCGGGCAAGGCTCGCATGGCGGCGGTGTCGCGGGCTCGCACATGTTGGTGGGAGCGCGTCCGGGGTTTCCGGGCATTCCTGGGGATCCGGAACGTCCGGGTCGTCCAGGCTTTCCGGGGGTTCCCTGGGGTCCGGCGGCTCCTGGGAGGCAGCAGTTGTTGCACTGCGAGGCTTGGCGAGCCACACGGGTGTGGTTGGTGTTGAGGGGTTGGGCTCCCATGTGGTAGACCTAAATTATTTAAAAGTTTTTTTTTGTTGCAGATACTATTCAAAAGATCCTTTAGATAGCTACGATTTATCTTTAGATACTTATTTATTAATTGAAATTTTCCTACCTCCGTCCAGGTGTCCTTAATTTGGGCCTTGCAGTGCTCTAGGTCGGCGTGCGCGTGCTGCTTGATGGTTCCCATGTAGTTGTAGAGCTGAAAAATTTGGTTTGCTATTTTTAGCTTTTAAAAAATAGTTTTAGCTAGTTTTTTTGCCGCTGGACGGCTAGTTTAGCTTTCATCTAGGTTTTTTTTTCACATTTCTGGTTTTTACTTTAGAATTCAAAACTTAAAGCTCAACTCACCATGGGCAGCATAATACAAATCGACACGATCGACACGGTGGAGAAGCAAACAGCCGCGTAGCCGACGAAGCGGTACGCCTTGATTTTACTGTCGATCTCCATGGCGGCCGGGGCTTGACGGAGGGAGAGTCTTGGCAAATACCAACCTGCTTGCCCTTTTATCTAGTTACCTGGCCCGGCCAAGACGGATCGGCCTCAAATCGCACTTCACTTTCTACCGCGAGCCCCGCCGCTTTTTCTCTGCATTACAGGACCACGCGCGCGCCCCGATATCCCTTTTTTTGGAACGGGCTCGCCGGTTTTTGGGCGCTGAAAAACTTTCTCTCTCTCGTTCATAGCTGCCATTCGGGATGCGGGCGAGCTGCGGGGGGGAAGTAATGGTATCAGTCTGCCCCGCAAGCAAGCGAAATAGCAGGTGCGGGTCGTTTATCCCTACAGATAGCCTCGAAAAGCGTTTTCTCAAGGCCGGAAATTTGTTTTTGGGACTGCATACCATGAATCCGAGCTTAACTACCAAAACAAAATTTTGGTGTGCGGAAAATGACTGATTTTTGGTTCTAAAGTAAGAGAAAAACTGATGAAGCTGATGAAGCTTGGCTTTTTAGAATAAAATTTTCCTTTTATTGAAAATCTTAAATAAGTTGGTTATGTCAGACCCGTGCTACGCGTGGACCTGATTTACGCTGAGATACACGCAGTTGTAGATAGGCGTCAACGTAGAATCTTCGTAAATTGCGCAAACTTTAGTCGTTTTTAACGATCCGGTGTCTATAGTTTGTGCATTTTTTTGTATGAGGAATTAAAGCGTACAAGTTTATTACATCGAGCAAACGAATTAACGTCGGGTTCCGTCCTCGAAGAACACTCCTCCGTCGAGGGCGCAGTACTTGGGGCAGATTCCGCGCTCTCCCTCGATTCCAGAGTTGCCAGAGTCTCCTTTCGATCCGGGCTCGCCGTCCTTTCCGGGCTGTCCAGCGCCTCCATCGGGTCCCTTCGGGCCGGGAGCACCATAGTTGCCGGGCGGGCCATCGTTTCCGGGATATCCATCAAGTCCGGGAGGTCCGGCGGGTCCGGGCGGTCCACGAGGTCCAGGCTGGTACTTGCTCGATTCGGCGTCAGGTCCAGGAGATCCAGACTGTCCGGGGTGTCCATTGGGTCCAGGTCGGCCGGGGGCTCCCTTGAGGCCAACTCCACACGGGGTGCCCTCGGGCCCCTCATTTCCGGGAGGTCCAGGCGGTCCCTGGTCTCCCCTGGTGCCGGGGGGTCCTTGGGGTCCGGGTTCTCCAGCAGGGCAAGGCTCACATGGTGGTGGGGTGACCGGCTCGCACATGTCGCTTGGCGGGCGGCCGGGGTTTCCGGGCTGTCCAGGAGCTCCATTCTTTCCGGGGGTACCAGGTTGTCCGGGGGTTCCCTGGGGTCCGGCGACGCCGGGAAGGCAGCAGCCGTTACATTGAGAAGCCTGACGGGCGACCCTGGTGCCGTTGGTGGGCATATCCTGTGTGCGCATGATGGATACCTAGAAATTGTTGCTTTGATTAGATTGATCAAGTCATGCTTCTAATTGATTTCGGTGTCCTAAGATTATGGATATTTAAAAATTTGTATTTGTTTCAAGAAAGCTACTGCGTGACCTTGTAGATGTTCATCGACTACTAGGTATTTTCTAGCACCCACCTCAGTCCAGGTATCCTTGATGTCGGTACGGCACTTCTCGGTCTCGATCTCGATGTGACGGCGCATCGTTTGCGAGTAGGAGTAGATCTAGAATTATAATTTGTACTATTGGATGGCTAAAAGGTACTAAATCGGGCGCTACTTCAAATTGATTTTCTCGGGTTTAACTCTATCCAATTTCGCGGAAAACAATATCATCTACACACTCACCATCGGCATCGTGATGCACACACTGATGACCGTAACCGCCGAGAAGCACACGGCCGCATAGCCGACAAAGCGGTAGGCGCGAATTTTCGCGTCGACGTCCATGGCCTCAGGTGACTGAAGTACACAGTCCCGGCTCGCCCCGCTGCCTCGGTTTGCCTCTTTATGGGCACGGCCCAGATCCCCCAGCGCCCACCGGCGCGGCGCGTAACCTTGACTAGAACCCCTGGCTAGCATTCCTGCTCGCCCACGGTTCTGCCGGTGGTTCGTTGGCGGGGCTGAACAGCGTCAGCGGGGGTCTCTTCGCTTTTTTTTACTCTTTTTCATTAGCAACACCGATATCCAAAGGGATATCCCGGCTTATCAGTTGCCGAATTGTTTTTCCGTCCTGTTTTTGCGGGTGCCAGACCCATACCGGAGGTGGAGGTCTCTCGACGGCTCCCTTTTTATGGAAGGGAGAAGAACGCGGCATTCGCGCGGCGACCCCCGTTTTTTTGAGTAGCCCCGACTGGAGAGATCGGCATGGGGAAGTGATTACTACTGGGAAGTGGGCTTGAACTCGGATAAAACTCGTGAGGAAAGGTAGTAAAAACTGTACCCATGACGGGAGGGTATGGGGAGAATGGCAATTAGGTTTAGCTATTTTTAGAAAAATAGAAAATGAAAAGAAATCTTAAACGAGAGGGCTGGAAAGAATAGTTTGTCTGCTAGCTATTTGTAGAACATAGAAAACGAAACGAAGTCCAAAAAACGAGAGGGCCCAAAAGAATAGAGTTTACTTTTTAGCTATTTTTAGAAAAAAATTCTCAATGAAACTTTTTTAGATGTCCGCCTCGGATTCTCGCGCACCAAAACAAGGCTACCCACGCTTCTTGGAGCCAATCATCCAAGATACAGATCAAAATCCGGTAATTGCAATCGTTTCACTAAATCAAAACCTAGGTGGTCTTGTACACCAAAGACAAGTGTGAAGAGTCCAAGAAGGCACGCGGCGTATTGAAGAGCGAGAAGATCAACTTTGTAGAAAAGGTATTTTATTTCTCTGCAACTGGCAATTTTCAGAACGTCGACACTCTAACGAAAGAAGACGCTAAAAAAGGGAAAGACTACGCGCTGGGACTTCGGGTAATTACGCAGAGCCGCGTTTACCCGCAACTATTTGGTGAGCGGAATCCCCATTCGCTTCCAATATAATTTTTAGTCTGCGGTGACCTGGTCGGCGATCTGGCCGAGCTCGAAAAAACGAAGACCTCGTTGAAGGAGATGGTATCGCAGTGCGCCGGCATCCGGAAGAAGCGGAAAGAAGAGGCGGCGAAGAAGTCTGTGCTCGACCCGTTGTAGGAACCCTGGCTCTTGGCCCTGGTGCTCGAATTCGTAGAATAAAAATATTTGTAGAAAGGGAGAAAGCGGAATCTGGTATTTGGCCTCATATTTACTGCTGCATTGCCTGTGATATTCCACTAACCTAATTACTAGCCGCCAGAATGGGTGGCTCCTACGCGAAGCCGAAGCAAGATCTACCCAAATGTTGCGACACCATCGTCGAGGAAGTACGCCACAACCCGGTAAATTTATTTGTCAAAACCAGCGCCCAACACCCGCTTCGCGGGTTGGGCGCTGGAATGCGGCCTTTGCATGAGAAATTTGGCTTTCCGATAGCCTGGGTCTTTCGGACCCCCCCAACCGACCACACACGCGAGCGCAACTTGCAAGAATGAGGAAATTTCTATTTTTCACATTATGCAAATTAGCCTTCCAGGACCCCAAAAATGAATAAAACCGGCTTTAACTTTGTAAACTTATATTTTATCGAAATTCTGAACACGCCATCGGAAACAGAAGGGTCGACTCCCCGAAGTGACGGAGAATTGGGACGTTTTGGACACGGGAAGGCCCTCAAATCGGGCATCGAAACTGACATCCACACACACACACAAAGATACACGCCCAAATTATATAAGGTAGGATTATAGTTCCTTTCAGGTTATGATTTACACGACTTCATCGTGCGGCTACTGTACGATGGCGAAAGATTTGTTCAAGGAAGAGGGGATTGACTATTTTGAGCGGGTTTGTTTCCCAACGTTTTCGTAAAAGTTAGTTTAGGATATCGAAGCGCTGCACAAGGTTAGCCCCGCCATGGCCACGGAATGTGTGAGAGGGTTACAAGTTATCACGAAGCGCTCGACGGTGCCCCAGATTTTTAGTAAGTTTCTGGTCACCTTAGTCACGATTTTCCTATTTAGTTTGCAAGGACTATGTCGGCGGCTACGATGCGCTGCTGGCCTCGCGAGCCCGACTGCACGATATGGTGGCCAAATGCGTGCCCAACCACAAAAAGCCGACCCGACCGCAATTGTGATCAGCTGCTACGTGTATTTTACGAGTTCAAATACTAGTGATTGTGTCTTTGATGGGTTTTTAGATGTTTTAAGATAGACTTGATCGAATAAATACTAACTATGTCGAAATGTGCTCGCTATTTGTGGGTTGAAATCCCAAGAGTTTCAAACAGAGGAAAAATTGTACATTTTTGCGAAAATCTTTTAATTTTCATTATATTACATAAACAAAACTATTCAACGATTGCTATATTTCTCTAATATCGCTGTCCTCGAGTTATCTCTTCTGGCGATTGCCAGAAAGATAAAAGGTGTCTAGGATACCCTAATGTCGCAGAATCGCGGCAGGACCTCACAGGTCGACCTGACCGATTCCACTGCATTCTCTTCAGTTTTTTCTCTCGATTATCTGGATTTTCTCGTTTCAATTTCTGTTTTCGCGCCAACTCGCCACAAATTTCGTAATTTCTTGCGCCAGTTTGGACTAGCGGGAAGCGCATTCGAAATATTGCTCTCCAGTTTCCGTTTTTTGGGCACCTGGGTCGTGGGCACATGCACTCTCGACTTCTGGCCTCTATTCGCGCGCCCCTCCTTCTCGCCCCCAATGTCAGGGTAACCCCCATGCTTCAGCTGGAAATTGAGACCGCTTAGCCCCTGCCCGCAGCTGGTTCCAATCCATACTTTTTTGAAACTTTCGATAGATATAACGATATGCTCTTGCTTTATAAACTTTCCGTTTCGTGCTTTCTACGTTCGTGAAGCTAGAAATTTACTATTTTCAGATGTCGTTCCGGCGATCAGACGTCACACAACCTACCGGCTCCGTTCAAGATGAGGAGGCCACGATGAAGCTCTTCAATGGCGCCGAGGTCCCTCCATTCCGGTAATTATTTTCCCTAGCTTGGTCATCGTTAGAAACTATGTCTTTTGACTTCAAAAGTGCCCTTTACGGCTATAATTCTTCTTTTGCAGTGGCCTCGATGACTTCCTTTTGGAATCTGCCCGATATGAGGTAGTATTCTCTTATTTCTTCGAATTAATTTTGATTTAGCGACCACCGCTCAACGATCTGACTCGGTGGAACAACAGGATCATCGCCAACCTGCTCTACTATCAAACCAACTATTTCTCGATGTCCCTCCTGATGATCGCCCTTTTCTCGTTTGCTTACGGAAAGGTTTACCGCTTTGTTTTATCCAAAATGTTTTCTAGGATTTTGTTCTCGGGCTCTTCGCGATTTGCCTCGTTGTGGCGGCCATTTTCTTCAGTCTTTCACCGCATCCGCGTATCCACGAGGTATACCTTTCGGTAACTTTCAATTATTGGGATTTAGCTTCGGAAAGAGCACCCGCTGGTCACGCTGGGCGGCATCGTGGCTTCCGCCTACCTATTCATCACATTCCTCCCGTCGGTCGTTGTGGTGAGTTTTTTTATGTAGAACGAAATAAAAGTTTTTAGATCGTCTTCTCGACTCTGGCCCCGACCTTCATATGTCTTGTCCACGCGTCGTGCCGTCTCCGCAACCTCAAGAACAAGGTATAATTTGTCTTTGCTGCTTTTGAAACTTATTTTTTTCAGACCACTCAGTTCCTCGAGCGCGCCGGCCTGCGAAGGACGGTGATGGGGCAGTTGATCGACGTCGGCGGCTTCAAGATCAAGACCACCTAAAGCGATTCGGGCAGTTTTTTACATTTTGTATCCCCTCATTTTCTCTCTGCCACCTTCTGTGTTTATTATGACCCCCCCCCCATGTCAAGGCCAAATGCTTCACCGGTACGGTTTCCCCTCGAAAACACGCGGTCCCTTATTCCACTATATGCATAATGTCTGCCTTTTCACTTTTCTGACTGTCGGCCTCTATCTGCCCATTCATGACTCCCGCCCGGTTTTAACGTAGATAAATTGCTTATGATCCAATGTGCCCTTTCATGCCTTGATGCATTCCAGTTGCATTGCGCGGTGATGAGAACGGCAGCGGGCCCTCGACAGTCTTCCGCGATCGGCTGCAAATTGTTTGCGTTGGCGGGCCATCAGCACCAAATAGTTGATGATCAATTTCGCCTGCACGCTTCGAACTCTGCAAATGGATGTTGCTGGCGATATTCAAAATGTGGGGGCAATTCTTTGCAATGGGGCTGGCAGCCCCGAGCGGAATTATTGTAATCCAGCCGCGCGTCACTCCGTCGGCAAATAAGCAAACTCAGCAATGGGGAAGGCGCTTCTTCCCATTCTTTGCGGGCCGCCCTGTTTACCGAGGCCAGCTCGAATTATTTTTCGGCGGCGGCAATAAGTTGTCCGGCTTTTTTGGAAGTTTCTTTTGTTTACACGGTTATTGTATCGTTTATGGCGTTATTATTTTCTTGGAGGCTATTGGTTTAGCAGTTTAGGAACGCGTAATTTTTCTGATCATTTCACTTTTTTTGACTATAAAGGCAAGCCTTTTAGCAGGGGAAAACTTAGTTTTTCTATGTTTCTTTAAACGCCGAGGAATGCGCTTTAGAGATTTTAATAACATTTTGCGCTTGTTGAGATATAAAATGTAACAAGGTGCAAATTAATAGCATTTTGCGGATTTTTGGCCTCCTCAAAAATTTATTCTCCAATGCATCAAAAATGGTAGAAAGGTCAAGAAGGTTTCTATAACTATCGGAATCTGCTAAAACACTATAACATAGTGTATTTTTTTGATTACTCTGGGAAGTTAGACTCGCCCCCCCGCTAACGAACCAGAACCCCAAAATCAATAGTGCTATTTTTTCTAGAAATTCGATTTGGGCTTGTTCCTTTGTAGTAACCGGGCCCGGTGATGGTGTTGGGCTGGTGACCGACTGACTATCCTCGGGCTGGCTAAAGGCGAGCATTTCGAGTGGTCAGGGGCGTCTTCTCGAGAAGTTCGACACTGGGCCTCCCACCCATCAGCCAACCAGCCAACCGTCCTCTAAACAAAACGCGAGAGGCCTCCTTTCCACCCTGAGCTCATCCACGCGCTCGCGGCTACATACACCTCCTTCCGGTTGTTAGCCATTGATTAGGTGTTTTTAAAGGGGAAGCAGGATCTGGTTTCGAAATTCTATGCTTTAACGGTCTTTGAGAGGCGAATGCGCGTTCAGCTCTAAAGCTAAGTTACGCTCCCTTTAACACTTTGTTTGCCTATGTACTGATTGTCTAATACTCTAAAAATTTCCACGTCTTTTAAAGTAAGGAACAATTAGTCGTTACGATGACCATTACGATTACGTGGCGCTTCTTTCAACACGTACCTGGCATTCCACTGACCGATTTGGCGACACCTTCTTTAGAGTTTTTGTACATTTTTCTGCTTCCTGAAGCTCTAAAAATGCCATTAATACATACAAAAAGGGCTTGCAACTTTTTGACAGCGCTACACTACGCTGCTTTTACCGTCTTGCCTCTTTTCTCATTCATAATCCTGTTTACGCTACTTTTAAAGGCATGGAAAAGTGAAAAAATGTGTCGGGACGTGAACAGGAGTGTAACGTTTTCCAATAAACTATGGGGAACTGACGGTTTTAGCGTCTGGGTTAGACGCTATTTAAGAAATCATAATTTTCTGTTTTCCTGTTTAAACCTTTCCTTTACAAAAGGTATCGAAAATTCTAGAAGATAGGAAAATTTGACTAGGACTCCCCGCTTTTTCCTCGCTTTGAGGAATTTTGGTTCGCAATTTTACTACTTTTCGAGTTTAATAAAATTACCAAAAGATCTTTGACTTCTCTTTTTTTGTGTGTTGAAGCTCCTCCCGACCTAGCCGATGCATGACGAACACGGCGATTAGTCAATCGACCCTCTTTTGCGGGCGGAATGTGGCTCCTTGGCCTCCTTGCAGTGAGGGTCGACTTGCCTGGAGGCGGCAACTGACTGTGTCACATCGGCGCTTAGGGCCCCCTTAGCGCCCAGCCCACGGCCCTCGATCCGTTCTCGCGCTCATTTCTTTTTCTTCTTCTTCTTCGCCTTGTTGCTCCTCCTCTTCGCGCCCTGCTACACCTCGTTGTAAGCCATGCTCACCCGGCCCGGGGTCTCCCTGGCTCATGCGTGAGCCCCGCTAAAATGTTTACGCTCTTCGCACTTGCGCGATTTTGCTGATTTTAGTCGATTTTGGTTCGCAAATGCCTAGTAATTAGAGGATAGCTTTTAACAAATTTTAGAACTTTTTTGTAGTGTTTTCTTGCACTTTTGGTTGTTTGTTTCTCCGAATCCGTTTTGTACGTTTTACGGCCTTTTAGGAATACAGTTGCGTGATTTTGTTTTATTTGTAGAAAATCGATTGCGCCAAATGTTTTTAGGGATTTTGCCAAATTCTGTTTTTTTTTTGTAGTCGCTTGCGGTTTTTGTACTGATTTTGTAGCTTGATATATTTTTGCAGGCTGTAATAGTATGTAGCGGACATTTTTGACGACCTTTTCAATTTTTAAATCTGACTATTTAGGTTAACGTGTGATTTTCTACTCGCAAAATCATTCAAAATTCTTTTTTTCCAATAGAAATTTCCATTTTTTTAGCGAAACCGGTTTCATGGTTCACAAAAATTCTAGTTTACGCTCGCTCGACTTTTAGGGCCAGAGTTGAGTCACAGGTCGGGCTCGCCGGGGTCGGGCAGCTTTTTTTGGGCTAAATCTCCCTATTATTACGGAGGTAGCCACACTCACGATACCCCACGCGCTACCAACAAGCCCAAAATTCAGGCGAAAATCGATCTAGCTGCGCTAAAAGTTCCAGGATTAAACTACCTGAAATACTTTGCGAATTTTGATGCATCCGGTGTACCGTGCTGGGTGGGTTTTTATAAGAATTTATAAGAACTTTTGGAATTCGAAATTTTTTAAAGAAGTTCTTTATTTTTAAATTATTAAGATTTTAAAGAATTTTTAAGGCAGCAGTTTTTAAAGCTGTTTTTTTTTTACTATTTTAGACATAAAAAAAATTAAAAATCGAAATTGAGGACTACAAAGATAATTTTTTTCGATTTCTTAGACTTTTCGACATATTTTGGACATAGTTTGCGCTTCAAACTAATTTGGTAAAAGCATCATTAAAATGGTGCCAGAAGTGCTTAAAAAGCGCCGTCTCACGAACTAAGGATAATTTCAACTGCTTTAGTTTTTTTTACGAAAAATTGAGAAAAAGAGATAGAGGACAATCATGCCAATTATCTCAAACGCAAAGTCGGATGAACTTCCGCTTTCTCTAGTGCCTTTGCGAAAAAGGGAAAGTTGCGATTGGCCATCACTCAAGTCGGGCCGGCCCCACCCCAGAGTCACTTTGGCCCCAAACCGCCGCGGACACTTGTTTCTTTTCAGTTATCGATTAGCCGGGGGGATTTGGGTCTGGATCACGGCTTTTCTTTTCGTAATTAGGTATCTAGGCGTTGGGCTGGACTACATTTTGATAGAACTATTTTAAAAACCTGCAAAAGGCCAGGAAATAGGGTAAGGCTCTAGTTGACCACCTCCCCCAAAACAGCCTCAAATTTAGCTATATCTTGCGTCCCATTTGTGCTATCGGGCTGTAAATTATACGAAGATGTTAGCCTTGTCCGGTTGAGTATCAATACGTAACTTTTGAGTCGAAAAACAACCAAAATCAAAATTTAGAGGCAGAAAAGTCGGGAACTCGATGCGGGGTCATTTGACCAATCTAAACATTTATCGATCAAACTCTAAAATCCATATAAAACGCATAGTCAGTAACGGCTATTTTCTTTCCCTACCGTCCGCTTCGAGTCGTCGTCGGCAATTTACGACCCGGCACTTACAATTTGCGCCACATGTGGCTCGCCGGGAGTTCGTTCAACCCCTCGATTTGAGGGAGGTTTTGGTCAGCGACTAGCCGCTCGAGCTTTTCATATCTTCAAACTGCTTTACGCCTAAAATGCGTCAGAAAGCGCCTTCTCCGGCTTCTTTTTTGCTGCACTGCTTGAAGACCTCGCAATCCTTTCTAATTGACGACCTTGGCTTTACCGTAGATTTTCTTCCCTGATCTGTTTACATCTATCTCCGTATACGTTTATCAATATCAACTATTTTTTTAGGAGACGGGTACATTTCCGGGAACGCGATCCGCCAGCGGCCATGGAGACGGTTACGGTGCGGATGTCGCGCGGCGACCGGACGACCCCGTGGGGATTCGGAGTCACTGAAGCGCCCAGTCGGGATGTTGTCATTGTTAATGTGGGTGTTTCTATAATATATTTATCTCTCTCCCTCCCTCCCTCCCTCCCTCCCTCTCTCTCTCCCTCTCTCTCTCCCTCTCTCTCTCTCTCTCTCTCTCTCTCTCTTTTCTCTCTCTCCCCCTCTCTCTCTCTCTCTCTCTCTTCTCTCCTCCCTCTCTCTCTCCTCTCTCTCTCCCTCTCTCTCTCTCTCTCTCTCTCTCTCTCTCTCTCTCTCTCCCCCCTCTCTCTCTCTCTCTCTCTCTTCTCTCTCTCCCCCTCTCTCTCTCTCTCTCTCTCTCTCTCTCTCTCCCTCTCTCTTTTTATTGTCTCCGATCTATTCTCCAAAGTGCCAGCAAACTTCTCTCGCATATTTTTTGCCTGCTCTGCCCTTGGTTTGCCTGTCGACATTCGACACCCTAGAAAAACGCCTCGGGGGAGAGGATTTGGGGCTTCGAAGTCGCGGAAAAACCAGAGTGAACTAAAAGCTACTTTTGACATTAAAACAAGGCGACGAAAATAGGCGCTGCTACGCGCATTAATGAAAATATTCGAACTCTTTGATCAGCAACGATCGAAAAATGAATCGAAAATCGAAAATCGAGATCGATAAATCGAAAAAAGTCCACTGTAACTTCCGGATCAATTTTTTCATATTCCGGCATTCCTTTGCACACGCAAGCTACGCGAACTACGCAATTGCAAATTGTAGCTTGTCGTGACCGGGGGTCTCTCATTTGACACGGCTTCTTGAGTGGACGATCCCCCCCCTGGGGGGACAAACATGCTCTTTGCGAGGCAAACCATAGGAATTGAGCGGGTGTAGGCTGGATCCTTGCTATCCCTCTCTCTCGCTCTGTCTCTCTTGCGCTCTCTCCCTCCAGCTTTCCAAGTTGCGCGTTGCAATTTTCTCAGGAAAAATAAAGCTAGAAACTAAAACTTGGGCAAATCAGTCTTAAGCTTAGGCTTAGGATTAGGCTTCGGCTTCGGCTTATGTTTAGGTGTAGGCTTAGGCTCAGGGTTCTGCTCATGCGCAGCCTTAGACACATGCCCAAACTTTCTTTAACCCTAAATTAGATGCTGCTCAATTTTGCGGGCGATAACTCGACCCTCGCTAACTGTTCATCATCAATCTCCGGCTCCCCGACCCGGGTCTCGCTGCTCGTTTTTATGTTCCGGCGTGGCCGGACGAGACGCCTGGGGATGAACTTGGCCAGGGCGAGAGTGTTGTGGTGTAACACGACGATGTGGCGGCGGGGAACCCCGGCGAAAAAGCCGCTCACCTAACACGCAAAAACTTGCATGAAAAATCACCTCGAGCTGTGGGGGTAGATACCGGGTGGGCTAGACGGAAATGAGGGATGATTTTTGAAAAATTGTGAAAGGGAGGAACAGCTTAAGCTTGGGCTTGGGCTTAGGCTTGGGCTTAAGCTTAGACTTGGGCTTAGGCTTAGGTTCAACTTTGAAGCGTCCAAAAATTCCTATTTTCAGGTTGTCGGCGGCTCCCTTGCCGACCGCGCCGGTCTGCGCAACGGCGATATTTTGGACGAGCTAGAGGGGTTGAGGTGAGCTGGCTGTCCAATAGCCAAAGAGAGAGAGAGAGAGAGAGATGCGAGAGAAAGAAGGAATTTTAGAAATCTCGACATTAACGCCACCGACCGGTTGCTCGTCACGAGTCGCGACAAGATCGAGCTGGTCGTGCACAGGTTTGATTTGTCATTTGAATTTGTTTTTTCTGGGATCTGGAAAGGTGCCAAGGGTCAAAATTAACAAAACAGACTTACTGGTAGCTGCGTGGTGCATTAACGAGTAGCAGTAAATCGAGAAAATGAAGAACGGCGGCACACAGAGTTCGAGCAGTTCAAGATTTCTTGAAGCTCTACTTCTTCAGGATAAGGGCTTTCAATAGATCCTTAAAAACTGGAAGTAAGCCTGGACACGAAGTTCGAGCAGTTCGGCATTTTGTGAAAATCTGGAATATCTTCTTTGATTACTGAATTCTGTTAATTTCGCAATATAGTGCTTTTTGACTGAAAGCTTGTCCTTTCCCCTCCATTAAGATCTCTGATTCCTGGTGCTTATCGCTCAGAACACCATTAGCATACGGCGGCGCCCTAGTGATGTGCGAGGCGCTAAATGATTAGGGTCTGGCTAGACCAGGAGAGCCGAGATTTGAGATTTTCACCTCCTCCGAATGCGCTCTCTTTGATTCACTCAACCATCGATTATGACAAATAGCGATTAAAGTCATGATTTTTGTCTTATTTTGGAGTGGCGTTTAGATGTCAAGACCTAGTCGAAGGGCAGTAGGTTCCAGCGCTTACTAGTCCCTTTAAAGGTACAGTCCGCTCTCGTTTGAATGGTCTAAGAACTTAGACAAATTGCGTTTTAGAATGCCAGGTTTTAGCGCTGTTTGACAAGTTTAGAAATAGGCTATATCAGGAAATTTTCTCAGCACGATTTTATAACCAAAAAGAAACACTGTTCTTTGCCCTTTTCGGCCTTCTTCTAGCCCTCAAAAATTCCTTCCGGAACAGCTTCCGTCCTTTGACCTCCCCGTCCAAACAAATTCCTGCCCGCAACCGGCGATTACAACTCGCATAAAACCGCTCGGCCTGCAAATTTTATGAGTTTCCTGAATTTTGCCCTGTTCGTTTATCGGCTGCTAGCACGGATTGCCATTCGCTTGATGGCCTTTTTTCAGGCCATGTGAACACAGTTTTTATCGCCAGAAACCGAGCGCGAAAATCTGGGGGGCTTTGGGCAGGATTAGCGTGCGGTTTTTGATATCGAGATTTTTTTTGGTTGGAGGCCAAGGGTAGGAAATGAAGAAACGTACTTACAAATGGAACGCAACATTTTTAAACGCAATGCTTTAACGTTGTATAAGTTGCCGTAACTATTTCACATTTTGGAGCAGAATTTTTCAATTTTTCGGTCGAGTTTGCGGCTGTAACTTTGCGAAAACACGACCGAATTTGCTGATTTTGGTATCTATGAGCACCTACCCCTTCAAATCTACCTTTCTGTATAGGCAAAATGCTGCAAAAAGACTTGTATGCAAAGATACAAGGCGTGAAAGGTTTTTTCCGCGTGGAAATCTGTTTGCAAACCAAATCTTTCTTCTATTATTTTTTTCCAAGCTCTAAGAAATTTTAGAAAATTTAGAGCAGTTTAAGAGCTAGAAATGACGCCACAAAACCATGAAAATAACGGCGCAGAAATTTTGTATGTTTTTGTAAAATTAGCTATAAAATTGTTTTTGGGTGTGATACCCGACTCGGAATGGACCTCCCTTCGGAGTTCTTCTCTCTTGAATAATTGCAGTTTTTTGAACAGAATTCTCCAAGATCGTCATTATTTGGCTTTTCCTTCAGCTTTTCCTACCGCTGAATCCAATTGACACCTCGGATATCGGATAATGTTTGCTCTCCCTCCCAATTGACCCTGCCAAGACTCATCCTGTTGCCTCAATTTCCTTTGGTTTTCCCAGCTGTCGACAGTAATTTTTAGGCAATATTTTTTTCTTCATTAAGTAAAACCATGTGTTTATTCCATAGGCCTCATAAAATATTCCTAGTAGAGTTACTTCTCTTATCTGGGGGTCCGATTTCTAACGACCCCATCATTTTGGCCGCCCCAAATGGTTGATGGCTTAGGGCATAAAGTTTCAAAGAGCACTAAATTGTTGATGGCATCAGGTTTTTGAGATAGTTTTGATCTTTTTGTACGCGCTAAATCAAGTGACGAATTTACGATGCCCACTTTTGAGATTAGCTTTCAAAAAGTCTTTCAGTTGAATTTTATCTGAAAATCAGGCGGGATACGGTATTTTCAGACGCTATATTTTTAGATCGGGATTTTCAAAATAGGGTTTTAAAATAATTTCATTAAATAGATGGGCAATAAACGCAAAAAATGCTATTTTTTGGCCACAATTTTTGAAAATTTTTGGCGTTCCGCGACGCTCCGCTCCGTTACGGCGCCTTACCTTCCGGTGTGTTTCGAGATGTCGACTGAATTTTCCTTACATTCCGTTAAATTCTATTCCATTCCATTGCGTTCCGTTACGCTCCGCAAGTTCCATAAGGCGCCTACAGACTCAAAATTAGTTTGGATTTCCCCATTTTCTTGCATCTTGCAATGCACTTTTCGTTCCGAGTAAAATTCCGTTATTTTCCGGTATCTTCCGGCATCTCCCGCTATTTTCTTCGTTTCTATAACACTACGTTAATTTCATACTTTTTTTGCGTTGCGTTACGGCATCCGGCATGATGCCCACTATATTCCGTAACATTTTGTTAATGCCATTATTCCATTATTCCGTTCCTCCATATCGCTCCGAACCCCTACTTCTCCCCCGTTCCTTTCTCCCTAAATGCTCATAATTTCATAGCGGATTTTCTCGGCCGCCACACACGCATCGAGGATTCACGTTCCCGACTGCCGATCTCCCATCCTCATCGCACATTTGCATCCGAGGGAGGCGAGAGAGGGAGAGTGAGAGCGGAGGGACAGTGAGAGAAAGAGGAGAGCAAGATTGGCGATATGGTGGCCGAGGTGGCGAGGATTCCCCCGCAACCGAAACAGCAGCAGAATCAACGAGCTCCCCCTCCTGCTCCCTCGTTGGGTCGTCAACTTAGCCCCGAGGAGGAGCAGCTGCGACGCGACATCTTTGAGGTGTACAATCAGCTCTGTATGGTGCAGATTACTTCGACGCCGAAGCCATGGTAAGTACACTTTCTAGCGATTTTGCGCACAGAATTACGGTATTTTTTGACGATTTTTCACTAATGCCACGCTCTTCTTTTTGTTTTACTGAACGCGTCGCGGGTGCGTTGCGTTTCCTGCTCGAATTTTCTTTACATTATTTGCAAGGTGTGAGAAGTCGGCTCAGTGCTATCCTGACCATTCCAGGCGTTCCGCTTTTTCTTTCCCGTGATCCGCCTCAATAAACTTGATTCGACTATCGGCTAACCAGAACGCCTCCTTTCCCCCGATACCGACCCCGTCCCAAAACATAAAAAAGAAGAAAACAGCTGAAAAAGCTGGGGCAGCCGGGGGAGTCGGTGGATGAACCGAAATCCGCATTGATAGCTCTATCTCTCTCTCTCTCTCTCTCTCTCTCTCTTTCTCTCTCTCGCTCTCTCTCGTTCCTTCCCTCTCTCTCTCGACTCACAAAATTGGGCCACAAATACCGGAAAGTCGCGTACAAACTGGCTGTCACACACCGGATTAGACGATTCGCTTAGGGCGCGAAGCTTTTGCCCATTTCCCGCACTTTCGCCCGATTATCGCAGGATTTTTGGATCAGCTTCACCTCAGCTGAGAATTTCTGCGTTCGCTATTCCGAATCTACCATTGTTTGACTTCAACTGTCCTTTAAGACGCCCTTTCGACTCCTTCCGTTGATTCTCCATACAATTCTGGCCTTCACTATCCCTTTAAGGGTGAACTGCTTGAACTTGAGCGTTTGACATAAATTTCTGACAATTCCGAAATTTTCTGAGTTCCTTAAGCTTCATCTTAGAAGCTGAAAAAGCCTAAGCTCGTTCAATTCGAGGCTAGAGCTCAATCCCGGCCACTGTCGAATTTTTTGAACTCCCTAAACTTTTTCAAATCGGCCATAAACACCTGAACTGCTTGACCTTGGCGGCTAGCATCCGATCCTGGGCAACTTGGCAATTTTTTGAATTTCTGAACTGCTCCAAATCGTGCGCCAATTTCTGAAATGGACACCAAAAACCCCTCTCCAGCCCCCTCAATGGCCGCATCTACCGCCCTGCCCCAATTCTCCCCCGCTGCATCGCAATATTCGCAACTTCTATCCCCCGGCGTCGAATCTATACAGCAACTCGGGGATCTATTAATGCCCGCTGGAGTCCAAAATACCCCGACCTTCTCCACCCTGCCCGCCGAGCTGCAGAACTTCTTGGCGCAGCGGGGCTTTTCCTCGCAAACTGCCGTCCCCAGCCCGTTCGTCTTGTCGAACAAGTCGATGACGACCAGCCACGGGGTGACGGAAAATGGCGATACCTTTACGCAACAGCATTATACCGTTAATACGCACGAGTGGTACACGCCCATGATGTTGATGAAGGAAGCAGGAGATGAGCCACCTCTTCGAGCAGTTACCAGCCAGTTTCAGAATGAAAAACCGAGATTTAGCACTGAGAAACCGTCCTCCGAAGCCCCAAATCTTGCCGAAATCAAGTCGGCTTTGGAAGCTTTATATGCGAAAGCTTACGCTGAACAAGTGGCTAGAGCTCAAGCTCAAGACCCTGAAGCTGCGCAACCTCCTCAGGCTCAAAATCCATCGGTTTTTAGGTCATCGGAAGTTGAAGCCAAGCCTAGCTTACTGCCGCAAACACGAGCTCAAGATTCTGAAGCTCGAAACGAAGCCACTTCAAGGCCTAGCTTCCCTACATTTGCTACCTATTCCGTCGATCCTCTGGCTCAAGGCCAAGCTCATGCTCAACTTTCTCAGCAAGTCCAAGCCGCGCAGCAACTCCGAAGTCAAACTCATGCTCAACCCCATCAACACGCTCAAGCAGTTCAGCGACCCGCAGAAGTCAAGCCCGTCGATTTCCAATACTCCAGCCCCAGCCCTCCTTCCTTTGAAGCCCCGGTATTCAGAAGCCAAGCCCTAAGCCAGGCTCGGGATACGAAGTCGAGCTCGAGCTCAAGCTCAATTTCGCCCCCAGCTTCGGAGGCGAAGAATCCGAATTCTCAGCAAAATGAGAAGCCCACCGATGGAGCTCCAAGTACGCGGAGGACCGCCCTGATGCGGTCAATGTTCGAAAAAGCACCTCCAACCCCGACTATAGTTCCGGGGGTCGCGAAGAAGGAGCAGCAGCAGTAAGTGGAGCTCTAGACTACAGGCTACAAATGACAGGTTACAGGCTACAGATCATAAATATGAATTTTATGACTCTTAACCTAAAAAAATGACAAATATCCTTGGCACCCATCCAAAAAAAGCATAAAAATTTTATGAATTTTATGGTATATGAATTTTATTTGTATTTTCTAGGAATGGCAGCGGCGGAGGCGCGGCGCGCGTCTGGCGCCCTGAGATCACCGCCAACACCGAGATGTCCAAGTTCCAGGACACCACTCACAGCGTGCCACCCTTCAAAGTCTCCCTCGAGCACAATAATTCGGTATGGTTTTGCGTGAGCCTAAGCCTGAGTCGAAGCTAAGCTTACGCTAAGCCTAACCCAAACCTTAAGCCTAAGCCTAGCCTATGCCTAGTCCTATTTTTCAGTCAGTTCCACCGAAGGGCTTCAACCAGGCCGCCTACCCGTTCAACACCGACCCCCGGGTCAAGCACTTGCAGTACAACAGGTTGGTAGGAAGCTATCTTTGTTTTGTTTTTGTAACCCAAAAACTGAATGTATACTGTAATCTTGGGCAATTTGCTAAATGTGGCTATTGAAATCCTATTAGTATCAAAATATAGTTTTGCTTAATCTGTAAATGATTTGGACTTTCAGCCCAATGGGCCTCTACTCGAATTCCGCCGCCGCCGAGCAGTACGCCCAGCAAACGCAGGGGATCGTCCAGCACGAGTGAGTGTTTAATTGCAGGCCGATGCCTAAGCCTAAGCCTAAGTCTAAGTCTAAGCCTAAACCTAAGCCTAAGCCGAAACCGAGGCCTAACCTAAGCTCAAGCCTAAGCCTTGTTCTTGATGTTCTACAACCTAAATGGCACACTCCATCGAATCAACCCATTAATCAGGCGACCTGATCTCCCTTTCCCCTCCGGCTGCCCTTTTCATTTAATGGATCTCGGCCGCCTTTCACTATCCCCGTTCCCTTATTGGCTGATGCCTGACCCAAATCGGCGCTAAATTTCACTCCCCGGCGAGAAAGAGAGGGAAGAAGAGAGAGAGAGCGAGAGAGAGAGAGAGAGAGAGAGAGAGAGAGATGATGCTCCTCTCTTCGAACGCCCGAGAGGCCGAGCCTGATTTCGATTTTCATAAGAAATTCATAAGGGAGCTAATTAGAGTACTCGGGATCGAAAAAGGCGTAAAATTCTGTAGCTACTCTTAAAAGTCCGTTTTCAAGGCACCGGAAAGCGCAAAAAGGCAACACTTTCCAGCTCCTCCGTTGCCAACGCTCGCGACCAGCCTGCCTACCTACGCTCGGAGACGCTCAAGGTTCTCAAGGAGCAAGAGAACGGTAGTTGAGCATTGCGTTTTTCGAGTAATCACGACTTCCAGGTCACGGCTCCCAGAGGAACACCCACGGGCTTCCGGTCTGCTACGTTTGCACGAAGCCGATTTTGTGAGTTTTTCAGAGGCTTGGGAAGCAAAGCACAGCTGTTTTAACCTTGAACTGCTCGATCTCGTTGTCACGCCCTTACAAAAATCTCACTTGCTTTTGATTCCTTCTTTTTGTGCCGAGTTTTTGTAAAAATTGGCATGCCCGCAAGCAGTTCACCCCCGACTATCTCGCTCGAAAAACAGACAAAATTTATTGCTGACAGAGCCGCGAAAATCGGAGGGAAGGGAAATTTGCGCATGAAACGAAGAGTGGTAAATGAAGAGAAGAAGCGTGTGCCCGATGTGGTGATGTTTTCCCGCTGTCCGGAAGTTGTTCAGCTCCGCCCGGCTTTTCTAATACTCGAAGTTGCTGCGTTTGCCGAGCAAGATGGCGCCACCGGTTCGCGGGAAACGGCCAGGACGCGGTGCGATGAAATATTCGTCCTGAAAAACTTGAGATTATCGATCGCTCTCTATCTCTATCACTCCCTCGCTCTCTTCTCTCTCTCTCTCTCTCTCTCTCTCGTGTTCTTTCTGAAATTATGCTAATTTCCAAACCTGGAGGGTAGAACGCGTATCGCGGAACAACGGCGAGTCCCCGGAGTAGTAAGAGTAATGGCGGGGGAATGCCTAAAATTGAATTTCTTTTATTGAAATTTATCTCTAGTTCTCTCTCCATCTCGCTTTCTCTCTCTCTTTCTCTCTCTCTCTCTATCTCGCTTTCTCTCTCTCTTTCTCTCTCTCTCTCTCTCTCTTTCTCTCTCTCTCTCTCTATCTCACCTCAATGGCCACAAAGATGAGGAGCAGGACGGCGAGGCTGCACAGTCTTCGGAGCATTTTTATCCCTGGAAAATTAAATAATTTAAATGAAACTAAAATTCAGAGACCCACAATAGAATAAGCAAATATAATTAATGAAAACCAATGTTTTCAGGGGCCTAATGGCTCAAGCTGCTGGCCACCAGCTGCACGCCGACTGCCTTGCTTGCGCCACCTGCGGATCTTCGCTTAAGGTAGATTTTTTCATTTTTTAAAGTTTTGTTTAAATTTTATGAGACAGTAAAATGAAAAAACGTGAAAAGCATCACCGTACAATAAGTCAAAAACCTAGAAACTAGCTGCAAAAAATCGAAGAAAATATGCGATTACGGTAGTTTAACAAGGAAAAAACATAAGCAATTGTTAAAGCAACTTATAATAAACGAAAAATTAGAAAAATTGGATTAGTGCCATTTCCTAGAGAAATAAAGTCACGAACTGATACGGCTGCTGGGGTTTATTGCCCATTTAGAGTTCCTTTAAAGCTAGGATTCACCTCGAATAAAGCCAAAAACTATAATATTACCTCACTGCAACCTCCTGGTCTTAATATAGTCCCAGGCCACACCAGAATTCCCGATTCCGCTAGACTACTACCTACTACCACCGCTGCAAATGACGATGCTTCTCGACAGAGGGCTCTCATTACAAGACGCCCCCGTTTTTCCGGGTTCGCCTCCTAGCTGCCAGGCGTTTTTGCGCTTTTTGCACCCCCCTATTCTTCCGGGAGGCCGATATGAGACCCTAGGGCATCTATCTACTAATGTGTCCCGAGGAGGGTAATGGACTCTCTCCCTCTCGCTGTCCCTCTCCCTCTCACTCACGCTCTCTCGCTATCTCTTTCCCTCTCTCATCGGTAGTGGAGTGCAACGGAATTTTTGAGCACCAATTTTGCGCGACAGGGTCGGGTTCCGGAATTTTTTAGTCTTGGGTCTGAATCGGACGCGGGAAAATGACAACATCCGTTGGCGGGAATTTTTAGGGCAATTTTTAAAAGTACAGGGATGGCTGGGGCTTTTCGAGCCTGGGCAATCCATGTTCAAGATGTACGACATGAAATTTTAACTGGAAACAGAGCAAGCTATAAGCTACAAACTAAGAGCTTTTCGCTTCCAAATACCGTACGATCGGCAAGTTCTAACAAAAAAGCGTCTGTGCAGCAACCTCAAGCAGTTCAGCTCATTTTCTGTACTTGGTGAACGACAGCTATAAACCACAACACAAAATTCCAACGAAAAATAGGGTATGGTCGAGAAGTTATAGTGCAAACTGGTGCATTTGGTACTCTCGAAAAGCTCACGATTTGCGCCTTCCAAGCACCTTTAAAAACTCAATAGGCCTCAGAAATGATGTATTACGTTACAAGAACATATTATTTTTTCTAGAACATCGGTCATCACTTTATCGACGGCAAGTTCTACTGCGACATTCACCAGCGGCTGAAGAGGGCCACCAGCACCGGGCCGTCCGACCCCAACTTGATGGCGTGCGTTGTTTTTTGGGGGAAAAGAGGGAATGGCGTAGGCTTAGGTTGGGCTTAGGCTTGGGCTGAGGCTTGGGCTGAGGCTTTGGGCTGAGGCTTAGGCTTGGGCGTAGGCTTAGGCTTAGGCTTAGGCTTAGTCTTAGGCTTAGGCTTAGCTTGGGCTTAGGCTTAAGGTTCGGCATGCAATGTTTCGAAAATAATTAGCATCAAATCACGTTCAAAAGCTCGGCTTTAATACTAGCATCACTCCCACCCGACACCATCCCCCAACGGAGGCGTGGCCCCGGAAATTGGGGCTAGCACGAGCTGTAGCTTATTTTTAGGCCAATTCAAGTGCATTTGAACGATTAGCGGACGTTCCTACATCTCGTCATTCTGAATATTGGGGCCAAAAATAGAGGAACATTGAGGGAGCCGGGGTTCGAGCTGAAAATCCGATGAACAAAAAGACACTAGGCGATAATGAAGGGGGGACCGAAAAGTTGCGCACATCGGCCTCCCTCACGTAGTTGATACCAACGGGCTTATGAAATTTCATGAGGGGATGTGGGCCCACCCATTTTTGGCCTCCATGTTTCTTGGCCATTCATTCATCATTCATTTTCTAGCGGTGAGAGAGAAAGACAGAGAGAGAGAGAGAGAGAGAGAGAGAGAGAGCGAGAGAGGTATTAAAATAATGGCGTTTCGGGGCGGAATCGGAACCCCGTGGGAACCAGCCATCCTCGAAGCAACTTTTTCCCGAACGCCAAACCATATATTTCCGGCGAATCTCGCAGCTTTGTCTAGGGTTACGGTAGCAAGAGCTAGAAATAGCAACTTAGAATCGAGCAGGTTTCAGCTTAAATTTACGGCTCAAGAGGATACGCATCTGAAGGGGATCCGACTCGCATTACGTTAGCTGGGGGCCCGAAATATCTAGAAAATCACCGTCTATTATGATTCTTTATATTTTTAACCTTATAACGCGAAAAAAAACACGATATGAGCCAAGGATACGTTAGCCGTAGGCCTAACTAAGCAAACAAAGTATCAAATATACTTTTTTTTGTGCTAAATTCGGGCGTTGCGGAAGGCCGATACGGTAGCCTATCATTATAACGCTACAAAAAAAGTATTTTTCTGGGGTTTCAACTATGTTTACATTAGGATACGGTGTATAGTACAGTGCGCAACAAAACTCTGTAATTTGTAACAAGTTTGGGGGTACTGTGGGAGTACTGTAGCCTACCGCTCGGAGGTGCAGAATAGAAAACGGATTACGGTAAGGTTAGAGCAGCGGTACCGTATCCAGAATCGCTATAATGCGGACCCCGAAATCAAAATATGCCCCCAGGGAGGAGGGGGCATATTAGGGTGGGCCACGAGAGGGTGGGTCCCGGCGCGAAGTACAAAATCTGTTGGGGGCCCACGTCAAACAAATTGGGGTGGGAAAATGGCGCGAATGAGGGCCCGAGAATGGGGGGGGACACCTTTGGTCTTCCCAGCCAAATTAGCGGCTAGGGTCCCGCCTGGATTATGGGGCGCGTGAAGAACAATAGGGCCGTGTACAATTTGAGGGAGTTGCGATTCGCTCTGGCGCTCTCTGTCTCTCCCGCTCCCGCTCTCTCGCTTTATTTGCCGGCTTAGCCGAGCCTCGAGTTGTTTGGGAAATTTTTGAGCAAAAAATGGGATTTTTCCACCAGGATCCGCTTGTGATCGACGTCATTAGCATGGGAGAGTGACCCGGATGAAAGAGTTGTGTCCCGTGGCTACCGTAGTCGATTTGTAGCGCCTCGGCATGTTGCGTACTATGTCTTGCGCGAACCACGGGAATGTACCAGTAAAACAGAAAACGCTTGGTTTCGCTTTGCGAACCTTGCCAAATTCGTATCTCCTATTTCGTAAATTTGTCAATTCGTATACCACGAACAGCCGGGGACAAAACAAGAAGGCCGGTCAAGCCTGCCGGCTAGGTTAAAAAGGACACATCTCCATTCGCTTAGCTAATTGGATGAATCGCCTTCCAGTCGCCGGGGAGAGGAACTTTGAGGCTGAAAAAGTGGGGGTGGGGGGCCGTTCGGGAAACTTTTCGGACCCGGGATCTATTTTTGAGGGGAAGAAGTCGTTATAGTTGTGGAATGGAGTCAAGGAATTTAGAAAAACAAAAGTATAGGAAAATGGCTACAGTACCCCGCTGAACGTATGGAAAAAAATCGTTTTGATTGCATCTTCGAATCTAGCGAAAATGGAAGGTAAAGACGCCAAAAATCCTACAGTACACCGGTGAACCTAATGGCCTAGCGAATTTAGAAAGTCATCACTTTAAGAACGCCAAAAACAACGACAGTGCGTTACAGTACGCCGCGAAACGCCTCAAAGCTGACGTAGCAAAATATTATGGATGCAGCTTTTTGCAAAGCAACCGGAAGCTCGGATCCGTAGCCTATCTTTGGCTTCCAAGTACCTTTAAAAGTTGCGAACAGCTAGAAAACCTCTGGAGTATACGTCTGGGATTTTCAAGCTACCGTAATCCTGGGGCGAATTTCGATAATTTAGTGAATTTAATTTTATTAGGTCTTTCAGAGGGCTTTGAAGATACTTGAAGCGATTAGACCAAGTTTGAAAGCGTTTTTAGGCGCGTAGCGGAGCTGTCTAGGCATAGTCAAATTATGCATCGATCTCCCCCTTTCTAGCTCCTTTAAACCCCTCCCCAAAACTCACTAGACCAGGAAATCCCACCCCAAAACAGAATCCGAAATGTTTAGCCCCGCCCCATCTTACAGAATTCTATACCATTGGCCCTCGTCACTTCCTGCAGGGATGAACTTGCTGAAGACGGCGGGTGGACTTGGGCGGCTGAACCTTTCAAAACCCCGCAATTTGGGCACACCAAAATGTTGCCGTGGTCTCAAATTTTTATATACAAAATTGTCGGGTTTGCCGGCGGGGCAAACACCACCGAGCCGCCCAAGTCTGGATACAATCGTAATGGCCCTGATATTTGAGCTAATTGCGCGAGTGAATTGGGGGTGTCTAGAGGTGTGCACTGTAGTTCCGGTTGTAATTTGGCGCCGTTTTTGGGGGTTTGGAGGGGATATTTTCATTCAGAAAACTGGAGGAAGCTTAAAAATACGGAAATACCATATGAAACGTACTTTGACGCGAAATTCTGTCTTGCAAAAGCAAAATAAGCACCTTATGAGGGCTTTTTGGGGTACTGTAATTTTTTGCTAGTAAAAAATTAAAAGGAAAAAAATACTGAAAAATTGGCGCAAAGGGCAAACTAGCAGAGATCATTGCGGAAAGGGAGCCATTTTTAAGGTTTAAAACTGGCGTAGTCCCTTCGGGTTTTTTGAACAGAATTATGAATTTCCGGGCGTTCCGAAACCTGGCAGGCAAGCAGAGGGCCTTTAGGAAGGGTCCAGAAACTGCCAGAAAGGGCAACTGGCAACGAAATTTTCGAAAATTCCATTTTCAGAATTACTGAATCCGAATTTCAATTTTTTGACTTTCTGTTCTTTTTAGAACCTTGGCAAGCTAGCAGAGACCATTTGAGGATATCAAGCCCCAGGAAAAAACAGCAAACAGCATTTTGCCAAGCCATGATTCACTGCTTTCCGATCTCTAACGCATTTTCTAAACAATTTCATCCTTTTTCATCCCCCTCATAACATGGGCAATCCCACGCAAATTTTACGAATTTACGAAATGGGTAGCTGGTCTGGGGGGCGCGCACGGATTGCGATCGCAATTTGGGTAGAGGGTGAGACTCGGAAAAATATGTGGGAACCGCCGAGGTTTGGGGGCTGAACTTTATGGGGTGAACGTAATGTTGGCTGGAATTATTTGGGGCAGGGTGACGCGGATCTTCTGGGTTTTTAGTATTGAAAAATAGAAAAAATTTGACGTATGCTTAGGCTTAGGCTTGGGCTTGGGCTTGGGCTTAGGCTTAGGCTTAGGCTTAGGCTTAGGTTTGGGTTTAAACTTGGATTGAGCTTAGGCGCAGTTTTTATTTGCCAGATCTATAAGGTCGCAAAGTACAAGTTTAGTAAGTTGGCCTGAGTTTAAATACCCAAACACGAGAAATTCCAGAAAACCGCAAAAAATAATCCCCGCCATGTCATATCAATAATTCCCGGAAATCGAAACGTGCCATTCGGGTCGTAAACGCCTTCAACCCACCCGCCGAGATGGGGTATAAATCTTCAGCCGGAAATCATCAAAAAGCAAAGTTCGCGTGGGCACCACCCCAAAATCTGGCCGTTTTTGGAACCCCCGAGCGGAAAGGGGGCGCTTTAAAAATTTATCGGGCCTCTGAGGGTGGGCGGGAAGGTAAAAAAGTCGTTCAAAAAGTTGTGTGGAGGAGGTAGTGAGTGATGATGGAAACGCACGAGAAAGCTGATGATAGATTTGGGGGCATTTGTCAAAATTTTTCGGGGTTTGTTGGCTTACGCATAAGCCTATGCCCAAGCCCAAGCCCAAGCCTAAGCCTAAGCCTAACCCAAGCCTGAGTCTAAGCCTCAGCAAAGACAAACCAAGTACTGAAGCCAGCTCTCTAGTAGTATTTTCTTTTAGCTATACTCAATTCACAACCGGAAATCCTCGCGCGTCAATGCTGTTTTGATCAGAATTCCAGGCTTCACACCCACCTGCCCCCATTCTTACCTTACCTCCTACCACTTGACGCCCCGGGCTACAAACTCGCGCTCCGGCCCTCGGGCGTCAATGTTTTGCTTGAAAAAGCTTTTTGCCCCCCACCCTCTGGTCCAGCAAGAGGGCAAACAAGTTTTTTGGGGCCTGGAGAGAGAGGGAGCGGAGAGAGAGAGAGAGAGAGAGCGAGAGGGAGGGAGCGACAGAGAACGAGCGAGAGTGAGAGAGCGAGTGCTAGAGTTATTTTTTTGGGGGAAGTGGTGCCTAAACGCCGGCTAGAAACTCCCCAAAACAACCTTATAATTTCCAGACGAACGCCGCCGACCGCCGCCCAACCTACTCGGCCCGTAGAGCCGGCCCGCGGCAACTACCAGCCGGATTTGGTGAGGGTTTTAGGGATTTTGAAGTGTTTAAAAGGCGGAAAAACAATAGTGTGATTGACTTACGGTAGTCGGTTAAAAATCCCAAAAAATTAAGCTGGTAGCGAAGTGAGAATCCGCTGAAAAGTAATCCGCGTTACGTCACTGGGATTCAGGAAATTTGTTCTGTTTGCAAATTATGTTTTAATTAAATCGTTAAGTACGTATTAGATTTTCTAAACAAGAATCTATCGCACTGTCATTTTTGTAGCGTACCGTAATCCCTGAAAACGCTCTTTAGCTACAGTAAGCCTATCCAATATGACATTCCAGGGCATCAACCGACGCCCACTCTCCGTCTCGCCCAACCCGAACCAATGGTCCACCAGCCAGCAGTCGCTGAACGTGTCCGTTGGAACGCCGCGCACGCAGGGTGTCATCAGGTAGCGCTTCGGACTCTTTAGTATAATGATAAAGGGAGTCGCATGCGGATTTTGCTAGAAGGTTGTAACGAATTTTTGTGCTATTTCGAGAATTCCTACAAAAACTTTATTTTTCGGTCCGCGCGTTGTTTTGAACCGGTGGGTTACTCTAATTCTTGAACCGGAACTTGGAGCCATTCGGAATATTTTTAATTTTGAAGCTTTTATCACCTCTAAAGTGCAAAAATAAAAAATGTTGGCTTTCAAAAGAGCTACAGTAACCCCGGCAAAGTCCAAAAATAATTTAGAAAGCTTGGAAAAACCAGGAAATTTTGGTTTTTCGACGTTTGTATGCTTTGGTCATCTCCAAGATGCAAAAATAATCACGGAAAATACTACAAAAGCTACCGTAAGCCCAGTAATACAAAAAAATGTCGAGAAAAGGAATTTGGATTACTGGCTAGCTTCAGCTATCCCAAAACCAGGCAGACGATAAAAAAGCGAGCAACACCCCTCCGCCACCTCCAAAAGTGCCATTTTGCACCTCAACACAAATCCTGGATGCCTGGGAGGAAGAGCAGGAGGAGGCGCTGCACCTCTAATTTATGCATGTCTGTGTAGATGAGTGTACGCGGCATTCCGCCCCCGTAAACAATGTACAATGTAAGGGTGGTGGGGCCCGATTTGAATATGGGGTTCCTCAGGGATTTATGGGCATCTGGAGATGGTTCTAGCGTCTTAAAAAATCTTCCACGACGTTACCAAAACCGGAAGTGACGGCTGAAAATCGAAAGCCGAAACAGGATTTAAATTTTGTTGTTTTCTAGCCCGTCGAACCGTGGGGTGCCCTCGTCACAGATGTATGGAGCGGAATTGGCGGGACGTGGAGGGTCAGCTGGAAGAGCCACACAGGGTGAGCACGAGGTTTAAGGGGGCTGGGACAGGAAATAGACACCACAGTCTCTCTCCCTCCCTCTCTCTCTCTCTCTCTCTCTCTCTCTCTCTCTCTCTCTCTCTCTCTCTCTCTCTCTCTTTCTAACTGTCTTTCTCGAACTCTTTGAATCTCGCTCTCTTTCACTCTCTCGCGCTCTCTCTCCCTGTCTCTGCCTCTCTCTCGCTCTCGCTCCCTATGTCGCGCCTGCAGGCAAACTTTGTAATTTCGGAATTTCCTGTTTTTGAGAGTTAAAAACCTAGATATTTTAATTTCTAGATTATCGCCCAGCTTCTTCCCTCGCCCCACCCCATGGAGCTCCACCTCCACCTCCCGGCTCTCAGCCCCCGACAGGTATCAATTACAGAGCCTCAGAATCTGATCGTGTTTTTTTGTGAAAAGTACAAAAACGTATTAAACGTACTTAAGCATACTTAAACGTATTGAAACGTAGTGTCGCGTACTCAATGTCAAACTGTCCGTACTGTCCCCTGTCCTGTCGACGTCCAATTTCAGAGCTCACCGTCCCTGACGAGCACGTCCCCGCCTCTCTCCGAGCTGCCGTATCTCCAAGACGTCGTGCTCGTCTCCCCAGAGAATGGCCACCAACGAAGGCCCAAGTTAAAACCACTCCCTACTGGAACACTGAACTTCACCAAGCCGCCGACGTTGAGCCCCCAAGAACAGGAGGGGCTACTGTATCCCTACAAGACGCCGTTCAAGCCATGGATGACCATCCGGAAGCCGAACCTCCAGCCAGACCCTCCCCCCGTCGCCTCCTCATCGTCGAGAGGAGCCCCTCGGCGGCCAGCGCGCGCCCGCCGATTTCGGGGAGTACACGGCAGCGGCCGAGTTCTGTGCAGCTCGAGCCTGTCGCTGGGGGCAGCTTTAAGCCGGTGACTTCATCTGCCGCTGAGCCGGATAAGGCGGGATTTAGGCCGGTAAAGCACGACCCGGTGGCGAGCAGTACTTTCCAGGTATGTCGGTTTAAAGGGATCGTGAAGGGTAAAATCGAAGGTTTTGGTGACTAGATCTCGTCTGCTTAGCCGGATTTGGGCACTTTGGCAAAATCGGGGGAGGGGATCCTTAAAGGGATAGGGGCGGCATAAGTCAATCGATTACGCGCGGGAAAGAAAATGTCTCTGCGCCTCCCCTGGGCGCCCTCTCTCGCCGCGGCATCTGTTGAACCCCCCTCCCCAAGGGGGGTTCAACAGATGCCGTCCTCATCTCTTTAAGGCCTACCTCGTGAAAAAAATAGACGGCGAGCCCTAGGCGAAAATGGGATAGGTTTTGGCGCATCGCAGCGCCTTTAAAGATACCCTACTCGTTCCAATTTTTAGGGAACCAACCGCCTGGCCGACTTCCCACCCCAACCCATCCTGAAAACCGACGCCATCACCTCGCCACGGCAAGACCCAGATGAATCGAGTGAGCCGAGCTCGCTCTCAGAACCTGCGGCTCATCTGGCCGTGCATGTGACGCAGACGACCCAGACAAGCCCCGGCTTGGTAGCGACGGAAACGAAGCCAGAAGAAGTAGCAAAACCGGAAGCAAAGAAGAAGCTCCAGAAAAAGCCCGGACGAAAAGACCCACGCCGCCTGACCGCCATCTACAACCCGAATGCGCCTGTAGATGAGGTTGAAAAACCGAAGCAGCGGTCCCAGACCGTGACGGTGGAGTTGGACCCGAGGAGGACGAGCCAACCGGAAGTTGTTCAAGCTCCTAGGGTGGACACTAACCTGGCGTCGAAGCCGTCGATTCAGAGCATCACCTCGCCCAGACCATTCAAGCCGTATCAGCCCGAGAAGCTGGTGGAGAAGCCGCCAAGCCCGAAGATCGGGCCGGTGAAGGCGGTGGGGTCGGACTTGTGGGCACCGGAAGCTCAGAAGCGCCAGCAAGGAACTCAGAAAGCTGAAACGGCTTTTAAAGCTCAACAACAGCAACAAGGAAGTCAGAAGGCCGAGGCTAGCTCTCAAGTTCAATCTCAGCAACGAAATCAAAGCGTTCAGAGAGCGGAAGCCGCTTCTCAGGCGTCACAAGTTCAGAAGCGTCAGCAAGGAGTTCAGCTCAACGCGGCGGCTGCTCAGGTTTCGCAAGCTCAAGCTCAACAGCATCTGCAAGGAGTTCAACAAGCACCGCACGGCTTCATCGGCATCAACATCACCAGCCGACCTTTTAAAGCCCCAGAACCGGCCGATTTCCCCTCCCACCAGAAGCGCTTCTCAAGCAGCGGCAGCTTCGATACCCCAGAAGCCAGGCCCTCCGACCTGGGCGGACTGCCCCCCTTGATGAAGGGCAAGCAGGTCATTACCCCACAGGGCTCCCCATTCGCCACCTTGACAAGACGTACAACCAATCACAGAACCCCCTCCCCGGTATTGAACATCTCCATCGAGCCGATACCTCCAAAACCGGCAGGACAAGCTGGTCCAGCAGGACATCCAAGCCAGGCCTCAACGTTGCCGAGGAGCTTCAAAGGGGCGGGAGAAGCTGAGGCTCAAACTTTGTCGAGGAACTACAAGGGGGTCGGCGAAGTAGATGCCCAAATCTTGACACGACACCGCCAATCTCCAGTTATGGGGCTTCAGAGTTTAGGTAAAAGGACCCCATCTCCAAGCCTGAAAAAGCTGATCCAACAAGACAGCCGCCAGCTGGAGATGAGCCCTATGAGACTCTCGAGGCAAGGCTCGCTGCAAGAACCCAACTACGGCGACTGGGCCAAGGTGTCCGAAGTAGTAGATGAGAGCGATATCATGACCGATACGAGTCGACGATCAGACGAATCGGCAAACGCAGCTGCTTCTGAACTCTCTGATGTCGTCGTTGAGCAACAGCGCCTCCCCGAACGTCTCCTGAATCAGTATGATGTAGATGAGAGCGAGCTGGTCAAGATCAGGAGATCTCAGAAGAAGGATGTGGAAGATACCGACATCACTGACATCGATTCGGAGGATGAGAAAGAGAGGTGGATGCGCGAGGAGTTGGAGCTGGCCAGGAAGGAGGAGCTGATGGCACAGATGTTGGATTGGGAGCGGAACGTTAAGCCCAAGTCGAACTCCCAGGACTCTACGGCGCGTCATAGTCAGCCAGTGCTGCGGAGCACACCAAATTCCGCGAGTCAAAGCTACTCCAGAAATTCGGTCCCTACTGCTGATATTACCACTAATTGGGAGGGTACTTTAAGAAAACAAGGAGCTCCAGAAGGTCATGTTCAGCCTGGGCTACGGAGCACACCGAATTCGGGCAAAAGTACTGCCTTTTCTCGAAATTCGCGGCAAGACCCCGAAATTTCGACGAATTGGGAGGGTACCTTCAGAAGGCCTACAGCTCCTGAACAGACCCATAGCCCTATCATCAAGCCAAATGTTGGAAGACAACAACTCCGAGCGGTTCAGCCCGAATCCATAGATGAAAACACGAATTGGGACGAGAAAAGCGAGCGCGACACCGTGTCGATGATGTCCGAATCGGACGAGTGGAGACGGCAAGCCATGCAACTCCTTGACGATGAAGGACAGATGGACCGGGATATGATGATCGTCTCCCAGCTGCACGAGCAACTTGAGGAGTGCAGGGGTATGGATGACGCTGACCGGAAACGAGCTATACATTGTATGAAGAGACATCAGAAGACGTTAGGGGACCAGAGGTTGCATGGGCTGTTGGACTCGGCGATAAGCTTTGTCAGTCAAATGGATACGAAGCAAAGGAAAGTAGCTGAACATCAGGGCGGGCCCGGTTCAACACCGTATCCACCACAGAGGAAGAATTTTGGAAATGTCCAAGAGCACCCGGCGAACCCGCTGACGACGTCAGCGGAGGAGAGGGAGATTTTGGAAGAGTTGGGGAGGCTGGACATGGCGTTGGATGGGGTTCCGGAACCGCCGGTTAGGGCCGGCGGGCCGATTATTCCGGAAATCGATTACCCGATGGATTCGCCAGTAGCGCCAAGGAGGAACTATCAGACGTTGCCGATAAAGACGGAACAGTGGGTTGAAAGAAGGATTAATTGGAAGCGTAGAAAAAGACTTTTGAAGGGACCAGAAACACAAAAATCGACCCCCGACGAGGACTAGGTCGGACGCTAAATTCAAAATTGTGCCTCGCAGCGCGAGATATTGAGAAACACAGAGAGAGAGCGAGAGCGATAGAGAGAGAGAGAATGAGAGATATGAAGGGTGTGTGCCACTTAAGCCGACAGGTGCTTGATAAACGTCATTTCGAATCGGCCGTAGCTGTCGAGACCTAATGCACACGAGAGTCGATTTTGGCGCTTTCCGGTTCCTTTAAATCGCAAAAACTGCCAATTCCTGAGCGCTGTGGGGCCCTAGATGATGGCATTTTGGAGCGTTTGAGATCGAAAATTTAGCCTCTGGCTCCCAGGCCGTCTCCACTTCAAGCCCTTCCCTAGGCCGGATCAAGTTTCAATATGGCGTTCTTTGTCCTAAGACGCAACTAGCTGCTAGGGCTTGGATTATTGGGGGTTTAAAGGGACATTCAAGGCAGTAAACGTCTCAGAGCCAGTTCCTGGAAGGTTATTCGGACGAGAAAAAGGTAAAATTCAGCGTCCCGATCGAAATTTTCTCTACAAGTTTCGAGAATTCAAAAAAACCAGGGTTGAAAAGCCGCTACGCGGCTTTTCACCCCTGGCCTTTGCGGGGGTATCTCTAAAAGCTGCTCACTTTGCATAATTCTAGCGAATTAGCGCCAACCTCTCAACTAAATAAAACAAAAGCGACCGAATGCGAGCGTGGCAAAATCCGAAATAAGCCCCTTAACGGCTCGTATGCAAATGAGGACATTTCCATATGCTTTAAAAAGACTAAAATAAGGTATAAATCGTCATTTTCTTAAAAATCTGATAAGCGCGCAGTAATCTACGCCTTCGAATACCCCTAAATACGTTTCAGTTGGCCCCTAAAACGCTTTTCCCGTCCTGATATCTCAATAACCCGGTTTTTTCGAGCCTTTTATGCAAAGTGTCTACACACACACAAACACTATTTTTTTATATATAGTAGGATACATAATTTTTCTAGGTATTGTTTAAAATTGATCGGAATTAGAACTCCAAATTCTCCAGCTGAGAAACTCCAGATTTTTTTGTGAGGCTTTTAACGTTCTTCCTACAGTTTATTCAAGAACCAAGAGGGTCAAATTTCGATCCCCGATGTCTCCTTAAAGTATGCATGCAAATGTGGCTTATCCGTCTGTCCACTGGTGTTGATAGATGTGATGTCGATGTCCCATTTCTTCGTTCAGGCTGTCCCACGTGCTCGACGAGTTGCACAGCATAATGCGGCCCCGCTCCTCCGACTTCATCGTCCGGAAATTGGAGGCCCGGCAGAGGGAGGAGCAGGAGGAGCAGCAGCAGGCTGCCCGTTCGTATTTTGTGTTTCGTGTATTGTTGTGTCGTCCTTAGGGAAAGGTGCAAATTGGTGTTTTGTGTAATTACAAAGGGAGAAGGGCGAGAGAGAGAAGGAGAGGATGAGAGAGAGACTGCGCGCGAGAGCGAGATGGAGAGAAACGATCTTTTCAGCCAACTCCTTCGCCAACCGCAGCGCCCAGCAGACGACCACCACCCGCACCGAGTCTCACACCCTAAACCAACCCGTCCAGGGCGGAAAAGTACCTTACTGCGAGGCCTGCAGACAACAGATTCGGTGAGTTTTGACGAAAAAGGGCGAGCGAGAAAGATATAGCGACGCAAAGAGTGGGAGAGTAAGAGATAGACCCGACCTCCTTGAACTCGACGGCCTACTCCGTAATTTGTAGTGGAGCGTTCGTACTCGCCCAAGGCCTTTCCTGGTGCCCGGAGCACTTCATCTGCGCCAACACATCGTGCGGACGACGGCTGCTTGAGTGCGGCTTCGTCGAGGAGAACGGCCAAAAGTTCTGCGAGGTTGGTAGATGATCGACCACTTTCAGTTAAGCTTGGGCTTCGTCTTAGGCTTAGGCTTACTCAAGCAAAAATTTCAGAACTGCTTCGAGAGCAACATCGCCCCGCGCTGCGCCAAGTGCACCCGGCCGATCGTTTCGGTGAGTTCGGCGAATGGCAGATGATCATGTTCTGACTTTCAGGACTGCCTGAACGCGCTGCAGAAGAAGTGGCACCCGCAGTGCTTCACCTGCGCCCACTGCTCGAAGCCGTTCGGCAACTCGGCCTTCTACCTCGAACAGGGATCGCCGTATTGCGAGAACGGTGGGTAGAGGATAGAGATATAGCGAGGGAGAGAGAGAGTGTGAGAGAGTGTGAGAGATCGTAGTGGTTGCTGAACATCTTGAAGACGCTGTGCGTTTCAGACTGGAACCGACTGTTCACCACGAAGTGCTACCAGTGCACGTACCCGATCGAGGCCGGGGACCGCTGGGTGGAGGCCTTGGGTCATGCGTACCATTCGAACTGCTTCAACTGCACGGTAAGCTGGGTGTTGACTTTGGCTTAGGCTTATGCCTAGGCTTAGGCTAGGCTTAGGTTCAGTCTTAGTCTTAGGCTTAAGCTCTGGCTAGGTTTCAACCTCAATTTTCTCAATTCCAGCGCTGCAACGTCAACCTGGAGGGCGAGAGCTTCTATGCGAAGAACGGCGAGCCCTTCTGCAAACTGCACGCCTAATTTTCGGTTTTCTAATCTGCGCTCAATTGCCATCCCCCTCCTCTCCTCTACTTCCCAAAAGTTGCTCAACCTACCGTAGCCCCCGCGCATAATTCGCCCAAACATGGTCACATTTTGCCGATGTGCCCGCCCACCCTGCTCGCACCCGCCGTTTTTAGGTTCGCCCCGTCCATATTCTTTCTATCGGTTTCTGTTTCTGATATTGTGGATGTGTGTATAATAAAACAAAAATATTAATTTTGGACATGATTTTTGGAGATTGATTCTAATAAATGTTGTGGAAATGGTTGGCGCATCGAGAAAGAGAAACAGAGGGTGAGCGGGAGATAGAGAGAGACGGGGGAGAGAGAGACGGAGAGCGAGAGAGCGAGAGAGAGAGGGTGAGAGAGAGAGAGATGGAGCAACATAGGGGGGATAGAGCGACGGCAAATTTGGCAATTCCGAAGGCCCGGCTATTCCGGGATAACCCAATTATCACCCCAGCCGGCCGCTTGAGGGTTTCAGATGATGTAGAATTCATCGCCCCAAACACGCTTAAGCTATGTTTCTTCCGGTTTTACTCTTTCTAGCCTACTATTTTGTGTCCTTCACAACCGCTCAACAGGGCACGCCAAAAGTCAATTATTTGGGCGGCGATCACTTCAGGTAGGCTCACAAACGTCGGAAAACCCTATATATTGAATTCAAGGATTTTTAATTATTTTTCAACCTAAAAAATGAACTAAGACGCTGCCCCTGTAACAAAAAAAAATCGCTCTGTTAGGCCATGTCCAAACGAGCATGAGGAGCGGGTCTGGTGCGCGCCGTTGCGGAAATGTCGAGCCTGCGGAACTGTGCGGGCCGGTCCTGCTACACCGGTGAGCATGAGTTTTCAAAACTTTGAATTTATTGTGAAATTCTGAATCTTTAGACGTTGATCCACGGCTCAGCGTCGTTAAAAGATCCGAACAAAGGGCCGTAGCTGTTAAGGTTTATAAATTGAGCATGACCTCGAAAACGCCAACAAGGTCTGAAACTTCCGCAAATTCCAAACCCGGAACTCACATGCATTAATGTCAAAAAAACATAACCAGGGGCTATGTCTAGCTATCATTGCAGACCTGCTGGAACCTGTGCCGACACTACGAGTGCATCTGCAAGAAGGGCTACAGCTACAACCCCAACGGGGATTGTGTCAGGAATTCGGACTGTGCCAAATATTTGGCTGACGATATTTTGCCAAAATGAGCGAATAAATGTATCTATCTAATTAGTGGATTACAATACGCCAAATTACGCAGTCAAAAAACGCAAAAAGCCATGAAAACCCATTAGATGCCAAATTCTAACGGCTTTTAGCCTAGTGGCCATCGCGCGCTCGCTCGCTCTCTCTCTCTCTCTCTCTCTCTCTCTCTCTCTTTCTTTCTCGTTCCCTCTCTCCCCCGATCTCGATTTCCTGGATTTCCACAGCGATCCGCCACTTTAAAAATATTTCAAAAACAACAATATTCACCCGGTATTCAAGCTTGAACAATGCGTGAATCAACCAAACTGTTTTCCCGGGGGACGCGCCTTTCAAATGCAACCTGTGCGTCCCCCATATAAAGGTGCAATTTTGGGGATGAGCGCCAGACACAAAGTTGGACATGATCAAGTTTTCATTGCTAGTCGGCTTGTTATTTTGCGTTATTTTGGCTAGGTAGGCCAAATTTTTAAAGAAAATCTTTTTTTTCAGTCCGATACTTGAAATTGAGCCTTCAGATGTAGCTCCACCAGGTTCGTCCAATTTCTTTCTAGCTATCTCTCTCTCTCTCTCTCTCTCTCTCTCTCTCTCTCTCTCTCTCTCCCTCCCTTTATATATCTTTCTCTCTTTCACTCTCTCCCTCTATCTTTCTCTTTACCTCACTCTCTCGTTCCTTCTCACAAAATCCCGATTTTTTAGATTTGAACGTCATTCACATGAATATAATCGATAGTGATATTCGGCGATGGCAATCAGGTAGGCTCAATAAAAAAAATAGAAATTTTTTTCCAGCTCCCCTCCCGCTGGGGAGACGTCTACCCACTAGGAGTACGCCACAATCCATTTGACGCCTCGCAAAACATGTGAAAAATGGATCAAAGTAATAATTGTCTGTAAATATGAATAAACATTTTTTTTCAGTTCTTTCAGATCATAAAATTCAAGAAAACCCGGTATAATATTTATTCAGCACCTGTTAAGCGAAATTCCAGGGATCACACATAAAAATGTAATGGCACAAGGTTTTTTTTTTGGAAATCGTAGATGATGGCATAGATGTATTAGGGCAGGGCGTAGTCGGCGTAGTCGACGTTGACGTACTGAAAAGAATTTGCTTAGAAATGCTTTAGCCTAAGCCTAAGCCTAAGCCTAAGCCTAAGCCTAAGCCTAAGCCTAAGCCTAAGCCTAGGCCTAAGCCTAATCCTAAGCCTAAGCCTAAGCCTAAGCCTAAGCCTAAGCCTAAGCCTAAGCCTAAGCCTAAGCCTAAGCCTAAGCCTAATCCTAAGCCTAAGCCTAAGCCTAAGCCTAAGCCTAAGCCTAAGCCTAAGCCTAAGCCTAAGCCTAAGCCTAAGCCTAAGCCTAAGCCTAGGCCTAAGCCTAATCCTAAGCCTAAGCCTAAGCCTAAGCCTAAGCCTAAGCCTAAGCCTAAGCCTAAGCCTAAGCCTAAGCCTAAGCCTAAGCCTAAGCCTAAGCCCAAGCCTAAGCCTAAGCCTAAGCCTAAGCCTAAGCCTAAGCCTAAGCCTAAGCCTAAGCCTAAGCCTAAGCCCAAGCCTAAGCCTAAGCCTAAGCCTAAGCCTAAGCCTAAGCCTAAGCCTAAGCCTAAGCCTAAGCCTAAGCCTAAGCCTAATCCTAAGCCTAAGCCTAAGCCTAAGCCAAAACTCAAGGCTCTAAGCCTGAGCCTAACTTTACCTGGACTCGGGCAGGCGGCTCATAGGGGCGTCGCGGCTTGAAGTACGGCAACGGGTCGACGGGTTGCGTCTCAACGGCGGGGGCCGACTCTAGCGAAAAACTGATGTTCCAGTAGATGAACAAACTCTGTTGCTCAGCAATGACGGCCTTGGAGCGCGTGACGACACGGTGTGGGTCGGGTTGGACTGGAAATAATAAAAATTTGGAGATTCAAGTGATGCTCACGATTTTTGAGGATTGCAATCTTGCTGCGGTGGTAGCTCAGCTTCGGGGCGAGCAGCTTACCCTCCTTGTGTCTGTCGATGTGGCCACCAAGTCTGAATTGAAATGAGAAATCATTCTATCTCTCTCTCTCTCTCTCTCTCTCTCTCTCTCTCTCTCTCCCCTCTCTCTCTCTCTCTCTCTCTCTCGCTCTCTCTCTCTCTCTCTCGCTCTCTCTGTTTCTCTCTCTATCTCTCTTTCTCTCCTCTCTCCCCTTCCATACTTCTTGATCTTGAGCTCCAACTCCAGCCGGCGGTTTTCGAGTTCGATGGGCGTATGGGAGGACAGGTGGTTCGGGTTGACGCCTGAAACGCACCAGCATATGGGAGACGAAGTCTTACCTTTCATAGTCGCAGTGTTCAGGTCAGGCTCGCCGCCTGGGTTCGAGGAGGACGAGCTGCTGCCCTGGCACTGTCCCTCCTCTTCCTGCTCCGACTCGATGGACATGTCCATGTACTGGGGGCTCGAGTAGGGATGGTACTGATCAAGGTGCGGCTCGTGCTCTCCGGCGTCGTCGACCGGCATCTGTAGGTGCTCAATGGTTGCAAAAAGGTGCTGATTTCTTGAGCGCGTATTTCCTTAGGATTCAAGTTTTGTATCTAGATAATTACTATTATGCCTGCCCTCCGCTAGCAGATAAGTACCAAGCTCCCCACATGGTCATCGTGGATGGTATTGTACTGCTGCTGTTGCTCTTGCTGCTCCTCCTTGATCTTGACGGCCAGGTTGAGGTTGACCTTGCCCTGGACGCCGGCGCCCCTCGACCTCTGAAGATCATCTACTAAAACGCCTCTACTTTAATGCTACCTCGAATTCAGGGCTACGGTAGGTAGTGTTGTGCTCTTGGGGCTGTTGCTCGTCCCTGACCCTGGCGAGGTTCTGCGACACCATCCCGACCGGCTCGAAGCTCTCGATCTGCCGCTGTAGCTCCTCGGCGCTCATCGGAACCTGAGATCATCTACTAGCTTTTGACAAAGTCATACCTGGTATCCAGGGCTGCTGTAGGTGTTGTTGTACTGCTCGCACTCGTCGATCGGTTCGTCCTTGACCCTGGCGGCGTTCCACGAGTTGCTGCCGGCCGGTTTGAAGCTGTCGGGTTGTTGCGGCTCCTCGTCGATGTTCATCGGCATCTAAAGGTTGATAATTTCTGACTGAGCCGAAGCGCAAAACGTAGCCCACCCAACCTCATGCTCCTGATTGTGGTAGTCGTCGTACAGCTGCTGCTGCTGCTGCTGCTCCTCGACCTCGTCGACCGGCTCGTAACTGAACTGCGGCTCGAGCCGCGGCATCTGGCTCATCTCAAACGCGTACTGCTCGCCGTCGTCGTGAAGATGGTGGTTGAGCCTCGGGTCGAGACTCGGGTCACATTCCGGAATAAGTGTGTACGGGTCTTCCGGCAGGGGCTCCTCTTCGTCCATCGGCTCGTGCTTGATGTCGACCAGACTCAGCGGGTCCAGCCCGGCGGCCATCAGCGCCTCCACCACGTCCAGCTCGCACTGCTCGGGGATGATGGCCATGCGGAAACGGCTGGAAAATGATGGTTTGAACAAATTACGGCTACACTCGGCAAAGTGGGGCCTTTTTGGCATAAAAATTTGCATTGGAGTTTGCATAAAACTTCAACTAGAATACACAGGAAAAAGTAACAAACCTATTAGAAAACCTTTGGCAGCCAAAGGGTCGGGAAAACGAAATAGAAATGACAATGCTTTTTCCGCCAATCTTTTTCTCTACGGTTTCCGGATGCAAATTAGTCTATGCTAATTTCAAGCCACTTCCGCTCTTCCGGGCAGTTCCTTAATTCCAAATGCTTACGGCTAAGCGCATGCAACTTAGGATATACTAATTTCTCCAGGTTTCCAGGTTTTGATTTTTCTGGACGAAGTCCCCACTTTTCCACCTCGACCATTGGTTTGCATACTTCTTTGAAAGTTTCCTCAGTTTTGCAAGCTCGTTTATTCATTGGCAGAATTACAATAGTAATTACAAGGTGAGTACAATAATAAAACTACAGTAATTAGGTACAGTTTAATACAGTTTCTTACATTGTGATCACAGTTGGCTGGCGAGAGGTTAGGCGCGTGGTTTAACCTGTAAAATTACGATTCTGAGGTTACGAGAGAGAGAGAAAGAGAGAGAGGAGAGAGAGAGAGAGAGAGAGAGAGAGAGAGAGAGAGAGAGAGAGAGAGAGATGATTAGAATAACTTACCTCGGTTGTTGCCGTACTGGCTACCATAGCCGCTACCGTATTGGCTACCATACTGCCCGCGCTGCCCGGTCTGGCCGTAGCGGCTACCGTAGTTGCCCTGCTGCCCGTACTGGCTACCGTAACGACCGCCCTGACCGTAGCCGTAGCCCGACTGGCTGCTGCCGTATTGCCCTGGAATTTAGAAAGATAAAACAATACCGTAGCCAAATTTGTCATTTGACATTTTTGTATTTTTCAGTTTACTGTAACCCTGGATAGACAATTTTTGGAAAATTGACGGTTTTTACTTTTTTTGGGATTTACACGGATTTCGAAATATGTTTTGAAGTGAAAGCGCCTATTTGTCATTTCTAATTTTTTTTTGCGATTACTGTAACTCACCGTACTGTCCATTGGCCCCGTTGTAGCCTTGACCGTATTGGGTGCCAAATCCTAGAAAATTCAATGTTTTGAACATCGATAATGCACCAACCAGCAGCACGTCCCTGACGAGTGTTGTAGTTCTGGTAGCCCGTTCCGTACCCGCTACCGTACCCACTTCCGTACTGGCTACCGTAACCGCTACCGTAACCCGTGCTTTGACCATTGTTGCTGGGGCGCGAGGAGCCGGAATACCCGTTGTAGCCGGAGCCGGAGTTCTGAAAAATGTTATTATCCTTTCAGAATTTAATAGATATTAAATACTATTAAAGATTGAAATAATTTGAGACCAGCTATGTAGCCAGATTTAAAATATAATTAGTTAAAGGAGGTTGGAAGGCTTTGAATTACAGTAACCCACATATCCACGGCCGTACAGCCCGTCCTCATTGCTGTCGTCGCCGCCTAAAGATGCTAATTTGCTAAACTGTTGGCACGACCTACCGTATCCGTATCTCGACTGGCTGGCCGAGTTGTAGTATTGGGAGTTGGTGCGGTTTAGCGTCGAGTTCTGGCGGTTCTTCTCAGAACTGTCCTTGCACCTGAATTTTTCGTTTTAAAGGGACTGTGAAGGCAAAAATTTGTATCGATTTTGAAATGCTGAATCTGGAATTAAAGCACTCTAAAAATTTTTATTAAAACCGGATGCGAATCCAAAATTTGGCAATTTTGGCAAGCCGCCAAGGCACCGCTTATTTTTGTTTGGTTTTTGGATAGATTTTAACCATTCAAACCTGTTGAAAAACTGGAATAAGCGAAAAAATCAACGAGTAATAATTTTTATAAGATATAGTATGATTTAAACAATTACTAAAACGTTAAAAAGCGTTTAAAAATTGCGGTCAAAAAAGAAGTTTAACTTACAGTGCAACTCCAGCAATCAGTAGTACGAAAAGCGCCGACTTGAACATTGTGCAGTTTTGTAGGGCTTCTGTAGATATTCAGAAGGTATCGAAGACTGGTTGTCATCCTGGTGGCACCTCGGCTTTTATACCAACGACCAGTTGTGAGTAACAACGAATTACAAAAATCTAGCCAGTTCAAGACTGTTATTTCGGGGGTTTCGCCAGGGTCAACAAGCCGAAAATATTGGCATAACCTTCTTCTCGCTTCTTTTAGCGTTGACGTTCCGAATTCTTTAGTGGTCCGTATTTACGGTATTTTGTAATGCTCTATTTGCACGTAGTCGTCGCCGGGGCATTGAACGGGCCCCCAGACGTTGGACAAGCAAATAACGGGGTCACAACACGGTGTTTTGGGCAGGGAGAAGAACTTGAAAAAAGCGCTTTTTAGACTGGTCTTCGAGTTCGTTGGATGACGTGAGGAAAACTAATCCAAAAACTAAAACCAAACCAAAGACTTGTCGTTTAGTTTACGACGTTTTTCGTAAAATTTCCAGATGGATACTTTTTGCCTGTATTTCTCTCTCCCACTCTCTCCCACTCTCTCCCACTCTCTCTCGCTCTCTCTCTCGCTCTCTCCCTCCTTTTCTCTCGCTATTGTTCCGCTTATAGTAACAATTTATATAAACCAGGTCGAATTACTCCTTGAGATCGGACAACTTTTGGGGCGTAGTTCCAGAAACAAGGCCAAGCAGGTCATCATCGCCGACACGGTCTACAGAAAATGAGAAATAGTAGAGAAAAAGTTAACTTACAGTAAGTATCAGCGGCTTGGTGACAAGGGCAAAGCCCCAGAGGGAAATTTCGAGATCAGCTTGGTCCAGGTGCATCGCCAGGGTTTGGCCGACCTTGAAAATCGCATGGTAAGCGGCCTTGCAACCGAAAATTTAGAAAGCTTTCCTGTCGATACCGTAGGTCAGGTTTTATTTTTTTAGGAAATGGATACCCATTACATCCCGAAACAAAATGTACCTTATTCAGCTTCTCGTCAAACGGCACCCAGAACTAAACTTTTCCGGACTAAACTTTGGTTACACACTACAGGGCTTCTTTGGTTTTCCTATTGACAAGGCCCTTTCGGCTGCAGACTCAGAGAACTTACGTGATTTGTCGGTCGTCCTACTGTAGACAGAGGCATGGCGGTGCTCACTGTAACAAACGGCTTGTGCAAAAATTAGCAGCAAACATCTAAAGTACGAAGCTCAAAACTGAGCAAATAACGAAGCGTACTTTGAAACGTGCATTCTTGGGCTCAATGATTCAAGGGTTTCCAATTTAGAATAGGCTCATTTGAGAGTAAGAGAGAGAGAGAGAGAGTGAGATGGAGAAAGCGAGAGAGAAAGAGAGAGCGAGAGAGAGCGAGAGGCAACCTAAGAACCAAACGACAGGATCGGGAAATTAAGGCGTGAGTGGAATTTCTTTTGGGCGCTTCAAGGAGGCGGAACGCCAAACAAAGACGCCTCCTCATTTTGGGGCCAAGAAAATTGACCCCGATTTGGATGAGGGGCCGATTGAGAAGACGTCCCGGAATTCCGGAAATTCCGGAAATCAGGACGGGAATTACAAAATCGGACTCTGAACAAAATTGGTCCAGGCTTGGATTTGCGTTTGTTGCGTACTCTTAATACAAATAACGTTTATCCATACAACTTCCATAGTTAATAATTTTACTGGATCCCGGCCGGGATCTCCTCACGGGCCCAATTGTTCACGATGGATTTTTGCCCAAGGAGCTTGACGCGCTTCATAAATTTCAGGATGGCTTCGAGACGCTGCTGTCGATTCAATTCAGGCTTGTGTAGGGCCTGAAAAAGGATTTTTTGCTTTTTTTTAAAAAGATTTTTTAGGGTACGGTAGGACTTACGGCCATGGATTTCCTGTAGTTCTGTTTGCCTAGGATTTTGACCGCCTTCAGGCGCAGTAGGTGAATTTTCTAAGAATTCGTTTTCAAGAGGTGAGCATCTTTTTCTTTCTGAGTCGATCACGTTCTTCATCTCTGTCTCTCTCTCCCTCTCTCTCTGTCTTTCTCTGTCTCTGTCTCTCTCTCTCTCTCTCTCTCTCTCTCTCTCTCTCTCTGTTGATCTTCTCACCCTCTTCCACTCCTTGTTCTTTTCCATCTTGCGCATCTCGTAGCTCTCCCGCCTGTGAGCAGGAATAGTCGCCACATACTTTCGGATCTCCTCGCTTTGCTGGGCCTATAGAGAAGGAACAATCAAGTCATACGTTTTAGTAGTTAAGAAAATGATCAAAGCCCACCAAGGTCAGGTTGGCAATCTTCTTCTCGAAATTTTCTAGGTGGAACGCTTCGCGGGCGCCGAGACCATTGAAAAGTTCACGCTAAACGAAAAAAATGGAGTCTGAGCTCAAGCCAAGCCCGAGGCTAAGCCTAAGCCTAAGCCTAAGCCAAAGCCTAAGCTTAAGCCTACGCCTAAGCTTAAGCACGTTAGCTTACCTCCTCAAACGTAAATGCAAACACAATCGGCAAAGCAAGTAGCAGCACCAGTGCCTGCATTTTGGCCGAAAATCAAGGATGTCGATTGGAGCGGTGCGTAGTTCTAGGGCGCGCCACCCATTGCCACCCATTTCGCGCCTCAAGCACTAGGCTAATGGGACGGCTTTTGCTGAGATTAGCCCCCTAGCATGGGGCAAGTTTTAGCGGGCAAGGATAGGAACATTGGTGCTGATTTTTAGGAGCAAACTTTCCTAAATATTTATTAAAGAGACCCAAAAAAGCAAAACAAAAATTACCCGTTTAGGAAATGCAAAAAAGGTTAAAAATTAGCAAAAAAGACAAGCTACAAAAACACTAAAATTTGCAAATCAAGCGATATCTCTATTTAAGCGCATCAATGGCTTGATTTTTACACACCAGCTGGTCTGGAAATGTTAATTTTATCCCAGTAATACGCCAACGGGACGGCTCCGAACTGCTCCATGCAGCTCTCGTGGATAAACGAGTACTCGCTCAAGTCGAGGGAGAGGCCGTTGACCTCTTAGTGGAACATGCGGTATCTGGAAGAACGTAATATGGATTTTCAAAGGATACTGACACCGAAAAACCGAGTTATAATCTGGCTAAACTGAACGAAAATTGCTACCCTGTCTTCGCCATAAACACGATCAGGTCGATGACCTCTTCCGGTAGCCCGTGGATTTCGATCAAAATCTGAAAAATGTAAGTCGAACCTAAGCCAAGCTTAGGCCTAAGCCTAAGCCTAAGCCGAGAATATCCTAATTAAAGCCTGGCCCCGAATCTCGAGCTTTGCTTTCTTGAGCTCCCCAGGTGTTCAAACCTCACCCCACACCCGGGGCCACAGTCTAGCACACAGTTCTTTGCCCGGCTACGAAACTGTCTAATTGCCAGCAGAGAAAAGGGGGACTCTGAGTAACTTCTTTGATTGGCTGTGGTCTATGGAAGCTTGCAGATGATGGTAGGGAGGGTGAAGCAAGGGGAGGGGGTGTCGATGTGAACGTTTGCTTTCCCCGGGAATTGCAGTCTCTCTATCCTCTCTCTCTCCTTCTCTCTCAGTCTCGCTCTCTCGCTTATTTCTCTCTCTGTCGCACCCTCTCCGCATTTGCAAGCATTTTTAAGTCGATAAAGCTTTCGAATTACCTGGCAAATCAGCGCCTGCTCCAGAAGCGGTGGTAAGGCTTTTAGCTCGGCGCCTAGATTTGGAAAAATACTTTAAAACTGGTAGTAATACCTTCAATATCAATCTTCAACACCTCGACCCGGTCCAGCTTGTACAGTTGAAGCTCAGACTTGATACTGCGCGTGTTTGTCTATACAAAAAATTTCTTTTGGGCAGTCGGAGAAAACGCTAGAAAAAGTGAGAAAGCGAGAAAGAGAGCCTGAGAACCGCAACGCTTACCGCTGGATCGTCAAAATCTGCGATCAAAGCTTTGGTAAAGCGTCCATTAATTTGCGGCAGCCGATCGATAATCGCTTGCCCTGGACTGTTCTGGAAAAAAAAGACAGAACGCAACGATAAACTGTAGTCAGTAACAGATACCTTGTCATACGAGTACACAACACACTTCTGATTCGTCATCTCCTGAAACTCTTCCTCAAAGGAGATATCGCCCAAGACTCCCAGTGAGAAGATGGCGCAGCTTTCTAAAATGCAATCTGTTGCCCTCACTCTCTTCCTATCTCTCTCGCTCTCTCTCACTCTCTCGCTCTCTTTCACTGTCTCCCTCTCTCTCTCTTTTTTTTACTCTGGCTTGTACCTTTAACAGCTTCCGGGTTGCACATCCACTTCCCGCCATCTACCACGTTCCCTATGCGGACCTAATTCGAGGATCGGAAAGCTTAACTTAAGCTACCCGATTTGCACAGTACACCTCGGGCACCATCGTGACGTACTTGGTCCCTCGACGCCATTTTATGTCGATGCCCTTTCCGTTGTAGACACCTCTGAAAGAGGTGCCTTGAAAAGAAGATCTTTCTCTTTGACTCGCTCTCTCTCACTCTCTCTCGATCTCGCTCTCATCGCTCTCTCCATCTCTACCTCTAATTATCTCCTCTCTTTGAACTTACTGTAGGGCTCTAACCCTGACCAGCGCCTGCTTCTGGTATCGGGCCACAATCGATTCGAGCAATTCAAAATCTGGCTTTCCATGTCTCTGACTGCTTCTGATGGCTACCGTTTCTGGAAGTACGGTAATCGGTTAACAATAATTTTTAAACACTCTTTTTGAATTTTCTTTTAATTTAAGAGCTGCGATTTCCTCGGAGATAATCTAGATCCGAGGTCTTACGGTTGACATTCAGGACGTAGATTACAAGTAGAGCAGATAAGAATATGAATAAAAATCCTCCTCCAGCGCCAGGGCCTCTTGGTGGTGTCATTGATTAAAGTGTACTGGAAATAATTTTTATAGGGCTTTTTGAATGAGACGATATCTAAGCCAAAAATAGGTCAATTAGGAAAGCAAAATAGCCTTTCCCCCTAAATAATATCATAATTTATAGCAATTTTGTAGCACGGCGTGGCCATCCCTTGTTGGTCATTCGATGAAACGTGCGAAAGAGTGTTAGAACACCAATATCCCACGCCGGGTTCATAGTAGCAAAGCGGAATTTCCATTGTATTGCTGTTTTAGGGGTATGAAACATCTCTTTCTCTCTCTCTCTCTCTCTCTCTCTCTCTCTTCTCTCTCTCTGTATCTCTCACTCTCTATTTATCTCTCTCTCGTTTCTATATCTTTATAGCTCTTTCCTTCTCTATCACTCTCTCTCACTCTCGCTCTCTCACTCTCTCTCCCCTGTATTTCTTTTTCCATCTCTGCCTCTCTCTCATCTTCCCTAACTTTCTTTCTAAGTTTTGCTAATTTTTGCAACTATTCGGAAAAACCCTTAATAATTCAATATTTTATCGATCACCTATATACAGGATATGCACTTAGAATATGGACAAAGCTGGTGCGCGGAAAGCTTTGTGGTCAGAAAAAACCCGTCGGTAATGGATAATAACCAGAGGTAATGAAAATTCAAAAAATCGAAATGACGCCGGAAAGAGGGAGCAAAGGAACCGGGATTTGGACAAAAACGGAAAGGAACAAAAAACATAAGCGAAACGGGCTACTATGGAGATCCGTTGGGTGGAGCAAAAAGGGCGAACAAGAAAGAAGAATAATTTGGAGCAAAGCGTTCAAGTTTCGTTCTTAAAAAAGGCTAAAAAAGGAACTTTTAAATTTTCTAATACTTGGGGCGGGCATTTTTAATGAGTATTGCACAAAGCATAGAAATCTGCCAAAAATTGAAATATAGAAAATCCTAGAAAATCCCGACAATCAGGTCTGAATGCCGACAATTTCGTCGAAAAGTCGATCCCGGGGGCAAATGTCGAATGTCTTGAGCATCAGCATGTTCTCCATCGACTTGATGGCGTGGACCTGAAGCACAAATTGAGTCTCTTGCTCATGATCTCTCCCTCTCTCTCTCTCGCTCTCTCTCGCTCAGTCTCCCTTTTTTACCTTGATGCCAGAAATAATGTTGATCAGCATTCCAAGTCGCACTTCAGGGTCTTCCGCTACACATCCATTTTGGTAGAGGACGAAAAGGTCCTAAAACGAAGTTTTCAGAAGTTTTTGGCGACTTAAATGTAGTGTGACAGCTAGAAAATGGGCTTCAGAGACTTCAAATAAGGTCTAAAGTTTCACCTGGATCACCTGGTTCCGCAACTTTGCGCACAACGCCTTCGTCTCGGGTTCGATGCCCTCGATGACTGGAAAGAGGGAAGTTAGAGAGTCGAAAACTAATCGTTAACCTAAGCCCGAGCCTAAGCCCAAGCCTAAGCCTAAGCCTAAGCCTTAAAACCAGAATGGACGAGAGCGAGGGTAAAAGAACCAGAAGAGAGCGAGAACGAGAGAGAACAACAGAGAGAGCGAGAGAGAGTGAGAGAGAGAGAGCGAGAGAGAGAGAGAGACAGAGCGATAAAAAGACTTACAAGGATCCAGCAACAAAATCGAGGCCAGCGCCACGAGCTCCACATATCCAATGTCCATCGACGACATCTGATTCCCAACCAAATCCAGGGCATGTTGAAAGGAGGGAATGAAGAGGCTAAAACCAATACCTTACAAGAAAACATATTGCTGAACTGACCTTCTTGCCGTCGCCTTATCCAGATTCAACCCCTTGATGCATTTGTCAGTTTTGTAGTAGTAGTCTATCCGATTGAAGTCGATGAACGTCCTAAAGGCCGAGGTTTTGTAGGGACAATGACACGAAACTAACCGATTCGGCATCATCCACTTGTCCTTGCCGAAGCCGCAGTATTTCCAAGTTAAATACGGCTCTTCGACGGCTTGGAAGAGGAGCATGAAATTTTTGAGGAGTTTTGTCTGGAAGGCAGGAGTTTGGGAGTATTTTAGGATTTTTTAGCTACCGTAATTTCGGTAGGGCTACAGGAAAACTTATTTTTTAGATTTTTCAGCGATTCCAAAATTTTAAGGCGATAGCAAATCTCGCATTTTTTCCTCGAAATCGCTGATTTCGAGTTGGTACGGTAGTTTGCCCACCTTTTCATTGGGCGGTAGATGAGCTAGATAACGATTGTTGGCGATGAACTCGGCGGCAAGCCGGGGCTCGATTTGCCAAAGTTGGAACATGCACTCGGCGAAGTCGGAGAGTTCCACGGGTTTCTGAAAGGTTGTAGCTAGAGATCTCTGCCAGAGAGAGAACGAGAGCGAGAGACAGAGAGAGAGAGAGAGAGAGAGTGCGAGAGAGAAAGAGGGCGAGAGAAAGTGCGAGAGAGAGAGAACGACTCACCAAATCCGTATCATCATCAAACATGTCCGCCAAGGAGTGGGAGGTGTAGAACAATTTTCGCTTACGATTTAGGTTCTAAAATTTAAATTTTTAACTAGTTTAATATGACGGAGCTTAAATTTATAGATAATTTCGCAATTTCCTCACCTCGTGCTTCTCCACAAATTCGTCAAGTACGGTCCCGGAAGTTCTTGGGGATTTTGGGGATCTAGGCGCCGAGTCCATAGCGCCAAGAGGAGTGGAGCCTAAATTTATAAAGAATTTTTCACTTCCTGGATGTTATTGCTTCTTTTAAAAGCCTCACAAAGCCGAAAATCGTCCTCCTGAGTCCACTAGGTTTCGCCAGCTACGAAAAAAAGGCTTGAAATCATACCATGAGCACTAGATGCATCGATCCCGTCGTCGTCTTCCGGGTCTGAAGGCCGTTTTCTGCCATTTTCTCGGCTCATTTCCGCTTCGACAGAATATTTTCCGATGGCATCTCGGCGTTGTTGAACGGCTAAATAAAGTTGTAGCTTTTCATGGCTTGAAAACCATACCTTTCCTGTCCATCCCCACCTTGATGCACTTGGTATAGCGGCAGGCTCGGCATTTTTGGGCCCCGGGCGCGTCTGAAAGCCGAAAATTACGCTTTTTAACAAGATTTATAGGACATAGCGATAGCTATTTTTAATAGAACAAACGGGTATATTACATTAGAAAAAATAAAAAGCTGACCTTTCGTGACCACACACTTTCCACCCTTCGGGCAGTGGTACTGCTTGTTGAGGACGACGGTGCGCCGGAAGAAGGCGCCTAGCAACGGGAAAATTGTAAGTAGGAAATTTAATGTAGAATTTAAGCTATTTTAAGCCATTAAAAAATCGAGCGAAAAAATCGTTAAAATTTTTCTGAAAAATGCTTTTCTAAGCCAAGAATTTTCGCGAATTGGCATATTAAAAAATATACAAAAACAGCTTGGAAAATTTTTCAAAATAGCAAATTAAACCCAGAAAGTAAAATTTAAATAAAATCTAGAAAAAGTAAAAAACCCACTACACGCCGCGCAGGCCTCCGAGCCAAAATGGATCCCCGTCGATTCAACACCGCATATTGAGCAGGGCGGCTGGCCCATCTGAAAATGGCTTATGAGTTGATTACGCCATCAAATCAAGACCTTTCTTGCTTTATATTAGTAGCATTAAGCAGTTTGGCATAATTTATTCTTTCTAAAAAACCGACCTATTTTTGGATGCAAGACTCGCCACCTAGGCTAGACAATACTGCGGCCCCTAGCCCCCAGGTAAAAGCGAACTTTTTGAACGGGGCGGGCCCCCCGGTTTCCGTGATCAACCTACACACAACGCATCGATACACATCGAACAATGGGTGACACTATGTAAATATAAGGGGATGGGCGGGAGGGTGGAGACACATAAAACACCTCAAAGGTGTCGGGGGTCATATAAAAACGACTCTAGCGAGGCTGAAAAGTTTCCAAGTTCTTAGTTTCTTCTCGACCGTATGTCAGCCCACTTCAGTTTGTTTTATGCTAATTTTTTCAACGCCTTTACTTTATTCCGATTTAAATCTAGCAAATACAGGGCAAAGAAAAGAGATTTTTCAAAAGTTAAATTTCTGGGCTTAAATAGCTTGACTTGCTTAATTTTTTGCTATAAATAAGTCTTTTTTGCTGTTGGAAAGGCGTATGCTGATTGCGCTTATCGGCTATCTTACCATTAAGCACCTTCCCATATAGTAATTAACGGGCTTGAAGGAATTGTTATGTAAAATCGTAAAGTCAGAGTTTTCACGAAGACGAGAGTTTTAACTGGTAGCGGGTAGAAATAAAAGGTTTCCAATATTAAGAAAAAAAAAACGGGGAATAAAGTCACCTAGCTAAAAGTATCAAAATCCCTATCATTAATGCGCGGCATCAAATCTCGGATAGAAAGGCATTGCAGGCGGAAAAACTGGCACCCCGCCCTCGGGCCCGATATCGATTTCTTTATCAGGCTGCCGTTTCGGCGGCTAGGCTTTTTTTCGGGGCATCATGGGATAAAGTATCAAGCCGAAAATCAGGAAAAAATTGCATGGACAAAAACGGCATCACGTGCAGCATTGTAACACTTGTAAACACCCTGCGGGACTCCGATCCACCCCCCCCCCCTCAGCCAAGAATTACAGCTTTAAAGTGACGGTGGAAGCGCAAGAATGATGGTTTTATATTTTCTAACTATCGACAGCTACATAATACGCTAAAATTAGTTTCTTGTCGCGATAAGATCAACGCCAATTAATTCAACGCGTAGCCGCTGAGACCTGGTCCATTGGAGGGTCGGTTTAGCTCTGACAACAGTAATCCTCGTTACTAGAAATTTTCATATTGTTGTGCTGTAAGTAATACTCACCCTCCTCATCATTGGCTCGGGGGTCGCGAGCCTATCGCTCGGGGTGAAGGTTAAAATCGGAGAAGCCGGGGTGGCAGAGGTGGCAGATGAGGTGGGCCCACCGAGCGACGACATCAAGGAGTGCGTCGAGATGGGGGAGGCCAACGACGGGTGTGTGGCAATTGTGGAGAAAAGCTGCTCCATCTGAAAAATGGTCGTGAGTCCGAAAAATCCTCAAAAAGCGCAAGAACAGCAACGTATGGCTGATTTAGGGTACGAAAAATATGAATTACTGCATCCCCAGATGCATAAAAGCGCTTGAAAATGACAACGTCAAGTTCAACAAGTTCAAAAAGAAAGACTGGCTAAGTCAAAATTCATGAAAACTTGCCCAGGTCTAAAAACCGGTGAAATCGCAACTTTCCCGATCTGGGACCAGAATCGAGATCAGCGCTCTAATCGATAATGGGATAGAATTTTTCCAGGCTCAACGATCGCCGAAACAAGCCGACGGGCAGTCTTATCTCGCTGTCACTACGAGAGGCTACGCATCGCAAACTCTCACATGACGGCTGTTTGAACCATTTTGTGAGGGAATTTTCGGAAAGAATAGGCTTGCTGACGCCTGCTGTGTAAGAGGGATAGTGAGAGAGAGAGAGAGAGCAAGAAGTCTACACCTACCGGATCTTTCAAGATGATCGGCGCCGGAATCATTGGCGACGTTTGGGTCGTCTGAAACAGCATCTTAAAGGAGCGTTGAAGTGAAGGATCTCATCTCGATTTCAATGCCGCGAATTTCGAGGATTTTTCAAAAATTCAAGGCTAACCTTCATCGGGTATCCAATGGGTGGCTGATGCATCGGAAGTTGTTGAAGTCCCAGAAAAAGCCCGTTCATCCCAGGCAGGAATACGGTACCGGGCGCTAGTGGTAGGCCCACCATCACGTTTGGGTCAGCTGAAATTGATGGTTTTCGACAAGTACAGCGTAAAGTTTCGAAAGATATTTTGCAACAACAGTGACCATCCCGAGTTTTAAAGGGACGGTGACCTGCAAGAAAAAATGACAATCTTCCGGAGTAAAGTTAAGGTGCCACCTCGGGTCTATGGTGTTCGCGATTCTTACCTCTCTGTCATTACTTATCCCATCAGAAGCTAGCGTTCGTGTTCAGGATTTTGATTCTAAGATCTCAGGATAGGTAACCTAACAATTCGACAGTTTCAAGAAAATAAAGCCCAAGCTCGACCAGCAGAGCCCATGGATCGGGTCATCTACAACCCCCGATAGCCCACAACGAGTGTTTTTTGAGTCGTTGGCAAAACCATAGGAGACCTAGCTCATTCGATAGAGAATTTAATTCAAACAAGGCTCGGTTGTCTATTTTTGCGGAATGGCCATCCCTAATTTTATACAATTTTAAAACGGCGCCCGAAAGCGTCTCTTTTCGCTCGAAGGGCACTCATGGTCAGAGACGGTCACTGTCGGATCCTACCGACCCTTCGGGAAAGGGAGTCCCAAAATCTCGGGCATGGGCGGGCCCTCAGGCTTGCATAGCCCCTCGGGGCCGATCCGCAAAGGCCCACGGGGAGTTTCGAAAGTCCCTGCGGGGAATTCCGAAATTCCCCGCCGGGAATATCGGAAATCGGGGGCTGACTGGGCGGAGCCCAGCAGCCCCTATATAAGCCTGGGGCCCTCGCATACCACACACACACTCAAATAACCCTTGCTGAATTGCTGTCGCCCTGCTCAAGGCTACAGTAATCCAGCAAAGGAGAGTGTGGGCTTCCGAGCCAGCGATTTCACCGATCATCTCCCTTCTCCGAGACCGGCCCTTACCGTTCCTCCTATTTAAAGGTGGAATAAAGGCCTTACTCTCAAACCGTGTCGCCCACAACTGACACATTAAAGACGCAACTCGCATTTGGGCGCCACAGTCACTATTGTTTTGAATTTTATAAAATCGGAGACAGCTATTCCGCAAAAATGAACACCGGCATCTCGTTGAGAATTCAGTATCTCTATCGAATGAGCTAGGTAGCGAAATTTTGCCGATGACTCAAAAAAGCACTCCTTGTCACGATTAAGGGTGGTCTGACATCTAGAAATTTAGTTAATTAGGACATAGGCACAGTATTAATGGGAACACCCCGGAACAAATCTAAAAAAATTCCGTGCTACTTCGCGCTCTTCCCGACCCATCCAAACCTCAAAAAAGCTACCGTATCCCTCCCACGGCTGGCCGTCCATTGGCTACAGAGGCGTTCGAATGCCCGTCTCGTAGCGAAAAGCGGAATAGCAGAAAGGCTCGTTGTCCAAAGACACATCCCCCGTCCTGGCTGTACCTTTATGTAAAACCCGAGGGGGTGCGCGCGTTGTTTTTTCAGGGCTTATAACTCGTTAATCGTCGCGAGACGAGCCATTTTTCCGGGGGGCTGTAGCATAAAAGATGTTCCTGGGCAATGGGTGGGTGTGCAGATGGAATTCGCGTAGGGATTAAGCCAGGGGGGGAGTAAGTGGTAGAAATGGCGCAAATCGGATAGAGTGCTATGGTTGTTCGGCTGGACAGGAGGGGGGACTGTGTTGAAATATATAGGTCTTGGGCGTTACGTGCCGGGGCCCGGATTTACACCCCCGGCGGCCCGGATGGCGTGTCTTCCTGATGCGGGAGACGTACTACATGTATTTTGTGAAATATCCTGATTTCGCATCTCCGGGATATGACGCGGAAGTGTTTACACCGGAAACGGAACTAGTAGCGATTGTTTTGGATCCCGGGAAAGATACCATAGCCTCGTGCGAACAAATTTTTGAAACTCCGTCGGACCTTCTGCCCTGTTTTTATCCCATAAAATCTTTTTCTTACTTTTATTCCACAAGGTTAAGGTTTCGAAATCCCTCAAATTAAGAGTTCGAAACGGCGAATGGTAAGTATTTAAGTAAATAAATTTTTCCGGACACTGACCGTCAATCCGCTGTGACTGGTTGCTGCTGTTGCTAGCGCCCGCCAGACCGGCTTTGGTGGGTTCCTGCAATGGTAGCGGTGATTCAGGGTGTTTCATCAATTGGAAAACACGATAAAATATCAATACGTCGTTATAAGAAGTTCAAAATAAGGCCGAAGCCGCAGAACGAGCTTGACGAGCCGGCCTAGGCTTTGAGCTAAAGCTTAGAGCTTAGATCTAGGTTTTGCTTAGACTTAGGCTGCGGCTTAGGCTCGCGCCTGCCTTCGCTTAGGCTTAGGCTTAGGCAGAATTTAGTTTTATAGAACATACATCGAACATGAGCGCGAGCAATTGGGTACGAGTAAGAGAGATAGTGAGAGAGAGAGATTAGATAGGGAGAACTCGATCTAGAGTGAACAAGATAAACGAGAGCATGATAGAGGGGAGAGAGGGGTAGAGGGAGAGCGAAAGAGAGAGTGAGGGAGAGCGGGTGCGCGAGAATGCGAGCGAGCAAGAGCGAGAAAGATGAGAGAAAAATAGTGAGAGCGAGAGAGCCAGAGAGTGAGACAGTGAGAGAGAGAGAGAGAGAGAGAGAGAGAGAGAGAGAGAGAGAGTAAAAGAGAACGAGAGAGCACGATCGCGAGATTTCGACATATGGCAAGACAATGAATTAGGAAGCAAACAGTCACTAAATTGAACGAACAGAGAGCCAGACGAACGTTTCGGGGGCAACCCTTGTGGGCGCATAGACTCTATTTGCCCAACGGTGTCCTTATCTCATAGCATGACCCGCCGGGAGGTGGCGACCCAGCTACAAATAGGGGAGCGCTCCGACCCGGGTACCGGGGAATCAAGTTTGGCGAGTATCAAGAGGGGAGTTCGGAAATGGTGGAACTTGCTCTCGAGTTATTATCGTATCGAAAGGTCGAAATCTGTCCGAAGTTTGCAAAAAGACCCCTGTTTGGGCTCTTGGCTTTTTTTAGAAGTTATTGCAGCAGCAGTTCTTGCTCCTTTTTGGGGTAGGAGAGAACAAGGCTTTGAGGGAGAAAATTGAAGGCTTTGCAACCCTTTGCCACTCCTTTCGTCCCCTTTTTGGAGCAAGAGATCGGAGTGATGAAGCAGGGGAAAAATAGCACAGATTTTTTTTCTGACGAGTAACTTTTAGAATAACGAAAATCACAATTTCGAAAACCAGAAGCCAAAATTTCTAAAACCTCGAGTTTTTGGAATTTCGAGATTTTCGAAACTTTGAAACTAGCATTTTCGAGAGCACGAAATTCCAGAATTTCGAATCTGGAGAATCTCGAAAGGCTCATAAGCTGAGAAAACTTTAAAAACTGAAGGGATTCTGATTTTTCCCTGTTATCACTTTCAAATCTGAGGTTAGGAAATGTCGAGACAAAAAAATTCGTGATTGTGATATTTCGCCATTTTCAAAAGAATTAGGTTTCTTGGAATTTCAGATTCTGGATATTTTGGATGCTGAAAATGCGAGAATCCTGACAATTCTGATTCTGGGAATACAATGTTCTGACAATCCAAAATCCGGAAGATTCTGAAAATGAAAGGTTTCCAAAATTCGCGGGTTTTATTTTCGAAAATTTCGAAAGAAGAGGAACGGGGGAGAACAACGTTTTAGAATCTGGTCAGACAGACCAAGTAATCTCTGCTAGTCTTCCCAAAAAATCCAGCGTTTCAAAAGCCGCCCCGCGTTTTTATGCCCGGATGTATTGTTCTCTGCCCCGGCTACCGTACCCCAGAGCGCCCCTTATGGCAATAATACGCCGATCGTCCATCCGGGCCCGTTCGCAAAACAGGCATTTGTCAAATCCCTGCGCGGAAAAGTGCCTGGGGAGAAAGCCGGCCGGCTTATCCCCTGGATCAGTTGCCGTACCCTGGCCGGCCCATCTGCAACCAGACCGGACAATAACTGGTGGTACGGTAGGCGGGGGCGCGAGAAAGTACAAGCGGTACAAGGCATGGAGCGTGAAATGGGCGTGTTGTGGATGGGTGTTCTTCGGAGTGCAGTCTAGACTTCAGATGATGGGTAGATTAGTATTTCTATTCCAATTTCTCGCGTTCTCTCTCTCTCTCCCGCACTCTCTCGTCAACCATCTTTCCCTCACTGGTTCCCTTTCGCCCGATATCTACGGCTATCTTGCTTTATCGCGTCCTAACTCTCTCTCTCTCTGTCTCGCTCTCTCGCTCTCACTCTCTCTGGCTCACCGCCTCTCGCTTTCCCTCATTCTAACTCCAACGCTGTCGCCCTCTTTCTCGGCGTCACTCGAGCTAGCCGTCGCCCATGTTCTCTTGCTCACTCTCACTAGCTCCCATCTCTCTCTCATTCTCTCTCCACCTCTCGCTCACTCTCTCTCTCACTCGCTCTCTCGCTCGCTCCTATCATGAAAGTAAATGTTTTTTCTAGCCCAAGGTACAGTCGTGGTACAGTCTGGCGGACCCACTGTGAACTTGGCTAGAGTGGGATCAAGTGGATTTAGAGATTATCGAGATGACTTTCCCGGGCCACTGACCAGCCAACTGCGATTTTCGTGACATTTTGATTTTGGCTACACTATGTGGGTCTTTGATGGGTTGCATAAAATAATGTTAGGTAAGCAAAGTAATACGCGTTTGGCTAATAAAAATAGAAAGTTGCATAGACTGTAGGCAAAAGTTACCCGTTTTGGTCTCACAAGGGAAGTGCACGACCGGCCCACGAGAAATCGACACGAGACATAGTGGATCTGATAGAATCGGACAGCTCATTATTACAGCTCATTCGAAAGCGCTTTTTCTGCTGAACAAGATGCATTAATTCTTTTCCCCTCAATTCCGTTCCCCCGGTTTTTACGGGCCCCTAAAGGTACCGTTTTTGGCGATTTGGCCAACTTTGATGCTTCATAACTTTTTTCTCCGTTTTATTTAGCAAATTCTGATTACAGATTCGGAATCTCCGTGTCCGATTCTATCAGATCCACTATGTCTCGTGTCGATTTCTCGT